GGATTCTGAAGCTCCTGTCTGGTAAAGAAGAAAGTAACCAAAAGGAAATGAGGAGTGAAGTATTGAAAAAGCAATGAAGAGACGAACGGCTAAAAGAAAAAGAAAAAAAAGTTGGTGGGGGATGGAGTAAGAGGGGACGGACATGCGGAAAGACGCAGGTCCGTCACTGGGCAAAATCATTTCCTCAGTGCAGTTTGGCGGGCTTATGCTCGTAACTCTCAGTGAAGGCGTCCAGTGTAGAAGAGAGCCCAGGGATAGGTACGTGTACCCGCAGACACATGTACCCTGTACGAGAGTTCAATGTCGGCATGGCGTCGGGTGTGCCTGACTTCCTCCCTTGCTGTCCCGCGACTCAGGCGTTTTTGTTCCTTTTTTCCTCTTTTCCTCTTGTCCTCTTGCGCACGGAGGCCATTTGGGCCAGTGTTTTGCAGTGCCGCTTTTAAAGGTGTGGCATTGACGGCACGGTTCCTTGTTCCTTTGCTTCCTTCTTTTCCCTTTTTTTCTTTTTACCTTTTAGCTGGGCCGACTAGACGAGAGACGTGCTGACTTGGGCCTGGCCTGGCCTGGCCTGACCGTGGCTGACCTGATCGGACGGCACCTGTTCGAGGACGATGCGCCAACGCATTTGTATTCGATGGCAACGGGTGGTGCCGAGAGCGAAAGCGGCGCGAGTGCTGATGAAGGAGAGCTGAGGATGAATCTGGGTGTTGAAATCGAGTCCTGCGGTTCTTTGCTTCCTCGCAAGCCGTGATGGTACTCTTGTACACGCAGAGGCACACCCCAAATATACAGTCCATGGAAATAATATATGGAGTTGCATCAAGATGGACTAGCCATGTCGCAGCACTCCGCAATCAATTCTTGCAAGTCTCGTGTGGGTTCGGAGAGCGAAATGGCACGGCAAAGCTGGTGGTGTCAGTTCGGTCCTAGTGCTTGGAGCTATCAATAATCGCGGCCAAGCGTGTGACTCCGGCAACGAGAGCCTTGAGCCCCGACAAGCTGCGAGGCAACGGCGGGCCAATGGCGGGGCAGGCCTTGCCAGCTCGCGCTCGTACCGGTACCTCACCTGAACCCGGACCGCGCAGCTGTGCGAGTACCCAGAGGTACCGCCCCTTGCGCCTCCCCCTACTTGCAGCGCCGGTGTCAGGCGCCCAGCACCGCACCGCCCAGCGCAACGCAGCACAGCGCAGCGCTGGAGGGGCCGAGCTTCGCCCCTCTTGCGCTGACGGGACCCCCGCTGGAGGCACTTGGTAGCGTCGGTGGCCAGCGCAGCAGGCCGCTGTGTCGCGTTTGAGAGGTGGGCTCCATCGTCGTCGCTTGACCGGGCGTGTGCTCGCGCTGCTCGTGCTTGTACCGCTGCTGCGCACGACAGCGGCAGAGGTACCTGCTGCGCATGCACCGGTACGCCATGGTGCTTGGCCGCCACGTCTGGGACGTCGCTGGCCTGCGAGGTCGCGGTACAAGTGCCCCGTCCGACGCCCCGTCCGCTGGCTGTACCGGGCGGTACTTGGGCGTTGTACCGCTACCAAGGCTCAGCACTCAAGCTGCGACTTGGTGGCCAGGTACCCGCGCTCCAGCGCATTTCGCACCTGGACAACCAGCGGCTTGCCTCCCCCTCCCCCTCCATCCCTCTTTTCCCGCCCGACTCGACTTTTTTTCAGGTATTTTCCAGTGCCCTCTGCGCTGTTTCCCCCCTCCTTCGGCGCACCCACCCCTCCCAAAATTCTTACCCCCCCAGTGGCTTGCTGTCCGCGTCCCCCGAATTGAAATCTTTCCCCTCCCCCCCTCTCGTCGTCTTCCTTCATTTACTGCCCTCGCCCTCTTAACCCGCCTCTCCCCTCTCCATCTGCCACCATCTTCGTTGCCCCCAACGACAACTGCATCAACTCGCAGCATCGCCATTCTCTGCCCGACCCCGACATTCTATCCACCGAGGCCTCCAGGAGCCTCTGTCCTCACCAACCCAACATCTTTAATCTTTCCATGACCAGAATACCGTATTTTCCAATGAGCAGCATCAACACCAAGGCCACCGCAGTCACACTTTAAACCCCACGGGCGCGCGTGCGAGCGAGGAGCTAGGAGTCGAGAGCGAGAGCAAGAGAGAATTCGCAAACCACCAGGAGCACGAGTTCGATATTCAACCATCGGAGCCTTCGCCCCAGCCGGCAGAGCCGAGCGTCGCGTCAGCGCAAAACAACCCATCGCCATCTTCACCCCCATCAACCACAGCACGCGACTCGCCTAAAATGCCTGGCGCCAGCGTCGCAGTTCTCCCGCCTCCAGCGGCCTCGACCCCGTCCTCGCGGAAGGCGTCTCTCGCACCAGAACGCAAATACAAATGCCAGTTCTGCAACAGAGCCTTCAGCCGGAGCGAGCATAGAAGCCGCCATGAGCGATCACGTATGTTCCGTCCCAGAAAAAAAAAAAAAATTCTCCCTCGACAAGTGAAGCAGAAAAAAAAATACATTGAGAATTCTCCCTTCCTCCACATGCCAGCCCTGCTAACCCTCTCTTCTTTTTAGATACCAAGGAGCGTCCTTTTAAGTGTATGAAGTGCCGAAGTACATTTGTTCGTCGCGACCTTTTGCTGCGACATGATCGCACCGTCCACGCCAAAGATGGTGGCGTCCCCCTTCACAGCGACGGCAAGCGTCGTGCTGGACCCAAGACTCGAGCCATCGGCGGCCCCTCTAAATCGTCAATCGCCTTGGACACGTCCACCTTGGAGCAGATGGAAGCTGGCGGCGACGGTATTTTCGATGTCGAAGCCGCCGCAATGCTTGTCGCCGACCTGCATCACAAGGCCACTGCTGCCATGCGTGGAGACGATGGATCTTACGAAGACGGCGCATCCATGGCCTTCTCCCCACGAAGCTCCACCGTCATGGAGCCTGCCGTCACATATCCATCCGGTGCCATCGCCCTCCCGCAGGTCCAGTGGGACAACTTCATGGCCGAGCCCAAACCCCATTCCATCGCCTCGAGCGCCTCGGGCTCTTTTGAGTCGTCGCAGCCCTTTGCTGGTGGAAACAGACTGTCGCACCATGCCGGCCAGTTGCCGCCATTCAGCGGCCGAAACTGCAATGGTCTTGTGCCTGCCCTCCAGTCCATGATCAACTCGCTTCCCGCCTCTGGCCCCGAGATCCCAGCCCCTCAGTCTCCCTCTGCGGTAGATTCGCAGCAGGCTGGTTTCAGAGCTCCTCAGGTTTCTGGCGATGATGAGCGAAACGCGATTCTGGACAACATCCGCAGCACTGACCGGGAGCACGCCATTCCCGAGAGCTTTCGCCTCCCTGGCCTGGGCTCTCTGAACCGCTACTTGGCCACGTACTTTGGGCTGTTCCACCACCACCTGCCCTTCCTGCACCCTGCTTCCTTCACCCCGTCTCAGGTGTCGCCGCCGCTGCTCTTGGCCGTCCTCAGCATTGGCGCTCTCTACGCCTTTGACCAGGACCAAGCATACATGCTTCACATCGGGTCCAAGGTTCTCGTCAACCAGTTCCTCCAGAACAAGGAGAACTTTAGCTCCCGCAAGTGTCCGCTGTGGACCATGCAGAGCTCGCTCCTGAACATGATCTTTGCCAGCTGGAGCGGTGACCCCAAGGGGTTGGAGTGGGCATGCTCCATCAAGAGTCTCCTCGCTAATATGGTGGCTGGAAACCGCTATGAGCTCAAGCTTCGCCAGGAAGCCCGCGGCACGGCCAAGCCCACTCGCGCAGAGTGGGTTGAGGACGAGGGTTGCCGCCGCACGTACTACGCAGTCTACATCTTCTTTGGCTTGCTGACCCTGACGTTTAACCACACCCCCGCCATCGGGTTCAATGAGTTTGAGGACTTGCAGCTCCCTTCGACGGAGGCCCTGTGGAACATGCAGGTTGCCGACGAAGGCGCGTGGGCCGAACAGCTCGAGAAGTCGCCCGCCGTCATCTTCATGGAAGCCCATGACAATCTCTTCCAGGGCGAGACACTAAAGTACAGCGCCTTCTCCACCCGTGTCATGATCAATGCCTTGTTCCTCGAAGTATGGTATCACAAACGTAGCCCTGAGGCCTTGCAGGATGTCGTGACCGAGTACAAACTTAGACTCGCCTTGGAGACGTGGGAGAAGTCATTGGACCTGTGCGAACCGGAATCTGTCGTGGTGCCTCTTAGCGCTCCCCACAAGGGCCACCCCCTGATCTTCAATGCCCGCGCCATGTACCGTAACGCCCGCGCCCGCCTCGAGGTTGACCTGAAGACTGTGCAAGAGGCCCTGCGATACCACGAGCCGTACGAGGTCGCCGCCGCCATGTCCCATGCCCGGGACCGCGTCAAGCGCTCCAGCGAGATGATCAAGGTGATTGAAGAGTGCTACAACTGCCTGGAGACGGCCGTGGTTCAAGGCGTCCGCTGGGTGGCGCGCACCTCGTCGACCAACTGGAGCGTCGAGCACCCCCTGTGCGGCCTGGACCTGATGATCATCCTCACTCTGTGGCTGTATCGCCTGGAACACGACGAAGAGCCAGCAACGCCAGAGGAGGTGGCCATGTACTACAAGGTCCGACAGCTCTTTGTCAAGGACTTTGACGAGAGCATCATCGCCAACTTGAGCTCTGTGGTTGCGCGCCTTTGGGGCTCCATGTTGGACGAAGTTGTTGTGTGGGGGTAAGTCAATTGTTTTTTTCCCCCAATTGCCTGATGCAGAGTGCTAACAAGTAAAATAGAATTACTCGTCTCATGGGCGAATCCTTCAAATTGCATTCAGAAGCCCTTGTTGGCTATGTCGGCGACGAAGCTTCCTCTAATGTATCGACTCCCTCGATGACCTCGCAGGGAGCGGACGAGGACAGCGTGTACTAAATACATATGCGATGACGAAACGACCTTTTCTTTCTTCTTTTCTCTTCTCTATTCATCTTATCAGGGGAGCGCGAAAACACGCGCCGGCTTTTTCCTAACGCGCAACTCGATTCTTATGGCTTTATTTCCTATTGTCTTTTCCTTTTTTCTTCTTCTTTCAGCTGATTTCCACTGGCTTGTCAATATTTTTACATTGCGGCGCGTGCGGTTCGGAACGGAGTAAGGCTAATGCTGGGACTATGCTTTTGTTTTCTTCGTGCTCATGTTTTCTTTTCTCTTTGCTCTTTTCTATCGGTTTCTCATGTTATTTCCTTGACGGCTCCTGAGACAGGGCAGGTGATCGTGTGTCTTGTTATGTTATGTTACTGCTCTTAATTATTGGCTTTGATTTGTATTTGGTCGTTTATTCTGCATGGGTCGATCGAAAGGATCATGGGGGATAATTTTGGAGAGGCGGCGAAAGCAGGGAAATACTGGCGGGATATAGGATTGGACGTTTCGCATGATTTCGGGGCCCCGAGAAGGGATATTTGGATCTCGACACCGCGGCAGCGCAAGCTAATGAACTGCGAGGGCAGGTTGATTGGCTGGTCCATGATGGTGATGCCGCCTTTTTCGCATTTCCCTTTTTGTTTCTAATGGCCCTTGTTGCCCCCTTTTTTCTTATCATGGTAATTTTTTTCTGTTGCTTTTTCCTTTGCAGCGGCTGTTCTTCTTTCCTATTCTCTTCGCTCCTGCTTGCTTGCTGTCGCTTTTCGTTGGCATTGCAGTCTGATTTACCATTGGCAATTTTCCAATTCTCAGATACCTTGTTCGATATACAGATTGCTATTCTTCATTGAACCTTTCTACTTCTCTCTTCTCCTTTTTTTTTCTTCTTTCCTTTGAACTGTGTGCTCTCCTCTTGTCACGTTTGTTTGTGTGCTGTGTCTTTGTTCTTCATTTTGGTTATGCTACGAAGGGATGCTTACGGAATGACGGGCACTCGCGCTGCATGGTTTACTGTGCATGCGAGAGTGCTTATGGACGAGAGCCAGTCCCGCTGCTTCGGTGTGTATAGATATTCTAGTACTACAATTCGAATAATTGTGTCTCTGTCAAAAGACGATGCCACGTAGAGTGCGTGTGTGTGTGCAAATGTGATGTTTTCATGGTTCGAGCACAAGCGTTATGCCATGTGACTGCACTAAATAGAGTCGTGATATGCGTACCAAGATGGAAAATGCTTGGCTCCTCGGATGAGGGTAATTTTTATTTAAATTAGCTTTCTGGTTTGTGGCAAGCCAACCGGTTTCCACGTTCTTGTCAAACGCTGTGCGACTTCTTGTGGTGTCATCCGATGAGGAGAAGCTGGGGAGGTCAGAAGGCCGTTGGAGGGAGTGGTGACACTTGACTCTTGCTTTCCCCTCCCCTCCCCTCTATTCTGGCAATGGCCTAATGGGGAAGGTTTGAGGTTTTAGGAGATGAGGCGTGATGGACGATGGACGATGTCTTGGGTGAAGATGCCCAACTGACTTATACCAGACGTATATGCAAGGTAACGTAATGATGTACATCTACGTACCAACGTGGCGGAGGACATTGAATCCGACACGACAATGAAGACGGCACGGGCCTTGGTTTCCCCGGCGAGCTGGTGAGTGAGTGTGCCGTGGAATAAAATAACATGCAGGACGCAAGGGAGAGGAGACGGACGCGCGAGCCGAGGGTAGGACCGTGTGTAACTCGAAGCGCAGAAACTTCAGACCAAGGACAAGAAGCGTCTCTGTCTCTGCTTCCCTCATTTCCGCACTATTTCGTCGTGCCTGACCTTGTATTGCCTTGCGGGCTGCATCTCGCGTAGCTGCTTCGAGTCGTGGCAAGCAGAATGTGGCGTGCACATGCTCATTTTGTCCTTCACTGTCTCTTCACTTGCTTGGTGTTTCTGTGGCTCGGACTTGTTGCTTGCTTCTTCTGCTTTCATCTTTTGTCTCTTTTATCTTCGTGTGCTTCTAATCATACTTTTCTTCTTCTTCATTTTGCTCACCCATAGCAGTTTGCTCTTCTAAATATACTGCATCCAGAAAGGAGGGGGGGAAAAAAGGGCTCATGGCTACCGCTCGGGGATTGGGCCTGTTGTTGGCTCTGATGGTGGCACTCACGTCGTGTCTGGTGGTAGCGGACTGTGAGTGCGGGTTTATCGCGCCGCGGAATGGATATCTGAATGACGACTTGTTCTTTACCAATATGATGGAAAGCAAGTTCTTTGAGATGAAAGACATTTCGCGGGACGGCACGTGGAGGCGGCAGCAGTACAACGTTTCGGCGAGGGCTGGAAGAGGCGAGTACGGCAAGGCGTTTGCTCCTGACAATGTTTTCACGATTGCTGAAGACGGTGATGCCACGGAGAGTGCTGATTCGAGCTCAATTGGTGGTGATGGGATTGGGCTGGTGGTGGGCAGCACAGTTATGAATGAGGCTATTCCGGTGGCGGAGCTGGACTCGGCGAGAAATGACATGCACTACGGCTCGTATCGCGCGGGCATGAAGCTGACGGCCGTCAATGGCACCTGCGCAGCCTTTTTCTGGGTATGTCTTTTGTCCGTTGCTTTTTGTTAGTCTTATCGTATGCTGATGCTGGCTTGTCTTCCACAGTACTTCAATGACACCCAGGAGATTGACATGGAGTTTCTGTCGCGAGAGTTTGACCCCGTGAAGAAGATCTATCCCGTCAACCTCGTGATCCAGTCGGAAGCGTCGCGGAAGGCGGGCTATGATGCGTCCAAGACGGGCACCTTCAAGGTGGTCAACCTCACGTTTGATCCCACGATTGGATTCCATGAGTATCGCTTCGACTACCTGCCAAGTCGAGTCTTATTCTACGCCGACAGCAAGCTGCTGGCCGAGATGAACGGAACGTCGGTGCCTTCTGGTCCTGGCCACATCATTCTGCAGCATTGGAGCAACGGCAATCCCCTGTGGTCTGGAGGCCCTCCCACGGAAGACGCCGTCCTCACTGTGAGCTACGTCAAGGCATACTTCAACTCTTCCAACGCAATTATTCAAGAAAGCGCGGCTGAAAGCTGTCGAAGGGCACGCGGCGACGGTTCGGATAGCAGTAACAATGACAGGGTGTGTACGATTGCAGACGTGACGGCAGCAAATGCCAGCACAGGAGGCACCTTTTTCAACACGAGTGATCCGAATAAGCCAAGCAGTGGTGGAGGAGACGATGAGAGCGGCGCAGTTCGTCTAGGCAAGACGGGGCAGACGATGGCGAGTGTGATGTTGCTGGTGCTGATGATCGCATGCTTGTGAATGCTCTTTTTTGGACGTGCTAATGAATGGCGCTCATGAATGGGTTCTTCTGACGTGAAGTGGAATGCAATAATGAGTCTATGACTTGTGTGCTTTGGGGGCTGGAGTTGGAGTTTTATACATTGAAGGAAAACAGCACTTTTGGGTGTATATGATATAGTTGAGCCTTGTTGGTAATGCTCGAGACACCACATAGTAGGGAGTCAGCACTGGAGGCGATGAGTGTCCTTGTTAAGTGAATAATGGATCTTGCTTTTTTCCTGCATGAATTTGATTGATTGATTTGTTGACTCTGTGACGTTTTTTTCTCTTTCCTTAATGAGACACTTAAGAATGACGGCGTGATTCAGCTGCTTGTTTTGTCAAGGGTGCTGGTCAGATGCACGATGCCGTCATGGGCCCACAAGACACCGAGCAGCTGGATCTGATGTTTCAATATTTCCTCTTGAATCTTTGCTTCTTTGGGGAGGTGATGGGGTTTTACCTTTACAAAAGGTATTGGACATGTGATTTATTCGAAGCAGCTCGGTGTGGTAGAATGACAAAAAGAAGATCGTCGCTCAATCATGGGGAACGCGACAGCCTTGGCTTTGGGATGTAGAGGTATGCTTAATTTAAGATGTGATTGATTGCATGTATATGAGCTGAGAGAGGTGAGACTGGGAACACGCGGGTGACTTGGTTTGTCCAAGTGAAGTGGTGGATGGAATCGTGGCGCAAGCTGAGGGCGCCAGCTGACTGTGGAGATGATTTACATGAAATGTCTGGGTGCATAGGTAGGTACATACATGTATATAGCTGAACCGTTGCCTGATACATTTTCATACCTGGATGGAGTTTTACAATTACAATTCAACTACTGCTACTACTAATTGGTATCGTTTATAAAGAAGCCCAACTCAACTTGCTACAGCCATGACGCCAACTACGCTCAGCCTCGTGGTCAAAAACAACTCGAATGCCTCGCAGCTCTACGCCTACGTCACCGGCCGCGCAGCCCAGGGCGTCTTCTTCCTCAGCGCCGACGGCATCACGCCCTACTTCCCTTCCTCGCCTTCGACCATCCTGCAGCCGCTGGCCCGCGACTGCTCCGTAGCCATCGGCGGGCCGGGCCGGAGCCGCACGCTGACGGTGCCACGGCTGGACGGCGCGCGGGTCTGGTTCAGCCTTGAGTCGCCGCTGACGTTTCTGCTCAACCCGGGGCCCGCGGTGGTGGAGCCCTCGGCGACGAACCCGGCGGACCCGAATTACGGGATTCGGTGGGCGTTTGCCGAGTTTACGTTGAATGATGTCGAGCTGTATGTCAATGTGTCGTATGTCGACTTCTTCAGCGTGCCGGTGTCGTTGAGGCTGGAGAATGGGGCCGGGAAGGTGACGAGTGTTGAGGGCATGCCGGCGGGTGCGCTGGATGCGATTTGTGGGAAGTTGAGGGCGCAGGCGGGCGTGGATGGCGCGGGATGGGATCGTCTTGTTGTTCAGGCTGGTGGCAGCGGTCAGAATCTGCGTGCCTTGAGTCCCAACTCGGGGAGGGTCATGTTTCCGGGCCTGTTCAGCGGATACTATCAGGGGTACGTGAATGCCGTGTGGAAGAAGTACCAGACGGCGGATCTGGTGGTCAACATGCAGTTTGCCGACTGGGGCGATGCTGTCGGCCGCGTGGATGCTTCAGGACAGCTGCTCTCGTTCTCTGGAGGCGGAGGTGTCTTTGGAAAGCCGTCGGAGGCGGACATCTTCTCGTGCGACTCGGGACCCTTTGCGCACGGCGCGGGCGTGTCGGACAAGCAGCTGAATGTCGGGGCGCGGCTTGCGGCGGCGCTCAACAGGAGCACGTTGCTGGACGGGGTTTCGCATCCGGAGGGGGAGGACGTGAGCATGTATTATAAGGAGGCGGTGACGAACCACTATGCGAGGATTTGCCACGAGGTGAGCATTGGGGGGAGGGGTTATGCGTTTCCGTATGACGATGTTGGGAAGATTGGGGGGACGGACCAGAGCGGGTTTTTGAATGATGGGGATCCAAAGGTGTTGACGATTGGGGTTGGGGGGCCTCTTTGATGGGTGATGAGCGTGTGTAGGGTGCTTGTATATGGGATGCTGGACATGTTGGTGTTTTATGATGTAGTCCATGCTGGGATGTATATGGCGTTGATGGACTTGGTCTACGCTGATGAGGCTTGTATATACAATATCAGAATGCATCTTTTGTTTTTGACTGAGACGTACTCTAGCTATTTTGTTCATTGAGCTTACAATCACGACGATTCTCATGTCAACTCCCAGGATGACTCTCATGCCAATCTCCTGAATACCTACTCTCATGGCATCTCACATGTCAAGAGTTCATCGGCATCATTTGTGTTTATTTATAGCATAATAAAACTTTGCATAACGCGGCCCCGCTGAATTAGCCTGCTTTCTAGTCTCTGGAAAAAGAAGGTTGTTGGCGATCACAGTTTGGCAGATTTGGCGGCGTTGTTAATTATAGCATCTTTAGCTGCATCCTTTGACAGGAGCTGAAAGAAAAAAAAAAGCGACAAGAGAAGAGAGAGTGCGAGTAAGCCGGAGGGTGGGCTGTCCTTGAGAGATGCTTGACATAAGACAAGCTTCGACTAATAGTTCTTGGGCCTCATCAATGATTCGTATCTATACCTACCTGACCTACTTGAACCATTCTTGTGCCACTGAGGCTCTTACAAATACTACTGTAGGTACAGGTACCGGAAAGTGCTCAACATACTTGGTACAACTGTTGCAAATATAAACTAACTGTTGGATGGCGTGCTCGGTTCAGGCAACAATACACCCTGCCTGTGCTACTCATCCCTCACTTACACTCGTTCTAGATACAGGTACAGTACTCGTGCTCATACTGTAGGAATAGAAAGGGACTGTACGGCAGCTTTTCCAGGCATCTCACCAATTACCCGGTCTGGAATCCTGCTTCTGTCCCGCTGCAACGCTTCCTCTTGTCAATGCAAGGATTGCACTGCATTATCGGACTCGGAATTCAGCCCAGGTCCACCAACCAGAAACCGCTGCACCCCTTCTCTCGTGGAGCACGGGCCGCGCTCCGTCTCTCTGTTTTCAAACAATGCCGATTGACATGACATTGACATGACAGGGAACAGAAATGGAACCGGCCGAGATGGTCGGGGGGGGGGGCCCGGGGGGAGGATGAGAATCGAGAAGTGAGTTCCGTGTTGCTGTTACGTCAAATCCAACAAACGGCACCCCTTCTGCAAGTAATTCCCTGCCGCACGCTGGAGGTAATTATGGGATTTTTCTGACCGAGTTGACAGGTCAGATGTATTAAAATTTGGTACAGTACAGTACCCTGCATTTCGAAAGGATCGGAGTAAGCAGCATATATTGCTTGATGCCTGCCAAGCCGGAAGCATAACGAAAACACCACCTACCTAGTACATGTTAGCTGGCAGTAGCACAAAGCGAGGGGCTCCAGTGGGTGTTGCATCTGATGCTACGGTGGCTCTTTTGGCTACAGTAGTAGAAGTGGCTCGAGTTGCTTGTATTCTTTTTTTTTTTTTTTATTAGTACACATCACTGTTTTACACACCTGTCGCAATCATATTCGTCGCATCAGTTCAAGGCCTGGTGTTTTTGTACTACTCTGGCCGGCTTGGTTTCAATGTTAGCGAACCGTTTCTGCTAAGGCGGTACCGCTTCTGGCCTGTGGCTTTTGGCGCTCGGGCTAGTACCTGCCTAAGCACTCAATGGCACTTCCCCGTGCCCCACCACCTTAGCAGGTTCGCGGCTCGCATTTGCTTGATTACTGTACGTTACATATAACTTAAGTCAAGGTACCTACAATTTCTGGCTGGAGGCACAATCTCCACCTCTCGTACCGCGAGCTAGAGCCTGTCGTGCACCAAATTAACTTGGTTCGAGCAATTACGAGCACTAGCTGGGCGGCTGTCGCCTTCGCATGACGAGCGGCAACAGGCGACACGAGACTTGAGCTGCTCCTGGCTCGGGCCCTTGGCGCAGCACCACAGACAAAGTGAGAGGGAGAGGGAGAAAACCAGAGACAAGGCGAAAGAGTGAGCGAGAGCGAGAGAGAGAGAGGGGGAGGCCACATGGGAACCGCGGCAGCCAAGCGACGGACTCCCGGAGACATTTTTATCTTGGCCCGTCGCGGTAGCATCGCGACTGGAGCCCTTGCCTTTTTGGCTGCTGCAGAGCATAACAGAGCGGAGCGAGCAACACCAAGAACTTGGGACAAGGAAGAAGATAGGAGGACGAGACACGAGACTGAGAGAGTGAAAGACTAAGACACAGAGAAAGTGGGAGAGAAGACCAACAACAAACGAGAGACAACCAGCGAGAGAAGCAATTACTAATTCGCCAGCCTCGACAATGGTCTACTGCGGCAAGCCCTCCAAGGGCTGCTCCAACTGCCGAGAGCGCAAGATCCGAGTAGGTTTGCATCGTCTACAGCCTCTGCCCTCTTTTGATCCGTGGAGCTTCATCCTTGGAGCTTCTTCATGCAACCCAGTGTGGCGTTTCCATATGCTTACGCTTCTCTTCCTCCGCCCATAGTGCGATCAGAAAGACCCTGGCTGCGGCCAATGCACCAAGCGCCAGATAGAATGCCCGGGCTATCGCAACATCGTCGATCTCATGTTTCGAGATGAGAGCAACCATGTGATTAAAAAGGCAACCACTGCGAAGCCGCGCATCAAGAAGCTGAAACATGGCGTCCGGGCCGCTCCGAAGCTAGACGCAGCGCCTCTGCCTCTAAACCCGCCACCACCATCTCCATCAGCGGGCGTCCTGGTCCTGCGCGACAGCCCGCGGCCGTCAAAGGCCCTAGGCCCCTTCAAAACCCATTCCAAGAATGGGCCTCTTCTGTCGGTGCTGCTGGCTGGCTCCCGTGGCGATGGCGACAGGTACGACAACGACTCGTGGCAGACCAACTCGTACCCCTACGAATACGAACGCATTGTCCGTCGCGGTCACAGTGACGACGATGACGACGACGACGGCGATGACAGCTTCGACTTTGATGATGAAACTGACACGCTGGTACATATCCCTTATGCGCCGTCCCATTCCCTGCAGGAGCGCGGCACTGCCTTCTTCTTCTCGCGCTATGTTGCCACGGACCATGGCTGCTATCAAAACTACGACTTCATCTACGACATCTGGAAGCCGCCCAGCATGAGCCGCGCAGGGGGGCTGGGCGTGCCTCCGCTCAAGAGGGCAGATGCTCTCATCTCTGCCGGCATGACGGCTGTCGGTCTGGTCGGCCTCTCTAAAATCACCGGTGATCGTGAGACCATGATGCGTGCCCAACAGAGCTATGGCACTGCTCTGCAGCTGGCCAACGCCGCTCTCCGAAACCCGGGTGAGGCTGTCGAGGACAGCACCATGCTAGGCGTCCTCATTCTCGGTACATACGAGTTCATCTCCGGACGCACGCCGCAGACGTTACACGCTTGGCAAGAGCACATCAACGGCGCTGCCACGCTCGCCACCATGAGAGGTCAGGCACAGTTTCGGTCAAAAGCTGGCGTCAGAATGTTTCTCATGCTATGCCACTCTGTCCTCATCAGCTGCATCCAGAGCGGCTTGCCCATGCCCAAATCCATTGTGGACTTGCGAAACGAGCTGCGGCATGTGGCGGACAGCAGGCGGCCGGCATGGCGTGTTATTGATCCCTTGTACAGGGCCCTTCAGATACGACACGACATCAAGCACAGGCGGATTACCGGCGTGGATGAAATTGTCGGCAGTCTTGTCGAGATCGAAGAGGAGTTTGAAACACTCATCAACGGACTGCCACCGTCTTGGCGCTATCAGAATGTCAAGCTGACCAGATCCAACCCGGCCATCATGGGTCGTACGTGCCATGTCTATCCTGGCCTGACCCAGGCCACGGCTTGGAACGCTGTGCGGACCATGAGAATGCTCGTCCAGGAGACGATCCTGGAGCAGCTGTGCCATAGTGTCGAGGATCCCACGACTCTTCCGATGCACCACCAGATGCTGTTGGTCAAGGCCATGAGAATGCTGCGCATGCTCGGCGAGGCCGTCGTTGGGAGCGTGCCCCAGCACTTTGGCATCGTGAGCTCCCGAGACGTCAAGTACAGCAAGACCAAGGAGACTCATCCTACCGTCACTGCCCAGAACCAATCGTCGACTATTCTAGCGACACCGTCACTCTTGCCACCGGCTTCTGATCGGGACGAGAGCAAATCTCCTGTTCCTGCCTGGCCACGGGAGAGCGTAGCAACACGTCCGACGCTGCTCGATCCAACCCAGTCCGAGCTGGACAATGGTCGAGGCTGCGACTCGGAGAGGTTCCTGACACTGGCCACGGCAAGCAACACCATCATCTGGCCGCTCTATACGTTGGGCCTGTCGTCATCCTGCACGCACGAGACGAGTGCCTACATTGTCGATAGACTCATGTCCATCTATCGCGAGACGGGCTTGGAACAGGCCCGAGTTGTCGCGGGCATGATGCAAAACAAGGTTGAGTCGTTGACTTGGGCCAGCATTCCGACAACCCGTCTGCCGTCATTACCGGATGACGCATTGCCGCTGGTTGTGTAGACAAAATCTTTCTTCTTTGAACTCCATCTTCTTTTCCCCCCTTTGCTATGACTTTCGTTGGATATACTTGGCTACCCTTTACTTTCTTTTCTTCTTCTTTCGTCTTCTTCTTGCTGAGTACGAAGAATGCTGACATGTGGCCCATCATTTCGAGTATCTCCTTTTCTCCTCTCTTTCGTTTCCCCCCCTTACTTTTGAGCGATGGATATGATGGCTTTGGACCATTTTTTTTTCCTTTTTTATTTCTTTGCAACCGCTATTTAGCTACGACTTGTTTCCACTTTTCTCATGTCAGCTGCATTTTAGTTGTATTACATTATATCATCATTTATTTTATCAGATAGACAAAAAGCTCGCTGTCGCTGTAGCTCTTGCATGTCGATTCCCCCTTTTTACCAGCTGTCAAAGTTACCAAACCCGCCTGCTTTCATCTTCTTCCGCGGTTGTGTTTCCCATGTGTCCACGTCGTCTGTGTCGTCTGTGCCTTTTCTTCTGCTACTTGATCCTTGATCCATTGCGCTCGCGTCGAGGTACTTGCCGATGCTCTGCTTCGCATCCGGCTTGGCAAACGTGCCGTCGCCACGCAGCCGTTTGCCTGTCCATGTTGTCTTGTCGTCCTCGGTGCCGCCTTGCAGCCGAATCTCCTCCTGCTGCCGGTCGAGCTGCTCCTTTTCCTTCTTCTGGGCCTGGAACTCCTCAAAGGGGTCGACGAAGACGACAATGTCCTTGATGACGATCTTGTTGAGGGGGCGGTTGGAGCCGTCGGTGGGGACGTCTTCCATCTTGGCGAGGACGTCGAGGCCGGACTCGATGCGGCCGAAGATTGTGTGTTTGCGGTCCAGGTGGGGGGTTGCTTTATAGGTGATGAAGAACTGGCTCGAGTTTGTGTTTTTGCCCTTGTTGGCCATGGAGACTGTTTTCGAGTGATCGTATTAGCCTCTAGAATTCTACTTGGGAAACACAATCGAACAATGTATTTGGAGAAGAAAATGAAAAGCTATTGAAACGTACCAATGCCGCGCGAATCATGTGTCAGCGGGCCATCAAACTCGTCGTTAAAATTCTTGCCCCAGATACTCGTACCCCCCTTGCCGGTACCAGTGGGATCGCCGCCCTGGATCATGAAGTTGGGAATGTTTCGATGAAATGCCACGCCCTTGTAGTAGCCCGTCTGCGCGAGCCTGATGAAATTCCATACCGCCTTGGGCGCCGTCTCGGTCTGCAGCTCGATGGTGAGGTTGCCCAGGTTGGTCTCTATCCTGGCGTAGCCCTTGGCCTTGACGCGTTTCGGCTTGAGCATAAACTCCTCGTCTGTGAGGAGCGCTCTTTCGCCGCTTGTTTCGGGGGTCAAGCCAGTGCTGGTGAAGCTGGCGGCGGCCTTGCCAGTGGTGTATGCGGCGGCGTTTGCGGCAATCTTTCTGTCCTGAATCATGGGTTGCCGAACAGCAGCGGCAGAGCCTGACTGCTTCGACTTTTCCAGCGCGCCCGAGCTCTTGTTGACGTCGCCGCCGGCTTCTCTCGCCTTGCGCGCCCTTTCCACCGCGGCTTTGGCCTTGAGCACCTTGTCGCCCATGCTGCCTAACGCACCGGCGTTGATGTTTCCGGCCTTGCGCTCCTCCTGCTGCTCCCTTGTCAATTGAGCCTGTTCGCCATCTTGTAGGTACTTGAACTGGTCTAGATTCCGGCTCGCCATGTTCTGGGGATCCTGAAGGGTGATGATGTCGGCGCGCGTAAATGGCTGGTCGTCGACAAGATCCTGCCACGACTTGGCCTTGATATTCATGCGCTCGACGGTGTCCCAGGCGAATACATTAGCATAGTTGCCGTGTCGGATGGCGACGATGTGCGTGTTATCGGTGAAGACCTTGTAGGTGACGGGATCGATTAGGTCGCCTTTGCCGTCGCTCAGGCCGGCGCCGAGGGAGTCTGCCTCTGCATTCCTGGCAAAGTTGAGGCGGATCAGGTCCTTCTTCTGCAGGGGTTCAGCATTGACGGGGTTCTGGTTGGGATGCTTCTCGAGCCAGGCGCTGATGACTTCGACGTCGAAGACGGTGCCGTCGGGGGTGCAGACGGGGTTCTTGAAGGGCTGGAGACTGGCGGCGCAGAAGTTGAAGGGGAGTCGGCGGAAGGGGACTTGTTGTGCGGAGCGGGAGGCGCCGGCTCCTACGCTGGCGGAGTAGGCATCTGACGAGGACCATTCGGAATGGGTGATCTGGCAGAGAATGGATGATGTTAGTCGATGAGCGGCGCATGGCACGTGAGAGGGAATGGAGTTGAATTGCTCACATAGAGCTTGTCGGTGCCTTTCCCCATGGCGTAGTAGCTGCTGGTATTGAAAAGAGAGAGAATATGAAAGGAATTTTTTTAAAAAAAAGTGATGAATCGAAAGGATTATGTATGCAACGGAAATCACAATGGATTGATTATATGCAAACGGGTATCGTATCGTATCGTTTTGGGGTATGATTATGTATGACTTGCAGATGAAGCATGACGATGGACTCGAGAAATAACAATTCCTTATCGTTATCAGCGCTCGGCATTGCATTGCCTTACAGTGCTGAGGTACAGTACCAACCCGGTACCAGCCCGCTACAAACAGGTACCGCCAAGCCCGAGCTACCCTGGCAAAAGCTACTTTAGCGGGCTGCGTAAGTGCCCTTACGTACCACCCAATCGCTCGCATCTTCAGGTACACCGTGCGCGCTCCAATCCCGAAAGCTGCCACCTCGACAGGTCCAGATCTCGCTGCTTCGTATCCCGTTACTTCCTCCAGCTTCGTAATGCCTTAGTGCATGCAACTCGACTCGACACCTGCAATTGCTTCTTCTCCTCCGCAACAGCGATTGTCTCTCGTCTCTTCTGGCTGCCTCGAGGCCACGACAGAACCCACCTCCGACCAGCTGCGCTTTGTTCTAGTGCCGCGCAATTCGGTCGCTGAAGAAATAGCACAGTCCAACCAACGCTGATCCGGTCCCTGAACGAACCTTCGCCGTCATCGTCAAGCCGCTTCTGCTCTCCTGGCTCTCCTGGCTCCCTTGGATCACCTGGGCTGAAGCCACAGTCGCTCATCGTCAACCCCGAGTTACTTTTGCGCTGCGCCTGGATCCGTCGCCAGCATGAGGGCTCTTCTCGGGCTTCTCGCCCTGGGCATGTCGCTCTGGACCGCCCAGGCCCTTGAGGTTCCCATGGTATGCGCGCCAAGTGCTGGACGCCCGTAAAGGGGTGGCATTGGCTAACCAGCTTGTTTCTGCAGAACCAAAAAGAGGATTCTCGCCAGTACTGCACAGGTATGCATCATGTCATGTCCATGGCTCTGGTGCTCATCCCGCATCTGAAGATGGCTAACGAGGGCTCCAGGAATGTACAGTCGCACGTCTTGGGGCGGGCCGGTTGATCCGTTTATTCTCGTCAAGTTTCTAAATAATACCGCTCCTCAAGGGGATGATCCTATTGCGAGTCTGGTTATTTTCGAATGGAGAGATGCCGATTTTATTGGAATCCCGGATCCAGACATCCAGGCTACAGTAAGGCACTCATATACACATATATAGCTGGTCTGTCTCCGCATTGCTAACGACCATGATCAGCGACTTGCACTTTGCGACGATAGCATGATTAAAAACGGCGTTTGCAACTCGACCGACAAGGGCGAATTTGTTCTGGCCCCGAATGCGACTGAGAAATCCAACACGTTGATTCTGAGCAAGGCCGTCCACCTCAACAACCCGACTCCGATCAACTACCCCATCAAGAAGACTGGATACTACTGCGTCATCACCGAGGGCTTCAACATTGAGAAGTACAATGCCGTGGTCGAGTTCCGAAATGCCTATGGAGAGCTGCCGGCAACCCAAATTCCAAAGCTGCCTTTCTACGGTGGAATGTCCATTCTATACGCCCTGGTAACAGTCTTTTGGGCTTTTCTGTACTTTCAACACCGACATGATATTCGTGAGTGCTGGATGCTGCCTTGAACTATGCCCGCTATTTTCTTTCTAACCATCCCTGCTGCAGTTGCGGTGCAAAATTACATCACGGCCATTCTCATCTTTTTAGCGATTGAAATGCTCCTGACATGGGGTTTCTACGGTATGTGGCCATCTATACACCCACACATGCATCTTATTTCTATGCTAACTAGTTACCTAGATTTCCAAAATCACCACGGAACTGCCAACGTGGGCAGCAAAATCTATCTCATTGTTGTTGCGATTCTCAACGCGGCTCGAAACTCCTTTTCCTTCTTCCTGCTCCTCATCGTCTGCATGGGATACGGTGTCGTCAAGCCCACCCTTGGCCGCACAATGATCTACGTCAGATGGCTTGCCGCTGCGCACTTTGTGTTTGGCATTGTCTACGCAGTCACAAGTTTACTGGTATCACCAGAAAGTGCTGGTAAGTTGAGAACTCTGGCTTCATTCTCCGTCCCTCTTCCTCAGAATACTAAGAGACACCGACAGGGCCCTATGTACTTCTTATTGTCCTCCCGCTGGCCGGAACTTTGACTGGCTTTTATGTTTGGACGCTCAACTCGCTCAACTTCACTCTCAAGGACCTGCGTGAACGCAAACAGCATGTTAAGGAGGGCATGTACAAGAAGCTGTGGTGGGCTATCCTCATCAGTGTCTTGGTCATCTTTGCCTTTTTCTTCTTCAACAGCTTCACCTTTGCGTCTGTCGGCGATCCTGATTTTGTTCCTTTCCACTGGAAGACTAGATGGTTCATCCTGGACGGCTGGCTCAACATTGTTTACTTTGCTGATGTTGCTTGGGTCGCATATCTCTGGAGACCAACAGTCAACAACCGCCGCTTTGCCATGAGTGACGAAATTGCGCAAGACGATGATGGCAACTTTGAAATAGGAGACATTGGCATGCCTGACGACTCAGATGATGAAGAGGCACAGATTGGCAAACCTGTTGCCGGCTTCGGACAAGAGAGCGGTTTGACAGGTGCTGGACCAGCACAAGCCAGCACCAGCAGAGCCGTGCCTGGTGGTGCGCAGTCACAAGCAACCGCTCGTGGCGTTCCACGAGAGTCTCTTGAGGGAGAGACAATATTCGCTGTTGGCGAAGACGGTGACAAGGCATCAGACAGCGAGGCTGAAAGCGACGACGATGAGGACGCCAAGCTTGTACATAAGAAACTGTGAGGAGGGGGGGGACGAGTCTTTTGGAACCGCTTGGTTGTAGAATGGAACGGAATAGGCTTTTCGGAGTTTATGAATTTGGGTTTTCGTAACAACGTTGTTTATTTTGTGTAGAATAGAAAAATATTGACAAAGCACGAGACGAAGATGAAGCCCTTTTTTGGTGAAGTAGGCTGGTTTCAATGAGTACTGGTCGACGGCGATGTAAAACAAATAGATTCAACGAATGGACTTGCAAGTCAGAAATGGGAGCTGCACTTGAAGGTACAGAGTCACAGGATGTTAACTGGGCATTGATACTGAACAAGCTAGAAACTTATCATACATGTACATGTCGAACCTTGAAGCTCTAAGATTCCGTCACATCACCCCCGAATCCAACCGGTCGACGACGGCCGTCGTTCTCGGGCAATATCGCGAGCGCCTTGTACACTTTGCCCATGCCGCTGGGCCCACGGTCGACGAGGCGCTTCCAGGCCTTTTCAATGTCGCTGGCTTTGGATGGGGAAACACCAGGCACCTTGCTGAGGGCCTCGGCGCGCTGGCGGATTCCCATGAGCTCTAGGAAGTCAGCCTGGGAGATGGGGCCGTGGACCTCGATGCCGTCGCTGGCGAGGGTGGCGGCCTCTGCGATGGCGTGGAAGTCGACGTCGGCGCTGAGGTCGACGAGGCCCGGGGCGGCAAATGGGCTGACGAGGCGATGCTGGCGGATGCCGCGGAGGGAGTTGATGGGCACGGTGTCGGAGGTGCCGTAGTCGAGGATGAGGGCGGCACCGCTGGGGGAAGCCTTTGGGTGGGTGCGGGAGCCGCCGATGCGGGCGGCGAAGTCGGCGGCGTAGAGGGAGGCGTCGGGGCAGATTTCGATGACGGAGCCGGGGGTTTGCTTGAGGCGGCGGTAGCGGGAGGAGGACTCGGGGAGGACGCGCGAGTGTCTGGTGGTGGCGGAGGAGAGGACCAGCTGGAACTCTGGCGGAGGCTCGTGTTGCTGGGACTTGGGGGTGCCGAGGTCTGCGTGGGTTGTGCCTGGGGGGGTGATGGAGACCATCATCTCGCGCCACTCCATGGTTGGGGGTGCGGGATCTGGAGCGGGAGCATCGTCTGGTTGGGTGGAGGAAGAGGCTGATGGTGAGGGTTTTGGAGCTGCTGCGGCGGCGGATTGGAAGGTGTGGATGGGCAGAGCGTCGAAGAACTCGTGAGCTACGATGAAGGGAGTCTTGTCTGGCTCTGCGAAATGGTTAACCCCATATCATGTAGAGTTGTTGTAGCTGTTCTTACCTATGGGGATGGACTTGATCGTCTCGGTCCAGACAATCGGTGCTGAGCCGTATTTGCTGGGGCTGTGGCATCCGGCTTTGGATTCAGTCGAGGGCGCATCAGGGCCGCAGAGGAGCTTCTTCTGCGTCTCGCGCAGCTCACGACTGGCCTCGACCATGAAGACGTTTTCGATGCTGTTGGCCATGGCGGGAAACCGCTGGATAGTCTATCGGGGAGACATTAATTAATATATGGGATATGATAGATAGGTAAAGAACCGTGAAGGGCTTACACGAAGCATGTCGTCCATGAGGGTGCCTCGGCCGGGGCCAACCTCGATGAGCTGGACGCCCTTGCTGGGCCTGCCTTGGCTCATCCATTCGGCGATGAACCAGATGCCGAGAAGCTCGCCAAAGATCTGGGAGATTTCAGGAGACGTGACAAAGTCTCCTTTGGCGCCAAACTGGTCACGGCCCTCGCCAACGGCTCCGGTATAGTAGCCTCCTAGATCACCGGTAAGGCACATGCGCATGTAGCTGGCCAAGGGGACGGAGCCGGTGGTCTGCAGGAGTTGGTTAGCGATGTTGAGGCGAGTCTTGTGTTGCATGAGTTTCATGAGTGGCTAACATACAGATATAGCTTCGTAGAGCTGCTTGGCCAATGGCGTGGACCATTTTCTCTCTTCTACACGGCGAGAACTAGTTGACGAGAAATACCGAGGGATGTATATTGATGGCTTTGCTGCATGTATATAAGAGTGTGATGGTGGTTGTAGTAATGATAGTCGTCGTCTCGCAACATGTGCAGCTCTGGGCAGTGAAGCCGTAGCAGTAATGACGGGCCTCATTGTGGCGCCGGCCAGAAGTAAATTGCACTTTTTATTTCTTCATTCAACGGTGAGTGAGTGAGGAGATGGGCAATGAAGTGCAATGAGTTGAGTTAATAGGTAGTTCGTCAACAGTTTGAGAGTTGTCGTTGGCTCGAACAAAACCGGAGCTTTTTTTTCTCCCGAGTGCGCCGCGGGTTCTGTCTGTGCCATCCGAGGCCCTATTAGTGTCGAGTCTCTTTTTCAGACGCTGAAGCTCAGAACTAACAGCTAGAGCTTGTTACTATAATCACTATAACTGCCACCAACTACGCCTGAGCGGGTTAGTGTCGACGATAAGATAAAGCTCTCTCTAGCCTTTCTTGGGGGTCATTGGCTACATGTATGTTGTCCAATTCACATGCAACTTGTTACCCTTTTTCTATGTATTGTGTACATGTATTCTACATAAACGCTATGCTAGGTACTTATATTCCAGACCCAACTCCCCAGGACTCTTAACCTGTGATCACATGTCAGATATTAGTAGTCCAAGATGGGTGTTCGGAGCAGGTTGCTTGTTTGACTTGCCTTAAGGGGGGCCAGTATATCATTCAGTTTTGTGCAGGATTCCTGAAGGTTATCTGTGAAGGACGTTTCGTTAAACTTGTTGAATATTTCGAGGTTTGGAGGATTGTATCTCCCCGGGGACATCCTTTCGAACACCCTCTTCATGGCAGCTATTCCTTGAAGAGGAGGATTCCATTCCCGAGGACGCCCCCATTTCTCCGCTAATCTATCGAGGTAGAGCATGAGGCTAGCCGTTCCTGCAGCAATTGCAGTTGCAGCAGACTCGCCGCTGCATGACAAAAACCCTTCAGGGCCGCCAAGCGGGATCGCTTTCCCCGGGAAGAAGAAGTCCGCTGTTAGTCTGTGCACGATGGGATACAACTGTATGCCGCCACCGATTGGGGTTGACTCCGCTATTCGGATGCACCTGTCCGACTTTCCTGGCCTTGTCCTCACAAACTGATCTTCCTGATCTCCAGCCGAGGAGACCATGATTATGCCTTTATCATCAGCATTAAAGACAGCACTGTCAAAACGCCTCTGCACGCTGTAGGTGACTCTCTTTCCAATCGTCCAAGCCATGCATATGACATCCACTCTCTGCTCCGTGGCCCACTCTATTGCCTGCTTATCGTTAGTAGGACTATCTGCTATTAGTTGGCTGACAACTCTAACGTACCTTGATTGCAGACTCCTCTCCCATGTTTACTTCTGTAGGTGACACTGTCTCGTCTAACCGGTAGATGTAGAGTTTGGCTTTTGGGCACATTAAGCAAACGAGCCATGCCACCAGAGAGCCGTGGTTCAGTGTACTTGGTGGTAAGTACCTGTACCTATAGTTTAGTTTAGAATGATTGCTTTTCAAGAACGAGTTAGGAGAGAATGAAACACTAGCTTCAATCTTTCCATCAAAGATATCCAGGGTAGTATCTATGCCATCGTCAATAATAGCGATTTTAACAGGAGGTATTTTAGTGTCTTCGTCTCTGAGATTTGATATGATCATTCGAAATTCTCTTGAGCTCTCCAACCACGGATGATGCCTTGAAACTGTATGAGTGACCATTCTTGGCTCAGGTTATATAATTGAGACGGTGTTACTAACATTGGGATACTATTGATCTCGCTGCTTCTTTTTTTGAAGCCTTTTGGATAACTCTCTTCGTTGTCTGTAACTGTATCCACGAAACCAAGTTGGTCCTCTTGACCTCCAACCTGCTTTAGAGAGTTACTTGACTGATATTGAGCAAGATGTTCCAGAATCGGGTCTGGTTTTCCTGCTGCAGGTCCTGCAGGGGAATTGTGAGAATTTTTGTAATCATTGACGCCGATTTCGCTCCACATGGTTTCAATCGTATCAGGATAAGTCTCCACGTAACCCAGAGGCTTGTTCTCTTTCAAGAGATGGGGAGCATCATCAAAGTTAGCAAGATCAGATGAATCAGAGGCATTGGAAGCCTCCCTCATAAGTTGCCATTTCTCATAGTCATCGTCAGAAGTCGTAGACGCCTTTTGATCATCGCCACTGCTAGGAGTCATAGACGCCCTTTGCTCATAGTCTTCGTCTGCTAACACGGGGACCGATACGAAGGTAAATGCCTTGACATGTTGGGCGATATGTTTGACTAGTAGCTGCATGATGTCTTCATGGTTACTTCTCTTTAAAACAGGCGCCATTTCCGCTGGCACACAATCGCAGAAAGGACATACATACTGATCCTCTCGAGTGAGAATCTTTTTCATCTTCCTTGACAACGTGTCAATTTGCGATTCATTGGGGGGATGTCGGCTAGGATGGCTCTTTTCATCTTTCATATGCGCAACAAAGGCCATACGATCATTAAATTGATGAGTTCGGCCATCATGATCGACATTACAGTACCATGTCCCCATGTGGATCTTCCTATTCCATTCTCCTGAGTGGATGGTATCCATATGGCTAAGCCATTGACTCATATTAGAGAAAAATATAAAGGGAGATATACAGTCTTCAGATAAACAGACATATGGCTGTATGTCCGCATCTACATGACTTCTATCCAGACATCAGAATATATCTTGTATCGACGAAGCTATGGGTGAACTTACTCCCAGTACGTTGTATCCTTTTCAAGTTTGTATGAATCCAAAGGCCTCGCACAGTATGGACAGGCACAATATTTATCGCCTAGCGAGGGCTTTGGCTTTTGAGGGTACCCGATGGCCCCAATACGAATAGATGATCCACTGCTGATAGTAGAGAGGCTTGGGCCATGCTTTATATAGTTGCGGGCTACCGTACTTTGTAGTTCGCTTCTGGAATCATGAGAACTCGAAGATATGTTGTGCTTTTTCTCCAATACCTGAAACCGAAGAGGCTGTATCCTTGGATGTACTCGATTTTGAGTCTGTGGTATTTTGACTGTTGGAGGTGGCTCATTTACATGTAGTCTTGCCTTCGGTGCCAACGCAGTTACCTCTCGTCGCTTGCTGAGCTTCTCTTCATGTGCCTTCTTGCGAAATATCTTTTGACGGCGAACAGCAACAGAAGCACCCAGATGTTCACAAAGAGAACGCCTTGCATTCGGAAAGTCGCGCCTAGCAAGAATGGTGGCGTAATCCTCGAAATAGGCCTCTTCGTTTTGCTCAAATGTTGATGAAAGAACATATTTCTGACTTTGGGTTGACGCACGACGAATGGCTGCAGCCATGAAATGCAAATCTGTGACGGATTTTTCGGTTGCCTTCCAGGCTTCCTCATCAAGTTCTTGTCGCTCCTTCGAAATATTACCACTACTGACTGCAGTAAAGCATCTGGGTTAGAGATATTAAAAAGCACTTGAAGGCAGTGCTCAACACTTACTGTAGCACAAGTTCCTATGAAGCATTTCGAGAAGGTCCATTACCATTTCTTTGATGTCCGAATGGTCCCTCAGGCGGTTATCTAGCGATCTATCTATTGAAGCTAATGCGCCTGTATAATTTATCCATAAATCGAAGCTTCTTCCAAGTTGTCCAATCCTAGTACGTCTCGTGGTATCGTTCTTGCCAGGTTGAAGATGAGACGCATCTGCAGGCTGATTACCGCTGTGGTCGCCATTTTCAAATAAGATGATAGTTTCAAAGAGATTGGAACACTCAATGACAATGTCGTAAATTTCATTACCATCTGAGGAGCCGTGTTCGCTCATATCTGAGTTATACGGTAGGTATATACCAAAAGATCCGTGAACGAGATATGAAAAATCAGGACACATGCAATACAAGGAAGAGCGATGAGGTCAAGGGGGTGCACCGGCAGTGAACTATCTGCGGCATTTATCTCTGAACGCATTCAACAAAGGGAGATAGCAGTCTCCTCATATAGCTTTGTTCAAGCAACAAAGACCAGGTGACTTGAAATTGGTGGCTTCCTTCCAGCAACCCTGCTTCTAGGCGTCTGATTTGAAACAAATATGTTCTGGTGACACAAGTCGTAATTGTTCGTTAAACCCCTCAAAATGAGGAGTACATCAAAAGACCTCTGGATATTTCTATCGGCGGGGTATGTGTGTATCATGATAGGTTATTTTATGCACCTCCTCTCTACCCACCAACCAGTGGCCTTTGACACGCACCACTACCTGCAACTAATCCTTGCAGCCTTGCCATTGCCATGCGACATACATATATGCATAATACCTCTGGCTGACCAATGGTACGTTACTATCTGAGCCGCAAGTATCTCCAAGTTATCGTAGGTTGTGGTGAGATGTCAGCCTCTTGCCAGGTCCCCCGCATCACAGACGATATCAATTCTGTCAAACACCATAGAGATCTATTGATGATACACTGCCACAGCTATGCGCGTCTTTATTGATGCTCAAGATCTGTGGCATCTTTTGATTGCTCTTTATCCCCTCTTTGTGCAGGCGCTTCCTCGTACAGATAAACGAAGTGACACGGACTTGAGAATCTTCAATGCCGTGAAGAATATTCGCCAAAAAATACGGGCAATTCCACTGCAAATACAACATGTTCAGCTCCACCAAGACCTCGAAACGGCAAATTTTGACAAGTTGTGTTCAGCGTTGCATTCACTTTTTTCAATATTTGAGAATCTTGTTGCAGATAATGTTCGCCAGAACATTAGAGACGATGGAGAGACCGTGATTCCTCATCATCAATGGGTAAGTCTATAATACTTCGCCTTCCTGTAGTGTTTATCACTGAGAATGTTAATCGTGCAAAAAGAAAAACCAGCTTAGTTCATTATATCCAAAGCTATGGATTTTAAGATGCCTTCTCTGTAATTCACGTGCCGATGCTACGGACACACAGGCTGCAGGAAATGAAGGAGATATCTGGCTTCACTCTGGCGAGTATTCAACCGATGTTCTTCTTCAATATGCTCGCTTCATCAACTTCCATGGTCCACGCACATTATTGCACTACAAAGGCTTGTCAGAGCAGATCGAGCATGTTCACTTAGAAGTCCAAGAGGTTTTTAAGGAGTCACTGAGTGCTGCGGATGGCAATATCGACAATGCTGACCTGCTTGGGAATGATGAAATACATTTTATCCGCCGCGCCCATGATATTAAGTTATCATCAAGTTCGCTCTTTCGGTTTTTGAGCGAAAGTATCGTCTGCTCTCGACCACATGAGGCCAGAGTGCATCTGTCTGGCTTTTTGGGCCCCAGTCTGAGCCTCGATTTATTCGTGGCCTGTTGTGAAAATGAATCATGGGTTTGCACAAAGTGCGAATGGTATAGTTTCTCTTATTAATACTTCAATACGTGCTATAATAGCTAATGCCTCGCAGGGCTTCACGCCCAAGAAGTTTCGACACCTTCAAGCATGATAATTTTGTGAGCCCCAAAGTTAAGACACAGGCTTCCAAGACGCTACACCTTGCATTCGATAGTAGCGGTATATGGCACGACAAGGCCAAAGAGTCAATGGATCAACTTGGTGCCCCAGAATCTCAATCCACGCTCGAAGAGCTTGTGATTCACAATTCAAGCACGCAGGTCAATATGATTGGCATGAACGACTTCGAGCCAGAAGACGAAAAGATTGTCGAACTTCTCCTCGCCTCGTCATTGTTTCATTTAAATGCTAGCCATTGGCTTCGAAGTGGATTGGCCATAGATCAGGTGATGATATATGGCACTCCAGAAACGCATGATCTTCTTAAACGGTGGCGACCTTATATTGCATGCTCACTCCAAAATGCTTCAGAGGCTGAAGAAGCAGAAAATGAGGCTATACTTTCGTTTGGACTTTTGGTAATGGAGATGGAAGCCAAGCGGAGAATTAAGCCAATTGCCGAAGATGAAGACTGGGAAACTGGCTTACCTTCTAAAGACAGTATGCTAAAACGTGCCTTAGCAAGCTGGAAGAGGAGATTAGATAGCAATTACCAGCAAATCGGTGAAGCCTGTCTAAACTTCCGTGAGCTGGTTGAGAGGTTCAGTCACCCCAGCCTGAAAGAAGATATGAAACGGACGGCAGCGATTTACAGGTACATCTTATCTCCATTGCATCAAATAATTACCCAAAGGTATTGCAGTACTTCTCTTCTTTTTAAAGGGTTTCCTCAACCAGCCAAGTTTTCTCAGTTGCCGCCAGCGTCCTTGTCACAGTCCAGACCTCTCATATGGTTCGATGATTCAACTCCCGAGCCAAGTTTTCATGATGCCACGTGAGTCAAAGTTAAAATAATGTTCAATATGGCAAAATAACGCTGACGAACAATACAGAAAGGCCTCTTTTGCCAGAAAATTCATGCGAAATATTAAATCTTTTGCAGGGATGATTCATGGTCTTTCAGATGACTGCGCGGAACCCAGGGAAACATGGAGGAGGAATAAAATCCGAATCGCGAGTATCGACACGGGAATTGATAAAGACGACGATATTATCATCCAAACTGCCCTTGAATGTGACTCTACCAAGGAATGTTGCAGCTTCACAGGTAACGGAGAAGACGTGCAAGATTCACATGGCCATGGGACGCATATTGCTCGACTCGTGCTCGATATAGCTCCTGCAGCAGAATTGTATGTTGCCAAAGTTTCTGATGGCCAAACACTCTACCCATCATCACTGTCTCGTATAGCTGAGGTAACCTTCCTCAATCTTTCACTTATAGTTCATTTTCTGATGTTAATTGACAGGCAATAAGATGGGCACACAAAATGCGTGTAGACATCATATCACTTTCGTTTGGGTTCGAGTCAGATCATCGCAATGTGGAAATTGACAAGGCAATATCCAGTGCAATATCTGATAACATCATCATTTTCGCCGCAGCGGCAAACGATGGTGGCAACAAGCCCAGAGCGTATCCTGCCAGGCGGGCCGGCGTGATATGTATTCATGCCAGCGATGGCAATGGCAATGACGGCGGGATAAGCCCTTCACCACAGGCAAGGAAGTCCAATTTCTCGACCCTTGGCATCTCGATCGAGTCAAAATGGAAAGGGAAGAAAGTGCTGCAATCGGGGACCTCGTTTGCGACTCCCGTTGCTGCCGCTCTTGCTGCGGATCTGCTGGAATTTGCGAGATACAAATGTTCGCTTAATGAGTATGAGTACAGGCGGCTGCACAGTTATGATGGCATTGAAGCGCTGCTTCATTTGATGGTGGAAGAACGGCACCGGTACGACTACATCACGCCTGGGCGTGTGTGGACAGGAAGCAATTCCAACTCATGTGAAATGGATCTCGCCAAAAAGATTGAAAGAATTGCAAGAGAATAAGCATTTCTTGTATAAGATGACTACAGATGTCAAATATATTCATTATCTGCATTATATCTCTGACCATTAAAGCAAGGGAGTCGCATTCCAGTACCTGGGGACATATTGTGAAACGGGTGATTTGCCATCATAGGAATTCAGGTGGTTTATCCAATACTCCGTCCATAATTATATTCCTTTGTGCCTATAAGCAATCATAGATGGCAAAATATCTGCTCTCAGGAGTCGGCTTGTCGAGGAAAAACCTGGATGGATTCAAGAACCTTCGTCGTTGCCCCATGTCGTCTGACATTTTCATAAACATCTTCCTCATTCCTTCTGTCGTCCACAGCCTCTCCAAAACCCCTTCCCCCTGCTCCATCTTTACCATCTGGGGAAGAATCAGCACATAGGCCAACATCATGGCCGCAATACCCGCTGCAATTGCCGTCGCCGCCGAGGACCCAGGCAGAGAGGCTTCTGGGTGGAATTGCCGTAGACTTGTGGGTATGTCGTCGCCGATTGCGCCAAATACCACGGAGCTTTCTTTTGTGTTTTCCGGATTAGTCGTCATAAACGTTCCTAGGCTGTCAGTCGCGCGGATTGAGATGACTGATTGGTGCGTCGCTGGGAATGTCTCATCACTATAGACATCGGAATTTCCCGCGCTGGCCAGGAAGATGATTCGTCGGCCTCTTTTCTTCCGCACCTCTTCGATTGCTTCAGAGATCTCTTCGTGTGCCTTGTTATTGGAAGTTGGGAACCCGAGTGACATGGAGATGATGTCTGCATTTTGCTCGAGTGCCGCCCATCGAATACCCTGGTTGGCGTTAACGTTGCGCTTTATGTAAACTCACTTGGCAAATAGTTACCTACCTGCGTAACTCGTGATGGGCTTTGTTGTAGATTGTCGGTGTTTTCCGCTATTCGAGCGATATGCACTTCCGATATTGACGCAGACTGAATAAGGAGGGGTGCCATGAATGTACCGTGACCAAAGGAGTCAACTGGTACGTCTGAGCCAGATACGAAGTCTTTCCATCCCTTGAAGCATCTTGAAGCAGCCTTTTCCGCTAGTAGGGGAGCTTTTGGATCATAACCCGTATCTAAAATAGCGACGCGGACTCCCTTTCCATCAGTCGCCAGCTTCTGCAATCTGGGATAGATTGCCTTGTTGATAGCTTTTAGGTCATCAAGCCAGAGCTTTGTATTTATACAATTTCCCCCATGGAACTGTACTGAGGGAAGCTGAATATCTTCTGTGTGATCTTGCCTAGTGGATAAAGAGCGAGGGAGTTGCGGTGAGCCCTGATTCTCGAGCAAGTAGCTGGCGCTTTGATCGCCAGGAAAACCAACTTCGGCGAGCCATTGCAAGGGCCAGACAACCTTGTCGTAAAATACTCCACGTCTTTGGCTAATTTCCAATGATTCTCGACCGCATTGATCTTGTTCTGATCTCGGAATGGTCCCATCTGTGATATCCACCGGTCTATAGTTGTTGCTGGCAAGACAGTTGACAATAGCCTGTATGAAAACATCCTTGTTCCCAAAATTCTCCCAAGGAGTTTTCTTCAACTCATCTAACCCTTGACAAGCCACGTCGAAATCAGCATTGACCTGCGTGGCAAGGCCATTGCACCGCCGTAGCTGCAGTGATCTCCCTAGCCCAATCTCAATCAGCATGATGGCAAAGGCGAGAATTCGAGGGTATCGATGCAAGAGTGAATACTCGGATAAGTACTCGTCTTGGCATTCTTCAGATACCTCGAACTGGATCGATATATAAGGCTTGTTTGGGACTCGTCGGACGCCCTTATGTTGTTCGGGTATAAATAAGATGCAGTCACTGTTCCATTTGCTGTACAGCAGTTCTGTATCATAAAACTGCCAAAAAGCCTGCGCCGTCATGTGTGCTAATTGGATCTTGTCTTTGAGTTGAAGAGTATACTTTTGCAGAACGGTGGTGAGGGTGATGCCAAAGCCTGGACAAGGCCGCTGCTCCAGGGCTTGGCCATTGGGAAGAGGAAGAAAATATCCGTTGCGGAAATCAAAACATACACGAGCAAATATGTCTTCGCTCAATATGCGGCAAAACATTCCTTGGCCTAGAATTGATTCTTGTCTACGGCTAGAGCTGCCGCGTGGTTGATTCTCCCCAGCAAACCCGACTGACTTTTCCCTACTATAATGGCGTTAGGATGTATGGTACGATTGTAGGTAATAAAGATGCATTATCTTACAGTGAAATACTGAGGCCGACATCTTGCCAGCGCTCTTGGAATGTTCGTGCGACCAGGACATTGAAGTCTACCGTCTGGCTATCAACCCCCAGTGGCTTTTGCTTCAATAGGAGTCGTATCGGATGCCAGCGAGGACTGCGCTGGATTCCATCATCATTAGGACAAGAGGCACACAAAGATTGTTTCCGAAGGCCTGAGAGCAGCTTCTCTTTGATGTGCATGGGATACTCTATTGTCCGACTATTTGGCGGATTGGCTAGTATATGTGCCGCACTTTCGTAGACCCGTAGTCCCTTCAAGAGAGTGTTGCAGTTTGCTAAGAGCTCTTGCATCTCATCTTCGGCCTTGAAATCTGAAGACTTGAGAAATACCCCCAGGTTGTAACGCACTTGGTCTATTTGAAATTTCGTTGTGGGATATGAAGTACACTATATGTACAAACCCTATCGTCAGCTTTGAGAGACAGCTAAAGTTCTCAAGTGGTTATCGAGGTATGCCGCACCTGTAGAATTGACTGCAGCTTCGTAATCACTCCGCTCAGCTCTGGCATATCACTGTTGATGAGGACATCGGGATTCGCGGCTTCCAATTGTGTTGAGATGAGAAACAGCCTCGTCCCCAAGGAGCCGGCATCTGCTGAAGAATGCTGCACGCCATAATCCAAAGCAAACAGGGCTGTCTGCCTGATCAACTCCTGGTGGCGGCTAGTAGTTGGATCCATGAAGCGAATTTGCCCTTGTTTCTCAAGCTACTTGTACATGTAGATAGACAGGCATAGCATCGATTTCATTCATCATGGAATGCTCCAAGTTGCCTCCAGCTTCCCCGCTACTGAAATGGAGCAGCATGGGAGTGACATGGCGGTACATCGGCCCGTCCCGTGAGAATCGGTACTTCCAGTAGAGTCCAGTCTTTACCAGGAACTCCCGAGCCGTTAGTCATCCTCCCGAACTCGATACTTGTACTCGTGAGTAATGTCCAGCAACATGGGATTTCGTAGAGACAATGTACTTTCTTGATCCCTGCATACCTTACCCCGCCCAAGACCGAGCAGCCACAGTATTTCTGTCATGAGTTTTGCACACTATTTGCTATCCATAATGTAATCTCCTAGGCCTAGTGTCCGTGTTAGAGCTCAAACATCGCCATGGATCTTAGCGGCCGAGGAGACCCGTCGCCGATGCCTCACGCGGAAGACGACGATATTCAGGATCTGATAGAATCGCTAATTTCCAGTTACAAGTTTGGGATCCCCGAATCCTCTGAAAGAAACGGACCATCTCCGCCTCCGGAACCAGTGACGGAGCGGCAAGCAGAAGACGTCCATTCAAATATAGAGCCGATAAACACCCCCCCATCGATTGCAGAGCTAAGGCAACAATGCGTTTTGGCTTTCGAAACCTGTGTGCACTATGAGAGCCTTATGAATCATCAATGGGCAGAGAATCGCTTCGCTGACTTCAATCTCTCCGTTGAGGGCGTTGGCGCTCTTTCTGAGTCCGGAGCATCTCCCGATTCTTGCTTCGAGTCCGGACAGGATGATATGGCCCTGGTTCAAAATGCTCTAACAATGCTCAAGAATTTCCTTGCCGAATGTATTAGCTGTGCAAAGGAGCGGTCCAGCACCGATGCGGCCACAGAGAAAGTGGACTCGTCACTCGAGAAATTAGCTCTAATAGTGGCTGCCATTAGGAAAACTGGCATGCGATCACGCCTTGCGCGGGATGGTAGATTTAAGCTTAAAGAACATGAAGAGCTGGCGGCGTTTTTGAGGGTTATATGTTTGCGACGGAATACGAGTAACAAATTTGGCATCGAAGTCGGTAAAGAAGACCGAAAAGACGTTTTCAAATTTGAGAGACTATCAACCCAGGAGATCATAAAGATTTCAGAGGAGGTCCAGCTATCCAAGGCTCAACAACGCCTCATTGAGGTGAATTTACGTCGAAGAAATCGCTTCTTACAGGCACAAGAGCATTCGAAAAATTTAAAAGCCTGCCAAAACGGGAAACAGGAAATTGTTGGCAACACTCGAGTGGAGTTGGACCGTGGGACACAGCGACTCCCCAACATGAAGCCTCTTTCACCAGAAAATCCAGAAAGGAACTCAACACGGGGCCTTGCCCAAAGACAAATTCAGCCTACCCCTACTGCCGCAGAGACCAAGGCACCCACAGCTGAAGGCAGCTTTCAGGTTCGGAGAGCCAAAAGGACAGCTTCGCAGCCTGCCATGACGGTCATGTCGGCCATTACGGCCATTACGGCACTCACTGCCGCAGCTCAATATCCCAAAGCACCGGATGTGTGCCAGAAATCAACAATGTTCAAGTGTCCGTGTTGCTGCCAAACTCTCCCTGCTAAGTTTGGCACTGATAAGGACCTGTGGAAGTACCGCTCCTGAGAATTACTTGGTCGACGAAGAGAAAACTGACGGTGAAATAGGAAGCATCTTGCTGAAGATATCTCTCCATATACATGTATTCTCCAGGACTGCCCGACACCATTCGCCACGTTTACCACCGTTTCCGATTGGGAGAGGCATTTCAAGACGGAGCATCGACCGTGTCGTGTTTGTCCACTGTGTGCAAATGCCGATGGTGTCTTCTCAGGTATGGAAGACTTGACAACGCACATTGAAACAGAGCATGCCGAAGTGGCATCCACCAACTCTGTCTAGATTGCTATTTCCTGGTCAGGAGTCACAACTATAGGCATCAGCCATTGTCCCCTATGTGATTTTACTGGTACTGAACATGCGCCCGAATTCGTTCGGCATGTCCTTGGTTGTATCCATGAATTCTCTCTTTACTCGCTACCGTGGGCCGACTATGGCCAGGTTGAAGTCACTCGACATGTTTGGGCTTGCAAACCGGAGACGATCGGGGATGGAGAAGGCCCGCTGCGCAGGTGGTTTGAGAATCGAGATGTTGAAGCCATGGAGGCTAGCAGAATAAAGCTCGACCTCACAGGATCCGATGGAGTTCAGATGCAAGCAACTCATTCATCCAACGACTACTTTGCCGAGAGCGGGAATGAGTTCTTTGGTATAGCCTCTGCCCAAAACTCCCTCGAGGCTTTAAAGCGATACTTGGGATCGAGCGACTACCTTGACGAGAGCGAGAGCAAGCTGGCTGAATCCTACCTCCGCATGTCCGATTTCTCCGTCCCGCTCACGGATATCGAAGAGTTCGGCGGCACATACCGTGCAAGAAATCTGAACGGTGAAGATTTCAACCAAGTCCTCCAAGACTATGGAAATAACGGGCAGTCTTTCATTTTCCGAGCAGAAATACTACTAGTATGCAATGGCAGGTTGAAGGACGGCGGAGATGGAACAGTTGTCATTTTCCGCTTCACGTTCAGCACAGCTGAGAACGTATCTCAACGAAGATTCACTTCTGCCAAAATCACGGTCGAGTTTAGTGATTTTCTGGGGCGACCAGCCAACGATCCAGAAGTGGTCACTCTCTTTCCTGAGAGACTGCATAATTTGGATATCGTCACGAATTCTAGCGTCAAAGGACAGCAGGCTAATGCAGCTACTGGCACCAGTGAGCCCGCGAGGCTTCGATTCGGAGCAGGGCTGAAGCTCTCGCAGACAGACAGTGATGTCTATTATGCCAGGTTGATGCCTGTGACATGGAATACCAGACCGAAAAAATCAGGCCAAGACAATGCTGCTCTCTGGAGACTGAAGGAGCACACTTCAAAGGAGAATGGGGTGCCTGATTTCCTCCAGACAGCTGTGATTTTGCGCAGGAATGGTGATGGCAAGTTTCGGATGAAAATAAAAATCGAGGCGACCGTGGACAATCGGATAGACATGAAACCAACGATAGAGAAGATGTTTGGGGAAATAGAACTCGGACCTGTCGACCCGGTTAATATTAATCCAGCATCATTCCTGGGGAAAGAGATTGACATCCCATGGTTGGTGGGAGGGATATTGGACGCTCTTGATCTGGACATGTACGTTGGTGTCGGGTTGACAGATGAGCGAAACGCAGAGCGGCAAAGGATAAGAGAGGTAGATGAGGAAGAACAGCAAAGGAAGCGAGAAGCAGAAGAAAAAGAGGGACGCGAAGTAGAAGAAAAAGAAAGGCGAGAAGCAGAAGAGAAGAAAAGGCGGGAAGCAGAAGAAAAAGAGGAGCAAAAAAGAAGAATGGCGGAGTGGATAGAACGAAGAGAAATGAGGAAAAGAGCGTTTAGAGAGCAAAGGAAAAGGGACGCAGAACAAAAACAGGCACAAAAAGCAGAAAAAATAAAGAAACGCGAAGCAGAGTACCGGAAGATAGGAGAGAAATACGACGCAGAGCACCGAAAGAGGGGGGACTCGAGGCAGTAAAGTCTTTTTCCCTAGTATGTACTTTACATCAAGCAAGTCTTTACGATTAAAGAAATCTTGCAGATTAATAGAGCCAGGAGTATTACAGGTACCTAACAGCTCTATTTTCTGGTCATATTACTCTATCAATATCTAATCATCTTAGATATACGGAGTACATCAATGGCATTCTTACGACTCAATGCTCAACACTACATGTACCTGAGGGCTACCAGGGTAGGCTTCACGGGCTTCACGGAACAGCCTCGGATGGCTACAGCCTACAGGGCTCCTCTATTTTTTTTAACCAACCCGCAGTTCAGGGATGCAGCCAATTCCAGCGGGCCAAATTAAACAACAGATGGATTGATGGATTTGATGACGGCTCACCGGCAGCGCTAATGATCTGACATGAACGCGAGCTGCGACACGCCTCCGCTGGGCAGGGCATTGATACAAGCATACTCCGTACTACTAGTATATAAATACTACAGCATGCTTCGACCGGATGACTTGCAGCTCTGTCCCCCGTCTCTGGTGTGTGTCAGTCCGCCCAATACGAACTGGTCACCCAGCAGAGAGCCAAGAGAGCATCATCAGCTTTGTTCCGTGCTGCGAGACTAGCCTTGTAACTTGTGCGAGTAAGCGCCAGCGATCCACAGCCGGCGATGCATCGCCACAGAGCCACCAGAAAGTGGTTCTCGTATTAGGTAGCTGCCGGCGTATGTTTTGTTACTGCCGGCTATGGGCGTGGCTGCGGGAGAGCTAACGCCAGCAACCTGGTGCGCTACGGGTGGGCAGCGGCGAGTTGGGGGTTTGGCATGCACACCATTTGCTGCGAGGGAATACGAAGGGCCAGACACGAGGACACGCAAAAAGGTAAAAATAAGTCGGAGCCACCGAATCAAATTCTCCGTAGCAGCAGGATTATTTTTAACACTTGGTGTTGCTGCTGCTCTCTCTCGTACGACCAAGTATTACGGTGTTGCATCTTTTAGCACTGCATTTGCTGGTCTGTCTTTATTACAGGTACCTTCAATGTATCTCACCACCATGTTATTAACTGTACCTACTCCGGTAATGTAGAATCACCGTCTGCGGGTTCAGCTCTTATCTCTTCATGAAGGAGGTACATACATCTTGGCTGAAGTCTGCATACATCGTCCAAGTACCTCATTATTCCCCCCCTTGCTGGCTTTGGCCAAGGGCAAGATTTTTGCTTTTTATTTATACCTGCGCTACTCCCCATCCGGCAAGGGCTCACCATGTTACCCCTGTCTAACGCATCGCCCGCTACGCCTCTTTTGGCAATGGCGTGGTGCATTGTCTTCTGGTCGCAGCCCGCAATCTGGGAACTACGAGGTACCTACTCGAGGTACTTGAGGTACTAGAGGTACTTGCCCTTGTACACGGAAACGCAGCAAAGAGGAAATCTCGGCTTTTGCATTCGTCTCCTCCCCTTTTCTCCCTTCTCTTGCTCTTCTTCTTGCTCTTGCTCATCGCCGTCGCCCCTCACCAGCGCAAAATCTTTTTTTGCTTCTTCTTCGTCTCTCGCTTCGCCTCTCTGTCTTCACCGACGACCTCCTGCCACTCGCTTCGTCCGCCTGTCCAGCAGCTTCTGCTTCTGCTTCTGCTTCTGCTTACCTACAATCACCTGGTTTTCCCGTCTACTGTACTCAACCTGCCAACGATCCGACCCGCTTGTTGTACAGCCACAAACCGTTCGATCTATCCGCGAAGGGGGCTGCTTGCCATTGTCTTGTTTAACCACGACATTCTCGACTCTTTTCTTGGATTGCGCAAACGCTTTCTTTTTCAAATATCCAGCATCGTTTTGACCCAGATAGCGGAGGTTTCGATACCTTTGGATTTTATAACACGCTAGCGGCAGACTGCTTGGTCTGTGTTTATTTACCTACCTATTCGACATCCTTTCGACGACATGCGTCCCACGGCTACACTGCTGCAACTGGCCCTGTGCCTTTCATCCGCTGCGCCTCTGGTCTCAGCTTGGCCCGACTGGCTGCCCGCCGTCGACGCGCTGGTCGTTCGCGCTGATAAGCCTGGTATGTATTGGACGCTCTGTCTGTATGCTTTTGAGGAGGGTGTTTTGACACGTTAAACAGGCGACAACACTGCATCTGCAACGCCCACCAACCCAGAAGAAGGAAACACGGCCGAGCCAACCCAACCATCCTCAAGCAAGACTGGCGATGGCAAGTCGGGTGGCAAGGGTTCGTCAAAGACGGACAGTGGTAACGATAAGAAGACGACTACCTCCAAGAAAGGAAAGGCTTCTCATACCCAGTACCCTCCTGAATCCCCTCCAGGAAACGTCGTGATGCAGACGCCCAATGTTTTCGCCGGCAGTGCCCTGTACAAGATCGGCGACTTCGTCACTTGGGGCTGGAACTACACCAACATTCTCGGCACCCCAACCGCCGTCGATGTTCTCATCAGCTGCTCAACCGCCTCCGAGACCTGGACCCTCACCTCAAACATGACATTCAAGACGTCTGCTGAATACGTTTGGGACAGCAGTGTTCAGGCCACCGACGTCGCGCAGCCCCTCCCCGTTGCCATGTACACTCTCATCATCAAGGATTCCGACGCCGCTATCAGCACCGTTCCTGATGCCGGTTATTTGGGCACCTTCAGCAGCTTTACCTTTGGCCTCTACACCCCTCAGCCATACGTTGATTTCCCCCAGTGGCATTGCGACGCCTGCAATGCAGCCCTCTCCAAGTTTGACCACCAAGTCCTTGGCTTTGCTATCACCATGGGACTGGTAACCGTGCTCAGCTTTACCTGGTTTGTTTCCAGCCTTGGCATCAACTAATCTTGTCCCACGGCTGCAAACCATGTTTGCGTGCGCCTTTTTGCATCTCTATATGCTGTCTGATTGGTGTAACCTGCCAGACATGTTGCTTGACGATTCGCGAACAAGGTAGCCAAGGGGGGCTTCGTTGGATTTGCATGCTCTGTTTTGCGTTGTGATTTTGTTTTTAAAGCTTTTGGAGATGGGGCATTACAGGCGATACTTGCGGGTCATTTTCAACGGCGTTTTGTCTTTTGTGTCTTTCATTTTACGCGCGCTGCTTGGAAAACAAGGGGGAGTATTAAAGCTATTCGGACGACTCTTTTCATGATGGGCCACTCAGAAAAAATTAGTTACAAGTTTCTAATGACATATACATTTAATGGGCCGAGCGCCTTGATGTTGGATGTTGACTTTCCCCCCCTTGTCCCATTATCATGGACTTGACTGTGTCGTGTGTTGGTATATTCTTGAAGATGCAGTTCCTGCTCATTGTATATGGCTTTGTGCCTCGCCGTGAAAGGCAGTGTAAACTCTATGGTATTGTAATCAAAAAATGGCTGCTGTCATGTATATCCTGAGAATAAGAGCTCTCAAACAGCAAGCCCGGCCGTCGACAGATGACATAAATATCCTGCTGGCCTGATGGAGAAGTAATTGAGGGCATGAAACATTCATACCATGCGTAAACTGAACCCGGCGCCTCTTTCTTCCTTGTCCCTGCCTTGAAAGATGCCGCTGAAATCGACATCGCCAAGGGCAACGGCCTGCCCGCGAACGGGGGCGTCAGGCTCGTGCCGCCGCCTCCTCTCCTGGCCAGCCTTGCTGGGGAACGTGGGGAATAGGCTCTCGGGCTTGGGCTTGGGGTCTTGGCGGAAGTACTCGTGCTCCAGCATCTCCTTGGCCGTCGGTCGCTTGTCCGGGTCCAGAGAGAGTAGACTGTTGAGTAAAGAGGCACCGGCCGCTGTGAGGTTGGGGAAACGGGCGCGGATGACGGAGCCGGAGGCCAGGGGGGACTGTTTGGGGAGGCGGAGAGAGCGGGCGTTGGGAAGGCGGCGGAAGCCGGGCCAGGAGTCTTCGGTGGGGACGCCGCAGAGCTCAAAGACCTTTGATATCTGGTCGACCTCGTTGGAGCCTTGTAAGAGAGGTTCGCGGGTGATGAGCTCGCCCATGATGCAGCCGACGGACCACATGTCGACGGCGGCGTCGTAGGAGCGGGTGCCGAGGAGGAGCTCGGGGGCGCGGTACCACAGGGTGACGACGAGCTGGGTGAGTTTGGGGCGGGGGTCGCCGACGTAGCGGGCCATGCCGAAGTCGGCGATCTTGAGGAGGCCGCGGTTGCTGAGGAGGAGGTTGGAGGTCTTGAGGTCGCGGTGCAGGATGTAGTTTTGGTGGAGGTAGGCGACGCCGGAGGTTAGCTGGAGGAGGAGGCGCTTGACTTCGGAGGAGAGGAAGGGTTCGGGCATGTCTTCGAGGATGCTCTTGAGGTCGTGTTCGACGAATTCGAGGACGAGGAAGATGGAGCTGTGGTTGCAGAGGGTGTTCAGTTAGCTGGACGGGGAGTTTCTGGAGCTGGAGCTGGCCTCGACAGAAAGGGTTTCTTCTTCTCTTACTTGTCTGGCTTGGAGGTGTCATTGCCCACGACAACCTCCTCCATGGCAACGACATTGCGATGCCGGCAGTTCTTGAGGATCTGGATCTCGCGCAGGCCCGTCACGGGCAAGCCGTTGGGGTCGCCGGCCTCGAGCTTGAGCCGCTTGAGGGCGACGACCCTGCCCGAGGCCAGCTCCGTTGCGCGCGCCACCCAGCCGTACGTGCCCTCCTCGATGTCGTTGAGCTTGTCGTAGTTGTCGACGCTGCGGCTGGGCTTCCAGGAGCCGACGTCGAAGCGGAGCAGGGAGGCGGCGGGGGAGGAGGAGTTGTTGGGGGGTTCGGGGGTGAGCTTTCGTCGTTTGGAGGGCCGTGATGACGATGATGCCGCGTCGTTGTCGTTGTCGTCGTTTGTCTCTGCGGTTTCTGAAGCCTTCGCAGCAGCGGCGGCAGCGAGCATTGCTTTCTTCTTTTCTTCTTCTTCGAGCTTTTGCGCCTTTTTGCGTCGGCGTTCTTCTTTTTCCTTCTTCTGCCTTGCTTCAAACTCGGCGTCTTCTGCGGTGCTTGCCCATCTTGACTTGGGCTTGCTGGACATGGTTTCTTCGTGTCGCGTGGGTTCGCTGGCCGATGCTGTGTTTGTCTGAGCTCGATTATTTGACTTGAGGATGGAGCGGTTTCGGTGGTGTCGGCCAATTGGGCGAATTCTTTGGCTGTTGAGGATGGATAGAGCAAGGTGAAGCAATGGAGAGGTCAAAGTAAATAGAAGACGAGAGGCTGAGATGCTGGAAAATAGAGTGGGTCTGCTGCTGTCTGGGGGTCTCGAATTTGTGTGGGGGGGACGTTTTCTTGATGATCTCACTCATCCTCATTGTCGTAAGTTTGTCATGATTAACATCATAAATTGAAGGAATGCAATGCGATGATTTGTCAATATTGATTCATAAATGTCATTTCTATCGGAAAAGCTCTTTTGCCTGTATCGGATAGCGCTGCGCTGGCCATTTCCCTCTGTGTCCTTGCTCTCAACTTCTTGTTGCATGTTCCTGATATGTGTATCAAGTCGAGAACTCACTCCAGTCTATTCCGTCTATTCCACATGTGAAAGAGGAAATTCTATTCAATCCATAGCCATCAAAAGCATCACTCGCTCTCCTTGCTCGCCTTCTTCTGCTTCTTAACCTCCCTCCGCGCCTCCACCGTGTTCGCCATCTTGATCGCCGTCTCAGTCCCCAAATCGTTAAACCCTTTAACCACGCCGTCAGTGTCTCCGTCGCCCATCTCCTGGCTCATCTTGAACTTGCCCCCCATGCTCTCAATCTTAATCTCGACGCCGATGATGGCCTTCTTCATGATGTTGAGGTACGGCGTTGGCGCATCCGACACTTGCCACGGCTTGGGCCTTGATCCCTCTCCTGTGTAGCCCATGGTGAATTTTTCGTTGAAGCTCGACAGAGCGTCAATCTGCTTGTCCAGGAAAGCCGTCGTCTCCTCTGCATTTGGGTCGATGTAAAACGTCGCCTTGCCGTAGACCTGGACGGCGGCGTAGTTCCAGGTGCCCACCACCTTGCCCGTCACCGGCTTGGTGGCCGTGTAGAACTTGGGCGTGACGTAGTGCTGGACTGAGGACGTGAACATGACCAGGACGTCTTGCTGCAGCGTCCTTGAGTTGTCTCCTGCGGCCTGGCGCTCCTTGATCTCGTCAATGATGGCCTTGCTCTGGGGGTTGGCGCGGGCCATGTGAGCCCTTAGGTGGCCGAGCTCCGTCTCGCTGGATTCATCCTCGACGTCTAGGATGAAGGGGATGTGGCTGGACTGAATCAAGGGGTAGGATGGAGAGGAGATGGCGGTGGTGAAGAGGCCCAATGGATTCTCGCGGACCAGCTGTCGCAAGACGCGGAGGTCTGTCTCTGCATGATCGCCGCGGAGATACATGGGTTGATGCTGCTGTTTCTGTTTCTATTTTTCTGTTTGTTTCTTCTTTTTACTCTTCTTCGACTCCGTATGTCAAGTTCGAACGCAGGCGGAAACTTTGTCAATGTTTTATATCGTGACTCTTACTCCGTCTGTGGGACTCTTTGGCCTCTATATAAGTACACGTACAGGTATGTCACCAGATATCAATACGTACGAGTTACTCACACTCTCCACCTCTTTGTAGTCCATTAACAATCATCCGTTCTTTTTATCTCTCTCTTTGGAATTTCACAAGCAAATCATGCATCCCTCCGCGGTGGAGCTCGCTCGTTTATACTCGACTCAGTTAGACGCAGTTTTCGCATCTCCGTAAAAGGAATTGCCCTCGACATGATTGGACGGCGGAAAGTATTGCCGTTAAAAGGTTCATACAAGCTGCGTAATGTCATTAGTGTCGCCACTTTGGGGTTGGTGGGATTGAAGACAGGCTCTAAGATACGTGTATGTAGATAGAAATTGCCCAAAACGGATCACGTCGGGTTACTTTTTCTTGGGGTAGGAAACTGTTTATTATGACTGAAATCTGTCAATGTTTGTATAATACAAAAACTACTATTCTTGAGAATGATGGGAGTAAATCAACTATGCATGATCCATAATATAAGGTGTCAATCGCCATGTCTTTGGGGAAGTTGGTTGCATCCTCGGTCATGAGCTCCCGAAATGTTGAATTAAATGCAGGGTTATACCTGGCTCTGTTCCGATCTCTGCAACGCACATACACGCCCATCGCCTCTTCCGACAACTTAACAAACCCTTGCTTAGAAGCATAGAGACGAATGGTGAAGTGAAAGAACGTCATCCGTTCAGTATACCATGTGTAATCGGGATTCTCGTAGTTCAACTGTATATCGATTCTTTCTGGGAATCTATCCACCTCCTCTGGAGAACAGCGCTGGAGGACAGTCCTTTGGTCTAATGTCCTCTCCTACAAAGACGATCTCCACGCCAGACCATCGCCCCAAGCACGAACCATAATACGCGTGGAGGTAATCCCGTGCAATGGCCCAAAAGTACCTATTGCCATGTATATATCCAAAACAACACCATCTCAGTCCCGCCAGACAATTTCCACCACTCCACCTGGGTATTGCGTACCGAGGCTTGTATTGACGAGTCCGCAATCCTGGAGATTGCTACTACGGAGCAGTAGTAGTCTCGGTACAACGGAGGTTTCCGCGATGCCGAAGACGAACATATAAGTTGTGCTCCCGCGAAAACACAAGACAGGTGTAAATTCGCGGAGTTGATGTTCGCCAACAGGCGAGCAACGCACGACTACCGTGCACGGCATCGGTATTGAGGTCGTTTGGTCTGCCCACTTCAATCATCGTCATACATTCTCAACTTTGACCGCCGCCGTCATGTCGGAAATCAACGACCTTAATGACGCATACGGAGACGATACGCCTGCCAGCGGCGCACTGAAGCTGAATTGGGATTTTAGAATGACAGATAATAAAGAGGGTAACCCTATTGTAAAGGTCATCAGACCCCAAGAGCTGACAAATGTTAATCGCCTGTAAAGAAAGGAGGAGTATACTAGGCTTATGAAAGGCTATAAGGGAGCTAACCCCGTAAACTACGACAATATGTCCAGCGTAGATAAACAACGATTAGCTACACTCCTTTGTAAAAGCGTGTTTAAATGCATCGGTATGGACAGATATAAATACGCTGACTGCTTCTAAGATTATGTGGATAAGGCCGTAGTAATACGCGCTGTAAGTGCAATAGTTTAGTTTAAATAGGGTGGCTACTGGGACTTCTGCGAGAAAGTCAAATAGACGGTCTCCCTGACGAATGAGATAAACATCTTATATATTATGTATGCACTTAGTCTAGTCTCGGCCATTATTGTTAAAACGCTGCGCAAAGTAGACACAAAGAATAAAGACGACATTACGCAGATGATCCTTACCTATAAGATATTTCAATAAGCACACGTTGCAGTGGCGGCGTATAAGAAAACTAAGGTAAAGGTGCTAAATACAGGATAGATATACCTAGGTTGGAAAATCACCCCAAGGAGCACAGATAGTGTTCCTACATGTAGTCTGAGGAATGACGGGATTATCGGGAGTACTACTATGAGTGTCAGCAGCGGCTGCGGCGGTAGTAAAAGTAACAGCTGCGGAATTAGGTGTAGAAGTTGGGGGGAAATTACCCAGTAACAACAGGATCAGGGTCTGTCAATATAAGAGGAGCCTTGGCCATGTCTCGTCCTGCGCTAATATACATGTAATCTACCTCATGGGACCGCCAAACTCTGTCCCTCGAGGCTACGACCACCTTCTGCTTCCACTCTTGCGTGATCTTACTGTCATAGACTGACCACAGGACAGGCATAACAGACACGTCCTGAGCGCAATAGCGCAGGATGTCTTGTCGCAAGGGGCGCTCATTCAACACCTCGTAGCTGCCACCGGACTTGGGTGTAAACAGCAGCCTGCCTTGCTCCTTTACGCTCTTCCAGCTAGACTTTTTAGCCGAGGAAAGTGGTGAATCGTTCATGACACAGCTTGTTAGGCTCCTGACAAACCTCTTCCTAAGCACAGAGCGGGTGGCGAATTCCATGAGCTGAAGATCGAGGACGCCATCCAGAGTGATGGTGAACAGGGCAAACAACGCATCTGAATCGCTACGGACGTCGAAAAACACCTTGGGGATGAGGGGTGACTTCAGGATGTCTCTCAGTGTCTTGAGACATTTTCCAGGCGTTGAGAAGCATTTCTCTCCCAAGGATTGAACGTCGATCAGGTAAATTGTTTTGGTAGGATGAACGTGGATCTGCAGTATGGAGATGGTGTCATATCGCGAGAGGGGGGCTCCTTCGAGATCCATGTATATTGATGGTGGCTCAGTTGGTAGCCCGTCGAGAGCGTCGACCATCTCGGACACAGCAGAGCCAGTGGTGACCCATATTGTAGCAGCACTAACGGTGTGATTTCCTGCAGTTCTGTTGGAAATCACACTAGGTCGACGTCTATTGACAGTGGTAAGGGGTCGAGTTCCATTGGCAAGCACAACAGATCCGTTTCCATTAGCAACCACGAGAGGCTGACCGCTGTTAGTAATCGCATCAGGTTGAGCTCCGTTGGCAACCACGATAGATCCAGCTCCATTGGTAATTACGACAGGTCGAATTTCGTAGGTAGTCGTAATCGGTTGAGTTCCGTTGGCACTCACGACAGGCCCCATTCCGTTAGTACTCAGAACGGGTCCATTAGAAAAAGCTCTATTCGCAACACTGTCCATTTTTCTCTCAGAGTTGTCTTTTGGAAATGTTGTGTACTCCCCAGTGTGAGCGTAAGATGTCTGAAGCGGACAAAGTGGGTGAATGGTAGAAGTTAAGATGTTATAATAGAGAGACTTTGTGGATGTGATGAGTGATGAACGGGGGGGAATATGGACAGAGCCAAGTGCGAGGCAAGAGCAGTTTATATAGGTGCGTAAACGGAGGCATGTCTGATACTTTTTGAGAAACTTTCCAATATTTTGCTTGTAAAGTTATTAGAGTCTGCAAGAGAAGATTTCTGTGAACCATTATATCTACCTAGGTATTTAGGTAATTACCGACATTGTGGCTTTCTGATGAATAGTAACTTTTTCTTCAGAAATAAAAGCTTCAATCGCTATGGCTCTATTAAACCTCTCGTCTTGAATATAAATTTCACCTCAAATGATAATTTCCCTTAACGCAAGCTCACTGAAGTTCTATTCCATGCAATCTCGTTTGCGGCTACACGTATCTAGCATAGAGAGCTAGGAGATCCATAGCTTTCAAAAGGTAACTTAATATATGATTGCAACAGGCCCCTTATCAAAAGTGTCATACAGATAAAAGTTAATCCCAACCATTTACAATCATAGGCTTGCAAAGCATAAGATTGCTGGTAGCTCGACTGTAGATTCCGAGTGGAAAGTTCAAGGCTTAACTTTTCTGTCAAAGTTCAGCCAATGCACTGGAAAGCGCAAAGTTGAGATACTGATGAATCAGCGATGTCTGTGCAGTAACCTTAGGTAGGATGCAACTCTCGAGCCAAACCTCAGTGGACACACAAGGTTCAGGAAGCTCGGTGGTCAATGTTTGTAGGTTCAGCGTATTATTTGTAGATACATGTATGGACAGAACTAATCTCGTGCTTTGGCTCTAGACCCAGTCCCTTTTCCAGAAATAGCCATTCAAAATTACCGCGACGGACCGTGCAGTTGATATCGCAGCCACTCCATCTAATGTAAGGCATCATCTGGCTCAAACTCATGGTAATTATCTCCCAGTCTATTTCAGTAACAGTCACAGCTTCTGCGATATGCAAATTCTGAGAGTGAGCTATCCTCTTCATAGTTAGGGCCGTAACGATTCAGCCTTCAAAACTAAGAATGATCCGTGTCATAATCATCGTCACCACCAGCTTCATCGTCTGTTAATATGGAGGCCTTGAACACCAGTCAGCTTGTGGCTCTTTAGGCTCAATGGAGAACAAGTGACATTATACCCCAGCGAGAAGATCTTGCTCTTCATCTTCTCTACGCCGACATATCTCGAAAAGATGTTCGTCGGGTCCAGCCGTAAACATACGGAGTGCGCTCTCCCTGCATTGGGATACCCACTCTACAATACCACCGAGATCGAGGGCCTGATTGACAATCTCTTTGAACTTGCTGCGCCCGTGGATGTGCTCCTTTCTGAGTAAGTCTGTGCGGCGGATTGCACGGCCCACTACATCTTCGACTTCGCCGATATTGACCGAGCTGCCAGTGGAGAACTTGGCATATTCATACAAAAATGTAACGATATTGTCACTGTTTAGGTTGGTCTTCCAAAGATCTTCAATCTCAATGCCAAGCTTGAGTTTATTGTTGATTAAATCAAGAGAAAGAAGACATAGAAGTGGGTTTGCGCCGAGGTTTGTCTTGACTCTTGGAAGTACAGATCGAAGCATCGACTTCAGAGACGAGGTATCTAGGTTAGCAGCTACCTAATGGGAATATTAACAAAAAATCTTTGAAGTGGCCGTCTTGAACTTTGTAACTCACTTGGTGCTGCATGTTCCGTGGGGACAGGCCTGAGCTGGAAAAGCCGTCGGCATATTGACCGATTTGTTTCACGGCTTTCGATATTGCAGACGGGATTTCGGCAATCTTTCCTTTCTGATACACCAAATCGACATCTACAGAGGCTTGAGCGGGATTCGCCCGCCACTGGCGCACATTAATGGGATGCTGCTGGCACAGATTGAGCTCGAAGAGTACATTGTGGGTATCGCATCTGAAGTTTTTATACCTGTAGACATACTTGTCAGTGCGTGTTGTAAACAACACGATATGCAATAGCTACAGATGTGATGATTCCATACAAATCTAATTTCACTGAGAAATCTTCTTTGGCAAACTCGCCCTCCGTGATTTCTGTGAATTCGATACCGTCGCTGGTTGGTACAAAGTATGACTCTTGTTGCCCAAAAATGACATGCTTCACAAGTCGGAAGGCGTAATTCGTATTGCTGATGGGCGAAGGATCATTGCTTGGCTCTGAGGGAGCGAATTTTGCCCATTGCATGAATTTGTCGAATTTCTGCTCATGGTCGGGCCGCTGAGGATGCAGCTTTATGGATGAACAGCAAAAGATGTCAGGCATGGTTTAATTACTGTGCCTTTACAGCACAGCTGAGATGTCGATGCAAAGAACTAAAGAACTGCGAGACAATGCTTGATCTGCCGCCTTGATAGTTTGTTTCAATACATATATTTGTGCGTGGAATAAAGTCGGCTGCATTTTCTAGGCCTCCCAATTCTGGTATCTTCTTCTGCAATGCAGGCTCCCGTTTGCGCGTGAGATTCCACTCTAATTCCTTGAACCACCCCTCAATGATGTAGATTCTGGCGGTGGCTTCAGGAAAAGGCAAGACAATAAAAACAGGACTACAATGCGCAAATTGAAGCCTGAGACATGGTTGTTATGGGAAATTGTCATTGTTTATTTTCGATAGATGGGCGAGTTTGAGTTGGACGAGGAAGTTTTACCAAATTGACTTGTGTTTGCTTAGCTCACTCTTGAGTCGTCCAGCCCAAGGGCATGTTCAATATGGCATCAAAGCATTCAATGGCTACTGGTGGTTGACGAATAAATGTTGCCTCCACTGCCCGCGTCCATCTTTCCGTCTTACAATTTTGTCACCTCAATAGCCATCAAATGCTTCTTTTCTCATGTACTCTGTACATCACAGGCGTCTAGGTACTAAAGCACGCTAAATCAGCTGATTGATAAGATGAGCCGTGCCCCTCCCTAATATGTCGCTGCTAATAAGAATAAGAAACACCGCTTATTTTCATGCATCAACCAAGCCGACGAGTGAAGAGGAAGAGAAAATTTAAAGTTGATGGGAGACCCCACCCGTGATAACCATAATCTTGCTTCAACTGGCCTCTCTTTTCCTCCCCTTTGTATTACTTCATTTCTTCACCATGGAATACTGCTAATTAAATTCACTCACCAAAGCTTCTGAACCAGGACTCACTGCACGATCCCGGGCTAGTAAGCGGGCCAGCAATGAGGGTGATTTGCCGGAATCGCAAGGTTGGTTGATTGGTGGACTCTGTTTAATCGCCTGATGCCTCGGGTTCTCGTGATGTGTTATGCATCATCTCTGCCAATGCCAGGCAGCCATGGCAGCAACTGGGTGGGAGGCAAATATGTGCAGGATGCCATCAAACCGGATCACCAGTGCCGCTTCCTTGGGGCGAGCAGCGGAGTTGGCTTAACCCAGAATCCCGAGGGAAGCCAGAAACATGAGGCTAGGGATATATTTCTCTCCTCGGCTCATCTCCACCCGCGAGTGTCCAAGTCGCACAGAATCAACCGTGCGAAATGAGACTCTTAGCGCGCCACAATGAAGACAAGGAGTTGTGTCTGCATAACCTTATGTTTATGTTTTCTTTTTCCTTGTTCTCGTTATTCATTGCCGCTCTCCCGTCTTACATACATCATGGATGTCTCAAGTATACGGAGAACACCCAACAAGGCTTCTTCCAGGGCGCCCTCCCCTTTCTTTTGCATCCACCAGAGACAAATCACATCATGAGTCGATGCGGGGTCATTAATTTAATCTAGGCGCGATCCCAGAGAAAAAAAGACATCGTCTGTGCTCCGTTATCACCAAGCAAATGCTCCGTTTCAGCCTCATTCGTCGGGCCTGTGGTCTTAGCCCGAAAAGCGTCATAGCGCATGCACCTGGATTTCAGCTGTCTAGGGTCTTATCAAATGGCAATGCTCCGACTTCAGCCCCAGCTCTTTTGCTGCTGCGCTGCCAAGGCGCCAATGTTTACTATCCTGGCGCCGAGCAGGGGTTCCCCATGATGGGCTGAAGAGAGGCAGATTGGGGAGTGCCGGAATGTGTGAAGAGCAGCAAAAGAGTGAGAGAAAAGAAAAGAACCTAGATGGCAACCTGTGCCTGGATTTGTGTTCTCGTTTGTTGTGCATCTTTTGTTGTGGCGTTTGGCTTGGCAACTTTGGACCTGGATTCTATCACTCCGTTGCTGTTGCTGTGCTTCTCGCATAACCGTTTTTGAACGGGAATAGGAGTGATCGTAGTATCATCTTCTTTTGTCCATCCGCTATCTCGCCAGCTTCTAGAGAAACTTTTGGCTCAGCCAGTCGCAGCCATGCGCCGACCAATGCGGCTATCAGTCGCATCCGCGATCTTGTTTGCAGCGCTCACCAAGGCCGAACTTGATTATGTGACGGATCTCGATATTTACTCTCTTTTGGTAGGCTTGATCGATTCCAACGATGATACAAAGTGGCGATATGAGACGGAGAGAGTGGCTAATGTAAATCTTTACCACACAGGCGCCATGTGCTTCCGACGCCATATCATACAACATCGCGACTCTGACATACGGCACGGTATGCGGCGACTCAGAGACGGAGCTGCAGTCGTGTGCCTGCTCCAACACCGAGAGATTCACCAGCATCACATCGTCCATATCCCGCGACATTCGAGCTAGTTGTGGCAGTACGGCGACCGACGACCAACAGAGCGCATCGAGTGTCATTGCGAAATACTGCAACCAAGACTTGACAATCACGTTTTCAACACCGACGAAGAACCTTGTCCAAGCCTACATTACCGACCTGAGTCAGATCAATTATCTTCCACAATGTGCGCAGTCGGCACTGTCAGAAGCTGTTATGGGGGATGTACGTGTTGACCAGAATCCTTCCTCTTATATGCTATGTCTTGCTGCGGAAACGACCGAGAGCTCAATCCAGACACTATATGGAATAAAGACCGGCTAACGTATACACGGTGGCTATAGAATATATCCAAGTGCCCCGAGGCCGCCAGTCTCTTTGCGCCCTGTGTTTGCGGCAAGGGTGGAATTCCCTCGGCCGTCAGTGACGTGATTAGCAAGTCCGTTCGGTAGGTATTCAAGCTCAGGTTGTCTTTTGGAGTGCGAATTATGCTAACTAAATCCTGCGTTCCAGATATTCATGCTCCAATGGAGGCGACATTAGCGCAGCTCAGGACTTCTACAACGAATATTGCGCCATGAACAACGGAACGACGACCTTTACTCAGCCTCCAGGCCCTCCAGGAGACAGTACGTTAAAACATGTGATTACTGTTGAATATTTGCTCTGCACACGGTACTGACAGCTATGACTGTGTAGTGACTTACCACATCACCGCCTTGTCACAGTTCAAGGCCTTGCAGTCATGCGCCCAAAGCGGCGTTGCTTCTGCTATTCTTGATGTAAGCTGCTATTTCACATCTATACCCATGAACAGGACCATGCGCCAACACGTCTCCTTAGCAAACTGCCGTTTATTGCGCTACCGGGCCCCAGGCTCTCGCCTCCTGCGTTTGCATCAAGTCTGGTATGAGCGATAGAATCTTGAGCACCCTCACATCCAATGTCAAATGGAATTGCGATAATACTGCCACTGCGGATGTCACCTCGGCCATGGACGTCTTCGCACTCTACTGTAGCGCGGCCGAAAAAGAGGTTGTTTTTACCGTCACCGATACCGCTACGGAAACGTATCCTCATCCTACGAATCGCATTAGTTCGTTTCCTTCCAGCCCTTCAGAAACAGGAGCTGGAAGCAGCAGCGGAAGCGGCGGTGGTGGCAAAGGAGGAAGCAATCCCAGTCAAGGTGGAAAGGATGGATCGTCCTCTGACGGCAGTGGAGGCAATTCATCGGGTTCAAGCTCCATCAACAAGACCGCAGTCATCGCGGCCTGTGTCCTTGGAGGCGTTGTTCTTATCGCTGCGATTGCCGCCGTGGCATATTTCGTACGCCGGAGACGCAACAAGCAGATGAAGGGAGAGCAGATACCGCCAGCAGTAGACGGACCCCATCTCGAAGGACCACCTGAACTGGAAAACACATCGAAAGTGGGAGCAAATGTTGGCGTCGTTCCGGAGCTTCACAGCGTAGAGAGACAGGAGCTTCAGGGACACACCGGCACGCCACTCAGCGAGCTGCCGCCTGGGTACGTCTCTCCGCGGCCAGAACTACAAGGCAGTGGCGAATATAAGCCCCCAGTTTCGCCAGAGCACGGAGCAGCGTATCAGCCGCCGCATTCACCATACTATGGACACCAGCAAGGGGCACAAACCGTCTCCCCTGCAACACCAAATACATATGGAGCAGGGTGGCAATCCGGACCAGTTGCAGAGACATATGAGCTGGACTCGGCCACATGGAAGTCTTCTTAATTTCGCTATTCTAGAGCAGAGATGCAGCTCTTATTTTTCATATTTAGCGTTTAGAATACGGCCGTGGTGTAGTCATATATTGATTGTATGGTGTTTCAAGGCTTATGGGAAAACGGTCATCAAAATGTATATTCGTTCAATTCATCATGATAATTACAACTAGAATTTCTATTTTGAAAACACGCTAAACTTACACATCTCATACATGTATATATATCATATTAGGTTTCGCAGCAGCTGAACTTCAGCAGCAAGGGACGGGGCATCAGCTTCAAATCCAGTTATCCGCGGAAGCTGGTTTACATTCGCCATGACTTCCTCCCATCCCCATCCATACTCGTTCATTGTTCGAGCAACCATCTCTAGAGCATCAGCTCTTTCATGGGCGACTTCTGCCATGGATGCACAGAGTAACAGAAGCCAGAGCTGAAAGGGGATAAAATAGTTTGATGCTGAGACGAGACCCTTGATGCTGCGGCCTTGCAGGAGACGCAGCAGCCTGGTGACATACTTGCCGGGCGTTCCTGGATAGGCCTGGGCCATGTGTTTGACTCGTAAGATCCAGAGAAGCGCACCCAGACGAAGAGCCTCTATGAACATGCATGGCGTGTCTGGATGAGGGTTTGGTGGCGCGTCAAGGAGGCGATATGCGATTGGATTGAGTCGTGTGCCGAGGAAAATTTCTTGTTTCCACAGATCTTCTCCCCAGGTGGCCAACTTCGATTGAACTGTTTCAGCGAGGCTTCCTATATCTCGTAGGGCGGAGACGACGCATAGTTGGTGAGCATTTAGGTTGGGACACAAGGTGCTGAGATGGAATGGTAGGTTGGTGAGGATTTCGGGGGAATCGTGGTGTGTGATTGGGGGGATTAATAGCCTTGATGGCATTGGAAACCGGGGTCTTTGTTCAAAGAGCAAAGAAGCGATTGTGTCGATCCTAAAAAGAGTCAGAGATACCGAAGTAGTGTGAGAAAGTCGATGATTTTGATAGGTGCATACCAGAAGATCATCAGGACTAAGTCATAGTCATCGGAGAGACTCTCAATTCCGCCTCTATTGGCAATCATGAGCTTCAATCCATTCAGATGAACGCGAGCCTGATCCAAGTCTGCAACAATGTACTGTTTCCAGTCAACAAGCAAAGAACAATTAGCCTTCCACATTCGTAGATGGAACAGGGATTTTCGACATACGTTGTAGCAGATGCAGCCCATGACACCTCGGATAACATTATTGGCTAGGGCCAACTTGATGTCAGGGTTCCTCAGCGTCCTCTCAATGCAGGAGATGATCTCCATGGAGCGGGCCAGGGCAAAATTGATGCTCCTTTCCATCGTCTGAGAGCGAACAGCATCGCGGACTTCGGGAGCTGTGAGAAGTTTGTGGCAAAAGCTGGAATTCTTAAAGGCAAAAGGGAACCAGAAGTGGGATTTACAAGAGTCTACGGGGGAGTTGTTGGTTAGTAAAATACATTGATTGGTTGATGATGGTTGTTGGGGGCTGTTTCTATGCCTGGTTGCTTACCCCTCAATGATTTATCCCAAGAGACTGCCAAAGCCAGGCCGTATGCTGCAAAGGCATCCATACCCCAGGATACTTCTAAGACGGCTAGGGGGTGCTGGTCCCAGAATGGACGACCCGGGGGAGGAAGAGGCTTTGATTTGTCGCCATATTGTGATTGCTGCTGTTGTGAATGTGAATGCGGAAGCGGTATAAGTTGGTTCAAGCCTGCGTCTGTTGCATTTTCATCTGTAGGGGCAGAAGAAGAAGCAATAGATGAAGACGACAACCCTGCGGCTGATGCTACTGATCTTACACGCAGCTTCACCTGGGGGTTCCGAGGCGGCTTCCGACGAGCCTTGCCAATATCTCGCATGACATGTTGCCGGATTTGGCGCTTGGTCTGGGCATCCCGCGGCTTACCGCGCGCGGATTCGGTAGAATTGATGAAGAGCAGGTTGGAGCTAGACTCTGAATCGACTGGATTTTCGGGATCCATTAGTTTCGGATGAGATGAGAAAGCGTCTAGTTCTCGTTTTTGACCGTCACGTCACGTTAGGGTGAGAAGCTGCTGTTTCAGGCTGTTGTCACTGGTGAGAATGCCTGTGTGTTGTCCCTCCCAGAAGCAAAACAAGGATAAAGGCGTTCTTCAAATGCGTGGCGGCAGGACCATATGCCCAAAGGGGTTATATGAGTACACTTAAGAGCCGGAGAGTGTAAAAGAGATTCAAACCAAGGAGCAGGGGATTTGGTCGGAGTTGGGAGAGGTTACTCATCCTAAGGCTGATATGTCAGAAGCCGCTTGAGAGGAAAGCCATCGCGATTATTCAGCCTCGCAACAGCCAATCGGGATGGAACATTCTTTGACTTCGTTGATTGCCGGATCCCACTTTGGTCCGGCTATGCCGAATGCAGCATTTGGTCCCCCTGTTTGTGCATCTGTAGCGCCGATCCACAGCTCCCAAAGTCGTAGAATCACATAATCAAAGCTGTTGAAGACGATTCTAGGACTATCGAAGACTCAATAGGCGAAAGGAGAATGTCTTGGGAGGCTTTTTGCGGCTCGGGGTTATCCATTTGGATTTGTAAAGCTCTACTTATAGGCTATTAGTCAGAGACGCCGCTGCTACTAAGTGGCTCTCTTCTAGGTTGAAACGAGTTGCCGAGATGGCCTAATGACATATGTACATTTGTTGTCTGTAGTTGAAACCCGAAATGAGTTTAGAGAATATGTACTGATCTAGGAGCTATGATGCATGTAGTCAAGAGACAAGTTGATTAGAAGAGGATAACATAAGCCATTAGTTGGGCAACATAAAAGGTACCGATGGTCGTTGGTTGCTCAACTCGAAATTCACCCTATTCTCCAGTTCTCAATCCTCTTACCCAAAGCTCATTGAAAAACATAGCCATCATGTCTTCCGACTTTAAAGGAAAACTTGCCATTGTTACCGGGGCATCCAAGCTCAACGGCATCGGATTTGCTACCGCTCACGCCCTTGCCAAAGGTGGCGCCGATGTATGAATCATGTCCACGCAAATAGTTGTATCCCTCGAGCCGGTCCTAACACATATCTCATCTCTCAGATTGTGCTTCACTACAACTCAAACAAGACTGCTGCCGATGAGTGCCTTGCCAAGATCAAAGAGCTAGGCGTCCAGGCTATTGCCGTTCAAAGCAATGCTGGTTCACTCACTTTTGGCGATGACATCGTCAATGCCACCATTGCAGCATTTCCAGGCCGCAAGATCGACATCATCGTCAACAACGCTGGGCACGCAACGTTTCAAGGAAGCGCGTCAGAGGCTCTTATTGAGGAGTTTGATGCCTTGTTTCACCCCAACGTTCGGGGACCTCACCTGCTCATCCGGGCTGCTCTACCTTATATTGCTTCTCCTGGCGGCCGCATCGTCAATATCGGCAGCGTAGTGTCTCGGACTGGAACTAAATTTGCTGCATTGTACACTGCTTCCAAGGCCGCTCTCAATACGCTGAGCCTGGCATGGGCTGAAGAACTTGGCGAGAAGGGCATCACTGTTAATGTTGTTTCTCCAGGGCCAATCTCCACGGATTATGCTGGGCCAGAGGATCACGAGTTGACGGTAAAGTTCCGTGCTCAGCAGTATATCAAGCGAGATGGAACAACAGAGGAAGTTGCCAGTGCTATATTGTTTGCGGCTAGCCCGGGGGCGAGCTTCATGTCGGGCCAAGTTCTCGGTATTGATGGTGGTCTGAGCTATATTTAAAATGTCGGTAGAAGCGATTATTTGTTAGTATGAATATAAAAAACATCACAATATCGAACCTCATTGAATTGTGGAAGGATGGTGAGAATACTTTTATTATCACAATATGCCATGCATGTCTTGTAGTGTCCGATTACATCTTTTGGATCAATGACTGGGCGAGAGGTGAATAAAGAAACATATGAAGGACTCACCCAGCTCCAACTAGGTACCAAAAGACTAGTAAGACTGAGAACGCACTTCTATATAGCTTATCAGATTCTAAACCCAATCGTTTTTTCAGATGTGAAGAAAAAATTCCATCAATTACGACAAAAGACATACATACTCTCATCAAACTCAGGCGTGATTCTCAGGTTAGATTGACTGCATAATCCAAATTATAAATTAATGAAAGGAAACACTCTGTAGCGCTAGTTCATATGGTATGTAGTCAATCTTTCTGTAGCATTTCTGATTAGCATCTCAGCATCTCAATCCAATTACAAGTTGGATATAAACTTAATTTCCTTCAGGGTCATCTACACCAGAAACAGTGATTATCGTCCTCATGAATGTGTGTGGCTACATCTAAAATGAGCTAATCGGAATTTCTGCTTCGGTATGGCTTCTGTGATTGACTTCTAAATTCACTGATTGGGATTCTCTTATGACAACACATTCGGGCCTCAACCATCTAAAGCTGGCGCGTCAATCCAAAGTTTATTTGAAGTGTCCAATCACTCAAGAAGGATGCTGAGATTTGGCGCTCCGCTACCAAAGCTAAAATGAAGCTGCACTTTTACAAATGAGATTAGCTTAATTATTGACATGACAGATGGCGACAGAAAGCATGGAAAATAAATTTCAATGCATCTTTGCTGATAGTAGATTTATCGTACGTTACGTATCTCGCAAGGTCTGACGGATGCTGTCATCGGATGACGCAGATCTAGATCCAAAAGGTTAACACATTTGGCGATCTCAACGCTGAAAGGGAATGCCACGCAATTTATTTCGCGGGGAATGTGTGAAAACACGCGGCCGCCCCGGAAGATCCGAACGGGCGAGAGTGGGCATGTGGCGCAGTTTCGCGGGTTGCTTAATTGGTAGTTGCAATTGGCATTGAGAAAGAGAAATCTAGGAATCCGTTAGAAGTTGAAACAATGATTGGAACCTGGCAGAATCTCCATCATGTTCTGAGCAAACAAGCTTCATAACCGTTGCCTCTATAAGCTGGATAGATTGACCATTCAATCGTGACGATACGAATCCCGTTGTTTGCTTTGTTGACTTGTGGTAAGCCAAGAACATGATTGACGGTGATGACGATATTCTTACACTATCGAGATCAAAGCTCTTCTTGACATTTGGAGCTGAAATCGTGGCTGGTAGGCTAATGTACCTTATTTTTTGCTGGCTGTCTTCCTTCAGCCGTGTTATATCATCTTTCCTCCCCACTCGCCTCTCGTAGATGAAAAACTGACAATCGGTGGTATTGATCAGTTGTCGAATATACTCGAAGAGCCTTTCTTCGTGTTAATGCATCATCTTGAATAGTGATGATTTCCATAGAGCTCAACGCGACCTGAAAGAGCAGCAAATCGGTCGATAGCTCCTACTCCCGTGTCTCAATCGCAGCAACAACTCTCTATCTTTTCATTTCGTTATCGCATCTTGTATTTGTTCAGTTTCGCCGACTTCAAAAGAAAACTTGCAAAGATGATTAACTTGAGTCGTATTATCGTTTGTTTCGTTGCGTATTTGATGATTCCTGGTACGCCGTTCACCGCAAACAGCTATAATATCAACAGCGACGCTGATACACTGAGCTGTAGCTTCATATTTTCCACCAGGCATTCAAGCATTGTCGCTTCTTGAACAACGAGCTGCACCAGTTGCCCCTGATGGCTACACTCCTGCCAGGGTCTCATGCCCGGCTAATAGGCCGAGGATTCGCGCGGCCACAGGTTTATCGACCAACGAAACAGATTGGCTTCCTCTTCGCACAAACAACACGGTTGCAGCCATGAAGGATGTGCTAATTCGCGCCAATATCAGTGATTTAGATACGGGCAGATACATTGACAATCTCACCAACGTGGGCACCGGCCTCCCTAGAATAGCCATTGCCATCTCAGGAGGAGGCTATCGAGCCTTGATGAACGGAGCCGGGGCTCTCGCAGCATTTGATAACAGGTCGACCAATGCGACAGAAACCGGCCATCTTGGAGGGCTTTTGCAGTCGGCGACATATCTCAGTGGCCTCTCTGGCGGGAGCTGGCTTGTGGGTAGTCTCTATGTGCAGAACTTTACCTCGGTTGAGTCCATCATCTTTTCTACATCGGGATTTTTGAGCACCCTCTGGCAATTTGAAAACTCCATCTTTGACGGTATGATGTCGCGTCCTCTGAATGAGTACCTATGCTGATTTCGTAATGGTTAATTCTAGGACCCGCCGGCCTCAACATTGTAAGGTATTATCGGCAATTGTTTGATGATGTTGATGGTAAAAAGAGTGCTGGCTTCAACACCTCAATCACAGACTATTGGGGCAGAGCATTGTCCTACCAGCTCGTGGACCCGAGTGATGGAGGACCTGGTATGATGGTACCTTTGACAAAGCCTCCTGGGAATAGGCTAACTCCTTTAATAGCATTCACTTTCTCATCTATATCAAATGATACCGATTTCGTAGCGGCTCAAGCTCCTCTGCCGTTGATTGTATCCATTGAGAGAACGTCAGGACAGCTCCAGATAGCCAGCAACTCGACAATCTTCGAGTTTAATCCTTGGGAAATGGGATCCTACGACCCAGGTCTTGAAGCCTTTGCGCCGCTTCAATTTGTCGGCTCCAACTTTACCAACGGTACCATTCCTCGCAACGGAGTGTGCATTGCTGGAGTTGACAACGCCGGCTTCGTCATGGGTACTTCGTCATCTCTGTTTAACCAGGCATTCCTACAGATAGGACAGGTGGAAGGCGTGCCAGACTTCTTGATCGGTGCTATCAACGACACGTTGGCAAACATTGGCGAGGAAAACAGAGACATTGCAAACTGGCCGAACCCGTTCTTTGGATACAACGCCAGCGTGAATTTGAATGCCAACACCACGATCCTGACTCTCGTGGATGGCGGAGAAGACTTACAAAACATTCCTTTGCATCCACTGCTTCTTGCCGAACGAGAAGTCGACGTCATCTTCGCTGTCGATGGCTCTGCCGATACAGCAACGCTGTGGCCAAACGGCACTGCCATGGTGGCCACGTTCAACAGATCTGAGGCCAAGGTCTCGGCCAACGACAGCAGATTTCCAGATGTACCTGATCAGAATACCTTTGTTAATCTTGGCCTGAACCAGCGGCCTACCTTTTTCGGCTGCACCAACGGCAGCAACACTCCTTCAGGGCCGCTCATCGTGTACTTGCCCAATGCCCCCTACTCATTCCAGTCCAACGTCTCAACCTTTGACCTGAAATACACCGAAGAAGAGCGCAACCAGATCATCCAGAATGGATATAACATGGCCACCATGGGCAACGGCACGGTGGATTCGAATTGGCCGACATGCATCGGCTGCGCCATTTTGGCACGAAGCCTCGTCCGCACCAAGACTAGCGTTCCTGCAAAGTGTGCGGATTGCTTTGCAAGATATTGTTGGAATGGCACGACCAACTCTACCTTGCCGAATACATATGAGCCTGCGCAGATTCTCACCAATACAACGGAGCAGGCGGCCTCTTCGGCTGCTCGGATAAGCGGGACGCTACTGTTGGGTTGCTTCGCGTTTATGCTCGCGATCTGAGATCCAAGGAGCACTAGTTTGTATGTGATGTAATGTTAATAGTACTCGTAACACTCTTACGTGAAAATTGAGCTTCGAATGGACTGTTTGATGCCTTGATTGCGTGAATTTTGATGCACAGCAGGTGGCGAATCCGTCAACTCGAAGTGGAAATGCTGCAAGTGACAGCACCACTACATAAGCGATGAACGCTTTGGATGGACCAGAGTTTGTCGGCCACTCCGTATAAAGCAACTGGATGCTCGGAATTACGGTTAGCTAAAGTGCTTCGTAGAAATCTCCAATACGAGCCTCTAAAAATGCTTCAATATGCAGCCGGTCAAGCAACCAAGGCTTCTCAATACACGAGCAAGCTAATAGGATCCGGAAATAACCATGAGGACTATACGTTCTCAACATGAGTACTCCAGTAGCCATTTTCCTCTGTACATATGCTTATGCATTAAAGTCGCATTATGTCGTCGGCCGACCTCATAATTACACTCCGTCTTTTGCAGTTGGAATAATAATAGCTTGCTGCTAATTAGTTGGGCGGAGAGTTTGTCCAAACCCACGTCGTTCATAAGGCCGTAACAAAGAGAAAACAAGCTTCTGTCCAAAAAGCACAGGCAATTGAAGTCTAACCCCTGCTCCCTAGTCAGCCCATAAAACCGCTTTCTTTCCCTTGTTAGCAAGTGGCCCACTCCGGGACATTTTCGAACAGACGGAAAAATAATTTTGCCTCGTATAGCACTGAGGCATGGCACGACAAGCTTGCTTTGTAAGTCGTCGAATGCCCAAATAGGCAGCTTTGGGATCGCCCGTGCAGAGCGTTATAAGGAAGCTAAAATGCGACCTGCTGGGCTAGGCAGCGCTGGCGAGTCCGCTTACCTGCCTTGTTTGTCGAAGAGCGAACCGCTATTAGTCGAAAGGGGTGGGCTCTGGACTGAGGTTATCTTGACACAAGCAGTTCCTGAGGCCCACGTCGTATAGGGGATTGGGTAGTATAGGGCCATCAATGCAAGGATCGGTGACGATTTTCACGGAACTTACGTACATGAGAATGCTGGCCATCGGAATAATTATCCTGATCTTTTTGTGAGATTTTAGCCTGTGGATGTTGAGTAGTGGACAGACCTATATTCAGCAGGACGAAGTTGGATGAGAGGAGTCGTAGTGTAGGAGTATATAAGAGCAGCCCAGGTCTCTCATGTTTTGACATATATCCCATAGCATCAATCTCAAACAAAAACTCACATTCACAGCCTCCTCCAATACTCTTCAAGATGAAGTTCTCGCTCTCCATCGTCAGCCTTGCCCTGGCCCTCACTGCCTCTGCAGCTCCTGTCGAGGAGGAACACACCGAGAGAGCTGCTAAAGTCTCCGGCTCCGGCACCAACGGCTCCATTTTCATGTTCGGATCTGCCTCCAACTGTCGGAATATCTTCTGGCAATACGGCGCCTGCGGTCTCAGCACCTACTTTGCCAACAAGGTCCCTTCTAACCTGCCTCTGGTTGCGCTCCCTTCAGGAGTCTTTGACCGCTATGGCGAGGCTCAGGACAACAGCCTGTGCGCCAAGGTCATCACCATGACACACAACGGCGTCTCCCGCCAGGCTGTCGTTGCGGATGAGAACACCAGCAGCGAGCAGTCCATCGATATGTGCCTCGACCTGTGGCAGGCTTTCGGTGGCCATGATAACGATGGAACCCTCATCAAGAACTTCAGCTGGTCAATTGCAGCATAAACAGTATATTGCGCGTGGATCAGTGCCTGGAAGTCAAATTATGGATCATGAAACCTTGTATATATTCTCATTACCGTCTGGCAAACCCCACCCAGATGGTTCAGTACATAGCAGTATATAGCAATGAAACAAGTACATACCCCATCTTCTTTTGCCAGCGACTCAAAGAGATTTATGCTTTTTATTATCTCTCTTGTCTGTAGGTGTTGATCCAAAGCTATTTCCACGCAAGCATTTCGCACTGCACAATCACGAGCCAGGCATCCTCCGTGTCAGCCCACTTTCGTACGGCGTGTAGCGTCTGCTGGATCTCATCTTCGGTAATACCAGCATCCAGCCAGCTCTGATAAAAAGGATCTCCTTTTTGCAACTGGCCGTCGGCACGCCAGGCCAATCGTTTGCGGGTTTCCGGGCCTGAAAACACACCAGCCGCAGCACCAACTCGTACCTTCCCTCCGTCGGCATCGAAGCCCGCACTGCGAAGAAGCGCTGGCATTACTGTCGCAGTAGGGTCTGTCTCAGGTGCTCCTTTGCGTGATGCTCGAAGCTGATTCCCTCCCCAGAGGCGATCAAGGTCAAAACTCTGCGGGTAAAAGTGGTTGCCCATGCCGTCTCGAGTAGCTAGGATACCACCCGGCTTCAAGACCCGCCGCATTTCGGCCAACGCCCGGAGTGGTAAGTCGGGCTGTGGAAGATGCCCGAGGACCTGAGAGCTAAAGACGACATCAAACGTATTATCAGGATAGGGAAGCCCGTCCACAACGTTGCCCTCTTCGAAGACGACAGAGCCTGGCCCCTGAGTGGGTACATTGGATTCGTCTGCTAGGGCCTTGGCCTTTTGTAAAACATCTGATGAGATGTCTATACCAATTGTGGTACCCTGACTGGCGTATTTTGCCAAGCCTGTCGTTATGGTACCCGGGCCGCAGCCTACATCAAGAATATGGTCTGTCGCCTTGATATGGGGGAGCAGGAAGGCGGCGTCTGTTTCCGCCTTACGCCTCAAGTGGGTTGCGATGGTGTAGTCCGAGTGGCCTCGCGCATAGTAACTCGGCAGATTGGTTTGCGCCATGTTTGCTTTGTCGCTGAAGGAATATGGAAGATTCTCATGTCTCGAAAGGCATCATCTGCCCTATTTATTGCGTAAATCATTCCTATAGAGACTCGGACAAATCGGGCCCATCATCCTCGATCTGGTTATAGACACCCGGAAGGGAGCCGGTTCCCCCCCCCCCCCCCCCCATTCTCAACTCCGAACGCCGTGAGGTACTCCGTAATGGGTGTCCGTTTGCTCCACCCTCGGCTGCCAACTTTGAACCTGCTTCCAGTCTATTGGGCCGCTTCTTTCCGATGGGCGTAGCGCTTTTGGCTTCGCAGTCGTAAATAGGATATTGTTATCTAGAATTGTACAAAGGTAGGCATTCGGCTGCGTGTCCTGCGTTCCTTGGGCAGATATTTCGGTGGTTTTAGGGCCAACACATGTACTATTAGTGATGCTCGGACGACTCGGGCCCGTACTTCCTAATTCGGACGAGGTGCCCCGAAGCCCGCATTAACATGGCACAGCGGCGTTTTGGTGAAGGAATATGTGGTTTTTCTGCCTTGGGGTCTTCTGTATCGAGTTCGTCCATATGCTGTTACTCTCACAGAGCTTTAGGCGCCGTGTTGCATGCCCCTGTTCCTTATGAGCATTTTGGGCCCACGGTGAAAAATGACTGGTGTGATGAAACGTGCAACACCAAAATTGCTGTTCTGACGAGTTCTGTTCTGTGACCATAAGGACTGTACTGTCAATCGGCTGTTTTTAATCTCATAGTTCAAGCAATTCATCCCAGTAATTCCAATCGAGAGGCTCATCTTGCATCAAATCACCCATGAGCCCGGTTTGCAGAACCTCCACGCCTGCCACGGGTTGAACCATAGCCTCTGGTCTCTCCCTTACTGCCTGCAGAGTCTCAATGAACTGGGGTATCTCTGCTCGGAGGTTTAGCGCCTTTCTGCGAGCCTCCCATGCTTGTATAGTCAGATCCGCCAGGGCGGCGTAGAATTTTTGATCGCATGAGAATACAATCGTCTGGTGGCTATACACCTCCTCTAGCAAGTCCCATGCGGTCTCGACTAAGTGGCCACTCGTCCTCCGCCGCAGCTCGCTAATCATGTAGACCAGAGCGTCGACTTGTGTCCGACATACCATGTGATCTACCAGATTGGTTGAGAAGCTCGTACTGCGCACTTTATAGTTCAACTCCAGCAACCTGACGCTGCTTTCGAAGACAAGATTTTGATCGGCCTTGGACATATATCTGCCTCCTTCAGGCTGATGCCGCGGGTGTAGCATCAAGAACTGTTGATTGTGAACAGTAAGGCCAGCTAGGGCAGCCGATAGCTGATGCAGCGGTATGCTTTGGTCGAGGTGGGCAAGATATTTCTCTTGAAGCATACGATCTATCTCGCCTAAAACCTTTTTCTTCTTTATTAAGCTCTCAACACTAGTCGAAGTTATTAGTTGGGCTGCTTTTTCTCTGGGGTTGAGGCTGCCGGAAAAGTTGGATGACTTCCGTACGAAGCTCCACAGGTCATATTTCATCAAACAGTACACCATTTCCGTAGCCGCCGTGTGCTGAACAGCGGGCGGCTTCTCCATGCGTGGGTGTAAATCTGCATCGTTGACATTCATCGGGAGACGTGCATCGCCTAGGTCGTCAATTGTTGATAATAAACCCATGCCGCGGCGGACGCGTGAGTTTAGGCCGCGGATATACCACCACAAGCGGACTTGCATCTCCTGTTTGAAGAAGGGCATAATAGAGTCTTCGGCAGCACGGTGCAGACCCATTTTGTGCGCGATTCGCAGGGCTAGTGCCACTGCTGTAGTTGAGAATTCAGATTGAGGATCGATCATCTTGAAATAAGAATGAAAAGCGATTAGCTTGCATGTTCATTCTTGTGATGCTACGTATGTTGTTTTGGGGACTCACGATGATTAGAGTCAATGCCTGTAAAACCTCCAAGTCCCGTGTTGAGAAAAGGTTAGTACCAGACAAGGCCCGCAATGCTCCGGTGCGATATCTGTTCAAGAGTACAGACCTACTCTCCCCCAATATATCAAAGCAAGTGGCTGGTTTCATTGAGACAATGGCTAGCGTATACACGGCAAGCATGGTGGCCTCTAGAGGCTTTGGAGCCGATTCGACCGCCCAAGCTGCCCCAAGAATTTTCTCCTGAAGCGTAGGCGCATGGATGATTTTGCTGAGTGGATTGACATTATCCGCGAAAGCCTGCCAGAGTCTGAAAACGTGCCTGGAATTAGGATGCAACTCTAGCTGCCCCGGAGGCGTAGAAATCTGATATAGGGTAAGTACAGAGGGAGAAGAGAAGGCCGTATCAGTAGACGTAGACTGCTTTTCTTCTAACTCCTCATCGGGCTGCCTGAGTTGAGAAATTGGTGGGGTTTTCAGCTTTGAGCATTCTTAGTAGGGACAAAAAATCGGACAGGGAAAGACGCACGACTTCAGGCAGCTCAGACCAAAGCCACGCTGTCCCGTTCTGTTCCCCAAGCTCAAGTGGCACATTTCGATCTTGAAGTGAATCGTCTCCGCCTGATGCTATGGGATACGCCTCAGCCGTTATGGCCGTCTCACTAGAGGAGATGGACTCAGAGTTCGCCAGGTTCTGGGGACTCGTGGCAAGCTTCTCTTCCCAGTGAGAGCGGATCCACGAAGTCCCCAGTCCTTCGAATGGGATTCCATGGCTGTCAAGGATGGATTCGAGCTCCTGGATTTTGGACATGAGGTCGTGCTGAGTCAAGCGCTTCCGGTGTCTCTGGGACGGTACAGGGGCTCGATAGACGCATGCAGCCTGCGACTTGGAACAGCTTGAGCATGGCTTCAGCTTGTCGCATTTGACCTTGCGCCTGGCACAAGCCACACATGAATGGGAACTGCGGCTCTGGGACGGCATGTCGAATTCATGGCGATGCGCTGAAGAGGCGGATTCCGGGCTCCTAGGATTTGGAAGGAGCCTAGGTGATGATAGGCTTTCCGTGAGGCGGCATGTTGAAGTAATTTCGATTGGAGTGGTCGATGGATAAAATTAATGGATGCTGTGCATGGAGTTGCGTCGATGTTTGCGTCGATGTTTGAGTCGAAGCACGGTGCGGATTTGCGCCCGAGGCCGTGGCTCATATGCAGTGGCAGCAGCTGCAGAGCGGGATCACGCACTGTGTCTCTGTAGATTGCCATGGATAGCGGTCTGGTAATACAGCCTCCACGCTATAGGCACCTATAATAACCTCAATACTAACAAGGACCCCGCCAATCAATCACCCCATACCTCTTAAATCTCAGCTGTATTGTCTCCCATTGCTTAGGTACCTAGTTTTCTTTGATGCTGATAAGAAATAAAGTACATTCATGTCCTAGCCCACTTTGAGACTTTTAGGAAGAGCACCTTCAAAGCCTAGAAACGCAAGTTAATGCGGCGTGGAGGCACCAGTGAATGTCGTGGCATAGAGTACATGTACATGCAGCGTATCATGCCTATAACACCATATCCCTGTCTTTCAGTATGCAGGTCAAGACACATGATTCAGCCTTTCCATCCTATCATCCCCAGCATATCTCATATTGGGTTGTATTCCTCCATCACCGAGACGCGTTCAGGTACTGCTACCTACGTATGCAGGGATGAACTTAGTGACCAAGTACATGCGCACGCTTTTTGTGAGACGAGCTTTCGCTTCACCCCTGCCACTCTGTTTGAAACATGTACCGCGACCTATTCGGCAAGATCCAGACATGATTGAACGAATACAAGGCAGTCCGAGGCCGCCTCGCGGGCCTCCCGCATACTTTTGAACAAATAGGCTCGAGGCTCGAAGCGCTTCCGTTTGCATAGGCGTGTTAGGTAGCAAAACCCCGCTCTCATGTGTGGTACGACGCAAACACGCCTGCGGTGAAGTAAACAGTTTTGGCATCTTTAAAAGGGCAAGCTGCCGCATTCTGGTTCCAGACAGCGAATCTAACTTACATCGATCACTATTTGGTCGAGTCTGATGACATGTACTTGAAATATTGAGGAGCCAACAACCTCTTAGAATAGCGACCAAGTCTTCGCCATGGGCAACATATTCGCCCCTGCAACCCCAGCTCCTCCGCCACAACGGACCGTCGCCTCTCACATACCAGAGTACAGGTATCATGTCCCAGTATATCGAGTGCCAGAAAGGCATCAGCCACCAATCTATCGAGAACTAGAACGTCGGGTACCAGAAAGGTATCCAGCACCAGAAAGACATCGGCCACCAGCACAACGAGTGCCAGAGCCTCGAGTGCCAGAGCCTCGAGTGCCGGAACCTCGAGTGCCAGTACAGCGAGTGCCAGAGCCTCGAGTTCCAGTACAGCGAGTTCCAGAGCCTCGAGCACCAGAACGTCGAGCACCTGAAAGGAACCCAGGACCAGGAAGGCATCCCATTGGAATCGTGGACGAGCCCATCTTACAACCACAGGCTGCCTTACAACCACCCCCTAACCCACAACCTCGAGGCCAATGTCGGTTCTACGCATTGGGTCACTGCAAAAAGGGAGCCAGTTGTCGATTTTCCCACGTAAGGAACGCTACTACTGCAACTACTACAGTAAGATGACCTTCAACTCTCCCCAGCCATCGAATCACACTGGCTAACATAGCGCTTTGCTCCCTTTCCAGAATCTTCCCAACGACAATTACACATATGAACTAGGTGGTGCGTGGGTAAAATTCAACGATGGTGGCAAAGTTTCCAAAGTTGTTTTTGCTTCTGATTATTCTGCCATCAATATTCGAAATCTCCCACAGACTAGTTCCACTGCTTCGATTAAAATAATGCTGGAGAATGTGGGTATCCCGACATTGGGAGTTGATATCCGTCTCATAGCCCAGACTGGACAAGACCAGTGCGCTGCGATACTGAAAGCCGAGGATCCTTTGTTCGCCAAGACAGCTTGCACCAGGCTGGCTACTTACACCACCCTCCCAGACATGAAGGTAGTTGTCGTGCCTCCAATCATGCCGCATAGCCAGAGCCCTTGCCAAATAGACTGTCGAAAAGTACATTGCGCTTGGAGCCGGCCAACGATTGAAGCTAGGCTGACCTTTGGAACCAAGAGTCATGCGGTCAAACTGTCAAAAGCGGGCAACTACAAGGGACCTGGGTCGAAGATAACGACACAAGTCCAACAAATCCCAGATGGATGGATGGTGAAACTCATTGGATTGGGTGTCACGGTATCAGAGCAAGACATCATTAACACTATCCCGATATCCGAGCGACCCCTGAAGGTCGAACTTGGAGAGCCTAGCTATGTTGTCGACTCGGAATTCGATACCACCATTATCAAGTCGATGCTATTGGAATCTGGCCCCTTGGAGCGGTGGGAGGTGTCCTCCAATTCAAAATCCAAGCGCTTTAATGCGTATGGCACCTTTCTTGACGAATCCTCCGCGAGTGATGCGGCGTCTACTTTGAACAACAAGCCGCTATCATTCAGCAAGACGACGCGACTTTCCGTGTCGGTGGTGGCATCAGCCAAGTTCAAAATACCAACCAAAATCTATGGTATGGTGCGTCCACGGATTACGGCGCAGAAGCAAATCTGGGATCGGCAATACATCCAATTTTCGGAATTCCCTAGCAAAGGACAATATCAAGTCTTGAAACTGGAAGGCGACAATCACCAATTGGTAGTCCAAGCGAAAGAGTACATTGAGAAGATAGTCAAAGGCGATATTGTTCGAATGGAAGGGAAAGACCTTCGATGTGGCAATTTCCGAAAAGACGGGAAAGAATTCAAAAAGGTGCAAGTGATAGAGGATACCTTCAATGTACTCATCGTTCCCGACATACGCAAGTCGCAATTCCGTATCTTGGGACGAAAGGCAGTGCCGAAGGATACTTTGGAGAGCATCACAAAAATGCTCCAGGACTGCATATCCGAGAGCCATGTTATTGAGCTGGACGAGCTTGATTTCAGATGGGCAACAAGCGGAGGCTTCAGATTGCTCAGATCTCAGCTTGGAAGTGGAATAGCGTGCCTCGATATAACATCAAGGTACAAACGAATCCTGATCAGGGGATCTAAAGCGGACTATAACAATGCAATGACCATAATTGCCACCAGAAGGGTTTTGCCGCGCGACACAGACTCTCGTCCCGGGATGGAATGTCCGACGTGTTTCTGCGAACCAGACGAGCCGATCCGCATGTCCTGCGACCATGTCTATTGCAGCGACTGTTTTGTTCAGATGTGTGTGGCAGAGATGACGACAACAGGGGAATTCCTGATTTGTTGCCCCAAAACCAATTCCTACGGGGGTGTTTGTAATCAGGCGTTCTCGCTCTCAGAGATCCAGGAGCATCTTCCTTCTGAAACATTTGACGACGTTCTCACGAAGTCGTTTGAATCCTACATTGTTCGTCATCCGGCAGACTTCACCTATTGCCCGACTCCCGACTGCGACCAGGTATATCGGATCACCTCTCACGACTCCGAATATCCCAATATTTTTACGTGTAAGAAGTGCCTGAAGTCTACTTGCACGACTTGCCAAGCTTCGCATCCTGGCAAGCCGTGCTCCAAAGCCAAGCTTTCCAACGCACTAAGCGATAAGATGAAAGAGGAACTCGGCATTAAAGGTTGCCCTAGATGTTCACGATTGATTGAGAAGACTGATGGATGCAACCATATAACGTGTAAATGTGGAGCCCATGTTTGTTGGGTATGTCTTGCACCTTTTGAGGTGCCTGCAGAATGCTACGACCATATGAGAAGAATTCATGGAGGGATAGGTATTTGATTGGGTGCTACCCAGATTTAGGGCTGGCCACACTGCTGTCCATGGGGAGCGGAGGAATTTGGCTATAAGATTGTCTTGTGGAAGATTTGGTGCCTGGATCTAACTAGAAATAGTTCTTTTCTTTCTGATTACGGATATTATGGATTGGAGATAATCTGAAACCTCATCTTTCAATGTACTTGGTGTCCTGGCAGCTCTCATATGTTGTAGTTCCATGCGTACGTGCATCCGATGAAAATGACACACGCTGCACTTCGAACACATACATCGGCTGTCACAGATGGGATATACAAGACGTCTTGAAACACAAGCGACTAGATTGCGTAGGTGGCACACGAGCACATCAACATTCCTCTTCAGATTAATTATCTTTGCTTTCCATGTGTTCGGGATCTGAAACCGGAGCCTCGTGGCTCCGCTTGGAGAAGTTCTGGAACCCCGCGGTGAAGGATGCGGCTTGGGAGCTTCTGTCAAGAAGCACACTAAAACACAATCAAGAGCAGTAACATATTGTTCTCGTATATTGTGCTAGCCATGCGGGACCTAGAGAAGGAATCTCGGTGCTGTAGCAGTCCAATCGATTGTGTTTCCGCTTTTTGTCTGTCATTGCTGCTTGTCAAAGTATCTATGATGGTGAATCTAGGAGAATGAATGTGTCACTCTCTGCCGCAAAATCACCACGGAGATAGACTTGCGTGGTCGCCACTATGCAAATAATATGAGCTAATGGCACGGTGTGATCGACATCTAAAAGCCTTATATGAAACAGAATGGCTGTTGCATTCATGTTCAATGGTCATATGACGGCTATAAGCGATCTTTGGGCCAGAATACTAATATATATTGAGTCACTCAACATGAACTGGGCTCTCACGCATGTGTTACGCATCGGGATATGATCGTCGATGTTCAGCTCATCGGACCTGACTCGGTCTTCAACTACCGAGACAGGGTATATACTGGTGTTGCATCAAGCCCTGCTAGTACGGGTACAGATTGAGATTGTCTGAGCAATTCGGGTTGTGAATTTCCTTGTTGATGCTGCAACGGAGACTTCTGTTGCTTCAAAAGAGGCCTAGTGCCTTTTGTACTTGTAGAATGTCAAAGAAGGCCTCGGCTGGATAAATTCATAAGCAAGAACTTCTGCTGTGAGGGGTCATTAGAAGGGGTTGCTTTCTTTGACATAGCTGAAACGTCAACTCTTAAATAACCACCCACAGTGACATCCATGAGTAACACTATTGATACAATTCGTATCGATAGCTTCTATTATTTCTACAAGCTGTGCAGACAACTCAGCGACTTCGTACCGAGGCTTGTCGTAGGCTGTAATATTGGCCAATTATTGAGTGGGAATATGACATGTTTTGACAAGTCTGGTTTCGGGCTAGTTGGCAAAGAACGGCTGGGCGGTGCTGTGTTGCTCGAGTTTCATCGTTGCTAAAGTAGAAGCAGCTATTCTATCCCTTTTCTCGAATTATTTACCTGTTGTGGCGCGATCCCACTCTACTTTTTGGCGAAAAAACATAACCAGTAAAGTCATACCGTGGTGAGAGATCTCGGGAATGTTTCCAGAGTCAAGCTGCGACCGAAAATATTTGGCGTAGTCAATCGATAGTCGTACGACCGCTGGTTAGTAAGTTATAAAGCGAGTCAAACGCGCAAGCCCACTCGCGTATTGCCCTTGGAGTGACGGTCCGAGTTTCCTGACTCGTATGGTTCGCCTATTCTAGTGGCAAGCCTCTTCCCCTCTCCGAGGGACTGTTGCGAGTCTTCTCCCCTCGTAAATACAGTAAACATGCCTCTAGTTACATCATGTCAAGGAATCCTTCTCTCGCCTTGTGACGAGGTGCCGTAGCTTTTTTGGTTTGTCCTAAATGTCGGGTGGCGCTGCGGCGGTGTTAAGACTATTCGCTCTGGCGTGTGTCATGTTTCGACCGGTGGGAGCGGCGCCCTTGGTAGGGTGGAGTAGCAACAGCTGTCTGTTACGTTTTGATCGTATTGCGAATGGTTGGACTAAACTGAGGCGATGGACCATGCTCGGAGCTTCAACTGGATATGGCAAACTTCAGCTGTCCGGCTGTAAGGGCCGGCCTAAACGGCTTCCCACCACGGGAGCCCACTTGAACATCTCTCCACCAGAATGGCATTCAAGAGTGGGCTGATTCGAAAATTTAGACGGGATTCTGTCTAGCACTCTGCCTTATGCCCGATAGCTTTCGTTAGCATGTACCGGCGTGTTGGATACATGGTACCTTCATGTTCTCGAACTCTTCATCCTTATATGCTAGATCGTCGCACTTGAACAAATTTCTTCCCCTCTCCACTCTTGAGAACAATGAACTCCAGTAAATATACTTTAGGCGCTGTTCACGGTATACTAAGACTAGCTTCTCTTGGCAACTCAATTGCAACTGATCTTGTTGATACATGAATTGTGTACCAAGCATTGGCAGAACATGTATTCTCCTCATAAACTATTCCTTCACAACATGAGAGCCGAGATGAGGCTGGTAAGTCCTTACGGCCGCAACAGCATTCCACAACGCCGAGGCGTGGCATCACTAACAACTACATCCACAGCATGCAACAGGCAGCTACTAATCTACTCTAGCGCGCCGTTCAGCTATTCGACATCCCTGCCACCCATGTGGTATGCGTCCCACCTGATGACTCGGCACTCTTTTCCTTCTGAAAACTGGTACGAAATCCCAACAACAAATTGGTCTAATCTCCGGACAGGTTTTCCACTTAGAGACTAAATGAGGGCCTGTGGCAGATATACAGATGTGGAGTTGACCCCTAGCGTAGTCGAGTGAACTAGATTCTTGCTGCCGAGAAAAGATCTAGAGCTATACAGGCGCAGGTCTAGCCGCTTGCCATGCGTCACTATGGGTGTCAGGGGCTCTACAACTAAGGCCATTTGCTACATGAATCTAACCAAAGAGCTTCACAATCGTCACCAAGTAGATCATATAGGATCTCGCGTAACAAGTTCCGCTCCGGGGAATGATATGCACTCCACACAATTGGATTCTACCGGATAATTGCATTTGTTAAAGGGTTTATTCCTGAAAAGCCGGCAAGTACATGTAGTCACTGGCTGCCGCTCGGTGAATCCCGCTGTAACTGTACAAAATTTCTCTCTGACCTTATGGGTCTCGGTCTTTGACCTTGGTGTTCATTTTTCTGCTTTTTCTATTACATGCTTGTCACGATTTCAGGAGAAAGATGGCTTCTACATCGGATGTCCAAGTGGCATCTTTGGCGGCTGGATTTACCCTCGGCTTCGGGTTCTTAACAGTTTGGAAGGCCATTCAACATACCCTGAGAAATCGACGACCATGGAGGAGCCAATACATTTACATGATTTGGGGAGAGATTATTGCCAACCTCAGCATCGGCATTATAGGATGGGTTTTTCTTGACGGCCTCATAGGACCAACGTAAGCATTGAGCACTCCTTGTCAAGGGAAGAAGGCGGGAGAGCGAGGAAGAAGGGACACCTCACATACACACCGACACATAAGGCCCATATTCAACATCACCTCACTTATACTGGATTACGAAAACAGATTTTCTAACTCAGTCTTACAGGATACCCGTTTTGTTCTTCTTCCTGTTTCTTTGGGTGTTTGAGATTCAGCTGCTCATGCAAATTATCGTCAATCGAATTGCCATCATCGCCGAAGATAGGAACACGGTATTCAAATTGAAATGGGGCACCGCAGCTATCATTACTTGCATCAACATAGCGGTCTTTTGCATCTGGATTCCAGCACATACTGCTCCCCCAGTTAGCGAACTGTGAGTGTTGGATTGATCCTCCAGCCCAAGATGTTGATGACTGACAATGTTTATAATTGCAGATATGTTCGCATCAATGAAATCTGGGATCGTATTTCCAAAATTCTCATTCTAATCGTCGATGCTGGCCTCAACTATTACTTTCTACGCACCGTCAAAAAACGCCTCGTCGTTCAGCACGGTCTTAGCAAATATGCTCCTCTGGTCAGCTTCAATGCTAAGCTGATGGTGGTATCTATCCTCATGGATGTAAGCTTGGTGTCTCAACTACAGAGAGCTGGAACCCTGATATCTAACTTCTACTTAACGCAGGCTATGCTCATTGGCCTTATGTCATTGCCGAACCAAGTTGTCTACATTCAGTTCCACCCTGTAACCTATATGGTCAAGCTGAATATTGAAATGACCATGGCCGAACTCATCACAAAACTGGCGAGGGGGGATAACTCTGACATGCATATGCCATCCACATCCGGTCACAGAACACAGGCTCGAGAAGAAGAAGAGCATAATAACGAGTCGCAGAATTATAAGCTGCAATCTGTTAACAGAACCAAGCCTACTGGAGAAGACTTCTCATCCATCGACGACGACATGGGCCAGTTTGACGATTCCAAGGCTGCTAGTACTCGTGGTATTCTCGATGGAGGAATCCAAGTGGAAACAGTCATAAGTTCACGGATTTCGCGCAATTCCAGAATCGGCAATGATAGAACAGTAGCGGGTATAAACCGGGGCTCAGACGACGAGCTTCCGCTCTCATATCCGGTCCGGTGACTAAGCCAAGACGTCGGGGAATGTTAACATAGGTGTGATTATAATGAACCTGGCATACCTCACTGGTATAGCATTGAAGATGACGATACCCAAGGAATAATATATGGATCAAGGTTTATGGTGATTCAGAAGATAAGGCGTTAGGCTGTGGAAATACCGTCATACCACCAGTTATCATATATATCATGTGGTAGACTGCATGTCATGTTGATGATTTGCTACGTTTAGTCCAGCCGATTTAATAGCGATCTGCGGCAGGCGTATACCGGAAATAATATTGAGCTCAAGTGTAACTACTAAATGTATTATTGTGTCTGTTATGGAGCATAAATTTCAGCATATGCCTCGTATTTTAGCATATCTTTTATCATCGCAGCCAAAAACGGTTCTTTCTAAATACATTGACTGAAATAATCCGTTATATGCCGACCCATTCTGAAGAATTGAATCAGTTTAAGCTATTATGAGGTGCCAAATGCATGCATATAACCAATGCTCTCGCTATAAATCACCAAGAAAGCCACTTTCTTTACTATTTTCTACTCTTATACTCTTGTTTATACACCTCAATCACATCGCCTTCAAGAGATTCCGAGTCGCTCTTTTCCCAGGGATGATCTACCTCCACATTTCGAATAAGATCCTCATACTTCTTATTTCTAGGTGTAATGTCATAAGAAAATTTGACTGGGTGAGAAATAAGACCCGGCGTTTGTCTGCATTCCACATCGATCTCTTTTCCATTCTCATCTACCCCTTTGGAAATTGTGAAAGCTGCAAGCATTCGTGCGGCAGTAAGGTAAATGCTCTCAACTGCGAGGTACCTGCCGGGGCATACCCTACGGCCATATCCAAATGCATCGTTACCAGGATCAGGCTCATTCCTTGGTTCCAAGAACCGCTCAGGATCGAATACTAAAGGATCTTTATAGACCTCAGGATCATGCAAAAACCACCACACGGATGGAAGTATGAATGAACCTTTTGGAATACGGTAGCCTCTAAAGAAGATTTCTTCTTCTGTCCTATGAGCTGTAGCAATAGGCACAACTGAGAAATATCGAAGCGCTTCCTTGGCCACAGCGCTCACATAGGGCAGATTCTCTTGGTCTTCGTAGCCAGGCAGGCGATCAGAGCCTACCACACGATCAATCTCTTCCTGAGCTTTTTGCTGGACTTTTGGAAATAGAATCATAGCTAAAGTAAACGCCATGATGGTGGATACCGTGGTATCTGCACCTCCCCCATACATGTCGGTAGCTGTGAGTTGAATGTTTGAAATGTCTTCCTCACTCACTCCTGTACCATCTCCATGACCGTGATCTTTGATATGCTCGGACACATATGACTTCTGTCGATAGGTGCCCCTTTCCATTTGTTTTTGGACAAAATTGTACGGCGTTTTGGTAACGGCCTCATTGATGCTTTTCCATTTCCGGGCAGTTTTCTTAAAACCTGTACCCGGGAACCAATCAGGAAGGTATCTGATAGCAGGGATGAAGTCGGCTGCCCAAGAAAGAGGCACAAAAGCAAGTGACAAATTTGTCATGACGTCTTGCATGAGTTGGATGAGAGGATCTTGAGCAAAAGGCTCTATCACATAGCCATATGTGATCTTTAGCATAATTGCAGATGCTTCGCTAGATGATGGTCAGTGGGAAAAAAAATTTCTTCAGTGGAGCGGAGTAGTAAAGAGCTTGAAAATTCAGCTTATAGTTCTCAACTTACGTTTTAATGTGTTCAAAGAAGTTCTGAGGATCATTCATAATTCTCAGTAAAAAGCGTCTTGATTCTATATCCTGTACGGTATTGAATCGTGATGCGAGAATCTTGGTTCCCAATTGCTGATGAATGAACTTGCGGTGTTGGCGATATTGATCGGTATATTGCATAGGAGGCATAAATCCATCATATCCACACATTTCAGACCCGAAGAAGAACACAGGTCTTCCAGAGGTCTTCAGCGAAGACTTTTCTAAGAGTTCACTAACAGCTGCCCTATCGTGAAGGATAACCATTGTCTGGCCCAGTACTGTAACGGAGCTAACAGGGCCATATTTGTCCTTGAAAGGAAGCCAGTGCTCATATTCTGGTACACCTGGAGGTGGAAGATCGTTGATGTTGCCGACAATTGGAAGTGGTTTCGGGCCAGGAGGTAACGGGAGAAGGTCCTGCTTTTTACGGAAGACGAGGCGATAAAGAACAAATGCGAGGACAACGATGATCTGAGCTATAATGAATTTGGACATTTTGGTTCTTTTGAATGAAAACAACAACGATGAACCAAAATGACTACCCTCATTCAAGGGTTGTTGATTTAGTCAGGAAAAATGCTATCCAAGACTGAGCAGAACCAGTCTATATACCTGTACATGCAAGACTGCGGGCGTAAGTAGTAAAACTATGCCCTTCTTTACACCACCCCACAACTTCGGCCTAAAATTACTTGTTTGATACTAATAATTCGGTTAAGTAGGTGTCCCGTTCAGATACGACCTAGTATGATCGTGGATATTTGATGACACTCACTATTCCCCGCACATGATTCCATAGAGGTATTTAAGCCCCATATTATCCGTACCCGTTGTGTAAAGTAGAAATTTGGACATTGGTTTTGCTCGTATTTACATAAGTGAAAAGAGAAGAAATTGATGCGCATGGCCTCGATGTGACGTGTTATAAACTAGATGAAAATTCTTGCTGACACTCAGGTAGCTGATATCATTGGCGCTTCAGAGATTATTGTGCATTACAATTGCGCTGTACAGACTATTCTGTATATTCTGTATGTGTATTGGCCTTAAAGATTCCAGGTCTTTATTCGTTGCCTTAGAATTCAACCGGTTGTTGGCCGCGGGCGGGAAAATCTTGATTTTGGTACAGGGATCAATTTAGCGCTGGAGACGGAGCCTCGTACATTTGTTTTGGCGCGAGATCGTCTCATACACGTCTCCTGCATGTGACATGCGAGGTATGACTGTGTCCAATGGCCATTGAGTCTTCAACTTGGAGTTGGTCACAAAAGTGGAACTAACAGGCAGCGCTGAAGTTGCTCCGACACTCAACCGCTCTCCTTACTGAATGGAGGTAGTAGATCCATGACAACTCATATCACGGCGGTACTAATTTTGGATAGAGTGGGGAGTGCTGTACGGTGAGACGAATAACTTGCCTCGGTTGCAAGGTTGCGCCCGCCAAGTCGCCTAGTTGATGCTCCGGCAACGGCATGAAAGATCTCAAGACTCTGCCATGCTTTTTCACACCAACCCTTGCGTTGGCCAAAGCTAACTCAACCTACTCCTGCTGTCCGTGTGTTCTAGATTTCTCTTTTGCACCTTTCGGTGTGGAAACCTACTTCAAGGAATATAGCACCCCCGTCAATTTCCGAGGGTGTCTTCGGACGCATTGGACGAATTTGATGCCGAACTGACATGGATATCGGATAGACCGCATCCGGAATTGTCCCAGACTAGGATCCAAGGTTTATTTTTTTTTACTAACCATTGACATATTTCCGTTGAATCGTTTCATAACTCCCTATGTTGTGCTATTTCACGGTTGACTACTCCGTAGTTACCATATCAATGTTACACTGCAGAGTATATCGGGCGGAGATGCATCTAGCATAGCCGGCACTCGGTCACCGGAGTTTGCAATATTCTTTTTGTATCCATGAGGCATTCAAGTTTGTAAGTCCGGCTGTTTATCTTTGCATGAAGTCCTTATCTCCCAAAACCCCTTTCAGGCTCACCGTTCGCGTTGTAATTGTATGGTAATCGCTAGCTTTATACAGGCAGTGCTTGCGAATCTACTCAACCTGCCCCGCCAAGTTGGCCACCTGCAGTCTGTTCATCTCAGAAGGTGTCATCAAATATTCTGTTGTAACAGCATGGGGATCCTAGTCTTTTTGCTGTCTCTATGAATCATGTAGATTGTCTAAAATATAGATAAGAGGCACAGTCACAACAGTTGGATCTAGGCAACTAAACCTCTCACCATTATTAATACAGTCAAATTTGTGGATTAAACGAAAGTAACACTTCGCGTGATGTTCTGGTCCGTTACGAGCCTGCAAGTAATAGGATGTGGATAAGGAGTCGTATTGTATCTAAGACATGTTGACGATGGGGCGGAGGCCAATCAGCGCCCTTGAGCCAGCAGTTTTATTCACAACCACATATCTAGCATTAGGATATGCCATATACTATTCTTTATTTTTCTTTGTAGTCTTTCTCTCTTGTTTACCCTGACATCTATGGGTTTATTCTTGGGGCTATGGGGTTGGCATTCCTGTCGATGATGGTGGGTTTGTTCATCACAGGCGTTTTTCTCAGCTGTCACATATATTTTACCGCCGATAAGCGACCTGCGAAAGTTGATAATGTTCCTCCGGAAGCAAGATTTTTACCCGGTATATGCAGGTCAATCTGCATTCCCGTGGGCTTGTTTATGTTTACCATTTAAGACAATCTACGCCAAGTCGCTTCCAACAGACTATTAGCATGGACTTCGAAACCATCAATTCATTGGATTGTATCTATGCGCAGCATAGGAATCTGCCATAGTGGTGTCTTTTTGATCGGACAAGCCATCCTTGGTTATTTGCCCTTCACGTATCCTCGCTATGCCGGATCTTTGTTAGCTGCCCACGGACTTGCATGGAATATCTTCGCTGGGTCTGCTGTCCTGTTCTCCTCATCTATGTTTCGATCACTCGGGGTAGCAGGCGGTGTGAGCTTATTGGGTAGACTAAGTGGCTCTGCATTATTGGTATGATTTGCCTCTATATTTTTTGTGCCAATCTCAGACAGGATAGCAAATTCGCAGTGTCCTGAGATTCTCTGGTACAATTCCTCGGCGGCCTGTCTACTTGGATGATGTTATCAACTGTGCAGTAGAGTATGATAATTACGATGTCAGTGGTCGCAGTAGCTCGGTTGACGAGTGCAAAGGGTCTGGTACATAATAGCCTTTGGGTGTTGATTCAGGCAAGAATTTAGACGCGCACCACAATCTGCATACAGTTGGCCGTTCAACAGAAAAGTGATCAAGGCAGAAATTCATATTTATGAGATAGGATTATTTAGTGCATAAATGGTCACCATTACCTTCACCTAGGTGGAAATCACCAGTGTATTGTGATCCATTATAAATTCTTAGAAGCGAGCGAGATATTTCGTATCAACTCAAGGCAGATCTAAATCTAGCCAATCTTTCGGATTTTCGTAGAAGACACCTCCTAGTTGCTTGATCATTCTGCACCGCTCTTCCATGTCATAAGCGTTGTAGATTATACCAGCACCTCTATGGAAAGCCTCATCGTCTGTTATGTTGAGAACCCAGACTCCACCTCCAGCAGGCCATCCAATTTTGATAAAAGTGATATCCAGATTCGGGTAAACGGACTCGGTAATCAGCCCCATTTTCCAATGGAATTCACTCCTCCACCAGGTAGCACCTAGTTGCCGCACTACAATAGGTGTTTGAATTAGTACCTCTTATCAATGATCTTAAAGCAGCTTTGTAAAGAATTGAAACCATCAATGCGTTATCCCTAGCTGATGTAAATTACAGATGAAATCCCGGCGATGAAGAGGAAAATAGAAAAAGATAAGAAGATAAAAAAAATATATAGAAATGGGTCAAAAAACACTTGCAAGCACTTGATAGTAGGTACTTACTCCTATTGCAATGCGCCTCTTCTTCAATATCGGCATCGAAACCAGTGAGAGATGATGGGGGCGTATCTTGAAATCGGTCCAGCTGTAGAAAATCAAGTTCGACAGCGAAGCATTGTTCTAACACATATACGCCGCCCTTGGATGGCCATCCCAAAACTGAAACGCCTGGGCCGCGACCGAACCTGGCTCTGAACCCCTTCTTCTCATCAGGTCCGTGTTCGCTGTAGTAGGTTAGAAGGCCTTTCACTTCTCCCTTTTTAGTTTCGCCATTCCGTTGTTCCTCCAAGTCTAGCAGCGTTATCTTTGACTGATGAATAACCTAGATGAGCATGATAAGTGTTGTCACGAAAGTAGCAAGATGTGGAGAAAGATGCGCCATTGTTAAATCTTATATGCTCGTTTGAGTTTGCAAAACGAGAAGGCTTGATTGCATCCTAGAGGCTGGGCTATGCTATTAATACCAGGGATGCACATCACAGGGTCGCTAAGCCAACAAGGTTTTGGGTAAATTCAAGCATAAAACATGGATGGATATATAGGTATGTTGGTTCAAACCGCCGAGGTATTTTCATGCAGTATTTTGCAACGACAGCAAGGGTGCGTTTTGGAGGTTTTAATTGATGGCGGAAGCTACGGCTTGAGAACCAACAGGTTGTGTTTCTCAACACCAACACGCACGTGACTTACCTCTTACAGGCACTTTCAACACCTGTATTTTGATACTCCATTATCAGTCCAATGTTGAAGGTATCACAAACACCAACGATTCTTCTGGATTTAGAATTCTGCCCTTTATAGTAGACGGATGCCTAGGGTTGGAAAAATCGACTTACTTGCTTCAGTAGAAGGGCGTATCTGGCTGTTATTCCCTCGGCTATCGCTAGCGTGAATACATGTAACATAAGGCCAACTCGCCTGAAGTCGAGATATAATCTGGGCTCATTCCGCCATCATCTGTAGCCTTGACATAGATGATGACGTTACTAGATATGGTGCGAGATATCAGCTTTGTCAATTTCTCATATTGCGTTTCTCTGGCTCGAGCCCGAACGTCGGTGGTACGATACTTACTTCCATTTATTTGTGTGCGTATTTGAGAGCCTATCCACATGTAGATAGAATTAGGGAAGAAACGACAAGCAGAGCGTCGAGGAAAGCGACCTCGTCTATTTGAAAGTCAACAGTCTCATGGCGCTTCCTTCGTTTTCAGCGTGATGCGGGGTACCTTGCAAGAGGCTGAGGAGTCTCCATGATGGTTGGTTGGCAGCACTTAGTATACATTGAAGATACAGTATTCTAACCAGAAGTGGTATCAATTGATCTGTACGTCGCCTCGCGAAGTCAAGTACATAAGTCCGCGACGTGGGCAGTGGTGAATATTAGGCGCTAACAGGTGGAGGGCACGGAATATTAGACCAGAGGCGGTATCAGAATAACTTGAATGCATCCTGATGTGTGCGCACCCCGCCGACAGAGATGCCTGGAGTATTTCCATATACTCCTCACTGTGACATGTGAGATTGAAGTTAAGCGAAAAATTGTTATTCGACAACTGAGAAACCATAATCTTATATTTCTTTCTCGAACCTCCACCTTGCAGATCAGATGTCGAACGTAAAAGAGAGTAACAACGGCTCACCGAGCAGCAATGATCGTTACGATGTGGACAGTGGCGGTTCGCGGTCCCAACCTCTAGAGGAAATTCTGCAACAAGAGGGCACCGCTAAAACGAACCCCAATACCTCGGAAGTCGCCGATAAAGAAGGCAAAAAAATGCATTTGCCTCAGGATTTACAACAAGAAACAGCCCCAGAATTTTCGTCGCCCGTCGCAGGCCAAAATGACGATCTCAAGCTCGTTAGCGTTCCGTCATCATTTCTGAGAGCTATGATCAACAGATTGCGAAAGCAGCCTGAAAGCTATATGAAGAAGTAAGCTTGTAATTGGCTTCGATACACCTTTTCAGCATGTTTGCTAATTTGACTTTCTAGAGCAAAATATCGGTTTGGAAAAACTCATCGTGATAGAACAGATGGAATAATCTGTGAGGCAGAAGGTCCCTCGGGTCTAGTGGCAATCAAAACCATCTCAAAAAAGGTGTCATCCTCGGCAGAAAAAGAAGCAAGTAGCGAAATAAAGGCCCTACAGCGACTAAATCATCCTCATATTATCCAACTTATCGACTGGTTTGAATCAAAAGTGAGTGTTCTGGGGTTTGTACAACATATATCTGCATCCTTAACATTTTTTCTAGGATGAATACTACATAGTCACGCAAAATACAGATGGAGGTAGTCTTTTTGATCGCATAATCGATATAATTCGATTTCGAGAGAAAGAGGCAATAGCCATTGTACTCCAAATCCTCCGCGCCGTTTCCTATCTGCATAGTAACTTCATCATCCACCGAGGTGGGTAACGCAGTTAACCCCACTGCATGCTCTTTGCTAATTATTAATAGATATAAAACCTGAGAACATAGTTTATGCTTCAAAAGCTTTCGATTCTCATATAATCTTGACTGGCTTCGGTGTATCAGCTATACAAAGTTCTGCTGAAGAGGTCTTCAAAGATTATGTTGGATCATTTGGATATGCTGCCCCGGAAGTAGTACAGCGGGTCGGACACAGTCGAGCCGCCGATGTTTGGTCTATTGGCGTTGTCACCTATGTCCTATTATCTGGCTACATGCCATTCCGGAGTACCAATATACAAGACTTTCTCGAGGAGTGTACTCGAGAGATAATTTTCCATGAGAAATTTTGGAAGAATAATACCAAAGACGCCAAAGACTTCATTTCCTGTCTGATGGATCTATCTCCTGAAAAGCGACCCACCTGTCAGGTATGTCCAATCAAACACAGTTTGATCCATTACAACGTTTGGCTACGAAGTGATCTGACAATGCTTTTATTTTATTTACTTTACCAGAATGCGCTAGGGCATCCATGGCTCGATGACTGCCTGAACTTGCAGCAAAAATGAATACAGGATGACATTTGTTGGATGAAATTCTGCGGCGGCATTCAAGTAGTCCCGTTAAAGAACTGTCTCCATCACCTTCGGCACATACCTACGGTTGATGAGTCCGCGAGCGAATCTGATCAATTGCAAGGAAAATTTACCATTTTTTGTGCTGTCACACGGGCAGTTCTTTAAGGCCATACGGGGGCGTAACTTATTAAACATGACAAAGTTAGATCGATGAAGTGCTTTAGGTAACAGTAGTAGCATTAAAGTGATCATTTAGGTACCAAATTTCCACCTATTAACTTGAGAAAAGCTGATGATTTCCATTTACAATGAAGACCCAACACATATGTACTCCATATACACAACCACTAAAGTAGCAAGCAATTATGGGTCGATACCATGACTCGGGTAGTGTACCATAAAGTCCCATTATTTTAAGAGCACATCCCGATTTGTCAACAGACAGTTAGCCTTCACCCGGTGTTAAGATCCAACCTTAGCCAGCGCGGATAAAAATCCGACAATCCCATGAGATTTGACTTATACTTCATGTATTACATATAGCCCGCCATGGAACAGGCAGAGAAGCTTCCGCCAATCAAACGCCTAAGCTATTAGAATTCTCCTGTTGTTTGTTTTATGATCACAATGCCGCTAAGAACTCACTTTACTCTCAATACTGGATCTAAAATCCCAGCAGTCGGTTTTGGAACCTGGCAGGCTCGGCCAGGACAAGTTGAGCATGCGGTTGAAACAGCCCTTCGAGCTGGCTATCGCCACATAGATTGCGCTGCAATATACCGTAATGAAATTGAAGTAGGAAAAGGTATTCGTGCTAGTGGAGTACCCCGAGAGGATATATTTATTACTGGAAAGCTCTGGAACACAAAGCACGCCCCGGAAGATGTGCAGAGCGCATTGGACAAGACCCTCAAGGACATTGGGACTGACTATTTGGATTTGTTTCTGATGCATTGGCCGGTGTAAGTCTACATGTTGATCATACAAGAATTAAAGTGTTCAATTCGCTCATCACATCATTTTAGAGCATTCAAGTCGGGAGATGATTGGTTTCCACTTGATGATCAAGGTGTCTTCCAGCTCTCCGACATTGACCCAGTGGCAACATACTCAGCCATGGAGAGCCTGCTGCAAACAGGGAAAGTTCGAGCTATTGGCGTTTCCAACTTCACCATTAAGCGTCTCGAGGATCTCATCAGCAAAACAAAAATAGTCCCAGCTGTCAATCAGATTGAGGCACACCCCTACCTCCAGCAGCGCCAGCTGTTCGAATTTTGCCAGTCCAAGGGTATTCTCATAGAAGCTTACTCTCCTCTTGGAAACAACCAAACCGGAGAGGCCCGAACGGTAGATGATCCCTTGGTTGCGGATTTAAGTCAAGAATTAGGTTGGGATATTGGGCAGGTTCTCTATTCCTGGGGTGTGCAACGAGGAACGGTTGTGTTGCCTAAAAGCATCACGCCCAGTCGAATCGCGTCAAATTTGCAAGTCAAAGAGCTGCCGCCCCATGCTTTCGAAAAGCTAAATGGACTGGAGAAAAACAAACGATATAATTGGCAATCATTATGGGGCTTTGACATCTTTCAAGAAATTGGACACGATGAGATTGTACGTATTGCGAAGGAGGCAGGACCAGAAAACCTGAAGAAGTTTGGGAAATAGAAGATGAAGATCTTTATGTAGTGTAATTCTGCTCATGTCCCCGTTGAGCTCCATCCGGTGATAATACTACTTCGTCCAAATTGAAACTCGGCCAAAAAGCCTGAAAGATATTAGCTTTGGGAATAGTTGCATGTAGACTGGAAAACCTACAGATGAGTCTAGATCAAGCCAGTCTGTTAGTTGCCAGTCCAGAAAAGTAGGCATTTCTGTCGCCAAATTGCTCTGAGGAATGGGGTGGAAGACAGCTCTATCTTCAGTGTCTAGGACTGGATCGGCCAAATTTCGATCACATTGCTGTTCTTTCGGTGTAGTATAGTGCGCTCTTGATTGCTGTTGCTGTAGAGTTGAGTGGTTCATTGCAGCAGCTCTAAACCCTTCTAGAATAACTGCGTATCGCCGACTGGGAGAATTTGAAGCGGTTGCTCGAGCAAGGTGGCCATGACAACTCTCTGCCAGTTGCATCAATCTTGTCCTGTAACCAGGGTCGTCGGTAGCTCCCATACGATGTTGCTGCATCACCCACACATACGTTACCACAAGTGCGCAAAATGTGACATAGTGAGTCCACCAGAAGGCATGGAAAATAGGGCTTCCACGTGCCATACTATCCACCGACTCCAGTACATCTTTGGCGGCTTTGATGCAATCGCTCACTTGGGTTAAATAGGCAGAGGCTGGAGAGCGCATAAGAAACAGGCGATTGGCGTGCATGATGGCGTGTGAATGAGCCAGGCCAAGAGCCAAAGCAGGTCTTCGATAGCTTGGAATCAAAATGGACGGATGAACTGCGCCCAGATGAGCCGGCAGACTTTGATGCCAGTCTCGAACACGCTGCGTTAAGCCCTTAGCTGCGGTTATCCTCTCGATCTCAGAGGTATGTTTGGCAGTGTACATTTCTTGTGAGATGGCCCCAATTATCTTAGCAATACTGCAATTATACACGTTAATAAAATTCCTGCCTTACGCGTGTGAGAGGAAGACTTCGTTGTCCTACCGTGCATGAAAAACTAGGGCGTCAGTATGGCACCCGCGTCGATCATCGGGATCACCAACAGGGCCATCTACTGACATGTCTTCATCGTTGATCCGATCTGGTAGTTCTTGGTCGATATAGTCATCGTGGAAATGACGTGGCCGTCCAAACACTACCCCAAGGTAGTTGTCGAGAACGTATGCGGTCCAAAATGTTCTAAGAGAGCATTGCTTTTCAATGTAATCGGCCGGCTTTTGCCTCCTCCTCCAATCTGCCCGCCGCTGCAAACCAAGGGCAGATATAAGCTGCAATGCGTTTCCAAATATGTACCAGCTCTGATTGAAGCGAGAGGTAGTGAGCAAGTATAGCACTTGGACGATGCGGACTTGAGCTGACTCCAGTCTGGGAAAGCCTGTTTCCTCATCCGTAAGTCGCATCGAGAAGCGGAATAGAATATCGCCTAAGCGGAGGGCCTGGCAGTCTTTGGTAGGGTATCCTTTGGACTTCTCTTGATGGAACTTGGCAACTGCAAGTATTACGTATATAATAGCTGCTTTGGTACGACTGATAGTGTGCCATACAGCCACCCCTTCTCTTAAGTTGCTCTCCATAATACTCAGCCAAGCTTCTGTAGATGGACGATGCAAAATTCGGTAAGTCGCGATACAGACATCGAAATATAGGGCTAAGAGAGCCCTAGCTTCCTCTGGATCGGGTAGACTGGGCTGCTGCTGAATGCCCTCTCTTTCAATTGCCAATGGCTTGTCTCCTGCCATATACACTAGTTGGTTCTCTGCCAGCGATCGAGAATCATCAATTCCCTGGCTACTCCCTTGGGCAGAGAGGCGCCTTGATGCTCGATGAAGAAAGGCCAAGCTTGACGTTGGATCAAATACCTGGCCTTGAATTTCCGCCATTCCCAGCTCCGGAGATGCGCGGGAGGGAGCAGCTGCCCCCCCGGGTCGTTGAGATGGCTGGTCTAACGGCACATTATCATTGGGAGTTCCGCCAGAGTTTGGTATGAAGGACACAGCTTCAGTGATGGTGAAGCCTTCTGTTAAAGAATGTCTGCTCCCACCTGCAGACCGCCGGTGGCTAACATCAGATGATGGAGGGGGCGTAGGCGGCATACCGCGAGTATATTTTGCTTCATACAAACATACCCGGCCTCTTGATATGCATTTTGCGCACGGTTGGTCACCACTGCATTTTGCCTTTCTGGACTTGCAAAAGTCACAAGCGCGACTAACCTTACGCGTCTTCCGAGAGGCCGGGTCAGAAGGATCCCTAGGGATATCTTCAACGCTCTCAGCGCTCCTCTTCTGGCTTGTAAGCTCGGGTTCCATTTGATGACTAGTCAAAACGTGGTGGATACAAATTTGACACTCCTTGTTTCCGAAATGGATCGCTGGGTGTTCTTGTTGTCCCTGCGACGAAGCGAGAAACACAGCCCAAGAGGCGGAAAAGAAGCCGAAGGATGCAGTTTTAATACCGGGGAAATCCAGCGGAGTGCTAAAATAGTTGCGTCGAGTTGTGGAGGAAAAGACAGGGGCCGCGATAGTGTCACGTTTGCGGGGATGCTATGAGAAGCTTACGAGAGAAACAACCATGGTCCACTTTGGAAGGCCTAGTCTTGATCTAAGCCGCTAGAGTTTCAGGTGGTATGATGATTATATTTTAATTTACAAAGAGTCGAAAGATAATGAAAGGGCATTAAAACAACATTCTAGGCCATGGATTTTATGTTACAATATGGCGGTCAATTGCAAACGTAATTTGACGGGATTCGAAGACATGAAAGATACATTAATTGAGTACTAAAAGAGGAAACAGAAAATGCAATAGCTGGGTTGTCAGAACTGGTGAGAAGGAAAATATAAAAGTAGTGGCAGTCTGAAACTATCCGTAACAAAAGAATGACGAATTCGCTCAATAACATATGTAGCTACAGGTGGTGTAGCTTTCCAATACTACCAACTCCAAATCTCAACAGGGCATGTCATCTCTTAGAGCGTGTACTTGAACAGCAGGCTCTTATCACCCAGCTTTAGCAATTCGTCTTCCGAAAACTGCGCCCTGACTTCCTCCTCAGGAATCTTCGACTTCTGTTTATTAGCCCAGATATAGCTCAGTTCCAGTAGCAGAGCCGCAAGGACGCCAGAGGCACCAAAGGCCAGGGAAAGTCCAAATCCAGTGTGATATGTAGGAGCTTCTTTATCAAGATACATGAAGCTGCCAATGATACCTCCGATGTTGCCCATGCAAATGCAAAAAGCAAGTCCAATAGCACGGCGGTTAGCTGGAGCCAGGTTGTTGGCCGCCCAACTGGTAGCAGACGGATGGACAGGATAGATACCCATGCACGTCAATACAAGAGCAAAATATCCTGGCCCTGTATGGCTTCCTCCTAGTTTTCCGTTGAATCCCATCACCACGGCGTACCCGATGGTGATGAGCAACATAGGAGCAGCAATGAAGGGCATCCGCCACAGAAAGCGATCGGACAAGTAGGCAAAGAGAATAGAAGAAATGCCTCCTGCCACATAAGCAGGTACTGTCATAAGCTGTGCGATTGTGTTGTTGGTAAATCCCATTGCCTTGATAATTGAAGGAAGAGTAAATTTAGTTCCGTAGGAGCAGGCTGAAATGCACAGCAAAATGTAGGCTTGAAGATAAAGCCTCCAGTTGGTAAGCACCATTTTGAATTCGTACCAGTTGAATCTTTTATCAGAGTGCTGCTCCGAGAAACGCCCACCTTGCTTCACAAATGTTTGGAGTTCGAGAAATCTGATCTCACCGGGAGATAGCCATCCACTGGAAAGTGACGGAGAATCAACAAGAAAGAAGAAACAAAGCACGCCAAGTAAAGTGGTAGCAATGCCCTCGAGGAGAAATATCCACCGCCATCCTTCATAACCACCAACCCCATCCATCAGAGCAATTGCTGCAGCCAACAGACCAGAGAATGCACCAGATAAAGCACTGGTACAGTAGAAGTATGCAATTCTGGTGGCAAGCTCTTTAGGCATGTACCAAAATGCGCAGAGATAAACCGCGCCAGGATAAAACCCAGCTTCAAAGACACCGAGAAGGAGTCGCACAGCGAGTAAACCGCCGAAGTTATTGACAACACCGTGCATAGTCATGATAATTCCCCAGAGTGTGACGAGCGAACCAAGATAGACTGAGGGCCTAAACTTCCTCAACAACACATTGCTGGGAACTTCAAGCAAGATGTATGGGATGAAGAAAAGAGCCAATACAACATTATACTGGTTTCCGACGAGGTGAAGGTCTTCAGAAAGACCTTCAATCTTTGCATTGCCGATATTTGCGCGATCAAGCTGCGAGATAAGGTATAGAATCGCTAGCATGGGTACCAGACGCAAATCGACCTGCATCATATCAACAATGAGCATCAAGTAACGTTGATTTAGTATTGGTAATTAGGCTATCTCACCTTTCTGATAATTGTCTTCCTTTGTTTTTCTGTTATGCTGTTATAGAAAGCTGCGTCTTCTTCGCTCAAACCCAAGACGGGTATGTTGTCAATGACTCTAACTTGAGCCGACTTTCCCATATCATGGTTTGTGGGATCATCTCGATCGTCAACCATGACGATATCAGGTTTGTCGACTTTGACAGAATCTCCCGCCATGTTACGTCCTATTGAAAGATGTCAAGAAGATAGAAATCTCGATCAAAATAGCCAGCTTGTCTCAGGAATTTGACCCAAAGAGGCTCCACAATGCTGTATGGAAACAACAAAGATGTCTCTTGTTTCTTGTACGATGGATTTATCTGGATGTATCAACATTTTATTATAAACAGGAACTTCATCCACTCCCACACGTTTACGCATGACAGCACCTCTACCAAATCCCCAGATTTTTCTCTAGCCCCGCGCTTGGTGATCTGGGGTAAGTTCCACTCACATCTAGCTACAAAACGGTAAACTTAGCGGACCTTTATCCGTAGCCAAGAAGAGATCATCGCGGTATCGGATAAAAGTCCGCTGAATTAAATCGTCGACAAAGGCAACGTTAGGAGCAATATCAATTGCTAGACTCTATGTTGCCAGACTCCGGATTGCCATCCTTGGTAAGCTTAGTCATAGAGCGCGGATATGATTGACTTTGCTTCGTTGTGAAATAGGCCGCGTATTCCCACAATCATCGAAAGAAATTTCTCGTGGCTCTATATGAGTGAATCAAGTTAGAGAGCCATCATGCCCGCAACGATTTACGTTCCTTCTTCTCGGGCAGAGCCTACCAACAACTCGACAGGACACATTCTAACGCAATCCTCAGCCACTGCTATCAATGCATTCAAGTCTGATTCTACATTACGAACAGTCGATGCATTGGTACGGCAGCGGGCTATCTATTATCCTCAAGATCATATTGTCTCATATCCGAGGTCTGGTATCGACTTTATAGATTACAACATACAAGAACTTGATGTTTTTGCTTGGAGAGCAGCGAGTCGCTATGCACAACACGTTCCCGCACGCAAGACCTCCCAAGAAAAGCCGCGTGTGGTAGCTCTCTTGGGCCTATCCAACTTGGAGTATCTCATAACCTTGCTAGCTTTGACAAAGCTCGGACACACAGTTTTGCTTGTCTCTACAAGGATCACAGTGGAAGCCGTTGAATCCCTCATAAATGCTACATCAACAGCTACAATTATTACCGACAAGAGGCATTCAAATACCGCCAAGCAGGTCCAGGAATTAGTACCTTCGCTACAGCTCCTCGACATTGTTGACCGTGCGGTATTTGAGTATTCTATTGAGGCCCATGGTGACACTCAACTAGATGCTCAGCTGGATGCTGAGATTGAGACCCAAAACATTGCCTTCATAATCCATTCAAGCGGTAAGATTCCGGTGCGCTGTATTATTCTACCCAAGTGCTGATGAGTGGTTAGGATCGACTGGCCATCCAAAGCCGATATACCAATCTCACAAGTCATGTCTTGCAAATTACTCCGTGAGCATGAATATGAAATCATTCATTACATTGCCGTTGTTTCACAATCATGGTATTTGCAACTTCTTTCGAGCATTACATAGCCGAAAGTCGATTCATCTTTACAACGCCGAACTTCCATTGACGCAAGACTATTTGCTCAAAATTATGCAAGCAAATAATTTCGAGATATTCTATGGCGTTCCGTATGCACTCAAGCTACTCTCGGAAACACAGAGAGGCATTAGCGTTCTTCAAGAATTGAAGGTTGTGATGTATGGCGGCTCAGCCTGTCCAGATGACCTCGGAAACCTACTCGTTGAGAATGGAGTCAACTTGATTGGTCATTATGGCGCGTAAGTCAATTTGATACCTATTCAGATTACCAAGTACGGGAATATTAATGATTAATAGGACAGAAGTTGGGCAACTGATGACCTCTTTCCGACCTGAAGGTGACAAGGAGTGGAATTACGTACGGGAGAGCGAAAAATTGTCCAAGTTTCTAAGATGGGTTCCGCGAGGGCCAGGCCTTTACGAATGCGTTGTTCTGGATGGTTGGCCATCTAAAGTGCAATCTAACCAACATGATGGCTCTTATGCGACCAAAGACCTATTCCAGCCTCACCCAAGCATTCCTAGAGCGTGGAAATACATTGCCCGACTCGACGACACAATCGTTCTTGTAAACGGCGAGAAATTCAATCCTGTCATGATGGAGGGAAAGATTCGATCCAACAAAAATGTCGCTGAAGTTGTCGTATTTGGCGCTGGCCGGGCGCATCTTGGGATGCTGCTTATTCCTGCTGCAGCATTGGCAGATCGTGCTACTGAGGAGATTCTGGATACAATTTGGCCAGTTGTCGAATTAGCAAACCAAACTGCGGATGCCTTTGCTCGAATTTCACGAAACATGATTCGAGTACTGCCGCATGATTGTTCGTATCCTCGAACAGACAAGGGGAGCATAATACGCCAAGCCTTTTATAAGCAATTTCAGCAGGAGATTGAAGAGGCTTATGATCTTGCTGACACTGTGTCCAGAGAGCTTGTGCAGTTCAGCCTCCCGGAGCTCCAAGACTTTTTGAGAGGCTTGCTTCAAAAGACTCTTCACTCACCTACAACAGTTGAGGACGATGACGACTTTTTTGTGTTGGGCCTAGACTCTTTGCAAGCTATCCATATGAGAAGTGAGATTCTTAGGACAGTTGATATTGGCGGAAATAAGCTTGGACAACAAGTCGTGTTTGAGCAACCGTCGATCAATAGATTGAGTTCCTTCTTACTTAATCTCCGAATTGGTCGCAATACGGACGAGGAGCCATCGATCGAACAACAGATGGAAAGTCTCGTGACGCGATATTCGACAGAGATTCTGTCTATATCTTCTAGATCATCCATCGTAAGTCCATCTTTCTACGATACTTCCAATTATATCTCCTTTTAACATTTGTCCTTGCCAGGTTGTTACGGGAGCCACAGGTTCCCTAGGAGCACATGTCGTTGCAAAGTTAGCCTCTCGACCAGATGTTGACCAAATATACTGTCTTGTCCGCGCTCGCGACTTATCTCATGGCCAAAAACGTGTTGTAAGCTCGATGATGCAAAGAAGGGTATATCATTCGCTACCATTATCCTCCCGGCGCAAGATCATAACTCTGCCCTCCAACCTAGCTGAACCGGATCTTGGCCTTTCTAAATCGGCTTACGAGACAGTTACTGAGAATTTGTCCGCTGTTATTCATTGCGCTTGGTCAGTCAATTTTAATATGCATCTGTCGAGCTTCGAAAAGGGAAATATCGCTGGCGTGTCTCACCTTATATCCCTCTGCCAATCTGCGCAGCCGCCAGCAACGATGAATTTTTGTTCATCTGTCAGTACATGTTCACAAGCGACAATAGTGCCGGTACCTGAACGAGCCCCAGACTTTGCGTGGGCCCAGAATATGGGATATGCTCAATCCAAGGCAGTAGCTGAGCATATCTGTGCTAAGGCTTCCTCTCACGGCGTTACGACCCGCGTGTTGCGCGTTGGACAAATCATTGGAGATACAATACACGGCGTCTGGAATGCACAAGAAGCCGTGCCTATGATGATGCAAACTGCAATAACGATTGGAGCTCTGCCAAAACTCCAAGAGACGCCGTCGTGGCTACCCGTTGATGTTGTCGCAGATGCTGTGACAGATATATCGCTCTCTGATGCAGGCAGCATTTTTGCCAACATAACTAACCCACGTGTTTTTAGCTGGAATAACGATCTCATACCAGCTCTACATAAATGTGGGCTTGTCTTTGACGAAGTTGAGCCAAAGGAGTGGATTAAGAGACTCCGAGCATCAAATCCAGATCCAATTGCCAACCCACCGATCAAATTGACAGACTTCTTCGCATCCAAGTATGATAAGGATTCATTCAATCCGTCTAACATGTTCGCTACCGATGTCGCAAGATCATTGTCGCCAGCTTTGAACAAAATTCCCAATCTCGTGGATGAACATGTCGCAAAATTTGTCAGCTACTTGACCGAAAAGGCGTGGAAGAAGTCATCATCTCCTGCTGGTGTTGAGAAAATGGCTATCATCATGATCGGTCCTTGCGGAACCGGCAAATCTACCATTGGGAAGAAGGTATCACAAACTCTCGATGTTCCTTTTATTGAAGGGGATGAATTGCACTCTCGCCAGGCCGTTGAAAAAATGCGGTCTGGTGTGAGCCTTGCGGATGATGATCGCATATCATGGATAGATCGAATCAACCACCGCGCAACAGGCACTCTCTTTGACCTTGCTTATGATTCAGTTGTGATCAGCTGCTCAGCACTAAAGGAAGTATATCGTGACCAGATTCGTCACTATATGACGGCACACAAAGTGAAGGTCGTTTTTATCAGTTTAGAGGCTGATAGAGAGGTTCTTGCTAGGCGATTACAAGAGCGCAAGGGGCATTATATGAGCCAACATTTGGTTGATAGCCAGATTGACTTATATGAGGAGCCTGGCAGTAAGGAATATGACATTGTGCCTGTTGATGCGGAAAAGGATGAGGAGACTGTCTTGGAGATGGTTCGTTGGTTATTAGAAGATGCTGTTAAATTGCTTTGAAGACATGTATGGCGCATTTACTATCATACAACAAAGCAGTAGTGTACTGTTATCCTTTAATCATATCATATCAGCTTCAAGTTCGTATGTGAGTGTTATATATAACGTGGATCTCCGTTTGAAGTGACGTGTGATGGACAATTCTTTTGGACGTTTCATGTGCTCAAGCCCATCGACCGTGTCGGTTTAGACATTAATTAAATTATCTGGAGCGCGTTATCAGACTACAAAACTGACTCGGAACGCTTTCTTTTACAAAGGTTCCATCAACACTAATGGCCCAGCTGGTACTATTAGAGGTCCCTGGCTCTCCTGGACAATTCTCCATTTAGAATCCGCATATCCCAGCGCATAGCGCCCAATATTGGGTGCTGTCGTGCGATAAAAGGCAGCCCTAAGTGGCCCTTCTTCATCCTGATCCCAATACAGTCTCCGAAGCCAGGAATGAAGTCGGGGATAGTCATGCCGAATTGACTTTAGGTTGCATTGGAAAACACTGTGGTAGGCAACGTCGAAGCGTGCCAAGGTTGTGTATAAGCGTATATCGGCCTCAGTAATGAAGTCTCCAAGGAGAAAAGGTTTTCCATGACTAAGATGTTCTTCAAGGCGGTCAAGAGACGCGAATAGTGGACGGATGTTTTCGTCATACGATTCTTGCGATTTGGAGAAACCGACTTTATAGACACCATTATTGACAGTGTTGTACACCCAATCGTTCATTTCGTCAATCTCAGCTCTGAGTTGTTGCGGATAGAGACCCTTTCCAGGACGGTTTTCTTCACGGAGATCCTCCGGAAGGAACTCGTCGAATTCGGAGTAGAGCATACGGATAATTTCTGAAGATTCGTTATTGACTAGGACGTCGGCCTTTTTATCCCATAATACAGGCACTGTATATCGACCAGTGTAGTTGGGATCCGCTTTGAGATACAGTTCTTTAAGTTTCTTGAATCCGTGTAAAGGATCTTCAGTAAGAGAACCTCCTTCTCCACTGAAGTACCATCCCTCGGGGCCCATGTGAAAATGGACTTGGTAGACATCAATGATAGAATCCAGGCCTTTTAGGAGCCGTACGATTATGGTTCTATGGGCCTATATAGGTGATGTCAGATGCATTTCTTTTTCAATAACTTCAAAGGAAGTAAGATTATGGTTTGGTGATGTTCGTCCTTACTAACCCATGGACACCCTGGAGAGAGGTACAGCGCATAGCGGCCCTTTTCCGCTGGAAACCGCGAGTTTGGGTCCTTTGAGATAAAATTTCGAAAAATACTGTCCGGGCGAGTAAAACGTCCCTTGTCGTGATATATCTAGAAGACTAGGTGAGTGATTGAATGGAATAATACCTAAATTTGAGGGATGGCTGTTATACTTGCTGAGCCGATGACATCTTGTACAACTAACTGAAGTTATTTTATCCCAACTACGGAATGAAACTTTAAAATATCATGCCGATTTTATAGCAGAATAAGCTTGTATATGCTCTCTTTCCTATTCGTAATGGATGTATGAACGGGCATACCGGTTTTAAATAAAACGAAGCCGCGAATCTTTATTTACACTCCAATACCTCATCTACAGTATTGCAAGTAATGACAATGACGCGATGATTAAGCTTACAAATCTAAAGCCACAGCGCGGGGACGGTATTTCCAAGCCTTTATCAATCCAAGCTAGGACTTTTTAAGCTGCTAATCCCCTCATCGGCTTTCTCGTAGTAGTCGAATATTGAACTTTACCTGAATCAATATACATAGATTGAAGCGGGTGAATCGCGTGGGAACAGACGAGCTTCAGGCTGTGGATATCCCTAACAAGACCGCGGCTAATATTCTTGTGGAAAAAACTCACAAGCGCCGTTATTTAAAGGATTAGCAAATGCAACACGAAAAAAAAAGGGAGCGACGGAGAAGGAGGCTTGTAAGGGGTTGTCATGCGCAAGTAATGAGAAGAGGGTGTGGGATGGTTTGCTGGGATGCGCAAAACCATAAGCATGCATATGCTCTATTGCTTCTCAACACCTGTGAGAATAAGAAAGTGGGAGTATAGAGACGGGAAATATTATGCAAAATAAGCTTAGTAGATACTATCCCGCCTAGCCAAATGAAGCAGAGTCCCCTCACATAGCATATCTAATAAGCTGCTTGTGGCTTTGTAACTCCAACTTCAATGTCAGCATAATAGTGTCCAGAATAGAAGCTATCTATTAATGGAGTATAGTTTTCGGATTTATAAATCCGGTTTTGTTCGAGTGTCGTGGCATTACCAGCATGCCTGCTCAGTCCCACACGTGGCATATCCCGATTCAAATGCAACGCTCCGTTCGCCCCATGATTTACCACCGTTCGAATGTGGTAAAATGCTGTCCAGTAATGCCGTGGTTTTTAAGTTGTGCCGGGTCTTGGTCCACATGTATTTTATGATAGTATGCATTGCTACCCCTAGGCCAGGCCTTCAGCGGGGTTTCCAGTTGCCAACTTGTAGCCCAACTTCAATTAATTGATAACTGAAAGCCCCGCTGAAATCTGACCAAGGGGCAGCCCAATACCAATATTTTTTTGAAGTAGTCTACCGCGTAACAAACGACTAAAATCTCACTGATAGACATGTTTGTTTTAAACGAGAAAGAAGCACCATTCAACAATTGCTCAATAACTAATCAAAAATGATCAATGGCTATTTCTATTTTTGTTGCTCAAGGGGTGTATCATGCCACGTAATTAATTGCCGTAGGCCTCTGCTTGGCTACCTATGTAACATGCCATCCATTCGTCTCTTCAATATGATATTGCCATAATCTGACTATATAAATGAAATCATTTCTAAGTGAATACAGACAACTCTGAATTAAAACAACCTTTGACCCCAAAATGTCAACATCCTCCGGCAGTATTACAACTTTTGATGGTGTTACGCTGAGATATATTACCGCCGGAAATACCTCTGGCCCTGTTCTGCTCCTGATTCCTGGCTGGGTCCAAACTGCGATCCAATGGCGAAAGCAAATTGCATATTTCAGCACCAACTACCGTGTCATCGCTATTGATCATCGTGGCCAAGGTGACTCTGACAAGCCTGGCCGAGGGTACCGAATTACAAGATTGGCCGCAGATTTACACGAAGTCATCACTCAGCTGGATCTTGAGGATGTAACTCTTTGTGGGCATTCTATGGGCTGTTCAGTAATCTGGGGATATTGGGACACTTTCGAAGCTTCTCGCAAAAGAGTCTCTCGCCTCATACTTATCGATCAATCGCCTTGCATGATCGCGGATCCAGCATGGGAATCGGGCGTCGCAAAATCCCTAGGGGCTATATTTACACATGCTAAAACTCTTGAAATGGGGGCCAGTCTCCGCGCAGCCGGAGGCCATGAGTTTGCATCGGCATTCTTGAGATCCTTGTTCTCACCATTGTTGAGTACAGAAGACTTTGAATGGATGGTGCAGCAATGCAGCAAGATGAAGCTCGAGGATGCTGCGGCATTGCTGGTAAACCACGCTGCCCAGGATTGGAGAGATGTTCTACCAACGATCACTGTCCCCACGCTCGTTGTCGGTGCTGAGGGGAGCGTTATGGGTGGAGAGTGTAGTCGATGGATTGCTTCGCAGATACCCGGCAGCCGAGTAGAGATATTTGAGGAAGACGAAGGTGGCAGCCATTTCATGTTCTGGGAAAACGATGCCAAATTCAACACAATAGTTGAAGAGTTCCTTCAAAAGCGATAGAACTGTAGATTACAATCAAAGCAGACTTTTTAGCCGAAAAATGAGTAACTTACCCTCATACCTTTTACTCAAAGGTTCTATTCATACTAAAGAAGCATGGTTACCAATTAAGCCTTTCAATTGATTATATAATAGGAAAACTGTGACTTCTCATTCTCCATTACAAATAAAGCGGGAACCGCTCCGGTTCAATCACATCACCAAACATAAACTTCACTACTCACAGTTTTTGCATGCCTCTCCAGCATTGCGCTTGCGCGGCCATAATACACATGTTGAAATACTTTGTGGCACAAGATTTTAAGTAGGAAAGTGAAGTATAACATGTAAATATGCTAAACATAACGTATAAATAAATAAAGGGAATTTGAGCGGCAGATTTGAATACCATAAAGCCTTTGTTAAAGGTCGTCATCCATGTCATCTGGCAGTGGCATCGCCTCCAATACGCAATCAAAAGCCTCACTACTCCAAAAATAATGGCAGTCCTCGTCAAAAGCTTCATAATTTGCTTCATCTTCATCTTCAGCATCACCTGTATTCGCCGGCACATGTTCGTAAAAAGGGTTCCCAGCATTTCTTCTTGCCGTTTCACTAGCGACTCCACCTTTCCTCAGCAACGCGAGTTCCGTCTCGAAAGTGATGGTCAAGATGTAATAGTTCAGATAGCATGAAGGACCCTCTATACTCGGTCCCGTCCATCGGGAAACTTTATGGCATTTGCCTGAAACATCTGCATATAAGATGGTTCCACCATATTGTCCGAAGAACCAGTTTTCTGCGATGTGCTTGCCAATGGCGTCAACCTCGTCTTTCCTTGATTCACATGCCTCAAGTTCGATTCTGAATTCGGTCTTTGAGGGGGATAGAGCGCTAGAGACTTCTTTGATCCACTTGGCTGTGAAGCGTAGTGGCCAGTTTTGCCTCCAGTATCTCCAGTCTGTATCGCGAATTGTCAAAGTGAGCTGTCGAGGGTGTAATCCAGGTGTCCGTAGTAGGCTAGCCAGATCATCATGCTCTAGGCGAAACATTTGTACAAACGCATGGAGGCTTCCAATCTCGGCCTTTTCTTGGCCTAACTGCCGTGCGAGGCTGGGCAAGAGCCGCTGTAATTTTCCTGCACGCTTCCAATGACAGTATTCAGGCGGTGCTCTCAGTCTATGGCCCATCCAGACTGTCTCCTCCCAGAGGGCAACTGGGAGGGGCCAGGTCTCACGGTAAATGGCGCGGCATGTCCTAAGCAAATCGGTGCTGGTCTTGCGCGGTGCAAAATACGAGGGTCGTGAGTAGAAGGTGTTGGTGTTGTACAATGCTTGCGTGTCTTCATAGTGCGACAGCGCAAAGGTAAATATCTTGGCGCGTATTTCCGCCGGAAGGAGGGAGAATAGAGGTGAGTCTTCTTGCGCATCAATCCTTTTGGAGAGGAGTCGCTGATGAAGAGGAACCATCGAGTTCCTGAGGCCCGGGCGGCGAGAGTAGCGCTGGCCCTGAGGGCCTGTAAATGGTTGAGCCACCATGTTTATTTTGGAGAACGGAAAGGCTGATTAATTGCGGTCGATGGTAGAATAAAGTGACCACTATGCTTTATTTATCAAGGGCATAAATAAAGAGCCAAATCTTAAGGTGCTGCTGCAATAATTGTTGAGAGGCTCTGTTCTTGCACTTGCAGGAAATAGGCAGCAAATACATGTAGGCAGCCGTGGAGTGACTGTTACGACCTGGTTTGTGGCATCAAGGGGCGCAATTCAGTGGCTGCCATTCACTTTACCAATGTACCAAGACGTCAATGCTTCCTACAACATGGGCATATGTGGCTTTGGTATGATGATCTAGCGCAGTCGGATCCCTACAGTCAACAACAGAAGAGTTCACATGGGCTCCCCTGACTAGGTCCATTCACACAGCTGGATGCACGTATTGTTTCATGTTCCAATTAGCCGCAATTTATCATTGTTGTTGGCGGGGTAAAACATGAGCAAACAAATGATATGTGAGTCATACACATGCAGAAGCTCTTTATATCTAGGTTATGTTGACAGACGTCATGTCTTGGCGTGGCTGTAACAATCGTTATTTGATGCACTCTTGCGAACTGTGGCTGGTACAGTGCGAGCTTCCTCTCATCATTATGTACTGTTTTATGGCAGAGGTGCCATTTCCGGCACCGTAGCTGTCATTGAAGAATGTTCAAAAAGATGGGCATTGTTCCAAGGAAACTGGCCCAGAGCGCCTCGACACCCCGTGTCTGTATGGTACTCATCTCTTCCTGTTCGCAACGATGCCGGCCGGCGCTGAGATAGAAATCGGAGACAGCAGGGTAAACAGACCCTCGTCGATCATGGAAAACCAGCGCCGGCGCTGAGCAACCCGAATCTCAGCCCGTGCAAGACTCAGCTTCTTAAATTTACGAGATGAATATTCCACGATATACATATTCTCAAAAATACACCTCTACTAATACCAACACCGAAAATATCGTTATTGAATCTCCGCAAAATCTACTATCTCTAAATCATCAGCTAGGTACGTTGGGGCCGGGGAAATTTACAATGGTACTTCCACCTGACCCGAACCGAGGGGAGGGGGAACGATCGTCCAGTTCCATCAGAGCTCTTCCGATAAAGCAAGGTCCTGTATTCGAAGAAAGGTTCTCAACAACTTTGAATCTTCAGATACGCGCTGGCAAAGATTGCTGCATACTACCTAAGGTAAGCAGAAAACTGCGTGACTCTAAAATCTACAACAGCGGTGCGGGAATCGGGGAATTCGCGACCAAGGCCCTGACATGGATCAGATGCGCTATGTATCGGTAGAAGATTCCGGCGCCTGTCATGTTATAAAATCCGACATATGGGACATCTTCAGGACGCATCAAAGCGTCAGACTTGCCGTTCCCCGGTAATGCTCACCAAAGCTTTTTACTCTTTACTCTTTACTCTTTACTCTTTACTCTTTACTCTTTACTCTTTACTCTTTACTCTTTACTCTTTACTCTTTACTCTATACATACATATACTACCCAAAACTACCTCAAATCATGACAAGTATCACCTGAGCTTTCACCAGTTTGGTCTTCATAGCACGCTCTCGTAGCCTCAAACCCAGCAAACCGGCTGCATAATGACTGCCGCCTCTATTACCAGCTCAAAGCAAGCTAACTTGGTCCTAGACCATATCCTTCACCACCTCCTTTGCATCTACGCCCTTGGAGCTACTCCGCTACAGATGGAAAAAGCTTTCGACCAAAACGCTGCCTACCAATTGCCGTCACACTACGCCGATTCAGGGCACGCACAGCAATTGGCTGACCCGGCTGAGTTCAAGAAGTGCCTCGGATATTCCAAGTATTTCAATGACTACTTCCTCTTTTCTCGTAAGGAAATTGAGACCCATGGAATTCCAACGACAGTCAACACATCTAATTTTGGCGAAAATGAGCGAGCTATGGACATGTTCGACAGGATTTTTCAGGGGTGAGTCTTGTGTAGGATCTTGCAATACCACCGCATGGGCGGCTGACCTGATCCATAGGCTATCTGCACTGCATCATCCACCTTAGCTATGCCCTCGTATACAAGCAACCGTTCCTGGTTGCTGAGGCACTAGCCTCAACCGCTGTCCAATTCCCTGAGCTCCGCTATTTCCTTCCTCCAACTGACAGAGTTGCACCGTCTACTGCAAGTGCGTCGCAGGTGGAGATGCACGATCAAATACGTACAAACGCGATAATCCACAATGCAATGCATTATGACTATATCGACAAGATCCACGACGGCTTGATTGGTGAAGCCGGTGACCAATTGCTCAGTGTTATCAGTCAGTGGAAGGTATCGGCAGACGAGGTAGAAGTTAAGGCTGCTGAGCTGTTTAACGCATGCGGTATGATCTCCCCCTGCTACTTATCAATTACTACTGACAAGAGCTAATTACAGGTATCATGAAGTATACTACACAACTATGGCCCAGAGATCAAATAAGCAGATTTCGTTTTGACTTCATGCCGATGTACACTGTAACCACTGCCACATTCTTTCCGGTTTATCTCAAGACAGACTGGATCAAGCCTGGGTCAAAAACCTGCCTCGTTGAGTGGCTTGGTCGAGCCAACGTGCTGCTCTGCGCTGAATGCGGTGCCCCAGAGCCTCGTCCAGAGGATTTCAAGACCTGCAAGCTATTTCGCCCGTCTGGGTGAAATGGCGTGTTCCGACGTGCATATGAGTATGAAGATGACGGCTATACGTCAAAGTTTGTTCGCGGAATTGCAACCATTGCGCAGATGACGAACGGGTGTGATGAGAACGCAAGCTTCAAGCCCATTCATCAGGAAGATCTCTTGACTATTGCCCATATGAGTATGTCCATCCCGTCACTACCTAATGGCTCAGAGTAAGGGTGGAGCTAACCTTAGAATCGTAGTTATTGATAGTGTGGAGAGTTTCGACAAGTCTGCTGTTTAAGAGGTGCATGGGGTTCGGAGTAGCATTGCTCAATTGATACTGGAATCGGCTAGGAAAAGATCCCATTGCTCCCAGTTGATAGTTTGATACGCCCTATTATCTGCGCTGACGTCCCCGGCCAGCAGAGAACCCAGGTCTATGTCTTCTATAGCATAGGTATATTCAGCTTCGCTGCCGTGCTCATTGACATGCTCGAATCGTTGATTTTGACCACCAGCATCCACGTGTTCCGCACCGTCTTCCTGGTTGGATATCGTGCCGTGCTTAAGACTTGTCGATGCGGTAGTGGCCTCTGAGCTGATGGGGTCCCACTGGAACGCATCCTCGGCTTTCCTACAGCAGGCTTGTCTTTTGATCTTCACCACTTCTTGTTGCTGCCGTAGCTTCAAAATAAACGCCGGCGTCTGGAGAGCATAAACACCATTGCGCTGCAGCCTGTGAGCATCGTATGCTTTCAGACAGAGACTTCGCACGGCTCTGTGGATGGGCTTTCTCGAGTCGGAGAACATGCTCATATTATTCTCGAACGTGTTCGCAATCAGCCTCCACGCTTTCTCGGCATCCGGCGTAGACGGATTGGCTTGGAGGCTATCGAGCACGTGGATGAAAGCAGGCCATTGCATGGTAAACGCTGCGTGCCATGCAAACTTCTTCAGTGAGGGGTTTGACTGCAGCATGTCGCGCTGCTCTAGAAGCCTGATGCTGACTTCCCATACCCATTGACGCTCAAATGGCGGCGCCTGGTTGATGCTGGTCCATCTGCGTGGATGGTGTGTCATGAAGCGAATGGTGTCTATCGCAGCCCGTGCCATCAGCGTCGACATTAGCTGCAGCGGCTGCGAAGGGTCGCAACGCCGGAGGTATTTGTTTTCCAGATGCTCTTCTATTTCCTTCACACTTTGATCCGTCTCCGCCTTGTCACCTTCGGATGCGAAATCCTGATCCCACTGGCTCAGACTCTTCCCTAGATGACGAAACTTGGCAACGCGGGCGGCGGCGAACCAGAGTAGGTCGTATCTTATAGCGAGAAACGTCATGTCCGTCAAATTTCCCGACTCCACCGGCGAGACAGGCATTCCCGGATAGAGCTCAATGTCGTTGATGTTGGTGGGACGCCTTGTGGAGTCGCTGCTCAGGCCAACATCTCGAAACTTGGGAAGGCCGCACAGCTCAGCATTATGTAGATCTTGCGCTTTCAGAAACCACCACATGCGTCGCCGCAGCTCTGTTTCAAATGGTGGCAGCCCAAGAAGTGTTCCATCGCGATCAAGGCCCATGCCGATGGCAACGCGAACCGCCACACCTGTCAAGGTCCAAAGGGCACGCGGCTCGTACATGTCTCGCGCTGAGATGATATGAATGACCAATGCCTGAAGAACTACAAGGCTAGATGTGCTCATGAAGTTGGCTCGCGATAATGCTGCCTTGGTGGCAGTCATTAATCTAGATCTCAGAGACTTTCGAGGCTCGTGAAGTCGTTCCTCACACTCAACGTCGCTCAGTGACATAACGGCGGCGCTGTAGATGGCAAACATGAGTGCCTCAAAGCTCCGCGAGACCGTGTCTACTTCATTTGCAGCTTTATGAAATGCCTTTTCTAATGTGGGGATATGCACAACTTTGGAGAGAGGATCAACATTTTCCACAAAAGTGCGCCATAGTTCATGTATCTGTTGTGGCGGTGGATGAAGGAGTTTGGTGCGAGATATCGGTGGGCCGCCAAGCACAAAACTAAAGTCATCATTGAGGGTTTCTGCATCACTCGAGTCGTCTGAACTCCTCCGCAGAGCATCCTCGGGGTCGTGAAACTTATGATACCGTTAGCGCCTAGCAAACAACTTGAACCCAAGCAAGATACGCGACTGGACACTCACCTCTTCCACAACTCTTGACCACAAGCTACTACGCGGGGACTCAGCAAATATATCTAAATTATTGGGGGTCTGAACTCACTTATCAATCAACATTGACTGCCCTCGTCCTCGGATAACTTGAGTTTTGCTGACACTCCCGCTCGGCTCTGATGAGCTCGATTGTGAGCCGCGAATTCCCTGACTCGACAGATGGCTCCGTGAATCAGTATCAAGAGGATTGGATGATTCTTTCGGGTTGTGGCCTTGCGCTTGAAGGCGTGTTTGCGGGTATTCGCGCCTATCTACCTGTATCGAAGGTCCAGCCGCCCCAGGTCGACGTCTTCTCCGAGGAGGCGGCGGAGGTTGAAACACGCACTCAGCTCCATGTGTGACACACGCGGTGCATGGTATATGCCTGTCACATTTTACTTTGCGCCCAGCGCAGCGAACGCAAGCAAAAGTTGGCCTGCTGGGAACGCTCAAAGGTGGATTGCGTGCAGTTCCCATGGCATCCGATTAGGCGGAGAGAAAGTATGACCCCTCGTTGTAATTGAAGCTAATCCCCCATTCCCTGCCGATCCACAGTCAGTACAGGTAGTTATGTCGGCGTGTTGAGTACTGTCGTGAAGAATGCTAATGAACAGATATGAAGAGATAGATGCGAGATGACTCAACATATGTGCCATCAAGTCGGGCTGCACGCTATCTAGTAGGAGCGGCCATCCATGTCGGCATCAATATTTCATTTGCACAGTAGCTCGGGCCTTAGTGGGCTCGGGCCTTAAGTGACTCGGCCCCGAGTGGTTCGGCCCCGAGTGCCGCCATCAACCAAGATGGGGCTTCCGAAGCCGAAGGCCTGCTGGACATCAGATAGGTAGAGCCGCTTGAATAAGACAGGTAGAGCCGCTTGAATAAGAAAAGTACATATATCAAGCATGCTTCACTAAGGCTTTAGAATAATCTTCACTCGTACAGTAACCCTTCTTCGCCCAAACTTCGCGTGTTTGTCACTGCACAATGAAGAGTGCCATTGCCATCATCGGGGCCGGCCCTTGCGGCCTCACTCTAGCCCGCCTCCTCCACCGCAAGAATATCCCCTTCACCGTCTACGAAAAGGAAGAATCAGCGGCCACACTAGTCTCTAGTGGCTCACTTGATATACGCAAAGAAACAGGTCAGCTTGCTCTTCGGGAGGCTGGTTTGTACAATGCCTTTGCTCAGAAAGCAAGATGGGAGGACGATCGGGTTACCTTTTTTGACTCCTATGGAGAGCTGTTGCATCGAGCTACTGGCGAGGCACAAGATGGAGAAGACGGCTTGAAGACCGGTGGAAAGCCCGAGATTGACCGCAGGAGCTTGCGAGACATCCTTCTAGAGTCAATTCCGCAAAACCAAATAGTGTGGTCTCATCGTCTGATAAAGTTAAGTTTCGACAGTGACAACTCGTCTCCCGTCCTAAATTTTTCCAATGGCAACACAGTTGGTGGATTCTCGCTCGTTGTCGGGACGGATGGGGCCTGGAGCAAAGTACGAGCTGCGGTACGGCTGTCATCACTTCCTCGACATTAAGAGCCAGACGTTTAACAAAATAGTTATAGATCACCTCTACAAAGCCACAATATGCAGGAAGTACCTTCATCGAAACTCGCATACAGGAAAGCAGCTTATTGCACAAGACGCTGACGGACAAAATCGGTCATGGCATAGCTCTATTTCTGGCAGGGCCAAGCCGTATGATCATTCAACGACAAGGCGATAACTCATACAGGATCTATTTTGGCATCACTGCCCCCGAGCACTTTGTTGGCACGTCTATGGACTTGAACAAACCCCAAGCTACTCGCGATATGCTCTTGTCCTCTTTCTTCAAAGGCTGGGCTGAGGATTTAAGAGATTATATTCGAAACGCGGAGAATTTCCGCAGCTGGCCGCTGTATCAACTTCCTGCAGAAAGCTTTGGTTGGAACTCGGTACCAGGTGTGACTTTGGCGGGAGACGCTGCGCACTTATCGTTACCCAATGGGGAGGGTGTCAATCTCGCCATGAAGGATGCCTTTGAACTCGTTACTAAGATTGAAGAAAACGGACTGGAGCATATAAATAAGGCGATAGAGGAATATGAGAGGGATATGTTGAAACGCGGCAAATATCACATCAAGGCCGGTGAGGAGATGGATCGACTCATGACGCATCCTGAGGGAGCGAAGGCTGTTGTGAAGGCTTTCGCTGAGAGCTAATCCTATTGACAAATAGAAATAGGCCCCACCTACCATTTTACTATTACTACAATATACGATCTACTTCTGGCTTTAGATTTACATGTAATTATAGAATTAGTTATGCAATATAATGCTCGCCTTAAGAAAAAGATAACGATCCAACTTCCGGCCAACAGTAACTCCCGAATACAATCTCCGGGCGAATTTATATACATGCATTGAATGTGAAAAGAAGCTGACGCTAGTTCTTGATGTGCCATGGCGGAAACGCCAGTACCATAAATACTCTCTGCATCGGGCACCACGATTGTTATTGTATACCTCTCGTTCTTGAAGCGGGATTACTGTTGCCGCTTGTATCGCTGAAGATCAGCGCAGTATTGTCACTGTGCGGAACTATTGGTTGAGCTGACCGTTATTGCACTACCTACATGTACCTAGCTTACAATAACTTGCCGCAGTGAACCTCTTAGGGTGGGCTAACAGATTGACTTTTCATGAGTATTCTCCTGTTATCGCAATCTTAATGTATAGGCACCTAGGTAAATAATTTGAAACATAGACTGGTATGGAGTACCGCTTTACGGTTTCTGTCATACAGCACCGCTTTGGTACTAGACTTGATCAGTTACTGTTGATTCAGCCTATTGTTGGAGACATCGTCCTCTTATCTAGAAACTGCTTTCTTTTTAACATCTGATAGTGTGCTGTGGGCTAAATCTTCACAAGACAATAGCGACATGTTAGCCCATAACCTTCTAGTATGAGAGCTCATTTGTAGAGAGGTACAGGTAGGTAGGTAGTATTGTTTGCGACAAAAAAAATGTCAGAACTAGTAGTTACCGAGCTATATCTCGGGTATACCTCCGAATCTATCGGCAGGCACCTTCTCCATCTCAATTACCTCCGCCTTGCCGCTAACCTTGTGTTCCAACTCATAGCTACCAAACCGTCTAGTCGGTATTTCTTTGTCAAACATTTCATTAATTTCCTCTAAACTGCGTCCTTTCATCTCCGGAACACAGAAATACGCAAAGAAGAATGAGCATATTGCTAGCGCTCCGAATATGAAGCCAACCTTGGACTGCAAATTTGCGTATGGGGCGTTGAGCAAATAAGGGGTAAAGAATGAAAAGAGAAAGCTATGAGTACAAATGTCAGCTGTATGCTATTGAACATGAGAGGTTCCTTTTTTTATCATAGACTCACTTGGTTAAGATGTTAACAATGGAAGCAACCCTCTGGGTCTTATCACGCAATCGTGATGCCGGAAGTTCCGTCGTCACGATGTAGTTCATGGGATCCCAGCTGAAGCACAAACTGGCTGATGATAGTGCTGTCGCTGCTACTATCACCTGCTTTTGAACAAGCGTGGGGTTTGCCGCCGTTCCGATGCCGCCCATGGTGAATAGCCAGATCACCTGAAGGACCGAGCCAGTCATGAGGATTGGACGGCGACCTACCTTATCTGTGATTGAGATTCCAACCAGACAGCAGAAGAAGTTGATGCACGAGCTCATGATGGAATAGTTGAACGGATTAATCGAGCCGATGGATTGGACAAAGAGTGTCCCGTATGCGGCAGTGAATGGCGATCCTGTGGCTTGGATGAAAAAGTTCATGCCCATAGCAACAAGTGTACGCCTCCGGTTGGTACCTCGAAATAGATCCGAATACTTTCCTTTATTGTGCTCTTCTACGAGAGACAATCGAAGTAACTCGAGATCTTCAAGGGCATTGTAAGAAGGATCGGAGCCGCGGAGTGTTTGCAAAGACAGGAGAGCTTCTTCCTCCCTATCCTGAAGTAATAGCCACCGAGGGGACTCCGGTATGAACCAGACACATGATGCAACTGTCAGCGGAACAAGGTAGAAAAGGCCCATTGGAATTCTCCATGCTGCATTGCTTGAAAGCCCACTGGTGCCGCGGCAGACGCTGTTTATAATGACGCCACCTAGTAACAGGCTAGTTTGATACGTTCCAACTGCGAAACCCCGAATGGGGGCTGGGACGATCTCGGCCTGGAATGGAGGACATGTAGATAGCTCCATGCCTATATATGTATAGTTGAGGATACGACCTGCGAGGACTTGTCCTCTAGTTGTGGCTGAGATGAGCACCGTCGCAGACATCATAGCCCAGAGAGACATGCAGAACATGGACATTCTACGGCCATAGCGAGCACTAATGATGCTACCGATGTAGAGACCTGACGTGATTGTGCATTAGATACGTTCTCTTTTCAACTTGTATCGATAGTTACCGACGTACCAGCAGCGAACCCGATGAAGTTGAGACTGTTCAAAAGAGACAGGTAGTATGTGGGTATGGCATAGGTGTTGGTCTTTGGGTTGTAGTCTCCGAATTGCTTTTTATATGCAAGCATTGCTTGACTTGTAGCAATCCCCTGGTTATCAAAACCATAGTTGAAGGTAGATAAGGCAATCAGAGCCACCGAGAGTGCCAACCGAGGGGTGAAGTGCCGAAAGAATCGGTTTTCTCGAAGAAATGACGGTGCCATTTTTGGTAGCGTTTAACTGCGAGCCGAGGAACCTGCAGCAGTAACTGCGATATCGTCGGATGTTGTCGAGTATATATACTCGAACTTAGCTGAGAGCGATCTTTACCCGGGGCATTGGTAGAGAGGAATATTCGTTATTGAGTGATCTAAGGGGCCATCACGCCTTCGCTGAACCATGGCTTGGTTGTCCAAACTACCACGAAGGGGACTAGGCCCATGCTTGGTTGAGACGACAGAGCCGTCGCTTTACAAGCATTCGGTGATAGCGTCCGGTTGAGATGTAGGTCTGAAGTTGACAGGCGGAGGGCTTGTGGACGAAGCATGTGAGTTGAGAACTAGAAAATCTTTCCGCGCCCTAAAAAATCTTTCCGCCCGTAAGCAGATTCGGAGCTAATTTAGAAAGAAGAGGCGGTCATCTTTGATGCCAGCGCTGACTCGCCTTCATGTGGTCGCCTAACTGTTAGTCTCATGGCGCGATGAATTAAATACCACACGAATTGTGGGATTTGAAACGGTTCCATCTAAATGGCTCGTTGACATCTCAAAACTGGGTGCTTCAACACGGGCTGGAATGAAGATATTACGGAGGAGAGCATCGGTGGTGCTGGTTTCCATCAGACATCCCACTCAGCCATCTCATGTCAGGTACAAGATGCTCAGGCACAAGATTCAAACAATCTCATCGTATCGTATCCCCGCACCGGATTCTCCACCGTGTTGGGGTTTAACGCCCCCACATGAAGTGGCAACCAACTAGCATCAAACTTAATATCATAGCCAAAGAGAGGTGTGCGTGAGTTGGGGCCGCCAGTTCATTTGCATCCTGCACCTCCTTGTGACAGGTACAACCCGAGTATGAATTAAATATGGCTCGAGATCGGGCCTGTGATGCATGTGCAGCTCGAAAGGTGAGATGTGATCGGGGGTTGCCATGTAAACGATGCCAGAGCCTCTCTCTCCGATGCGTGGCCGAGAGGAGAAAGCTCAAGGCCGGCCCCAAAGGGCCCTGGGCACAAAGGAAGCGAGAGGCTCTATTAAATAATAAATCGGCAATGGAGTCGACGATGATTAATAGAAAAGCTCCAATTCCCGTTTCTGATAACGATACTTATTCGCAGCCGTCAAATCAACCTCACATCTACCCTGGCATGAATCGCGTCCCGTCTTCCGCGTTTGAGCATTACCTCGGCCTCTATCAGCAAGCTCTATACCCGGTGTGGCCGGTTGTCAACATAGATACTCTCCTCAATCGACTTCAGGACTCCACTGACATCGAAGCATATGCCCTCGCTGCAGCAGTCAGTGCAGTCACCATAGCACAACTCAAGCCTGCATCTCACGAAGCACTTGGCCGTTTTGGAGGCGATGATGGCGCGTTCATGGCTTCTGAATCCTCACGGGCGAGATATGAAATGGATCACCTAGAGCATCCTTCCATCAGCGTTTTGCTGTCTTCATTCTTTTTACATGTGTCGTATGCAAACCGCGGCCACATTCGAAAGGGTGCCATGCTGCTACGCGAAGCTATCACTTTTGCTCAGATGCTGAGCCTTGATAAGGCGATTCATTATGCTAGTCTACCTAAACTTGAGGCTCAGAGGCATCTGCGCATAATCTGGTTATTGTTTGTGACAGAAAGGTGAGTAGAGCCTCTTATTTTGCTCCAACGCACGATGAGCGCCGCTAATGGATGATACAATCAGAGGCCATACGACGCGATTTGACTTTCCAAGGATATTGCAGCTTGATCCTGATCTGCCCGAACTAGAAGTGGATGAAAACCCCCCAATTTTGTTCGCCTTTATCAGCTTGAGCAAACTCTTCCAAAGCTTTGCTAATGCAATGGATGGTGATGGATCTTTGCAAACGCACGAGTATTTTGCCTCTATGCATGCTCGCTTACGAGGAATCCAGCAAGCTTCGCGGAATTCCACTGATTTACAGAAAGCAGATTTTCTCATGACGCAACAGTGGATGAGAATTGTCTTATGGAAGACATCCATGTACTATATCAACCTTCTGCCCAATGCATCAGACGAAGGCCTTAGTCTGTCTTTCCCAAACCGGATCGCGCGAAATGTGGTTCAGAACATAGATACATTTCCCCGGTCCGTCATTGAAGCACACGGCCTGGGAATGGTAAGTAGCAATTTGTTTGGCTAAGATAACCTCTGACTAACATGAGCTTCTGTTAGGAAATGAAGTTGTTTGAAGTGGCAATGTCACTAGCCGATATTCTGCTATGCCTCCCTTCGACATTCGAGGGCAAACAGCTGATGAATGTTGGCCCTCGAGATATTTTGAACCGCCTTGCTGAGTTTCTGACCTGTTTTCGTGGCGGTGGCGATAATATTAAGCTCCAAATTCTGCATGATAAGATGCAGGAGATTTCAAGCAGCATCGCTCGGCAGCCTCGTTTTCTTGAGAATGATGAGGAGCAAGAAGTTGAGCGTCTCGAGTGGGTATGACGTTTAAGGATTTAGGATTCCAACTGACATTGCCCCATGGTATCTCAAGAATAAACCCGACTATGCCTGCGTATTTCCAGGTGCCGCCAAGTCAAAGTCAAATCGATCTGGAATCTTCAGCCCCGCATCGATATGACCTTGCATCTCGGATAACGATACCCCGTCTCGTACCAGCCATGCATCTTGCGTCAGTCGTTGCCAGTCCTCCAGCTCTCTCCGAAATCCCAGAAGAATCTCTCTGTATTCTGGACGATCTGCCAAATTGATCACTTCTCTCGGGTCTTCTTGCATGTCATACAGCTCTTCTGGAGGTCGGCGGATGTATGCTTCCAAGGAACGCTCTCCGACTTTCAAAGGGAACTGGGAATTGCGAATGCCTTCCCATGATAGAGAGGCGTAGAGATCGGTTGAGAATGGGAAATCGAGCTTCCAAGCTATGTTGCGATGGTACTTGTAGCGCGATGTGCGCATGAATCGTGTTGGATAATAGTTTGTGACCTCGTGAAAAGTATGGGATCCAAATACTCTTGTCCAGGCATCATTTATATTGGTTTCATCAATAATCGGAAGAACGGAGCGGCCTAGCCGAGGAGGGGAGGCCGAGGCAGAAGGTGTGGCAGCGTTGTGACCCGCCCAATCGAGGAATGTTGGCAGGAGGTCGATGAAAGATATGAGATTTGGATTCCTCACGCCTTGTTTTCCGTGAGGGTTTCGTATAATTAGAGGTAATCTTACACCTGCATCATAGAGAGTTGTCTTTGAATTGAGAAACGGCGGTCCGTTGTCGCTTGTCAGCACAACAAGCGTATCATTGATGAAACCAGCCTTTTTCAAGGCCTCCATTATCGAACCAAATCCTCGATCAACTCGACCAACAGAGCGATAATACTCGGCCATCTCTTGGCGGACTTCAGGAATATCATTGAGAAAACTTGGAACGGTGATTTTCGCAGGCTCGTAAGTCGCATCTGGACCTGATACGCTCTCATCACCGTTGCCAAATCCTCCGCGAGTTGAGTCCCGATGGGGGTCCATGAATCCCACAGTCAAAAAGAATGGCCTAGAATCATTTTTCGCTGACTGGAAGAACAAATCAACCTGTTCGGCAACCCAAGAAACGTCTCGGGTTGGGCTTTCTCTTCGCACCTCCCACGGATACACATGCTCAGGACCGACGTGAATTTTGCCGACAATACCGGTTTGATACCCAAGATTGTTGAAGAGTTTAGGAGCAGAGTCAATGTGATCAAAAGTCATGAAATGGTGATTGGCGTGCTGCAGGCCATATTGTCCGTTTTGATGCGTGTGGAGACCCGTATAGATGACCGATCGGCTTCCGCTGCAAGATGCTGTACTGGCAAAAGCATTATCAAATAGCGTGCCTTCAGAGGCTAGCTGGTCGATATTGGGGGTTGATATGGTAGAATCGCCGTAGCAGCCAAGGGATTTGCCCATGTCGTCTGCTATGACGAGGAGAATGTTTTTCTTTGGCGCCATTATCCCGTCGCTGCATTCGGTGTTGGGAGCTCAGTTTCGCTATATGTTGCTTCAAGATTACAACAGACAATACTGCCTAGCAAGCGAAATAAGTGGAAAACGAGGAATAGTTATTTATGTCATTTGGGGAATTGTAATCTTCTATATATAATATCGTCATTATAACATGGTTCCACTTGAGGCTGAGACAGTGAGAAACCAACATTGGTGGATAGATTTGCGGAAAGTTTTTTTTTCTTGGAGGTGCCGGATATAATTAATTTCCCCAGCTTCCTCTCCAACTTGCCAAGAGGATTAAAAATTAAGCCGCTCTATATCAAGTGTATTTATCTAGTCGGTCCAATCAAATGATGAGGCCATTTCCAATCGGAAGACTAGCGATTACAGATTGCATGCCAGTAATTCGTCAACAAAATTGATCGGCATATGCGGCAAAGTGACATTGCAGCATGTCATACCGCCTCTTGCATGGCAGTGAACCAATGGCGTGAATAATTGCTGTGCTGATGTGCTTATCTGGAAATGGAGCTTCTAAGCTGCAGCATTGACGCCCAAGTAACTTCCGCATTGAATCGATTCTCAGGACATCTGACATCCCTACATTCCAGCCACTCTCGAAATCTCTCAAGAAGTTGAGGCTTCTTCTGGCTTCTGGCTTCTCGCCATCCGCGCCTAGAATCTGAATCAGAATAACTCACCCTCTCTCCATCAAAGCGTAATTGGTTTAGTGGTAAAATTCTCCGTTGCCATCCGAGCAACGTCGGGGAGCCCTGGGTTCGATTCCCAGATTACGCATTGTATCTTCTGCTTTCATTTTTGCCCATCTCCACTATTATTGATGCCCAAGCACCACATCATTCTTTCATTTTGTCTTGTCTACTTCGAGTGGTTCTTTTTGTGAATTGCGATATCCAAAATCCCATCCCTTCGCTGGGGAGGCCTCCTCAAAGTCTGGACAGGACATACTGATGTGTTTCTTCACATCATGCTTTATGGAGGTCGTAAACATCATCGTTGTTGTTCAAAAAGCTACTTTTGTATAACATCACACAACACCACCCATAGATGCACTAGGCTCATCATAGCTCGCTGTTGGTATCCGTCTCCTGCTGGAGAAAGGAGGGGATGAAGGATTTCCACAACGGTCCCTTCCCAGCCTGCAATCTCTTTTCTTCAAAAATGCCCTTGATGACTGGCACAAAGTCAACGAGGCCCAGCGTTCGCTCCGACTTCTTCCACCCCAGTTCTTCTGGGAATCTTTCTTCTGTCAACCACGTTTCTACTCTTTTCTTTGGAGCACAATATGCGGTCGCTGGAGGAAAGCTCCATCCAGATGGAACAGGACCGTCATTCATCACCAATAGCAGGAGACCTGCTTCGACATATGCCAAGCTCTGCTCCTTAACAGTCAATTCCTGTGGAGAAGACAGATCTTCAACGTGTAAGCGAGTCTTTGCAAGTGAAGCAACTGTAATGCAGTCGGTATCGCTGTCTTGTATAAGATGGTGAATTCGATCTTGAGATGCCGAGACATCTACACTATCAGGGTCTTTAACATCGTCTCGAGTGAGCGAGGCAATGTGCTGCAGGATGCCAGGGCGATTCAAGTCCGTTAAGTCGATGAAGGACTGATTCGCAGCCCTAAGAAAGTAATTGGCAACCTGCTTGATGGCCATGCCATCGATATTTACAACTTCAAGAGCTGCATCGGCAAATTGTTGGGCTGAGATGTTGCGGCCGTTGTGAGGTCTTGAAGGACGATTAGCTTCTGAAGGATGAACAATCGGCTCCAATTGGAGAAAGATCAGTACAGATAACCATGGTTTGCCAGTGTATTTAGCATTGGGCAAGGACTTCTCAAGTCGTCCGGGCCAGGAGCCTCCCATGGCCGAAGGCCCTCCGAGGCAGCCGACAAGGCAATAAGGGAAGCAATTGCAATCTTTGAGGCCATTGTGCAGTATCTTTGACACGTAATAACGATACAGATACAAATAGATACAGCAGAATTTACGAAGAACAAGCAAAAGCCATACCCCGCATGAATGGTCAGATCAAGCAGGTATTTATGTTATGCGTTATCTGACATACAGCTGGCAGCAGCAGCGAATCGTATGATCACGTGGTAGCTGCCCGACCGATTTTCAGCCTGACTCCCGTTTGAGATAGCGGGCATTCCCAAAGGAGATGCGCGATCGTCATAATGATTATGTGGGAGTCTCAAAGAAGCTCCAAGCTTATCTTAAGGGTGTTTGGAGGTGGGCGGGAAAATGTTGGTGGAGGTTTCGGAAGCTTAATGACACCAGCCGAGAGCCGAGATTTGACATTTGCTATAATGACTGCCGGCCAGATCCATTGCCATTTATAGTAATCCGGAACTCGATTCCGGGTTGTGTACAAATGAAAAGGTAACACACGGGATCATGAGATTGTCTTGGCAGGAGAGACATGGAGAGACTAGCCCATTAAAGGGCTCATCGATGTGTATGGGGGCGTTGATCGCGACTCTTAGCATCGCTTACTGCCTCATGAAAAATACAGTACAAATAGAATTAAATACATTCCATAAGATCCAATGCATGGCCATGTAATCACCAACTTTGTCATGTGAAGAAATTAATGATATGCATGAATCGTTATATTCATGGTTATTCCGGACTTAAACCCCACCCAATGTTACATAGTTAGTGCACAATCGGAACTGTGTCTAGCTCTTCTAATTATCAGCGAATGATGTTCAATTCTTCCAGTGGTCAGGTCAAAGGGAGCAATTGAATCATCTTTGAGTAGGGCCAATGGGAAAGGTAAATGTGTTGGGATTATTTCTCAATAACTGGGCCAACCGTTAGCATAACGAAGAATGCAACGATCCGCTTTCACAGATGGACGCATGAGCCGAGGCAACAAATCTGCTGGGGAAATCCTTCCTTTCCTTGACCTTGAGCGAAAAGGTCCATGTATAATAGATGCACAGAATCTTATCCTTAAAAAACTATGCTACGTTGGATATTATCTATCAATGATATATCACCTTACTTTTTGGGCCTGGAAATCTCTTCCCATCATCAACTCGACCTCGACGAGGAAGTTCATACCTAGTGAGAGACTCGACAACTAAAAAAAAACCATCGGGACCACACAGAGGTATACGGAGACTTCTGCCTCTACCGCCATCTCTTTGTTACGAACAAAGACGGTTCATCTTGATTTACATCTCAAAAGTTCCAATCATTGTGCCGACAATGCCGGTTCTTTGTGTGATTTCCCAGAATGATGATCATAGTGGGACGGAATGGCAGAATTGCCCTGGGCGGAGATATGCGCCGGATCGTTACCTTCCTGAAGCAACCTAGCTGTGCATCGCCTCACTGCGATTCTTACCGTGTGATTATGCAGGTATTTTGTCTTAGCTTGCATCACTGATCGCTGAATGGTTGATGTCCAAGTGGTTCGTGAAATGAACCAAAAGTTCTATCCACGGTTGGTGAAATGAACCAAAAGTTCTACCTGCGATTGGTGAATAACCTTGCAAATAAGAGTGTTATCGCAGGGTTACATCAGCAAATCTGACTGATTGACATGATATTAGATGGTACCGACCGTGCTTCTTGGCGTATAAAATATGTCTAGGTGCATCGCCCAGATGAATGATGGATTCCCATCAACGCAGATGAGTTGGCGCTCTGACACGATTATCACGTTGTTCAAATTGAGATTGTCGATATGCGATTCTCATCAGCCATTCAGGTCGCTGCTCTCCTGGGCTTGACTTCAGGTCGATCCATCCCGGGGGGGCATATCGTCCACGAGAAGCGCTCGGTACCAAATTCCAAGTTACACAAACGAGTTTCGCCTGATGTTGTTCTTCCCGTCAGGGTAGGCCTAAAACAGAATGCCAGGGCACTAGAAGAGGCAGAGAATTGGCTGACGGAAGTTTCCCATCCCGATTCTTCTTTATACGGCAAGCATTGGACTTTGGACGAGGTTGTTGAAGCCTTCAAGCCTTCTGACGACGCTATTGAGACGGTGGCTGCGTGGTTGATCAAGTCTGGAATCGCCAAGGAAAGAATTACTCACAGCGATAACAAAGTGTGGTTGGCCTTTGATGCCACTACCAAAGAAGTTGAGAGTCTATTACATACCGAATATTTCCATGATGATCAAGACCGCGCCCTAGTCGCTGCTCACGAATATCATCTACCAGAGCATGTGTCAGAACATGTCGACTACATCACTCCTGGAGTCAAGGGAACTCTCATGGAACTTCGACGAAGGGATAAGAAATCTCTTGAAACTGAGGTCGCGCATAAGTCTCGCCGCAGACAACAGCACGTTAGACCTTTCCCTAAGCTATCTAAAAAGCCGGCATTAGATGACGTGTCGACTTGCGATCAAGTCATCACACCTCACTGCTTGCAGGCTCTTTACAACTTCAAAGCACCTGATCCTCATGCCAGAGTCAGCAAGAACAACTCTCTTGGTATCTTTGAGCAAGGAGACGTTTATGCTCAGGAAGATTTCAACGCATTCTTTGCTGAATACACACCCAGCATTCCCAATGGTACTCATCCTATTTTAAACTCAATCGACGGCGGCGAGGCTCCGGTATCTCAAGGAAATGCAGGTGGTGAAAGCAATCTCGACTTTGAACTTGCCTATCCCATCATCTATCCACAGACTACAACGCTCTACCAGACTGACGACGCATTCTACGCCAACGGCGGTGGCCCAACAACCAATGGCGTATTTAATACCTTTTTTGATGCTATTGATGGCTCCTACTGTACCTACTCTGCGTTTGGAGAGACGGGTAATGACCCCAAGTTTGACCCTGTATATCCCGATCCAAACCCTGGAGGCTATAAGGGCCCTCTCATGTGCGGCGTCTATAAGCCTACCAATGTAATCTCCATTTCTTATGGTCTTCAGGAGAGCGATGTCCCAGCGTACTACCAGAAGCGCCAGTGCTCGGAGTTCTTGAAACTTGCCCTACAGGGCGTATCCGTCTTTGTGGCCAGCGGCGATACTGGTGTGGGAGGTTACCCTGGAAATACTGATGCAGACTTTTATGGCTGCCTACGAAATGACGATGTCTTTTCACCTACACACCCCAACAGCTGCCCATGGTTGACAAATGTTGGTGCCACGAAGGTCTATCCGGGAAAGACAGTCCATGATCCTGAGAGCGCCGTCTTTGATCCTAGCCCCTCATTCAACTACAGCAGTGGTGGTGTAAGTGCAACATCCGTGAAATAAGCAATATGGAACATGAGCTGAACAATTGCAGGGCTTTTCTAACGTATTCCAAATTCCTGAGTACCAACGCAGCGCCATTAGCAATTATTTCAGGAATCACAACCCAACATATCCATACTACTATAACGGCGAATACAATAATAGTAAAGGCATCTATAATCGGAATGGTCGAGGTATACCAGATGTGGCAGCAAATGGCGATAACATTGCAGTCCAGGTGCAAGGGAAGAAAGGTCTCTCTGGCGGCACATCTGCTTCAGCGCCCATTTTCGCATCACTCATCAACCGTATTGTTGAAGAGCGCATAAAAGTGGGAAAGGGGCGATTGGGACTCATCAACTCAGTGCTTTACGAAAATCCAGGAGTTTTGAATGACATCACAAATGGAACCAACCCTGGCTGCGGCACCCTTGGATTCAACGCCACCAGGGGATGGGATCCTGTTACTGGACTGGGCACACCCAACTATCCAAAGATGCTCGAGTTGTTCTTGAGCTTGCCTTGAAACAATTGCTCGTGTATATAGTAACTACTGACTTGCATGGCAACATTGCAGACATTGCACATTTGCTGATGGGATTTGAAAGCTGCATATATGTTTTTAAAGATGAAGATCATGTACAACAGGTAGCCTTCCACTCGAGCCCTATCAACTTAGTGCAACCATTCCTAAACGGAGATTCAGGCAAATACAATGTTGACAGTTTTAGAACATCAATCCGCCACCGCCTCCTCCATAGGAGTGCTTCTTTCTCACCGAAGCAGGCATTTTCGCAATGACATATTGGTCACCACCTCGCGAGCCGTAAGATCCAAACTAACAAAACCGATGTGTTAACTTTGCTTGTTCAGGTGAACATGGGTGATGTAAGGTGTTAACCAAGAAAGCAACATACCTTCTTAATAAATGTGCTCTTTGTCCATTTGGAGCGCGATGCTGCCGTCTGCTCTGAAGCTTTGTCCTTGATTTCCGTCAAGACCTCATCAAATCCAGATGGCCCACCTAAGGTAATATCTGCGGTCTCGGCCTCTTGAACGACGTGAAAGACCCAGGAGATCTCATCCTCCCAGCCGTCGAAATCGGAGCCTATGTTCCATGCATACTTTATGAGAAGAGCCAGCATGATTGAAATGTTGGGAATTTTCGAATCCTTAGTAAAGAGATCGTTTTTCCGAAGCGAGTCGATGACGGCAGCTGTCATGAATCCAAACAACTCTAAGATCCGACCAACTCGATCAGCGTCATCGCACACTTTTCGTAATTTGTGAGTAAGCCCACTTAAGAGAAGAAATTGTGGATGAGTTGTACTCACTCTCCATATGGACTAAGCCGCTGCTGAGAACTAATGCAAGCCCTTCAAGCTCTTGCCATAGCTGCAACGGCGTATGGGATTTGCGCTTGATAACCTTTTCGAAGTTTGTAAACTACAATCATCAATTAGCCACCGACGGTGTGAATTCCAGTTGCAAGACTACTCACTAAGTTCTCTAGTACTTCGATGGTTCCATACCAGCTGAAGTCATTATAGATGTGGAGAGAGTAGTCGTCCTGGTCTCGCTTGAGTATCTCCTGAAGCCACCATTGTTTGCGCTCGTAACCACGCAGAGATGAAACCCATTTGTGATCTGGGTGTAAAGAAGCAAATTTTCCCACTATTTTGTGCATGGCCTCCCATTTATCTTTAGCTTCCTTCTCCTTGTCTCTATTTTTCGCATTATTATCTTCGTCCTCATCTTCTTCGTCTTCGTCATCCGAGTCTTTCTGTTCTTCTATCGGATGAATGCAGATGAACTCATCTTGGAGATTTGCGTCGTTCTCTGAGAGAGGTTGGCCTTTCGCATAAGCCTCGTCTCTCATCTTCCAGTGCTTGTCTTTTAGGCCAATGGATTTTTTATTTGCTTCAAGCCACAGAGAGTTCTCCTCCCACCATTTCCTGTCTGAAAGAGTAAGTTCGCGATCTGGCGTAGCATCAATTCCAGATACCCATCGCGGTGGTAGAAGCATCTTATCGATGGCTTTGAAGCATTCTTCAGGCAAGATTCGTGGAATAAAAAGTTCTCCATTGGGGCCTAGTGGTATGCTGTGACATTTTCCGTTGGGAGCAGCCAAAGATTCTGAAGTTGGCACTGCTGCTGCCCCTGTTTTTCCACTGGAGGTATTTTTCTTTGAAGCGGAAGCTTTCTTAGTTGAAGCGGCAGCCTGCTTGGTGGAAGTGGCAGCTCTCTTAGCTGGAAGATTTCCAGTATCGCCGGCGCCTTCTGTCTGGTCGATGGAGCGTTTCATGGTGAGTGCTGAATAGACAGAAATCCAGTGTCAAGTAAATGAGAAGGAAATTCGAAAGCGCAGGTGAATGACTCCCTCTTTAATTCCGTTTGCTCTGTTGGTGATTGTATGGCTTTGGCACCTTGTATTGACGTTGACGTCAACCGACAATCGGTGTGGGTTTACGCGTGATGTCAATCGAGACGCGAAACCAGGATTAAAAGACGTGTCTCTCCGCCTAAACCTAATGTGTTTTTGGCTGATCTTTGGCTGGGACTTTTATGCAAGGGCAGAAACAGTGCGGACGACCGGAATTGCGGTCCGCTGTGAATTTTCCCGCCAGCATTCGTAAACAAACAAACAAAACAGAGGATCTATACTCCGTAGAGGCACCGTACTCGTGCTTTATTTATTTTTTTTTACTAAAAATACGTATGTTACAAAACTTGAGAGCAGATATGGCATCATCATAGCTGTATGATGCAATTACAAAACTCTTGCAAAAAAAGAAAGGAAAAGGTCTATGCAATCTATCTTCTGTCTAAACGCCGCCCTAAATTGTCACATGCAAACTGCTTGGGCAAGATTTTGTCTCGAACCGAGATGGAGTCCATGATAAAGAACAACGCCGCATAAGTGCACCCGTCTTATGTCGTTGCATCCTTTTGGAGAGGAGATGCCTTTCTAAGAGATGCTCCAACGCGATTGAACAGGATCGGCATTAGAATCAGCGCCAAAGTAACAAATCCCAATAACGAATTTCCCCAGCCATATCCAAGCGCGTTATACATGGGTGGACCAGCAAGAGGTAGAAGCGCACCAGCAAAAGACCTAGTCACGGTGATCGCCGCAATGCCGGAAGCCGCATAACGTGGAAAGCAGTCGATGACGTATGTTTGCAAGGTTCCAAATATTCCAATCAGGCCAAAGGCGAATGGAAACAAGCCTATGATTGGCACAATCCAGTGAGTTTGTGCCTGAACAGACCAGCCGTACCAGAAGAAGGATATGGGGACGAAAAAAGAAAAGGGAATGGTGAGAGGGAGGCGCATTTCTGGCTCAAAGACATCATTGTTCCGAGCTTTGAGCATGACAAGGACTCTATCGCTCAGCAGACCGAATGTTACTTGGCCGGCGACAAATCCCATCCCCAGTCCGATGTAAGACAGACCGCTGATCTGCTCACTCCAGTGATATACGTTCTGGAAGACTTCTGTGACCGTCGTGAAAAGTAGATACAGACAACCGTATACGACTGCGATATAGATTGCCACAATCGCGACAATGGGCGACCCAAAGAGCAGTTGGAACGGTGTCGTCAGTCTGTGTATAAAGTGTGCCGTTTTACTCTTCTGTTTGCTGGAATCGTCATAGTAGCTACGAAGATCAGGACGATTGAGTTCTTTCTTCAAGCGGTCCGTCTTGCGCTGGATAATGATGACGGGGTTCGTCTCACGATTGAAGATCATCACGAATAGAGTAAAAGTGCCACCTACGATGACCAGGACCCAGAAAACCTACGTCACCAGTCAGTAAGGTCTATTCATGATAAAGTAAACTGAGATTGAACAAGGAAAGCGATCACCTACCCATCTCCATCCGGCGCCTTGGGCAATGAATCCACCGCAAATAGGCCCTAATACTGGCCCAAAGAGCGGCCCGGCAGAAAATATGGCCATGGCGAGTCCTCGTTGCTCCGGTTCAAAGAGGTCTGAAACAACGCCTCCCCCGATTGTAAGGCATCCAGATCCTCCTAGCCCGGTGAGCAGTCGGAAGACAATAATTGAGTCAAAGTTGGGCGCAAGCGCACAACCAATCTGAAAGAGAACAAAGGTTGATGTCGCCACACTGAGAATGATCCGACGTCCGTATATCTCGCTGAGCGGTGATAGAAACAATGGACCAAACTGTTGCCTTGTAAGTTTCCCAGAACTACCAATACAACATGTCTTTTGTGCTTACACCGTAGCCGAATAAGTACGCGGTTACACCCAAAGACTTCAACACCGTTGATGTTACGCCGAATTCTTGTGCTGCATTTGCTACAGCCGGAGCGAAGATTGATGAGGCCAGTGGGCTATAATATTTTTTAGTTCCCATGCTTCAAAGCTTCCAATCGTCCATTGTATACCTACCTAATCAAGGTGATAATGCTGACAAGTGAAAGGAGGAACCATTTCCTAAGTGGGGGATAGTTTCTGTTTGCATTGCAAATTGTGAGATTATTTTGTGTGTACACATCTGAGCTGAGCGATGGTTGCCTTACCTTGGGTTCAATGGGTCATCCTGATGTTCCCATGCGACAATATCCTTTTCCAAATCTGTGACGGGATAAACTTCTCTTTTCGTCTCCTGCTGCTACATATATTCAGTATTTGGAGATCTTCTTGTGCAAATTAATTGTTACCTTCTCAGCATCTTCTTGCTTCGATTGTTTAATCACCATATCGAAAATGAACTATTGTATTTCGCATATGATGTAGGGTAATATGTGTGTACTGGAGGGTTAATTTTAGAAACAAAGGCACTGAACACATACACCGTATAAAAGTGCAACTGAATGCTAATTTCAATCTAGTCATGATTCCTGCAGTTACAAGTGCTTTTATATATAAAAGAAAAACAACAGAAAGTTAGGACTACTTTGCAGCTTCTTGTTACCATATTAATCGGAGAATTCTGCCAATCTCCGTCCAACCCGTTTTTGAGGTTAGTCCGCTATATCTCGGAGCCCCCTACTGTTAATATCGAGTGTCGCGTGCTGCTAAACAATGCTTTGCCACACGCCTGGGTAAGATCGGTGCCGATTCGGCAGCAGGAAAAGAGCGGGTACGATGAGGTAAGAGTTGCCATTCCAGTGAGGAGATCGTCTCTTTGAAGAATTTAGTTGGCTATTATCCTCCGTAAATGAGGTTAGACGCCGATTGAGAGGCCCGAAAGTCCGCAATTTCGATTAGTTGGTCTTCTGATGGTATCACACTCCTACGCATGGAGAGTGTCGCCTTGACAAAACGTGCAACTCTCATCTGTTAAAAGAAGTGCTGTTGAATTGCTGACTTGATCAACAATTAAGCTACTCTTGTCAGTTTATTAATGCTAGAGTTGAGTCATCAAAAAAAGTAAAAAATACTGCATATGCCAGCAGCCAGCACTGGCACAACAACAGCACCTGCTCCACGAGCCCAAGATCAAAAGCCTGCAATGTCGTCCGAAGACAACACCCACACAACATCACCGCATAGCGCCCACGCAGTCGTGCCTCCACGTACTCTACCAAAACAACTCGATCAAATCGAATGTGGCAACAAGGACAAATATCTTTTTCAACCACCTATTACTGTTGATCGCCCTCAAATGTCTAGAGACGAATACAGGAACGAATGGAAGAGGATGTCATGCGATTTTTGTCGTAGACGTAAGGTTAAGTGTGACAAGAGGAGCCCATGTGGCCAGTGTACTATATCATTCCGAGGTATGGTATATGAGCCTTCGAGCCTGGCTTGGGAGAGCAGAGCTGACATCTTATAGATTGCGCATACACAGAGCGTTCTAAACGTGGCACAAAAAGGTCCAAACCCTCATCGTCGTCATCTCAGCTAGACGCGGTAGAAAAAAGACTGAAAGTCATCGAATCCACTCAGTTCTACCCTTCGCCCGCAATCAATACTACAGCAATAACGTCACCTCTCAGCCCACCACCGACCAAAACTCCATTAAAGAGCTTGCAAATCTATCCCAAAAATTACACTCCTGAAACCACGGATTCTGAAGAGAATGGGAAATGTGCAACTGCTCATCATTTTATAGAGCAAGGCGAAATAGAATTCCACGGCACGTCCGCAGACAGGACATTCATGGAAGAGCTAATAGAAAAACTCGGAGATAGTTCTGTGACCCATCAAAAAATTCCAATCGACGCTTCGGTGCCAGGCCTATTTCAAAGCGATACGCGGTGTTTTGACGACGTTCTTCTGCCAGGAAGAGATCAAGCAATGAAGCTGGTGGAGGCTGCTTTGGGCGCGCAAGTGTTGTTGCACATAGTCCACCGACCAAGTTTTGACTTTGCCTTCAACATGATATACTCCCTTGAACCGCGTGAATACAGCCTCAAAGAGAAAAAGTTTTTACCACTTCTCTACGCAGTACTCGCCTATGGGAGCTTGTTTGTTGATCCATATGCTGAAAGATTGGGGTACGACGAGGTGATTACAAGAGCGTAAATACCTACCCCTCAACCTTGCTCAGATAACCGGCATTTACTTACTTTTCCAGGTCTCGATATTTCATCAAAAGCAAGCAGCTCCAAGATATAGCAAGTTGTAACGACCTTGTCTCTCTCCAGGCCATTGTATTCAAGAACCTCTTTCTTATATATACCACCCGAACTCCATTCTGTTATACTTACCTTTGTACCTCTATGTCGGTCGCCCTACGGATGGGACTTCATAGGTCCTTTCATAACACTCAGGATTTAATATCTCGAGAAATAAGTAAAAGGGTCTTTTGGGCTTTGAAGCTCCTCTCCTCCGAGGTCTCCACTTGCGTTGGACTCCCAACCCTGGTTAATGACGAAGATTCAGATCAAGAACTACCCTTAGAGGTGAATGATGCGTATATACAAAGGGGCAAAGCCACCAGGCAACCACCAAATGAAGTTTGTTACGCATCTGGATCAATTTGCTACTCTCGGCTGCATAGCATCCTTCATAGGGTGCTGAAAGACATCTACCCTCGGAAGGGCCGAACAAGTGTTGAGGCTTGTGGATCGATGAACTACACGGTCAGAGTAGATACAATTCGGGAAATCGAGCAAGAACTAGAAAAATGGGCGAAGAAGATACCCCTGGGTTACCGACTAGGGATGTATTACCAAGATCCCGCTATACAGCGGTGAGTGAGACCCTATTTAATTAAAAATCCCCCTTAATAGCGTTTACTGACACTCCGCTGATGAGCTTGTATCAGAGCCCAGTTCGTTCTCGCATTGACTTACTCCTACGTACAACTCCGCCTCTATAGACCGTTTCTACACTATGACATTGAAACCATTGAGCAAACAAAACTTCGACTTAGCACAGGCTTATCTCCCTGCGCGTCCGCTTGCATTCAAGCCTGCCAGAATATCATTGAACTGTGCGAAGATATGTGCAGATGGGGATTCCTCACTGAAGCTAGTTGGCCTGCAATACGAATCTTGACTAGCTGCATGCTGACTCTCCTTTACATAACGATTATGCACCAAGATCCCCATGAGGAAGTCGTGCTGCTCAAGTCGTTGGCCACGGGAAGAAAACTCCTCAATATTATGGAGAAGCGAAGCTACCAAGCCCGACGAAGCAAGACCATCTTCAAGGCAAGAAAAATAAAGTAATCTTGGTTTGGCTAATATTCTAACTCGATATTGCAGATTATTATTTCCAGCCTCTCCATCAAGTTTGACCACATCCGGGAGAAACTGATGAGGTATGAGTTGGAAGCCCCTAATGTTCGGCAATGTGACTTGTCTTCCGTCAGCGGCGCATCTACGGCGTTACTTGGAGAAAAGGTTTTCACACTCTCGTCGAAGACGTATCTGAGAAGCCGTAGTCTTAAAGTACACAAACAAGATGGCGTAAAAAATAAGGCAGTCCATCTATCATACCCAAAAAGCCCCCATCATGAGCGGAACGAATCAACTCCACTGCAGCCAGACCTATCCTTTGGCCAAATCGGAGAGAGAAACATGCAGAATTTCACTACACCAGCCTCACAAACACTATATGCATCACTAAAGACTGAAGATTCGCCAATTAAGGACCCCTCAGAGCCTTCCAATGCACCAGCATATTTCAGTTCTTCTATGCTGAAGCCTACACCAGGGAGCTCCCTCATGTCTGTGTCGACAATTGGAGCACAGCAAGAGGAATCCAATGGGTCATGGATGCACGCCTTTGACTCTATGAGCTATACTGGCAACATATATAGTCCAGTGAAAGATCTCATTGGAGGCACCAGTCCACATATAGATGATATCAATGAATTATCAGATATCTGGGATTGGTTTTGATTGCTGGACGGGCAAACGAGGGTTTACGATACCACCATGTTGATTCTTTTGTACTAAAGTAGTAGGTACTCAGAGCATGTGAAAGACATTACGTTATTTAATAGCAACTCTCACGAGAATATACTCGCTGTCGAAAGTAGTATTTGATCATAAGAATAATAGCGTAGAAATATATGGCCGACAAGGGTAGAGTACATTTGGAGAATTAATAGAGGTTCTGTTAATAACATCTGAACGTGCAACTTCGCAACTGGTGGCTTCACCGCAATTTTTACCGCCAATGAGGTTCAATCGCTTTGTCCCATTTGGTCAATTTTTCCCCAATTAGAATCCCCTATTTGGCTGTTAATCATCCCAACACGGCAATACGATTCGAGCGAAACAATTTTCGACCAATGCTCCCAGAATCAGGTTAGAAAAGTAACCAATACGAAAATTAACGCATTCGCTAAACTACTTGCAGCAGGCTATAAAAATACGACGAAGACGCCGAAAGACTCAACTTCAGAGCCTTCTATAAGCAGCCTAGTTACAATTATTCTTTAACGAAAACAAACGAAATAGTGTATGTAGACAGTTGACCACACAATCCTTGTTGAGGAATCATCCGACATCTTACAGGCTCTTACTGATGGTTATCATTTATTTCACCACTCAATGTTCGATATTGTCAGGTATAAATAGGTCCTTTGAGTCTGCTTCATTTTATTCTGAGATCAGGTCAACTTGGAGTGTTTCGCTTTAAGTGGGTCATCTCTCTAATATCATATCATCAATTTCTCACCAAACGCGTCGCGAAGTCACCAATCATTGACACAATGGCAAAGCTTTTGAAGGCATTTTCACTTCTTGCTGCAGTGATGCTTCCAGCTCGGGCAGAAGCTAGCTTCGTTGATAACTGCACCACGTTCAACTCCAACTTATGGACTAAAGCTAACTGGGCTGCCGGACTGGGTTCTGTGCAGTCTGGAAATGTGAACCCAAGCGGCGGAGGCGTGATGAACTTCGAGATCCCTGCTGGAACTCGAAATGGCGGAGAGATTGTTTCTAAAGCAAAATACTCGTTCGGCCAAGTCGAAGCTCAATTCAAAGTCCCGAATCTGCCTGGAATTATCTCCAGCATTTTCATGTACCAGGGAACCTCAACCAGCGACGAGATCGATATTGAAGTATATCTCAACCAGGGCAAATGGGAGATTGCGTTTACTGTTTATCGCCTAGGGGTCAAGGAGTGGTCTCATGGAATCTTCCCAACCTGGGATCCAAGCGCTGGATACAATGATTATATGATTGACTATCAGGAGGCCGCAATCTCATTCTATGTCAACGGCGTATTGGAATCTCAGTTCCATACACCATCGCAACAGCCAATTCATCCGATGAATATCCAACTCAATGCCTGGTACCCAGCGTGGCTGAATGGTCCTCCAGCGGCATCGACTGAATTCTTCCAGGTCAATCAAATATCATACACGGAATCCTGAATAGAGATTAGATAAGCCATGCATATCACAGTATTCGGGAGCAGTTGAGGATTCTATAGTTGGAGATACGGGTGTGAAGGAGGGTTTTTTATCTCTCAGCCAAATAAAAACTTGCGTCGCACTCTAAATTGAAATTTGTTGAATTTCGTGTTATTTTCTTAGTGAAGCTGCAATGCCGTGAATCCTGCCATTACTCAGCTTGAACTATGCAGAAATTGGGTAAGGGAAAAGACAAAGACGGCTGACAGAAGGTACCAAAGAGTACGGTGATTAGAGGTACATACCTGTAATCACCGTGTACAAATAGTCTACTCAAAACACAACATGATGTAGGCAGTCTTTAAGATATGGGGTTATAGCACATACTGATGAACAGAGATAGAGGAAATTGACGTATTGCGGAATTGGAGATGAAGATGTAATATGACTCTTTCTTAATTGGATGCTCATATATAATATGTAGAGAAACGACTGATATGTCCGCTGGAGTATTTGCTTTCGCTATCTTTACATGTCTATCTTCACGACTTTAATACAGAAAATGACTCAAGGATGGTGGCATGACTGTTGCTAATAAAAAGAAATGGACGAATAACTGAAAGGTATATCCACGACTTGGTCAGACGCTTATGTGAAAAAAAAAGTGAACGTAGGAATAATTAGCCCTATGAACGTTTTGGCAGGCATCGGGCTTGTAAAATGATGCTACATTCCTAAAACAGTAATGAGCGACGGCTTATACATGGCTCTCATCTGATAACCCCGCCTTATATCACTCTGGTAGAGTGGAGAGTTAACTTCAATACGAGTAACATCAAAGGATTGATCCCATCCTTACGGGTACAGCCTAAATACAGTTTAGTTATGCATGGAAACTTAATGCTAATGCCGGGTGGAAATCTCCGCTTCCCATGCAATGCCTCAGACTATGCGTTTCACTGCTCTATTGTGACATATTATGATGAGACTTGTGATATACCCTACGGGACATATCACAGGCTTCGGGTATTCCTTACTCCACCACCTCACGCCTATCATCTATTTATAAATCTAAATGTCTCCCAAAGAAAAGGTCGGCTGTATCGAAAGCGCTCAACCCACCGCAGAACATTTAGAATAACCACGTCATCATGGTCAACCGCATTTTGCTTGTCACTTGCGCAGCGGGCCTTAGCCTAGCTTCAAAAGTCATAAATCGCCAATCTCAAACGGCTACTGTAAATCTGAGTCAAATGCAAGGAGCACCACAACATTTTGCGTCCGGTTTCCTTTACGGCATTCCGGATACTGCAAATCAAATTCCTGCCCATTTTTATAGCGAAATTGCATTCAATTATGGAAGGGCTGGGGGCGCTCAGCTCCCGGCTAAAGGATATATGGATGGCTTAGAGGAGTATAAGGTTGGCTCGCTGCCCCTACAAGCCCTACCCTTGCTAAATATATGTAGCCTCGCTTTGCGTCGATGTTATCGAATTATCGCACTTGTCGCCAATTCGGTGCCGAGTTCATTATCCTCCTCCATGATTTATGGGGAGCCGATGGATCAGAATCTCAGTCTGACCTCTTCCCCGGGGACAATGGGGATTGGAGTACTTGGGACAGCTTTCTCAACCAGGTTGTCTCTGATATGCGAGCCAATAACATGACGACTGCCGTTAAGGTGGACATCTGGAATGAGGCAGATGGTGGCGGCTTTTGGCTCCGAGACCGAAGCCAGTTCATGGACATGTATGCCCGGACACATAATTTGCTACGGTAAGCCTATGAGATGCTGAAGATACATTATACATGATGAGTCCCGTGTGGTAACCGTTGTTTAAAACAAAGGAGTATTTTTCCTGAGGCGCAGATATTCGGACCTACGTTTACAGGACAGCCAGATCCAAATAACGTCTGGTGGACAGATTGGCTAAGCATGATTGCATCAAAGAATGTGATACCTGATGTGTATTGCTGGCATTTGATCCGCCAACCAGGAGGATCTGGTGGCGACGATATCACGTACTCAAGAGGCGTCTTTGAGCAGATGCTGCAACAGTTTGGTCTTCCATCACGAACAATTAATATAGATGAATACGGTGTAAGGTCTCTTATTCCTGCGACACTGACACTTGGCTGACAAAAATAGTCTCCCGAAGAGCAGGTCCCGGCTAGTTCGGCTTGGTTCATGGCCCGTTTTGAGCGCAACAACATTCACGGCCTCCGATCCGTCTGGACAGGTGGTCCGTCATTACACGATTTTATGACTGATCTATTGGGTAGGACGGGTGGTGGTGTTTATTTTCCAGCTGGGGAATGGCAAGTGTATAGATATTACGGTACTAACATGACCGGCAATCGGGTGGCGACGACTTCATCTGCCGACGGATTCTTTGATGTATACGCGACTGCAAGCGACCGAGTGAGAATTCTCGGCTCAGCTCATACAAAAACCGGATCTTATACCATTAATGTCGACGGAATGGCCGACTTTGGTTTTAATACCCAAGGGACAGTCAACGTCCAAGCGCGAGAATTTCCCTTTGCGGGTCTTCGCGGAGAAGTAGATGGACCAATCGATCATGGCATCACCGCAATATCTTTTCAAAATAACCGTTTGGTAATACCGGCTACAATTTCAGTAAATACTAGTGCCTATGCGTGGGAGGTGTTTCGCATCTAAAGAAGACCCACCACAGGCCATTCGAATCGCGCCGATTCAAGAGCAATATAGCTAGACTTTCATGAAATAATATTACGAGAAATGATTTGCATGATTGATACAGAGATCGTCAATGTTACAATACAAAACAATGGGTTCTGATTTAATCTGTACGAATGATACGTCTAGAGCATGTAGGCCGGACTCAACATATCACTTTAGCAAAGCTGTGACAGCCAGTCTTGCATCATGGTGATGGATGGCCTGATATTATGCTAAAGCACATGTATATTAAATTATCAGGTCTTTAGCTACTAAATTTACTATTTTGACCGGTTTGAAGCGGACATCGAGTTATGCACAGAGCGGTACCGACTCCCTTCAGGTTGTTATTACATGTATGCTTTCGACTAACTCAAACTTAAATTTAAGTCTATCGACAGACAATAAAGTTGGCCAATGACTTCGATGCGCAGCACCAAATGAGGTAATCTTCACATATTGCTTGGTCTTTTTTTTTTTTTTTTTTTTTGCATCTGATAGACATTTGTATTTTCCAAGCTCAATATGGTCGTCTTTGCGAGCGACAATTACTTTTATAGCCCATTTTTAGACAAGAAACCAAATATCACCTGGTAACCTGCTGTCGCATTAAGGGATAATTGGACGACGTGTCCAGTCTGGGGCTGAAGGTAGACGTTAAGATCCTTCACGTTAGGGTACAGGCCGTGAAGTTGAGTCAGATCGAAGATGCCCGTGCATTGACCGGCACAAAAGGCAAAGTCGTTTTCACCAACAAATATCTACATATATTTAGTATTAGCCTGAATGGGAACTGTCTTAACATGTTCAAGTTGGTGCATGAGCAAGACTCACCTGAAGAGGCCCAGTAAAATTGGCCACAACATCTCCGACTCCAGTTCCAAGAGTTAAAACTTCCCCAACTCCTAAACTTGACTGGATATTTTCGTCCCAATAGGTAAGCACATTAGGATCTAGAGTTTCTTTTTTGAAGCTGTCAGCTTGGAAAGCAGTAATGCTACCAAATGCCAGGTAGCCGCTCGTGCGGTTTGCGAACAGGGCAGGGTTATGCTCAGGAGCATATGATAGGTCGGCTATTTCGACCTTGAGATTGGCAAACTGATTGTCGATCAAGAAACCAGTGAGGATGGCGCCAGCACTAAGGGAGCCATACCGCGCAAGGAACCAGTTGGTGACAATTGACCCATAAGAATGACCCACGTGTACGACGTTTTGAGCCGTGTAATCTGTGATACTGCTACTACCTCCAGTCCTCTCGGAGGCTGTGACGATTGTGCCATTTAAGGCGCGCTCTGTCAAGGCCCGAAGGACTTCGCCTTGGAGCGGAACTTGGAGATAATCATAAGCATCTGGAAGAGATGAAAGACCGGCCCCAAGGCGATCGTAGGCCAGAACAGCATAGCCTTGAGCTAACGCAGCTTTCACAAATGAGAGATCATCCGGTCTGTAGGTGGGATCCCATAATCTATCCAGTCCGTAAGTCATGAGGTATTCACTAATTGAAAATAGCACAAGTCATAGACTTACCCTTTTGTGAAGCCAACGCCATGAGACGCAATTAACAGAGTATTTTGGCCATTGCGCGGAGTTGACGGGATACAAAAGTGGCCGCTTATTTCAAAGTCTCCACCAACCGCAATATTGCCTTCGGAAATCTCGGCAATAGTAAGGGCATCCCACCGACTAGAGAAATCGCAAATGAAGTTAGTCAATCTAATTCAATGAGGCTGTCGGATATTGCATCACACACTCTCTACTTAGAGTAAATTCCACTGCATCAACATTACTATCGACCCTCACAGTATTGAACTTTGTGTTGTTGGCATGCGCAGTAACAGGGATTAGGAGCTCAACACAGTTGGAAGAGGCAGCCAGAACTGAGCTACATGTAGCTATGAGAGCCAAAGGCGCAAGCGACTTGGAAACAAAGAGCACCATTGTGTATGGTTTCAACACATATGTTTCGGTTTAAAAGGAGCCCGAGCATCCATTTGCATGGCACAAGTGCGTTGCCTTTATAGTTTTATTTGAGCACCCCATATGACCGGTAGCCGTATCACGTAGGTTTGATAATCGACTCAATATATTTGATAATCTAAGACATAATATCTCCATTCCGATCATGATATTGAACCATGATGTAAGCGCATTTACATCCAGCCTTGCCTATTGTAGCATGAATTTCGTTCAGGTGAGTATACAAGTGCTTACGTGCTAATGGTACACGCATTGACTACAAGGATCAGGAGGTGGCTTGACCTCAAGCCCAGCCGTATCGTTCGCAAGGATCTCTTAATACGAAAATGCTCCTGTCATGTTGATTCTTGAAGCGATAAATTCTGCCTGATGTGTTGCACCCTAGTAAACAGGCCCAGGAATCATAACCGTCTTACCCGCAATCTATAAGAAGCAATATCTCCCCATAGGTAATATTGAACGGGCGTTCATGTTTTAATCGCGCAAATATTACTCTTCTTGTGTATTACGCAGCATCGTTGTCACGATAATGGCCGTAATTTGCTATCGAGCAGTGGGGTTCAAGAGACTCTTACACTATCTTGTCCAGCAACCTTCGATCGCAAAGCCCGCATTTATGTATTGGAAGAGGGTTTTCTGGGCATTTATCCATACATAGGTTTTATTTTCATCATATGGTCGTTCAATAAGCTCCGGGAATTGGTTTAATAGACCGTCATAATCCCGTGGATTAATAAACGGCTGACTAGAACCGGATCCCACACGTACCTAGGTTAGATCCGATCGGCTCCACCCGATCGAATCCAACCCTAAGGACATGAACATTGCTAACTGAAGCAGTAAAGCACGGTAAATCGTTGCTCACATACTAAATAAAGTTCCTGATAATCGTAAAATATCCCAAGTCAACTTCAGTCATATTTAATACAGTAATATCTAAAAAGTTGAAGGTGATAATAAACTACTAGACCTTGCCTCTAGCCTGGAGAAGGAACCAATAGTACATATTCTGTTGACCAAAAAAAATTCTACAGCCTGAGTTCCAAAACAGGTTTCCCTCTAAGAACCAAAAAGGGTTCTTGACCTCCTTCATGGGGCGAGAAGACATCTGCAGCTTGCGGACAATAAAGTATGGAAGGATCGCACAGGTCCAGTCTGTCACAATTCCCACTGCTGTCCAGGCGTAACCAATGTGAATAACTATGATGAAATCGCTACATATTCCCAAAAGGGTTTTCCAACATGCTGAGGCCGGATGGTAGTAAAGAAGGGTATTGAGGATACCGACAATAGACATGACACTCGCTATAGAAAGCATTACATAGAGTCCCTAGCGATGCCGATTATTGGTGGTGATGCGGTTGAGCGTAAACGCGGTGGAAGCCTTGAAAGGCATTGAGAAACCATATAGTACATTTGAGTACATCGCGTACTCAGCACGGCGTATCATAAGTAAAGTGTTGAGCTTAGAATCGTGTGAGCCTAATCCGTAGTAGCATGCTTCGATGGCAAATATCGCACTCGAAAGAAAGCTGCCCTACACGCACGGATATTCTCAGGTAATTGACTGACTTACTTAAAGTGAATGGAAAGTCGACCATGTCTCCAAGAACACATTTACATATCCCAGAGTAATGAATGTGTCTTCCCAACCCCAAGTTCCTGCAGATCTCCCATCCATGCGCGGACATGTATTCTTAGAGCAATAACAATCGTCGAAAACACCGCGAGGATCAAAATAATGATTACTATGGTAAGTGCTAAGCCTGTAGGTGTAATTGGGGGTTTGGCGTAAGCTTGTTTGGAGAGCAGCTGTCCCTGTTGCATAGGCATGAGAGTGGATGCATCTTTTATCTGAGGCGCCAGAGAAGTAATTAACTTGAAAAGAGACAGGTAGTAAGTTAATTAGCTAATATGCCTGCACTGTTTATAACCTCATCGGAAGTTAATAATACAGCTATGGAAGTATGATATATTAGAGGGTCGGATCGATATTAACAAAAAGACAGTCTCACAGAATACTATCCTGTATATAATTGATCTACCCTTTGCTACCTTGGCATTCACTTTGTTGAGAAGCTAGATTTTCCAATATGACCACTCATTGCCTTACAATTACATGCTAAAACAACATGAATGTACATTCTCCTGAATTTCATCGGAGAGATAATTCCCAACTTCTGACCGATATTTCCTTAACATGTGGATTAGGTAGTTCCCAAATGACGAACTATGACCCTATCACCAACATTTAGTTGCTGACGCTCTGCGAGGCAGAGCCACTGCCACCCCAGCCTTCAACGGCAACAACTTGGTAGTTCATAGCGCCGAGGTTCATTCCATGAGAAGCCCAAGCGTTGAAGTGATTCTGGACTGTGACGGTGCCACTGGTCCTAGCAGAATTTCGCACTGAAATATACTGATTAAAGGTCGCGGTGCCTTGGATAGAAGGCTCATTGACACGAGTGTTCTCGTAGATTGTGTAAGTGGCTCCATCACTGGTGACAGTTCCCTTCACGGTGCCTTGTGCGGGGTAATTGGTGTTATCTTCCATAATGTAATACTCAACAAGCGGGTTTGTGCTCCAGCCATAGACGGAAAGCATGCCAGTTCCGCTGTTGACACCAAAGGAACCGCTGAAATTGATAGGTCTACAAGGCCCTACTGTCAGCGAATGGAGTGATTGAGAGAGATCGAGTAACAAGCAGTGTTTCTTACGAAGAGGATCCGACTGTCCAGCCAACTCCAACGACGAAGTCATCTTGAGTATTCCAATTAACCGAAAACCCAGTCCCAGAGGGAGAATAGGTGACTTGTCCGCCAGTCTGGTAGTTTTGGTCGTAGTTGATGCTTGCGCGACGGCGAATGTTATTGTGTGGCCCAAGAACAAAGTCATAGATGCCACGCTCCGTAATGTTCACACTGCTTTCAGAGGGACCCAGACCCGTAGGCATTGCAAAGGATCCAGCAATGCCGGTGAGAGCAATTACGAAATTGGTAAAGCCAACCATGTTGATTATTATGCGAATGCTGTGCTTAGAGAGGATGTTGTGTTGTGCCGATCAGCTCATAGTTTTAACATCAAGTTTCCATCTATGGCCTTATATACATTTTTTTCCATCTATATGTTGTTCTTCATCGCATATGGGGTCGCGGTTACGATCATATTGGTGGAAAGTAAACTTCACCACATGAGGTTGAAAACGGCTCGTTTGGTAGTATCCTCGGAGCTTGGCATTTTGCCTAAAACATTTCCTTCAGGTACGGATCAAACGGCATTAGAGTGCCGAAATTAAGAGACACCGGAAATATTTATACCAATCAATCTTCAGTGTTTAGCTTGAGAATCGCAATAGTGTTCCAAATCCGGCTTCTCGGGCCTCGCGCGGCTTGTTCCCCAGATCTGGGGTACGGCCCGGCTAAGTTGTCGCATTTAACCTGCCAATCATGTCAGTGTGCTTTTCTGCGCGCTTGCGGAGGACGTAGCATTTTGGTGGATCGCATTGCTTTCCTAACGGGATTTTACATTGAGGGGGTTGGTTTCAGAAGCAATGCATATCAGGAGACAAATGTCATTGAAGGGCAATGAATCAGTCAGCTGAGAAGAAGTGTTACGGCCTTCCGTATTTGTAAAATTATGTTTATCTCGAATGATTAGTTTCTAATGCCTGCTGCCTCGGGCTTCTTCATACACGTTAAGTATCGCAGGCTTGCATAGGCGCTTCGGTAACGGTGGTTTCTTTACTGCAGGCAATCAGATAGATTGAACGAGACACGTTCTTGGGCCAAAGTTTCGACTAGTTTACAGGACATATTGATCAGAACTTAAGGATTGAAAATGTCTTATTAGAGTTAATGAGAGAACTGTAAGAGTAATCACTAACATGAAAGCCTTAGTCTCATTTGTCATACTTAGTAGCACAAATTACTCGTGGCAATTGGTAGTTCTCTCGAAATGTAATGTGCCCTTACTTATATTCGTCGTATGTATAGCGTGCAACACATATCGTGTAATGATGGTCGCTAATGGCGTAATAAAGATAATTGTTATTTATTCTCTTTTCCTCTACTTCATAACTCACCTGCGTTGGCCTGACTTATTCACACATTTATTATCCGGTGGTTGAGATTAATGTACGTTATAACAAGCGATTTGCCATTGAAATCTATAAATTAATCATAAATCTGTTGATCCGAGGGCTAAAAGGCCAACGCATGGAGGTGCGTCTGATGCTGGAAGAAAAAGGAGGAATCAGCAGCATGCTTGCTGGATGAAAGGAGGGGATAGCGTCAGTTCCATTTAAAATCGGGGGATTCTATCCAACAAGTAAACATCTCATTTTATTGGAAAAATTGGTTACTTTAAACATTAGTCTACATGTATCTACAAAGAATAGTGGATATAATTGGGCCGCGTGCGGCACGGCAAGTCCCCCCTCATGAATCCTGATAAGTGGACAGAAAACGGCATTGATCGCCACCCTGTCGAAGCTTCAATCTGCCAATGCACGAGAGACCACTTAAGGTAAGTCTTCAAGTAGGCATTGTATCAGCTGAGAAAACAAATTCAGGCTAAATTCTGAACCAGTTTACTAAGTATTACGACCGGTTGAACTCGACTGCGAGAGTGGAATTGAAGCCTCCATAGTCATCACGTAAGTTAACGGCTATGTGGTATAGCGACGATAGAGTTATTCATAGGCCCCCTGAATACTTCGTCCAGATGCCTATAAATATGATATCTTATCCTCTTTTTTAATCACGATGCGCAATAGCAAACTCATGCACCAATGTGTGGCAGCTCTGCAAGGTTGTTGTTGTACCTCGCAATGTGCTTGTTGTTTCAAAAGTGAAATTTGTTCGTCATGATGCCTATAGCCTTGCTGATAGCACTGCACGCTTCACTCAACTTGGCCAGATGGAATCTCATATAGTCGCTCATGACGCCGGGCATCTTAGACCATGGATCTCTTGTACCGAAACGATCACCTCTACCGACGAACTCAGTTACAACTCATAATTATTAGGGACATGAACACAGATCTAGTAGCCCGATAAAAGGTTAGTTCAATCTAACACAGCGTTACTATATCCCCAAGGCCATTTCAGAAGGGCGAGAGATATAATTTCCGCTAAAGATAATAGAACATGGACATACTAGCGCCAATGAAGAGGTTCCTTTTTTTATATCCGCACGGCACTAAAATACTGACGCATTGATAACATGCATATCCTCTGAACTTTGCATGTGAGTGGCATTTTGCATGAGTGTATTGATAATACCTTCTACATTTAAGGATATGGCTAGAAAGGACGACACTATTAAATTTCACAGGCCCAGCACACTGGAAACCTACGGAGGTGAGTGGAAAACTTATTAAATACTTGTACATGGAAGACCTAGTGATAGGCAATGTCAAAGAATGCATTCTGTCTGCTAAAACAAAGGGGCTGACTGCTTCATCGGGGTAGACGTTAACAGTAACCATGTACCTAGGGGCCATTATTGTGTAGCCAAGTTATACTTAACAAGAGGCAACATTTGGCACATTCTGGCAGCTTCCGTATTTCTTTCCTCCAGTGACGACGACGTTGCTCCAAGTCCAACTAGAGCAAGCTCCACTTCCACAAACAATGGCAATGTTGTTAGCACTGGATAGAACACCGCCGCTTCCAGAGATGTTCTGGACGACGAGGTTGGTGATCGGGATACCGCTTGTAGGGCTTCCATGTAGGTCACCACCATTGTAGTTTTGCTCAATCAGAATACCATAGCTGTAAATTGTGATTGTTAGTAAAAGTCAATGTATGATTTCTCTTGGAAATCGACATACCCTGTGATAGATGATAGAGTGATACCTGAGTACGTCACTCCCTTGATTGTGCCAGTATCACCAGCAGTCGCCTTGATACGGATGCCTGCAAAGTGTTAATTATTAATCTTACAATAATTTTATTTTAAGCTACTGACCGTTAGCCGATTTAGTGACCTGGGAGTTGCTGAAGGTAACTGTTTGAACTGTGTTGTCATCTCGGCCGCCGACACTACCAATTGACAATCCGTGACCGCCAGAGCAAAGACCTCCGGTAAATGTGATGTTCTAATTCAATTCAGCAACACACTCTCTTGGATTTCTCTGTCTGTTTATATCGTGTTCCTTACCGTGCCAGAGTTGACAGCAACGCAGTCATCTTGGTTATAGACCTTTGCGCCGCTAATAACAACATTCGAGCTAGAGCCAATGTCAAATCCATCGGTGTTGTGTCCACCTGCACTATCTCCAGCACTGTTATCAATGGTCATGCCAGTAATAGTCAGTCCATTGACACCATTGACACTGACAGCTTGGACAGGTGTGTTCTTGATGTTAAGGTTCGTGATAGACGACGAAGTGAGGTCATGAGCAGCAAAGAACTTGGGCTTTGTCTTGCCACCGTTGCTGCCTTCGCCATCCCACCAACGGGCGCCGTCGGGATTTAAAACAGAACCGCTGGCACCCTGGATGGTGATATCATTGCCCTCAATTTGGAGTAGGGGGCCAGACCACTCCTTGTAGCCCCAAGTAGTTGTACCCTGAAAAATGACCTGTAGATTTCTCGGTTAGTATCATTGCATGAGACAACTACTTTGCCATTTTGCCATTGCTTACCGTAGTACCATCATTCAAATCACTAAGGTCAAGCGTAACGCCAGAAGGGACGGCAACATTTGACAGCACAATAGTAGCGCATGATTTTTGCGATTTACTTGCTGAAGCTGCACCGCTGGCACCAGAGAAAGTGCAAGTAGTAGCTCGATCTTCAAGCTTAGGAGCTTTTGTGACAGTAGGAGGAGGAGGAAGAGCATGGGATTGAACACAGACTGATGCTGCGAAAGCTCCAAGAAGAAGGGATAACTTGGCCATGTTGTATTAACGTCTTTGACACTTTCTGATGTAAGTCTTTAAAATCTTGTCGAATCAATCATTTCTTGGCTTCTCGGTACTGAGTTATGGCGATCAGGCAGGATTATATAGACATCAACCCCTGTCTTCTAAATTGCGTGTTATGATCTCAGGCTGTTGAGGACAACAGGCTGTAGTCTCTAGTCTAGGATCGAAACCTAATATTTGCCGCCATTTCAGAGGTGAGTTTCACGAGCGCAACCCAACTTGATGAAGAATACGCAATATTGGGACCTCCCTAGGTAAAATACAACATTGTAGAGGCACTGCTAGACAATCATAGGGGGAAAAACAAATGCTTGTGGATGTTTTATCGTTCAAAACCCCATTTCATGACCGATATACCCACAACTTTCCACCAACCATTTCGGTGCCCGGTGCATCTGATCGAGTTTATAGGTACGTGGAGCCAGATTTCTTTATATAAGATCTCCTTTAAAGTTACAGCCGTAAATTAAACGTCAAAAGCGCACCAATCCGAAGTCTGGGCATTTTCCCGGGCCGTTAAAATCTCTCGGTGCTTCGGTGTTTCGATTCACCGTTGTCTCGGCTTAGTTTTCCGACTTGCAGGATAATTGAGCCGTCGGTGTCAATTATTTGCGTTGATTGGATCATAAAATCTGTTTATTAATGACCTAGTTCTAAAAGAATGTTGCATTTTCAATCTCCGCGCATACTTGAGAGGCGCGACATGAGAACTGTACTTCACATTAACTTTGTGGAGGGGTTTTCAAACCTAGACTCTTTAGAGTACGCCAAGTAAGAGGGCAAATAAAAGATAGATATCAAATGTAGACCCCTGCGCCCTCCTGAAAAAAAAAATTAAAATAGAATGAAATAAAATAAAATCCAATGACAAGATCTATCTATGAAGAGTTAAAACCCACTATTAGAAATATCGAATTGCTGCATGCATATTCTGCAAGCGAATGCCGTATATGCAGATGGTAGTTGAAGTGTGCCCCGCGTTCACTTTGGTCTTCGGGATGCTTTCGGTATTCTTCTGTCTTGCATGTAACCTCAGCCCATGCAGGCGAGCTACATATCGGGCCGCCAATTCCACACAATATATAATCCATCTATTTAAGTGGGCATGTTCAGGATATACATGACCGAGCCACAGCTTCTTGTCCGTCAAAGGCCCAATTCGTGCGCTAATCTGACGTCGAGTGGTGGATTTATCTCTACACCCTTGAAACAGACCAATATACCGACGTTTATATGATGGAATATCTCCCAGGTCTATGTTTATGCTGGCGGGTCGCATATATACCGAGACGCCCACCAGGGCTATATGAAGGTAAATTATCCGGTTCTGATAGCTTTTTCCTGGAAACTGATGAGTTGAATAGACTTTATGATACAGATGACAGCTTAGTCAATGACCACAGTCATTCTTCGTTTATGATGCAAGATACACTGCTTGATTAATTTAGGATTTGACTCCAATCTAAGAGTTGACTATATCGTCTGATTCTCTGCATAAGAACCACATCTTATGGGCAAATTGAGACCATGGACAGCGAAGAACTAGGAGCCCAATGGCTCAGTTCGCCGTACCATGCATTTTGAGAGGTCTCTGGTGACTAATGAGTGATGGCCTGGTATTGAGGCTTGTGTGGTTAGCCCACTGCATAGTCTCTCGGATCAAAAATGCTCTGATCCTGGTCGCATTTATGTCGCTTTTGCTCACTTCAAGTTGCTGAAATATCCTGTATCTCGGTGTGATGGTATGACTTGCCATGCCCATGCATCTGTTTTTCACATTTGAGCTTAAGATAGTGACAATATGATAAGTGTGAAATCCTGCTTTAGAGGCATTGTAATTGACTGCTCTAGGTAGATTAGAGTAACCCTAGCTTTGTTGCAAGATAGCCCGCCCATCGATGGTCATCACTGGGGTGATCAGAGAACTCACAATCTAAGTCATGCTGATGCTACTGTAAAAATATTTTCCGGTATTCCACTGGCTTCGACAACTTGTTGTTGGCGCCACACGTGCAGCGAAAATCGTAGAATATCTAAATAACGTAGCCCATGCATTACTGAAATCCCAGAAAGAGAAATTATTCGAATATCGGTACAAAATAGGCGTTTCAATAGCGACTGGTATATTCAGAAGTGACTGCTTTAGAATGGGGTAGAAAATCGACTATTTGGATCTTCCTCCTAGATGTGGAGAATATTAGACGATGAGGACAATTCTTAATTATTTCAACACTCCGAGGACCGGAGCCTTAGTATTAGGGTATTCGAGAATTTGGGGGTTGGCAATATCGTGCTCATATAATTGGAGTCGACATCTCTATCGCTTAACGGGATAATATTTGCTGCACTCTCCTTATCGCGATATTGTAGAGGACTGGTTACATTCGATCCTAGATCGCTTCAACAGACAGCGGCTTAAACTGTGGCCAATGTTTTAGTGCCATTGGCCTCTTGCCTTTGACGAGTTATCACCGGAAGGAGCATAGCACAAGATTTGTAATATTACCTATTTTTCTTCAAGCTTGTATCATATATACGACGACCAATAAGGTTAAAAATAACGTTACAATCGGTAACAGAGCTTGATTCGGCTAATACACCAGCCTAATGATCCGTGTACTACCTCCAACAGTATGGAAGAACTAAACTAGGAACACCACAGAGGAATCTGGTATGCATAGGTTCATAACCTAATGATCTCCGCAGGCTTGCCATCTAGTCTGCAAGTTTGGAATAGTGTCATATGTTAAGGTGTTGTAGATGATCGTTGTAATCGTTGTACATATCCATCCCTTGATGAATTGGCTGGGGCAGGTGCACACGCCAGGAGCTGGAGACTCATATCAGTCATTACTCACATTGAATCAGTATACAAAGAGATTACCGAGAGAATATTTTATCTTCTTGCCAATATTCCCAGTTTTATCAGATGAAGTCCTCTATAGAATGATCATGTTAACTCCACTTACCCTAGATCCTTGAAAGATGAGATTAATTTTATCTAATAGCAAAAACAAGCAAAATGCCTAATATTTCTCTATACTACTATTACTAAGGCCCAGCACATCTTGGATCATGTTTTATAAGCCTTGGGATCATTGGAGATGTCCATAAAAGAACTGGCTATATCTGCAGGCTTTCTGAAAGAATTGACCATTTTTCAGATATACATGTAACCACTACAGTCGTTGAAGGAGACCAACAGTACCCTTTCAAATTCTTCTAGCATCCAGGAGTGTTTTGGTATGAATGACGAAAATTATGTTCGGGTCTACCTCGGAGGTACGTAAATTGCTCTTTGACAAATTGTGATTGATCGCGATGTTCACTTTTACGAGCAACATCTCTATCGAAATCATAATACACCTAGTAGAAACATACCAGTGGGAGGGAGGGTGGTCTAGTTTTTACCGGGGGGATTTTTGAGTTCTCGTGAAGCACTGTATTCACTAAAATTAGACGGCGATAAGAAACAATGCGGCATACCAAAAACCTATTTAATGCTGTCCTTGGCCTCAATGTTGATTACTATCCATCCCTTTATAGAGTTTATGACATTTTTCAACAATACCTGGCCAAGTTTCGGAATAAACGCCAAGGTTCGTCTTACAAGCGGCAGCTAAAGAGTGATGGTTATATGTCACAAAACTATCAGCAAACAGTAGTTCTCACCACTATCCGGATTAGAACATTTCATGTTGCCATTCAATAACTCAAATGCAAACTCATCAATGGAGCAGCTCTTGGACAAAGAGTTACATATATCCCTTATCTGGGCAGTCGCATATGGCTACATCCCTTGCCATGAGCACCGAGTGGCAAAGAGAAGTTCAAGGAGCAGTCCTAAAGTAATTAGGCTTACGAAACGCATGATTTTGTTGAAGTTAAGAGTTTGGAAGAGGGTAGGAGAATAAGCTTCTTAGTGTTAGTGCAATGAATAGCCGTTAAGACGGTCTGTGTTAGGAGAGATATTGCACATGATTTCAGACATCGGTATCTGGGTCATGTATCTGCCTGAGTAATAATAATCATGAAACCTGTATAGCCTGTACTCCCTACTATCTAGGGACAAGAGAGCAAAAAAAACAACAAAAAGAAGAACATACAACAGCCGGTGTTCGCTGATGGTCACCCACTCAACTACTAATCTGCCGGTTAGTGGCTTGTCTATGGGGGAGCAGACGGGACCCCGAATTCTCCACTACCTATGGTCGTATGTGGTAGATGAAAGTGTAAAGCTGTGTATATATAATAACTGCGTGTAGGGCAATCGATGTCGGGCTAGATATCATCCACCAATTGACAGTTTAGGCATGTAAGAACCGCATCAACTGGAAGTCCGAGCGGCAACATGTGATTAGTTTTGGCCATTGCCATTAGGCAGCAACACTAGCAATCGTCATTACATGATTGGCAGTATGGAATGTGAAGACGAGTTTGCAGCCTTTTCAAGAAGCAAGATGGATGGGTCGAGTCAGATTTTAGAGCTTATAAGAGGAAGGTGGCCATATTGTGACGCTGGTATTAGTTGCCAACTGATAAAAGGTTATAGAGTTTATTCAGTTCTTAAAACTTAATGAGTTAATAATGATGGGGATGTCCGACGTATACTAAAAATAGTTTATAACTGCAATTTATTGCCAAGGAGGTCAGCGGAGAATTAGAGGGTTTGGAATCAAGTAGGATGATGAAATCGTGATCATATGGGTCATAGTACTTGTTACTAGTAACGATAGACCGGGGTTTGCCTCACCATGCGCACTGGAAGAGAGTCTTTCATCACCCTTAGATGGCAAGTTACAGACGTATGATCAATTGAAAAGACGACCATTCTATCCAATATTTCATTAACTCCCATAAACTGCTACCCATCAACATATCATGTCAAGGAGCTCCAACAATACAGCACACGTGCCATATGCGACTTAAACATCATATTTCTCTTAGTCAACAAGCATATGATGACTCCAACGAGGGATTTTCTTGGTTTAAAACAAAAAGAGGCCATGCGCTATTCCTGTTTCAATAACTGAAAGATTCGGAAGTTGTGACCATGTAGTAGTATTCGGGATTTCTGTGCGGGTTCCCGTATCATGTTCAAGTTCCATCTTCTTTCTTTGACTTTTGCGTATGACCAAGATTGGCAAGTCAACTGCATGCAGTTAGCCCGGCTGTGGTCATGATATTGGCGTGGCTAAACCGGGAAGGTGGATCATGGGCAATATAATGCACGTAAGCTCTAAGAATATCCAGCACCCTCGACAGGACTTGACCCCAGGAGACGAGGCTACGATGCGAATATTTCCGAATTAATTATTCGGATAAAGCAAGGGCTTCGTCATCACAGCTCTGCATGATAGTACGGGCGTTTCTTGCCCAAGCGTGATGCATATTCGAGCGAGTCAAATGATATCCGTATTCTGTACTGTCTGTTAGTGCCACAGTAGTAGATGTCTAAAGCCAAGGGTCGTAGCGATTTTCAGCAGCTGCACGGCTCAGCCGACGATAGGACGCTATGGGGGGCGGTAATTCGCCGATTAATTGCTCTGATTCCTCTGATCCCTCTTACCTCTCCCGGGCAGTGCTGGGTCTGAAGGGCGAACGGAATCGGACCCCTAACGGGGTACTACTGTACTTTCACCGAAGAGGTTACTCAACAATCAAGGCTGTCATTCCCGGTTACAATATTGAGACCCGAATGCGAACACCTCTCCCCTGAACGTATCCATTGACGCATATGATCCGCCGCACCCCGTTTCCTGGAATGCCTTTACTGTGCACGCGTGTGTTCATTGAGGGTGTTTACAGTACTATAAATGGACTTCGGTAACCAAAAATCGACATGTAGTAATTCTCGCCCTGAATGGAAAATGATTCGTCTAAATCTGTTCGGAGCATAGGCTAGGAATAGTATCGCCCGCAAACTGTATGACGGGGGTGCTTCAACGACAGTAGTTTGCCCACAAAGCGGAACTCTGGTTTGGAGTTTAAGCGCCTCTGAGCCTCAATATGAAACATGGATATTCAATATGCCTAAAAGTAGCTAGTTTGGCACGTTGTGCACCCCCACTGGGGACCTTGACCGTTGCTTGATCCGGAAACTACAGGGACAAGTTCATGAAGCGGATTCAACTACTAGTCCTGCAGAACGACGGAGTTTCATGATGTTGCGGGCATATCCCACCCACAGAACCCAATTTATTTCAAGGGTACAATGACAGCCCAGGCATTTTTCCTTAGTACTATACCATAAACTCGCCCTCGCCAATGAAAGATCCCAGACGCGCGGCTGAAGGCCAACTGCCCACCTTTGTCCCCGCGGCTGCTCCGTAGGTCATGTTATATGCGTAGTAGCATGATTTCTTCTATTGACACGCCCAGCAATCAGCTCTGGACTTCTTCCAAGCTTATGGTGATGCCGGTTTGCCGACTCACGTCATGACTCTTTTCTCACCATGCACTTGATCATGGAAAACCGCTAGCAAAAACACGCCCCTCTTAGAGAAGCCTTGTGGGCGTTGAGCCTAAACAGTCTAGATGGGTTGACTCTTTGAGCTTCCCTTTCTAGCAAAACCTTCAACATCACTGAAGGTAAAAGGTATAAAGAGACCAATTCCCTTCGTGATCGGCAATATCTTCTTCACCAGTCAACCCAGACAACTCAGCTCAACAAAGACCAAACAACAGATTTTCATCTTTGATCCATCTCAACCGATACAATGGCTTTCAAGACCATGATGTTTGCCGCCCTGGCTGCTCTGCCTGCCGTCTTCGCCTCTCCCATCGAGCTTGAGTCTCGCGCTGGTTGCACCTACAACGGTGGCTGGCAAAACTTCCCTCCTATGAGCCAGTGGTTGCCCTGGACCGAGGTCTTCGGCCGCTACCAGCAGTCCATGGTCAACGCTGGTTCCACCTGGGACGATGTCGGCCGTATCAACGTCGCTATCAGCAATGCTGCCGCCAGCATCGGTGTTGACGAGCGTGTCATCCTCGCCATCATCCTCCAGGAGAGCAGCGGCTATGTTGGTGTTCGTTGCACTGGCAACAACGACTGCGGTCTTATGCAGTGTGAGGGCTGCCCTGGATTCCAAGGCCAAAACGGCCTTCCTCAGGTATGCAGAGATTCTACACTCTCAGTCTATTTTGCGCTTCGGCCACTAACACTATTAATAGTCTTCCACCTCCGCCATGATCAACGGTGGTACCCAGCACTACAAGCAAAACTTGGAGGACTGGGGTAACGCTTGGGCTGCGTCTTCCATCTACCCTGCCCTTCGTGAGTACAACTCCGGCAGCGTTAACTCTGGTGATCTCAGCACTGCTGCTGGTGGCTTCGGCGTTCCTTGCTACGTCTCCGACGTCGCCCGCCGTATGCTCGGCCAGGTCTTCTAAATTTCTCTATCGAGAAGCAACACAAAGAAAAGGAGGAATATGATATGAAGCACAAAGACTTGGGATGACGAAAATTTCCATGAAACTGTTTGCTTCTCCTCTTGGATTTACTTGTCTATATTTGCTCTTGTAGCACTTTTTTGAGACCTTCTCCTAGAGGTCATGTCTATATCTAGGATCAACGTATATATCTTACCGTTCACTCAATTATTTCAGTCTCCTTCGTGCTGGTGATTCCTCTTTCTCTTAACATGTACACGATAATTGCTTTCCTCTACTCACTTGTGTCTAACCTGGATAAGTGCTATGGTATACTAGTGTAAAGACGTAAATCGGGAGTGGTGAAGCAGCTGATACATGAAGCGCATACTAACGATATATGTCCCTGCCATGACCTGTTTGGTCTTGGAAATGAGATTCAGCTAATCAGGCTAGCAGGCCATCATGCAGGTTCATCTACTTCGTATCCTTGGCGTGCATCATGGGCATCAACTTTGAGCATCTATCCTGGAATATTTTTCACCCGCCAATAATGACTCGCGTATCTCTTGCACAGTAGGTTTTTAAATTCAGAGCTACTCGATATACTCGAAGTTCACATGATGCCAGAATTATGAACATTGTCGGAGGCCGTTGAGAGGTTTAATTATAAGTAGCTGCCTCTTCCGGTGATCAAATCACATTGCAGGTCTACTTGAGTCGCGGGGCGCTAAAAAAGCTAACTTCAAGGTTGCTAAAATCAGGGGTTTTTCTGCCCCTGTCAAATTTTGCTAAGCAAGTTTGAGCGAAATCGTGGGGCGGACGCATTCGATTACTAGTTGGAAGCGCGGCTAACTGGCGCAGTCACCTTGACCAATCATCTCAACAGATGGCAGCACATATCTTTCCAGGCAACAAACGAATCCGACCACTTGGAGCTTCCTATTTGATCTCCTGTAAGCTGACGGTGGAGTCAGTAGTGTCGGGAATCTTATCTCTTAAAAGGGCCGAGCGGCATCAGGGATCTTTTCTTTCCACACCGAAGAGAATCTCAGCAGCAGCTCCAGGTGTTCATGCGTGCCCTTGTATGATCCTCAACAGGGCGCCCTCGCAAGAGTTTGCAACCAAACTTGGGCCATTTCTTTGGCGCAGACAGAGCCAAGACTGAACCAGTCCCGATCTGAACTTCAACCTTGAATCATTCTGGAATCTTGAAGTCCCAGTTGTTCGGATGAAACGACTCAATCTTTTGAGTGTTTAATCAAAAGTGAAATTGCCAAGTTCCCGACGAATGATTACGAAACTGCCGGGCTTTGTTCGAGATATTTTATGTGTGCGGCTTCGAGGTCGTAATGCTGTAGCTTGCCTACCTAAGGTTGTGGTCTGAATGCCTTCGGGACGATCTCCCGGATTTTCATTGTAGCCGCTACTTCCCCTACACCTTACTCCACTAATCATCCTTCGGCGTGAAAGGATCTTCAAGCACTTTAACTATTTGCAGTTATTCCCCCACGGTTTAAGCTGTACATGGAACTTTATTGTGAAGCTTAAAACAGATAGCTGCATCGTATCAACTCGCTATTTTTTTTTTCCCTCTTTCTTTTCAAAGAAAAAAAAAATACGATGTCTTGCAATAAATGTGTTGCGGAACTATTGGAAATGAGCATCATTATTAACCATTGTGCATCATTGTGAGTGGCATCGCCGTCCGCATTTGTTAGTTTCCAAACACAGGCCATTGAGAACACCGTCATAGGGTGGAGGCAATTATTACTGCAATGCTGCATGAGAACCAAATTAGCCTAATAGAATACGTATCCCAAGTACTCCGTACATATTGCCGTGCCGCCTTGCTATTGATCGACGCGTTGGAGGCGATTTAAGTACATGATCAGCGGTCAGATCACCACAACCTCGCTGGCGTCCAATTTTTGTTTCAGACGAACACGTTGTGGGGGATGAACTGTGTAATGATCCTCTGTGCCGATCCGGCTCAGTCTTCCCAGTCCGCTAAGCGCGGACCGTACCGCCCGATGGAAACATTGTAGTGCAACAGTATCACTGAGATCCCCGTAGAGCTGGTCATGAGTTCTACAATTGATGTCCATGAGCACCGTCCTATAGTAGAGGTACGCGGTGCTTGTCGTTGAAAATCGCCCAAATCGAAATTCGTGGTTCATTTGCAGCAAGGTAACAGTCAACCTCTGCGTGCTGGCCCCCAATGTCATTATTAGGTACTTACAACTGTTGCCCTATAAGACTCAGATGAAGTAAGATGGAAGGTGACCGTGCGGGTCAAACTAGGGCATGTATTTTCTCGCCGAAAATTTGAGGAGAAAGTGGTTGTAAACGGTCCCATGTACAATATGCGTTTCATATCTGCCGCTAGGGGCTTCCGTATTCGCTTGCCCGCTTAATAGAAGACCTTCTTCTTTCGTTAATGATCATCAACCGTAATGTTGGTGTTCAATTATGCAAAATCACACAGTGTCAATTTAAATATGCGCTGGTTTTGGAAGAGATACTGCCTACAGGCTACGAGTATCTCTTTCTGTACTTCATACATTCCTGAAACTTGACAAGATTCGCTATCCTCGAGTCACCTATTCCGCGCCCCATCATCTTATCGCAAGCAGTTCTTGATTGCAAAAAGCAAAACAAATAGCTCTATATAGAGAAGATAAGTAGACGCAATCCAATCATGAATGAACAGAGAGAGCTCAAGTACCCACTCCAGATCCTAGGCCAGCATATAAATAGATGGTCAAAGACGGCAGGATATAGTTACTACTTTCAGCATTGTTTACGCCCTTTCTGAGGTGTTGAATCATGCACTGGTAGTACGGGAAGACTAGGGCAATAAACAAGAGTTGTCACATTCCACCAAAATTCCACTATGAAGAATGCCCTGGCCAAGCTAGCAAGCATTGTTTCCCCCTTGAAAATTTGAATAATCGAAAAACAAAAAAATATTTTTCGATTACTATATTGTGCCCCCTCTATACCCGCAGCACCCTTCACCCCCTCTACGGAGCCCTGGTTTTATATCGTGCTTCGTGTCCGCAATTATTCCTTTATGATCAACTTTTCACGCTATAAATGGAAGCGATGGCATAGCGCAACAGATATTTGATAGAGTAATAGGAGTGGCTGGGATACTATACATATGGGTATCCCTTAAAATATCTTCAATATAGGCTAGAGGGTGAAGTGGCGATGCTGAATCACATCCAATATGTAACATTCGTTTACTGATATGGCATAACGTTCTTCGTTATTAATAATGCAATAAACTAGCAGCAAAAAAGAGAAAATTAGGTGCTAATATGTTAATCCTTCGTGAGCACCTCTGCATCTTCCTTGACAACGTCGCCATTTGATTGTCCTGGGAAGAACTCCCTTCTATCTTCCGTGTATCCGCTATCACATCAAGGTCAGTGAATTTGAACGTGAGTCGGATTATGGTTGGTAAAGCATACAAGATAATGTCAATCTCATCCAGAGTCTTGCCCTTGGTTTCAGGCAGAAAGAAGAATGCCCAGACAGTTGCAAGCAGCATCCAAGAAGCAAAGAAGAACCAGGTGCCATAACCAAGAGAGGTAAAGATGTAGGGTAAGGCCTTTGTAATAACAAATTGAGTGAGCCTGTAAAATAGGTCAGCATTGATACAGTCCTGGACTGAATGGTATGCTCACCATTGACAGAGGGCTGCCCAAGTTCCTGAAAAGTTACGTAGGGCTCCTGGAAAGATTTCGGCGGCAACAATCCATGGTATACCGTTGAGGCCAAAGGACCAGCTGTTAGAAGGGTGTTAGTAACTAAATACCATCGGAATGGGCAAACAGTACACCATACAAGACGGAATATATCATGATCATGCCAGTTGCTGCTCTTCCACCAGCTGCGGTAGATGATGAAAGTTGTTGTCCGGCTTTGATGATGTCGGCTGGGTGCCCGATTTTGACGTATGCGCCAATGATCCAAAGACAAAGTGAGCAAACGATAGATGAGAGGATAGTGGGATGTCTGCGACCCCAGATATCGATCAAAAAGACGTAGAATAATATCGAAGCGACTGCTTTAACAAGACCGTAGATACCGGTGTATAGAGAGACATCTTGGATGCCAAGCGAAGAAAAAAGCGTGGGTGAATAGTAGTTGATGGCTGTTATACGACACTTCGGTAAGCTGAGAACGTCTTTACCATTTTGAGATGCCTTACCTGCAGCTCCAGACATATTTTGTAGCGCAAAGGAGCAAAAGACCAAAATGATGCGGTTTCGCATGCCCTTCCGTGATAATTCGTAGAGGGCTCCACGGAAAAGCGCCCAGGATCCAGATCCATATCTGCTTGCAATATTGTTTTCTTCCATCAAGCGGCCACGGATCATTTGTACATCTTCTTTCAAGTCTGTAGCATATCCAAGTTAGCAGGGTTTCTTTGAGGTCAGTTAACGTTTGCCTTACACTCATGATCTCGAGAAATGTGGCGAATTTCTTCCAGCGCCTTAGTTCCATCTTCATCTCTGTCTTTTCTAAAGAGCCAAAGAGGACTCTCGTGAAGGAATATACATCCAATCAGTAGCATACCGCATGGAACGATTTGGATAGCCATAGGGATACGCCACGAGGCAGTTGAGTTTACATCCATGTTCTGATTGATTCCATAGTTGATCCAAAAGCCAATGACCGATCCGATTTGATATGCAATTTCGAAGAGACCAGTGAGTATACCACGGATAGAGGGAATAGAAAGCTCAGCGATATAACTTGGAACGGTCGCAGTTATTCCACCGCAAGCGAGACCAGTAAGCACTCGACCGGCATCTTTCCATCCAAGGTCAGCTACAGAGAATACACGAAAACATTGAATCTGAACGAGTGGCATGGACTTACATATGTTGGCGAGTGAGTGCGTAGCAGCAGTCATGATAATTGCGCCAACAAGGAATACAACGTTAGAGATGAATAGTGCCCACTTTCGGCCTACTTTCTCTGTGACTGTTCATCATAATCAGCACCCAGAATCACAATTTCCAGCTCTGAAATTCTTGAACCTACTAAAGAAGCAGAAAATGGCACCAAAAAAGGCACCCGCCTGGAACGCGGATGTGATATTACTGGAGATGTTGTTGGCATCGGCCGGCAAAATAGTAAAGTCTTTCTTAAAGCTGGCGCGAGAGATTGTTGTCCCAATGAATGCACCGTCATAGCCGAAACTGTTCACCTACGCATTAGAAGAGATCGCATGCATTTCCCTTAAGGTGGAAGAAACTTACAGCAGGGAACCCGTCGCTATGATTGCAGCTTCGGTATACAACCGCCAATTATACACCTCTTTCGGGGTTGGCCGATCCTCAACGGCACGAAACCCACCCATGATGTCGAAGGCCTATCGACTCCGTCAGCTATGCGAAGAACCTCGTAACACGGAGAAGATACGCACCTGTATCAGCAACTATAAAAAACTGGCCGTGTAAGAACGGAGTTCGTGGCCATCTAACCATCAGAAAGTGCGAAAGACAAACGGATAACTTCGTAAGATATAAGAGAGTCTTGCGGTCTGTCCTTCATCGCCTTTGCCTGGTGCCATCGGATCTGGCAAGAAGATGGTGGGGTCTTCGCCAATTAGCAAAAAACCTGGGCTATTGCTGTCGAACCATTTACACGGTACCCCAGCTTTTTACTGAGTAGCGTCGTGCGGGGGAATTTGCGGAGGCGACAATCCAGATCGGATCCTTCTTCGAAGGAGCAAGAATACAGGGGAGAATTTCCTGGTCTAGTCACAAGGAGACATCCAGGTCTGTCGGCAAAAAATTAACCATTCAAGCCTTCTTTGTCTTAGAACTGGAGTCAACATGGTTCGCCGACGGATTATTGCTGGTGGCGTTGCGCTATGGTGAGTGAGGTGGCAAATGAGAGGCCAATGAGAAGAGGAGCCGTTGAACTAAGCGACGTATCCGACATCCGAGCCGATCGGCTTTCCGCATGAAGTCGACACGACCCTGGGTTGAGATCATTGTCCTTGGTTGGAAAACAGAGGCTTGCGGTCGCAAACAGACGCTCTGTTTGTGACCATCGGCATCAGAAATACTCCGGTGTCATGGATGAGAGGCCAATAGTGCAGCCCAAAGTACTGAAGATTTGACAGGTGTATACGAGATAAAGTGGTATGACCGTATCACATAGAAACTCGCTTCACTACCATGTAGATCATGTTCCCCCTGGTGTCATATGCTGAAGGAAACATAAGGTATAAAGTAGATATAGTATTATTGAGGTGTCTATGCTGTTAATACTAAAAGGAGATTGTTGCCCCCTGATGATTCCGCCGCCACACATTGCCCTTAAGGAAATCATCTTATGCGTCGTATTATCAAGTCTAACATTGATGAATAATGCTTATTTATAAATCAGGCTGATGCCGTTACCACCCTCACGTTCATCCCTTGGCAATGCTATTCTCAGTCCCCTCCAGAGCGCCAACCACACCAACAATCCATTCCTGCTGCGTTGTGTTGTCATACTTTGGATATGGTCGGCGACAATGACAGCTCTCTTGAGGATAGCCACGCAACTTTGCGACTACCCACTTCGTACCGTTAATACCACCCTTGGCAAAGCCCCATTCCATCTTTGAGAGCTCCAACTGCAGTGCTGTAGCCTCTTTCACCTTGCCTGCTACGAAAAGATCGTAAATCTGTATACAAGTCTTTTGAGGTTTGCTTGTGTCAGTGATGCTTCCTAAAGGGTAAATATCGTTGCTCCAAACTCACTTTAGGATATAAGTTTGCTATTCCAGTAATGGCGCCTGTGCTACCGACAGATAGTGCTGGAACGAGCCAGTCACTTTGACCAGCAAGAGCACTGAACTTGTTTGGGCTGTAAGTGGCAGCAATGCGAGATACCTTGGCAATGCCGCCGCATGTCAGCTTCACACCGACGATGTTTGCATGTTTGGCCAGGCGATCTAGCATCTCCGAGTCGACGTCGAGTCCGGCAACAACATTGGGATAGTTGTATATCAAGATGGGAAGTGGGCTCGCATCAGCTGCCTGTTCAGTGTGTGTTAGCCTCGATTCTGTAATTTCCAAGCCACGGAGATTTAGCTCATACCTCTTCGAAGAAGGCAACAATGCTGTCCTTATTCATTGCAAAATGAAAATAGCTGGGTACAAGCACCAAGACAAAATCTGCACCGGCTTCTTTTGCCAGCTTCGTTTCTGTAATGATATCTCGCGTGCATTGTCCAGAGCATCCCACGGTGATTGGGATATCTGGTCTTCCAGCCTGAATAGCGACGCGGCGTGTCATCGTTATTAACTTGATCTTTTCATCTTGGGTTAATGTTACAGCTTCGCCATTGGTTCCCGCGATGACAACTGATTTGATCTGCGTTAGCTACCGTCGCTGCGCTACCAAGCAAGTGCAATGCACTTACTGCCATGAAGACCAGAGGTGATCACAAAGTTCAAATGCCTCTCTTGCAAGTCCCAGTCTATTTCTTGAGAATCGTCGTTGCGGAACCAAGTTAGGCTAGGCACATGAATACCAGGCGGAAACGGCCTGGCCACTTGTTGTATCGAACCCATTCTTGCTGATATGAGAGAAGGAAGGAGAAACTTTTCGGACTTTTGCCTTGAGCGGACTTCGATGAATGAACGGCAGTAGAACTTCCCGAAGAGAGTTGTTGATTAATGTTGAAAATACTGTCCAGAGTCTTATATATCACGCCGTGGAGAAGAGAAAATTAAGATAGAAGAGACATGAGGATGCCGTATCGGACTTCCTGGAGAGTGCATTAGACCCCAGATGGGGTAGCCAGACGTGATTAAAACCTCCCCGCATCTGGATAGTTGATGGCATCACCTTATTCGAACTTCAATCGAGGCGATGAGCGTGGGGTTATCTTGCCGACGCCCCTTTATTCCCGACATTGCCGACCCGAGCGGAACACCACCATCGCCACTCTGTGCTGGATTGATCACAAGATCGCAAAACAGGAATTAAAAACTGCATGCATCACAGATCGGATATCCGCACGGGCCTTCGAGGCTTCTTGGCGAGCTTGAACCTCTTCTAGGACCTGTGCCGTGATTCTTGCATTTCCAGCGACGCCCTCCATTCTCACGATCTGTGCTCGAATCCACGCCTTTTCATCCTGATCCTGTTCTTCCACGCCCAGCATCAAGAGAGGCCAGAGCATATTTACTGGAAGCGAGTCATCAGGAGCTAGATCAGAGGAAATCTGGTGCGCTAGCTTGCGGATGTGATTAAGGGCATCAGTTGCCTCCTTGGTCAACGGCAGATGTTTATAAGCGACACGATGAAGATGGACTTTGCTGGCGTAGTAGTTGGACAAGTACGTGCGAAAGGCTCTGGTGATAGTAAAAGCCAAGTGTGCTGAGATATGAGGTTCCGAAAGCTTTCCAGCAACAGCGTAGTCCATGAGTGGCGGGCGCTGGTCGTACAATGATCGGAGGTCGGCGGCGATGGAGGCGCCAATATTCATGACTTCGATCTCGTCCTCGACCGTTCCTCTCGACCGATGCCAAGGATCAATTTTTGAGATGCGCCCCATGAAGCTCTGCACCTTCTGGAAAAAGACGATGCCGGGTTGGTAGAGGACTTGGAATAAGACGTCCTCGATGTCATCACTGGTAGCATCCTGGCTTCTCGCAATTTCATCTGTCTCGGCATCGAAGCTCGCAGGTGAGGCATCTACGAGTTCGATTTCGTCATCTTGTGACAGGAATAGCCCCTCACCATCAGCTGATACTGCCCTGGCATCCAGTAGCCGGATCCAAAGAAGGACTTGCTTCTCGACATGCGAGAATGAGGCTTTATCTCCCCTCTGGAATATTGTGTACGCCTGTTTGAGATAACGATGTGCCGTATCGAGCCTGGATTCTATAATACCAACGTAACTCAAGAAAAATAGGGCGGCAAGGAGGCATTCGCGCGCCAGGCTATGTTCATTGAAGGAGTCCGGATCTTGAGCTTCTACTTCCATGGTCGCTTCCTCATAGTGGTTTTGGTCGGCAAAGGCCCATGACAGATTACTGCGACATAGAAGGGTATTTGAGAATGCTAAGATAGCACAGCGTAGAACGCGAGAGCTCTTTGACATTGCGACAAGACCTTGACGGATTGAGAACCACTTCCTCTGAGACTCAACTCCAGCAAGAATAGGCGGGGTGGCGGACTTGGCGAAGAACTCCATTAGCCTCTCACTTGCAGCAGATGGGCTCTGGTCCAAAGCCTGATCTCCGTTTTCTTGAATTGTCGTGGTATCAGAGTATGTGTTCATGATGAGAGGATTGGTATGCCTGTTTACGTATGCAGTAGGATCCTAACAGAAGAGTGAGTATGAGAATTTCTTTTGGCTTTTGTTCATGTTTGCTAGAGAGGGGAAAATACAGCATGTACAAAACAACAGGCGAATTAGTATCGGCAACTGGATTGAACGGTACTTACAATGGTATTTGTGTTAATCGCTATGGTAGTCGCCATATCTGGGCTTTCTTGCTGCCAAAGACTGCTGGTTGGATCCCACATGAAGCTGGCGTAGTCAAACACTTCATCCATAGCTTGCAGCGTTCGTAAACCAGATGTAGTTGGTGATTGGTCAGTCGACGGAGATAGAGTAAGCTGATTACTAGATGCAGTGCCCTCGCCGTTTGCATCCTGTCGTTGCTTTGACAACGCAGCAGCGTGATGTGGTCGCCATTTGCACTCCAGGTTCAGTCTCTCGCAATGAGAGCATCTTGGCCGCTGCTCATCGCATTTTACTTTGCGACGCCTGGGTATACAGAACGTATTAGCACGTCCTATACTGTTCTGTAAAGCTGTTATATGAGAAGCCTCACTTGCAGGTCAAACACCCACACCGTGACCTGTTATAGCGCCGAGTCGGCCCAGCGCGTTGCGGAGAGATCGCGTTCATATTGCCATCATGGGGGAGGAGTTGCGGCGTAATATCAGAGATATCTGACGAGTAATATGTATTCACAGTTATGAATAAAAAGGATCTTTAGAAACATGTCCTTTCAAGTCATTGAACGAAGTTTGTCTTTGATGAGGCGACACAGCTTAGTGTGGTAGCTGAAGGAAGAGTTGGAGAAATCATGCACCCCAGAGTGAGTTCTTGGGCAAATGAGGTTAGCGTGAAGTAGATACACCAAGGGACTTTGAAGCTATTTTAATCTGTCATGTGACGTGCGCATTCTAGAATAACAAGCAGCCTGCGCATCATTAATTCTAGAACCTGATGGTCATACATTCTATCTGTATTAAGTCCTCCCCATGTAGAGTTGAAACGAGTGAAAATTGGTCAACTACTTGACTCTCCGTAGCCATCGAATTTCGCAGAGTTTCTGCAGGCAGACATGCAGCTGTAGGTAGCCTTACAAGATGCCCTTGTAACAGTGTATATCAATCTTGCTCCAGTTAGAATTGCAGCTGCAAATACTGAGACTGCTTTTGCATTGCTGAAAGATGGCATTTCCAGCATCAGAGGCTATTTTATAACCGGATACACCAAAGACCCGGATACACCTCGGAGTAAAGACACGGATACAATAACGGATACTCTCTAAAGCTGGGCAATGCATCTCCGGTGAACCGCATAAACAGTACGTATAAGATAGACATACTGTCCCACTCTACATGCAGCAAGTGTTCAGGCTATTATTTTCTAGAACACCCTGCATTATTATCCACGAATCGAGTCCACGTTTTGAAGCAAAGTTTGGCCAAGTGTAAGCACTTGTTTATGTAAGCCCACATCTACCGTTGAGTTGCGATAGCATCATCTTCAATCAATCGAAGCTCCAGGGCACATTTTTAACTATTATTCAAAGGTTGAAGAGACATTAAAAGCTAATACGGCCACACAATCAGAATCAGCTATTACTACATCCAGTTGAGTGTCCAGAAACACTATGCATCGCTCGCACTTACTGTATGCAACTATTGATGTGCTGTTTTCGCACACCTACAACCGCTCGTAGAATATTTTAAACAAATGCTTTATCGTGCGCAAGTCGAAATGCTGAATGAACCAATTCAATCGCCGGCCTCGGATCTTTATTCATCGGTTTTCGGAAGCGCCGCGTCATTAATAATGGCGGTTTGGTCAACTCACTCTTGCCCCACCACCTGATTGCCCGATTAGGAAAGCTGTGATGCTGTCAGGCCGTCGTTTCAGGCATTCAATCCAAGAGAAAAGTTGTATTTAAATCGCAACAATTCTGGCTTTCCGAGAAAAAAAATTCTCTTCAGAATTCACCAGCATTTCCAACAATCATCAACAACAATCTAATTTTGGAATTGTATCAAAGATCCTGCATCAAAAAAAACTTCGATTCACTTCTTCTGCACTACCTTTACATCATCGTTGCCTGAATTTCCAACCTGAAGCCTCGCTGCCATTGACATTTGCTGTGAGTATCCGCTTACGTCATCGCTCCGAACCCATCTCTAACAGCTCAACCACCACCACTGTAGTCTTATATCTTATATGCAATAACGCCTTACCTTTAATTTAGGTACTTTCAACTTGTTGTTACATATATTCAACACTTTACAATCACCAAAATGTCGGCCAATCAAATTGAATTAAACGGCTGGACTTCTGTCCCTTTGGATCCAAGCAAGCTCTTTGCTGGCGAGCCATTCAAGAATGTCCCAGGACCAATTCTTGTCGCCGACATTAAATTTCCTAATGACGATCCTATCGTCGCCAAAGTCCAGAGCTATGCCAAGGAAAAGCTGCCCATCCAAACTTTCAATCATAGCATGAGAGTATTTTATTTCGGTATGGAACTTCGACTTTTTATGTACCTTTGTCTGCATACCTAGCTAACATGCATGTTATACAGCAAGCGCTATTGTTAAACAGCAGTTCCCCGAGCATGCTGAAACATTCTCTCCTTCAACCCTTGCTCTAGTCTCCCTTCTACACGACATCGGCACTGCTGAGGAAAACTTGGCAGCTACCAACATGTCGTTTGAGTTTTATGGAGGATTCAAGGCCCTTAACCTTCTTCTAGAGCTTGGGGCCTCCAAGGACCAGGCTGAAGCAATTGCTGAGACTATTATTCGTCACCAAGACCTTGGCACAGTCGGCAACATCACCTTCATGGGCCAAGTTATCCAGCTAGCCACTATTTACGACAATGCTAGCAACCACCCATACGTGAAGAACATCACGGAAATTATTCACACCGACACTCTCAAGGATGTCGTCAAGGCTTTCCCTCGCCAGCAGTGGCTTGGATGCTTTGCCCACACCATTGACCGAGAAGAGTCTCTCAAGCCGTGGTGCCATAGCACTCACATTCCTGATTTCTCTAAGGTGATTCTCAACAATACTTTTATGCAGCAATATGAGTAGGTTCAGTTTTCTGGGTTATCACAGCAGCACAGCGTCATCATAAGCTATGGCCATCGGGATTCAAGAGACGGAAGGTGTACGTATGAGATATTTCATTTCTGCACACTCTTTTTCATGTATTATTTCATTGGCAGTTCTTATCATGCTCTATTGTAGTCTGAGCAAACGTTCTCTCTCACATTCACATATACACTTACTAAATACGAAGAATATGAAGATTACATCCTAGATTTAGTATGGCAGCCGCTTAGCAAGTTCCGTTTTTGTAAGTTGCCATGTGCTGTGTTGTTTAACTGTATGTAGAGAAAGTCATCACTCTGTATTTTAAGCCGCTCTATGGAAATTGATAATGGTAAACTGTGGGATGATGCGACCGAGGCATTCCATGAAAGACACACCTTTACGTTAAGACATGGTGTCTATATTATGCTGGCAATAAACAAGAGCAAGTAAATTAATACTATCATGATGACTCAAGAAATAATAACCACGTATCATTTAGAGGGTACATTCTATATAACCAAACATTGACGTTATAACAGGAACCTTCCTTGAGTTTGGTGATGAAGTATAGAACCCGACGAGACCAAGGTAGGTCAACTTGATTCTGGAGGTAGCTTGATCTATGAGCATTTTAGATGAGAGATTGGCATCAAAATGGCGACATTTGTTTTGGTTGCCAGACGAGGGCAGGGGGATTGCATGTAGGCATTCAGCACCACATGTCTTAAATTCGCTGATACAGGTAGTGATAATAGCAGATACTACAAGAACATATCGATGAGATGAGAGTGCGGCGATAGCAAAGGAATGGAGAGATACTAGCAGAGACCTAGCCAGTACTTACCAAGAATCTGCCTGGTGTCAAGGTATCTTGGAGGATGCTTCTTTATTCTGCATTGTGATACAACCCCCAAATACAGTAGGAATAATAGCAGATACTTAAAGAACCAGACATATAGGTAGCAATCGCTGGGGTGTTGGCCACATGCAACCATTCTTTTTTGCAAGCTTTCCTCGTATCAAAATCATTTTTAGCCCACGGTTTCGGCGACAAGAATATGTAATTAGCATAAACCCTATGAAGTTTGTTTACAATGTGGAATTACAAAGTATACAATGTGACTCTCTGCCCAGTGACCTCGGCCTCCCTCAGCAATTTGACATTTTCCCTCCGGAGTAAGAATTTTAGCAACGAAGAGCATCCAATGCTAATAAAAGAAAATACCATCATCAATATCATGGCGAGCGCATACCGAGGTTCATCGGCCGGACGGAAAAAGTATGGGCTCCAGATATTACCCAGCTGGGCAAGCAGGTTGATAATGGCCGTCGCAGCAGCTCGCTTTTCAGGCGTCTGGTTCAGCGTACTTGCAGCCCACGAGTATACCATGGCGTTGGCCGCGAAAGCCCCGGAGCAGTAGAGGAAAGACGCAAAGTAGCGCGCTCCGATGTTTAGCGTTGCCGTAGAGATGATGAAGCCCACAGCTGCAACGGCCATTGGTATCGAGATGTGATAGCTTCTTTCATTGTGGCGGTCGCTTGAGTAAGCAACTGCAAACGAGACGGCAGCGCCAAAGAGGTATGGAGGTGCCGTGAGAACGAGAGTGATGGTCTGTGAGCCGATGTGGAAGCCGCTTACGATGGTGGGGAAGAAGTAGTTGAAGCCGTAGGCAGTGTGGTTCGAGCAAAGAAGGAGCACCTGAAAGCAGCAGACTATGTTAGCCATGGATCATACGTGTGTGGTGTAAGGAACTTACAAATATCCAGGTCCTGGTATCCTTGAGGGCTAGACGCACGCCATACCAAACAGATCGGTCGGCCTCAGGGAGTGACACGCGATCCAGCGCCATTCTCTTCGCAGCTAGCTCCCGTTCTTCCTTTGTAAAAAGCCATTTTCCACTACCAGTTTTGGACACTATGTAATCAGGAAGAAGGAAGAAGGCGACCATGGCGGCGAAGAAACTTCCTGAGCCATCGATGATAAAGAGCCACTGCCAGCCCGCGATGCCTCTAGCTCCATCAAGGCCCGAAAACACACCGGCTGCGATCAAGCCTGAAAATGCAGTCGCGAGAACAAGGCCAGAGTACAAGACGGCAGTGCGTAGAGCAAGCTCCTTTCTCGTATACCAGCAGGACAAGAGATAGAACGCCTATTGGAAAGCGAACATCAGCATGTTTATTTCTTATAAGGATGACCAGTCGGAACTCACGCCTGGGAAGAAAGGAGCTTCCACAATTCCAAGGAAGAAGCGAACTGCAACCAGGCCCCCATAGCTCGTTACGGCTGATGTGGCGGCTGACACGCATGACCAGATAGCGACACAGGCAGGCAGGTAAATGCTCGGCCTGATACGAGTGATGAGCATGTTGGATGGGAGCTGGGCAAGCATATATCTATCTTCTAGTTAGCTAATGGCAACCAACATGGCAGATCTTTTGCGCCTGGACTGACCCAACGTTCAAGATGGACACAGCAGTATTGAAATCGTCGCCCGTTAATCCGAGATCCTTCTCGAAAGTATTCAGCCTAGCTTGACTAAGGTGCCACGTTAGCATGTAAGAGCAGAACATTGGTTCGTGTGAGGGGCATACGAGATATTGTTTCGGTCCAGGTAATTAAACAAGTATAGGACCCATACTACTGGCAGCAGCGTCATATCAAGCTTGCGAACCAATTTTTTTTCGCGAGCTCTCCATTCGGGTGTCTCAAGGAGTTCTTCTTGAGCAAGCTCGCCCTTCTCATTGCTTATATCAGGCATCGTCTCCAAGTGTTCGTGACCAGAGGCGTTCTCCTTCACAGGAGCCGCCAAGTCACCCTTGGAGACATTGTCTGAGCTCATGATTGAGTCTCTAGAAGGAACGAGCTGAGTGAAATATGTTCAAATAATTTGCATTGGTAGCATGAACGGTAGCTGTGAGAGAGGCACTGGAACCATGAGAGAACATCAGCAGCAAACAAAAAACAGTTGATGCATCGTGGGAAATATATACTTTCAGTCTTACACGTACAAGGCGAAGAGCAGCAGTGCAGATTCCAAACCCGCACCGGCAAGCCATCGACGCGGGGACCCCAGACATTACCCCAGCCATTAAACTTTGTCGGCCCTAAAATAGAAGAAAAACCTGGGGTCTAGCGCTGGTGATAGAATAGGGGGAGAGCCATTGTCTGTTGCTCAGCAAAAGAAACGCCGATCGGCATCGTAAGCTGGCCGATCGGAGATGAATCGCCGGTCCGCCCTCCGTCCGGCGAGCGATCGTCTCCCCAATGATGAACTGTAAATCTGATGATCACCCTGACTCTGGAGAGATATAAAACTGTATTAAAACTTTCAGAATTGAATGTAAAAGCTCAACAGCAAATCTCACAAATCACCATTTGACTCTCTTCATTCACCACCTCGTCTTCGCCAACCCCTTTCAAAATGACTTACACAAACGGAAATGCAAACGGGCACAACGGACATGCCACCACCCCCACTCCCGCTGCAACCCGGCTTCGAAAGATGCTCACGGAAAGCGATGAATTGATTGTCATGCCGGGTGTCTATGATGGTTTCAGCGCTAGAATCGCGCTGGAAGTTGGATTTGATGGCCTCTACATGGTAAGTGTCCCACCATGAACATACAGGTATCCTGATTTTGGTGTTAATGCAGCGCATAGACGGGCGCCGGAACATGCGCTTCCAAGCTTGGACAGCCAGACTTGGGCTTTGCCTCACTTAATGACATGAGAGAGCATGCTGAAATGATTGCCAACCTGAACCCCCGCATCCCTCTGATTGCTGACGCTGACACGGGTTACGGCGGGCCCAACATGGTTGCTCGCACGGTGGCGCAATACCATCGCAGTGGTGTCGCGGGTCTGCACATTGAGGATCAGATCCAGACCAAGCGTTGTGGACACCTCGGGGGCAAGGAGATTGTTAGCGTCGATGTCTTCCAGCAGCGCATCAGTGCGGCCGCTGCGGCTCGGGACAAGCTGGCGTCTGACATTGTCATCGTTGCCCGAACAGATGCTCTACAGACAGATGGCTTTGAAGAGGCTGTCCGTAGGCTGAAGGCTGCAGTCGCTGCCGGTGCTGATGTTGCGTTCCTCGAGGGCGTGACCACAAAGGAAGAAGCTCGAGAGGTGTGTCGGCTGCTCGCACCGACCCCAGTCCTTCTAAACATGGTTGAGAATGGAGCAACACCATCTTGGACTGTAGCTGAAGCGAAGGAGCTAGGATTCAGAATCATCATCTATCCCTTTGCAGCCCTCGCCCCGGCATATGAAGCTATTCGTAACACATACTTGCGCATTAAGGAGACTGGTGTGACGGATATCGACCCAACGTTTACCCCTAAGAAGTTGTTCACTGTTGTAGGCTTGAAGGAAGCGACAGCGGTAGATGTTGCAGCTGGAGGGCAGCTGTACGAAAAGGTGTAATACTAGTTCATATTTTGAGAAATTTTTGTGTCCATAGATAATGCTGAAAATAGAAGCGAATATGAGCATCATGACGACAGTCATTTTCTTATTACGGCGCACATGCTGCCTCATCTGTAAAATTTTGCATCAAGTGTGTATTAGAGTGTCAACCTGGCCATCCCATGTTGAATCCGTCTGCAAGACTACTCAAATGATCAAACATCATGGCATCTTGCATATCTTCGGAACTAAATAACGGTTGTGGATTTGGTGTTAGCGGAAACGAGTACAATCTGAAATCATCAACTTATCTTGTGTTTCTTCAGAGCTTTCATTTCGATCACCACGGTCCGATTGGAAATGTTTTCGCCATTCCCAAAGCGAGTCGTAAACGATGCTCATGCTTAGGCGATTTCGAACACGCAAGCGCAAGTCGTCAATGGAGTCTCCGCTAATAACACGAGGATCTGGCAGAGTACAGAAGAATCCAATTACGTCGCTAAGGCGGCCAGGGAGATCGTTATTCGCAACTGACATCTTTCTCAGCGATGAAATGGCGGCATCAAGTAGCCGTTTGCCTGCTTCGACGTCTAGTAGCTTTTCGAAATACCCATTCATCATAACCTTGAGGATGATGAAAGCCGCAGAGACAAACACCTGGTAACAGAAGAATGGGCAGTAGAGGAAGAATCCACTTTCCTGATTATCCATCTCCAGGCACTGCTCTATTAGTGAATAAGCAGTTTGGTACAATACAACGATGCGATCGGAGTATCCATCGACATTAGATTCGTCAAAGAGGTAGAATGAGTGGAGATGAAGCCGGGCGGCGGCAAGATAGTAACGAGTTGTGGCTGCACTGTCGTTAGCATAATTGGCCGGTTTGAGAGGGGCAAATCCATTACGCGTCATATTTATTGCCTCGCGCTCCAAGTCGACAAGGGATGCGTTGAGAAGTCGGTACAACGACAGCCGCTCACGAGCTGACATGAATCCGGCAGGGTCGAGAGCATTAGATGTTAGCGCTTGAGATACTCTGTATCTGAATTGTTCAATGCGAAGATGCCATCGCAGAGCAACATCATGAGCTGATGACATTGTTGACTCGGGTGCAACCGTGAGGGACCAGTCGTGCATTTGTATGGTGGCTGGTAGACCGCATCCGACACTTACGCTGTGAGAGCATTAGATGTATGAAGCGTGATGGCGAAATGAAGTTGGGAGCACTGCAATTTTACCTTTGCGCGACAATATTGCAAGCCTCCCACGTCTTGACCCATTCGGAGTATTCGTAAACGCTGAGATGTAGAGGGACCTTGACAAAGTCCTCTGCATTGAGCGCGCGGTGTAGCCCCATTTGCGTTCCAACCTGCACCATCATACCCGCTAGCATATAAGTTGGATCTGCAGTGCTGCTGCTTGTCGGAAACGGCCATGTACAGAGGATCACCAGGCTTTGCACTACTCGGAGTGAATACGGAATAGAGCGAAGGGTTTTCCATAGATAGTCCGTAACACTTCTCGCGAGCTTAGCCAGCAGTGTGGGATGGCTCTGGAGCCTCCGGGCAGCGACAGAAATGACGGACCAAAAAAGGAGCTCAGACGATTCGTAGTACTCATGAAGAGAAGTACTCGGGTCCAAAAACGGTAGATATGGATGATAGTGAAGTATGTAGCTGTGTTCGGCGTCAGTTTGTTCTCAACCGAGATACGGCAGCATTTCTTTCTCACATGAGATACAGCTCGTCAATCTCTTCGACAGAGAGTTCAACATTGCCCAGTTTCCTAGCCCTCGGAATAGTAATGATGGATCTCCGCGGTATCTGTGGTTGGTCGATGACGGGTTGTGTTGTCAGGCCCGGAACACGAGAGCCTTCTTTTGGATCTGGTGATGGGCCAGACGCGCCAGACACCGATGATAGAGCTGCTTCGCTAACACGAGCCTCCGCTGTAATGCATCAACACGGAAATATGTCAGTTTCTCATGGCCTAGTAAGCAACAAACGGTGATTTATCCTTGAAGAGAGTTCATTATACTAACAAGGAGCAGCTGGTGTTAGAATTGGCCATTCCAGCGCAGCATTGCTAGCTTCTCGGGTGGCCAATTGTCGTCTAAGCTCTCTAACCTCATTCTCCAGCTCGAAGGATTTCCTAAATATGAGTGAGTTTTGTGTTAGACACCCATCTTTTCCTATCAATAATACATTTCTGATCTTGAACGACTTGCCTTCTCTTCCGTGTTCTGCGAAAATCGGTGTCTACCTTGCATGCAAGACTGAGTCTCTGACATCGAGAGCAGGTACTTGGGGCACCGTCGTTGGTAACCAAGTCACATCGAAGCTGTGAAGACTGTAAGCTGACGAAATAAAAAACGGAAGAGAATTTGCAAATGGTACACAAATCTCATACTTTTTGCTGCTTGCACTCATTGCAGGCCCTGCGTCTCGGCTGCTTCGTTGGCTCGCCATCCCGTGGCTCGGCAGTGACTTGTGAAGACATTTGGCAGGCATTTGGCAGCCCGGCTTAGCACACACGCCGCTGTCTAAAGAGCTGCCTGCTAGACTCTTCAGAACTTTGACGATATCCCCTCAAGTGCTTGCTTTTGGTAATTTTATAGAGGGCAATAAGACTTGATGCTGAGTTCGGGCAGGCGGACAGATGGCTCATGGCCGATGTAAGGCACGTGACCCCGCCTTACTTGTGCTGTAGTTAAGCCCATGGAACACATCCAATTCGCTACCCTGTAGGGAGATGCATGTCTCATTTGGGTTGTGGGAATTGCCTTTTTAGTGAAAAATTAAGTAGATTCTACGTCTGTGAGATGTCTTGGAAGCATCGAATAAATATTCAGAGACGAAAAGCAAGTGAATCATACAGTGAAGGAAACGTCTGGTCTTCTCTCCCACAGTGAGCCTGGTGGGCCGAAACCAGGCCTTACTAAGTGCTGATTCATGGTAACGGAATGCTGAATGATGCCTCGATGTTTAAACTGTGTCAGAGCTTGGTCACCTAGAAATACATGCGCTAGAGCGTTTAAGCTGGCATATAGCCCAAAGATTTACGTTTTGGCTTTTAGCTGACACATGACCTTCCTGGGTATATATCTGGATGTCTGTCCCCCTGTTTATGCTTTTTCACCTGTTACCGAAACCTATATACCTACCCATACTTGGTATGTTGCTATCGTATTGAATAACTCTCAAATTCATCTAAAAATGGCATTTTACGAGTACAATGAGAGCAATCAAAGAGTCCTCTTTGGAGAAGACAGCCTTTCCAAACTCCCCTCTGAGCTGGCCAAACTTGGTTGTTCCAAACCGCTCATCCTAACAACGCCTACCAAGACGTCCTACGTCGATGATGTCGCCGAGCTTTTGAACGGCCAGATCGCTGGCTCCTTCACTCGAGTCACAATGCACACCCCCAAAGAGGTCACAGAAGAGGCATTGGAGCATTCCAAGTCTGTTGATGCTGATTGCTTCGTGTCAATCGGTGGCGGAAGTGCCGTTGGCCTTGGTAAAGCATTGTTTGTTCGGACTGGATTGCCTCACATCTGCATCCCGACTACATATGCAGGTAGCGAGATGACTCCAATCGTGGGCCAAACGGAGAATCGGATAAAAGTTACTCATGTTGATCGGAAGGCAATTCCAGCGGTAGTCATTTACGATGTGAAGTTGACATTGACCCTGCCCACTGATATAAGCGCAACAAGCGGCCTCAATGCAATGGCTCATGCTGGTATGTGAAAGTTGTGCGTTGGCTATTAATTCAACAATTGCTCACAAAGAGATAATGTGTAGTGGAGGCTCTGTATGCTCAAGACGCCAACCCGATTACAAGCGTGTTTGCCATCAAAGGTATCCAGACCTTGGCCAGTTCGCTTCCCCAAATAATGAATAATCCCAAAGATATCGCCGCTCGCTCAGATGCACTGCTTGGTGCTTGGCTCTGCGGCAAATGTCTTGCTGGGGCGAGTGTATCCCTGCACCATAAACTCTGCCATGTCCTCGGGGGCACCTTCAATTTGCCTCACGCCGAAACACATGCCATCATTTTGCCACATGCACTGGCATATATCGCCCCAAGCATACCTAATGTCATGAAAGAGTTGGCAGAAAGTATTCCTAATAGTGATGGCAATGCGGTCAATGGTCTGAATAGATTGGTATCTAAGTTGGGGATTACCTATAGCTTGAAGGATCTTGGGATGAAAGCGGAAGATATCGAATTGGCGGTAGAGACTCTGCTGAAGAAGCCATTTTGGAGTCCAAGACAGATTGAGAGTGATGCAATTCGTGAGCTACTGAAGCGAGCATGGGAGGGAAAACCAGCTCAGATAGCATAATGAGATGCTATTTCTCAGATTAAACTTATTTTGCAATGCAGTTCTAAGGCTTACTTCTAATCGATAATTGGGCGGACGATTATATCATGGACGATGTGGCCTTATCTGGAAGAGGTTGTTCGTGTCGGTTGAATTTATCTCTTAGCGGATTGATACAGCCTTGTCCAGACTTAGCTTTCATTTCCCCAATGGCGACCAATATGAAATGGTCATTCCTTCTTCCAGCGCTCGTAAAACTCCCTAACACCTCTCCTATTCGGTTGAAAAGAGCTATTACCTTCTATTGAAGGGTCATCACCCTCGGCCTTTTTAGCAGCTTCTTCAACCCGCCGATAATCAAGCTGCGGACAATTCTCATTCCAAAGCAGCTCATGATTGATACTCTCTTCTAAATTCCTCACCAGTAATTCGAAGCAGTCAGCTCGGCCCCACTCAGCTGCAGATTCTAATGCAAGGTAGTAGTCCGCTTGCAAAGCTGTCCAGCCAGGATACAAGTTAGTGAGGTACTTGACGATATTGGAATCCGCACAAATGACCGCTGCGGCCAGGAGATTCGGGTATTTTGCCCCAGGAGGGCTGCTGATTTTCTTTCCGCCTCTCGCCGTCACAAGAACACCATCCTTCGTAAGCCCCCCGTGTTCCACAAGCAATTTAACTATATGTGCACTGTTTGGAATTGAGACTGCTGCTGTCAGTATGTTGCCATAGTCTCGGTACGCCTTATGCATGCGCTTCAAACTTTCAATGTTGTGACTGCCTTTCCAACCCGGATGCGCTTTGCAAAAGGCTTCGAGGATCTGGGCTTCATCAGACGACCCCTCTTCTTCAGATTTCTTTTCCTTACTGAACATGTGAAATTTTCCAGTATCATAGGTCAAATTTGGCTCCGTAACAGTGATGAGGAAGTGCAAGATATCGATCTTGATGAAGCTGTCATATGAGCCATTGATGGTCCAAAATGCCTCATCTGGTCCACCAGAGAAAGCACTTTCTTTCAAATGGAGAACTTTCTCTAGTTTCCATAGGCAATCAACTAGTTCCGAGTACCCAAATTCGATAGCCCATCTCAAAACTTGCTTTCTATCCTGCACTGTTGATTCAGATATGTCGAATCGATATGGAAATGTTAAGGCCAGAATATGTCCGTAGTCCCAATCAGGCTTCATATCATAAGGGAATTGCGAAAGAGGTTGTCTATTTGAGATTTCGAAGCCGTAGGGGGATAGCCCAAAATCTTCAAAATTGCCAGCACGTGAATGTAGATTCGGAGTCCCCGATTCTAAAGTTAGCCACCTTGCCACTGTGTGATAATTTTGCGCCGTGCGTCCTAAATGGTCCCCATTTCCCATCGCGTAGGGTTCTGTTCTGAGTTTACCAATCAATCTGGGTATGATGCCAAACTTCAAATCAAAGGCTTCCGATTTTTTTATTTTCCAAAGATTCGACATGATTGAGCTGCATTCCGCAAGACACAACTGACCTATGGCTCTCTGAATCATCATCTCCAGGCCGGATACTTTTAGAGAATCTAGCTGAACAAGAACACCCTCGCTTTCTCTAAATCGATTTTGCACTCTTAAACTGTGGGCTCGTGAGAGAAGGGTGAAAAATAGTGAGTGATGACTTGGCAGAAAATGTGTTTCGGATAAAGCCGGCACGACGCTCATCAGCGCCTCTTCTCGCGTAGCTAATTTTGTCGAGGTCATTACGCCGACAAGGCTTTCCACATGAGAGTTTTGAAAGAACCCTTGGGACAGATAGGTCGCCTGATTTCCCTCAGGATATTGAGCGTAGCGGTACGACAACAACGCTGAAGCCTCTCGGAGAAAGAGTGTGAAGATATCTTGTGCCATTAAGTATAGCAGAGGACTATCTGCATTATGTGTTATGGTCCGAAATCCAAGGCTCGCCGGGTATCCATCACAAAACATAGAAAGTGTCGCCGGTATCGAGAGGATAGACTTTTGGCCCATTTTCAGTGGTTGCAAGTGTTCTGTATAGTTATGAGTCACCCAGCTTCGGAGCATTGATAGAAACTCATCGTATTCTAGTTGTCTTACAATGAGTCTCTTGAATCCCAACTGTGATGCGAGCGATTCATTTCCTTTTGAATCAATATTTTGGGAAAGACGTTCAACCGTCCAGGACCAAAGCCCTAGAATAGCCTCAAGCTGGTTTTGATCAGTTTCCCAGTGGTCTTTATATTTGGACATCGAGAAGGAAATGAAATTCCTTGATTTCTTGCCATATACTTTGCTTTCATGGACCTGACAAGTCGCAGTCCATATGAGAGCGCTGTATTTCATATCCCAGGGCCACTTCGGACCCGAGTGCGGAGGAGTAAACATATATGCTGCAGCTTTTTCTAATGTGTCTCTGAGCAGTGCTGCCACATCTCTGATATTTGTTTGCCAGCTTGGCAAACTCAGAAGTTTGCTATCACTTGTCAGATGAGCAAGTCGCAATCTAATGTGCATCAACTTTGCTCCTATGCTGATATCTTCCAAGTTGCTAGTTTCTTGTGCATTAGGAACGCCTGGGTCTTGGTCCCTTGTAGTATTTTTCAAGTTTTCAAGAACTCTAGAATAATTTGCAATTGTAGATTCAAGAGCGCTGAAATCACCATTGTCATTGCACAGACCTCCCACAAACCGACCGTGCCCCTCAAGAGAGCGCTTGCACCCTGGTGTTCTCTCGGTGTTTGGCCAGAGACTTTTGTCTGAACTGTCAACTAGAAGCCAAAAATAGTCTATAAAGTATTTTAGAGCGAGAGATATAATGAACCCCGGGACAGAGTTATGAAGAGTATAACAAACCTGGTCCATTTCCTCCATTGTGATCGGATACGATTGGGAGATTTAGCGCCTGCCAATCGAGCTCGTGGTCTTGTATTCCTTTCAAATTGCCACCTAGTAAGTTTTTTAGGGGGTCCATGAGGTTTCCGCGAAGAATACCTCGGGCAATACTCATGGCAAGAGTCCCAAGCAGTTGAAAGAGTGCAACGGTGCCATGCTGTCCTCGTAACCCAATAAACTGCGCAGTCCACCCGGTGAGCGAGAGGGTAACGGCAAGGAATGCAAGGCGTCGCGAATTCACAGAAGCCAGTTCATCTTCTTCAACCCTCCAAGAAGTTACATATTCCTTCATCTCCTCAGTGTAGGCGAATGCGTCGAAGACCTGGTCACCAATGCGCTGCCCGCCGGCTTGGAGCCAGCAAAATCGCAGGGGATGGCCATCAGTAACAAAAGTTTGTTCTTCAGATTTCCCATCGATGAGTCTGGCAGATAATCCTATTCCAAGACAAAGAAACGTTGTACCGATGAGAGTCAGGATGACAAATTCGAGGCTTGGTTGACCCGCATCGTTGTAAAATGGCCTGTGCCAATTTGCCCACAATCCGTAACCTAGAACACTGGCTTGGAGTGAAATCCCAAATACAGCCACGATCCAGATTAATCTGCGGTCTACTTCTCGAATGCCAATATTAATGGCGAGGTTAGGATGAGGCGCAAATCGTGATTGCTTGTCTTCCGTCTTTCTTTTATGATGTAGCCAGCAGCCGAAGAGAAGTTCATTAGGATCAGTTTTCCTCCAATTTTTGTCACGATTAGCTCCACAAGTTAATGATTCAGTATCCGTGACTCCTTTTTTCCAACTCTTGATATCTTTGAAGAACTCTCTAGGTAAATGGATGCCACAGGTTGCCACGGTAGCATAGATTCCGCGTGGGCCATCGCCTGATTCAAATTTAGAGTAAAATTCGTCCGAGTTTGCATCTTTGTCAAATATAAATTCCAAGAGCTTTGGACGACCGTAAACACGGCAGATTCCACCATTGGACCATAGCTCGCAGACGTCGTCACTGGTGGACGAGCAGAGCTCAGACTCGGCCAGAGCTCTGGGTTCTCGGGCCCGGCCAATTAGAGAACGGAGCGATGGCGTTCCATAAAGTCGAATTACTGACACTATCGTTGTGATGACGCCGATAGGCGCCATAGCAAAGATGATGCTATCAAGATGCGTAGTTGACTCGCTGAGAAACTGCTTTGTAGGCTGCTCTCCGAAAAGTGCAATTATTGGCGCTAAGTCAGTGGCGATATTGTTGACGAAGTCATCCCACGCGCTGGACTCGTTGAAAGCGGAGAAGAGGCCATTCGCTGGTGCGGCCTGAAAGAAGAGGATCCAAAATAAGCCAGCGAAGATTGCCATTTTTGGTAAGAAACGCGTTCTTGGAGATAAAATTATAGCGAATTTGTAATGTGGTCCGAATTTGGGTTAAATAGCGATATTCCATATCAGATTTGGATATTCCATTGACTTATAAATTGCTATGTACATGGTTAATCACAACAGAAGGCAAAAGCCGCCGGGTTGGATTCATGAGGCTGCATTGATGCCTAATATCATGCTGCGGGATGTGTTGCGGAATTCAATTGCTGCCTGGTTGCTGCATGAGATATGGACCTGGGCGGAATTGACCATGTACAAGCTAATCTAACAATCGCCAATGTCAGATTTGAGGTTATATCTCATTTCAGAAGTTAGCGAAGAAAGCCTTAGATCCACCCACCATTAACAATGGATGCATCTTCAACTGCAAATACCTCATGCATTCAACAGAGGGCGAGATGATCTAAATGAATCAATTTGGCTACGTCACTTATGGATTGAACTGCGTGTAAATTTGTCTCTAAAAACCAGGATGAACCCCTTTTAACATGGCTAGATACTATATGTTCACCAATTCCAAACCGTTACCTTATGGAGCGTTCTTGACTTTTTGCGCCCTGCTCCAACACTCGCTATGGCACTCGCTATGACACTATCTATGACACTTCCGTTTCTCTTCTTGAATATGCCATCGCCTCTCACAATTTTAGACCTTATCTTGACTACAAGGGTATAATATCAGAACTCCGAGTAGAGTCCTGTATCCACCTGAGTAGTAGAGTGTATCCCGGCTGGTGGGCTTCAAAGACTTCATTGAATAAAATATCGGTTCCGTAATCTGGTTCTGATGCTTCTCTCTTAGGCAACCTCGAGCAATGTACTATGTCGATCAAAATGTCGAAGGCGTGGCTCCAAAGATGGTAATATTCGCGTACACTATCATGATTCCATTTCCAGGTGCTAACAGCCCTATGTCCAAGATGCAGGTTGGAGAAACCGTTCCGAAGAGACAAATCGAAATGGCCCCGAATGATTTTAGCTACATTTTCTTGGTGCCGAGATGTTAGATTCTGCAAAAAAAGTCCAAATTTTAGGGAGCTGATATGGGCAGAACTGAGGTAGCGCTCTAGTGTCTGTTTCCATGAATCATGATGAAGCTCTTGAGAAGTCCATTCCTTGAGCATGACTTTGTAGTTTTCGAACTCAGGCACACACTTCTCTTCAGACTTCTTTATTGTTCCCTCTTGCATGAGTTGCTCTGTATAGGCCCATGCTGTAAGAAGAAGGGGTTTGATACCATGATATTCGGGCTTCGAAATACCATCGACGAATGAGGTGCTCTTCGATTTAGATACCTTGTCGAATGTAACCTTTGCGTTTCTCCAAGCCCAATGCATACAAAATGGGGTCAAAATCGTTTCGTAAAAATATAAGGAGGCTTGACGCATTTCGAGCCTGTGTATCCTGAAGTTGGGATTATGTCGGCGATACACACGTCTTACTTCGTCCTTATAGACTTTGATTACACTTGGTCGATTTTCCCAAAATGGTTTGTTTGGTCCCCTGCCACAATTCGCCCAAGGGTCGCTAAAATGCAGATGTAGTGATCGTTCTTTTTGAGCTTGAACAAGATCTAAGACATAACATACATCGAACAGCTTAGCGCGTAGGATGAGCAGAGAAAGATGGTGGTCTCCTTTCTTCGGGGCTTGGAAATCAACGAGTATTTCCTTTGGGCGAAGATAGCGGAGAGGCCGTGCAAACATATCATCCAAGTTTCCGATCGTCCAAGATGGTGCTTGGCCACGAATCATTGAGACTGAGAACTTGAGCCAGGATCGCGGGGAGCAGTCTGGCTCTACGGTGATAGTAAGCCGCTTGATGTCAATAAATTTGCCGCAAGTACAGGGCATGCATGGCGAACACTGACAAGAAAGGCCTATGGCTGGAATGAGTGCCAGAATGTCCGATCGAATAAGGCGGCTTGTCTGAAGCAATTGAGTATAGCTGTCTGTTTGACCAACTTTTGACCAAATCATACACCTCAATTCCGCCGGCAGTTGTTGAATATTATGGATCGGCTTCATTGTAGGTGGATACAGGAGTTGATGAATGATAGATTCTTTTTGGCGATCGAAAGGGCGGATTTTGGCGTTAAAGATACAAGATGCCTGTATGTGCAACGAGAAGAGATTGTCTACGCAGGAGAATAAGAGCTCTTTTTATAATATCTGTCCCTCTAGGTTCAGCCAAATAGGTTTTCGGTTCCAGGCGTCGCTCTTTCAGGATCAAGCCCTGGCAAGGAATGTTCCGAGGCGACGAAGTGCTAATATGCAACCAAAATAAAGCCCTGTGGCAAAAATTCATATTTTTGTATTTGGCCTATTCGACCATTTGGTGTCCCCATAAATTTTCCCTGTGATTGGCGTCTTGTTTGCTTTTCCGTATGCGCAACTTGTAGGACTGCTATTTAACAAGGGAGATGGAAAGCATTGTTCTCAATCTGTGATGAACACAAATACAAATCTTGGAAGAGGATTCAAATTTTTGCAAAATAGAACTGAAATGTACCTTATCTATAGGTAGGTACGTAACTATGGAAGTCATAGTTCCTGAAGGCGTTGCCGATATAATTAAGTTCGCTGTCGTCTAGGTAGCGATATTGCACAAATAATTGGAGTTTATCATCAGTCACGCCTGCCTATAGAAAGAATTTTTTTTTTACTTCAGTTTACCTAGCAACTCTTAATTCTAGATACTACCTACCTAGGAATCCATCTAGTACGGATCATGTATTTACAATTTGGAATCACCATGGGAACAACGCTCTTGTGACGTATACACGCATTTGTACTTTACTAATTTCATAAAAGCATGACACTGCTTAATTTGTGCTTCGAATCCCCTGAAATTTGCAGATAGGCGGACTGTATTGCTTTCAGATGCGGCAACCATAACAGGCCAAACCATTCGAGAGGAAACAATAAAGGAAAAAATATGTGATAAAGGCAAGTGGTAGAGATCCTTGTCCAAGCCTTGGGTAAGGACCAAGCTAGCCTCGCCGAACTCCCTACCAATTGGTCTGATCATAAGGGCAAATAGGGCATTCCCATCGAATATATGCAGTTATCTAATGGGAAGAAGGCAAGCAATACAGTGCCGGGAGCTACATGATTGAAGCCTGGTCAAGGGTTAAGAGCAGAGTTTCGCCGACAACTACGCCGTGCATTTGGTATCCTTTACTCGAGTACGAAACTTCACGAACAATTCAACGACGCGTCGGAAAACAGTTAAATCCGCACTGCGACGGCTCCGGGTCCTGCAGCATCACAGCTGTCGCCAATCATCTCGCGAGTGACTTGAGACATGTACGTACCAAGTCACCTGACGCGGCTCATCAAACCACCACTCCTCTTCTCTCCTCTCCTCTCCTCTCCGCTCCTCTTCACTCCAGATAATTGAACACTGTCACCATCATTTAGTCGCTCGCAATGATCATTGTTGATCCGTTAAATCAAGTCTATTCACGTCGCAGTGGCCCCGCCGCTCTATTTTCCGTGTCCTCATAGTCTCTCGTCAAGCGCGAACGCAAACCCGGTCCGTCCCATGGGAATAACTCTAATGACTGCATAAAATCGACCCGATCCTCTATCCGAGCTTTACCGCCGTTTTCTCTGAAATACCCATCCCGCCGAGCCAATAAATTCGCACGCCATCAATCGTTCAATCATTGCGCCCACTTGAGAGCTCCGGGCGCCGACTCGTCGGGAACCACGTACTTGCACTTGGTGAAGTTGGTCCAGAGCTGTCCAAGGAAGGATCGCTCGTCGCGGTAATACAAATCGCCGAGCACAGGCTTGATGGCCTCAGTGGCCTCTCCAGCATAGTAAAAGGGAATACGCCTAAGAAGCAGGAGATGTCAGTTGCTTGCAGCCAATTGAGGGGTCGGTTGCTGACGTACGGGAAAAGGTGGTGAACAACGTGGTGCTCAATGATGCAGTGGAAGAGGTGGCGGCCAACAAAGCCGAACTCTCTGTCGACAGTTGCCAGAGCGCCCTTGACAAAGGTCCAGTTCTCGGCCTCGTAGTGAGGCACCTCCATGTGGGTGTGGTGGAGATAGGTGATGGCGACTAAAGCATTCAGTTGGTCAGCAACACTGTTTGGCATTGAGAGAGAGGCTGCTTCAGAAACGTACTCAGCCAGTGGTGAACCCAGAAATAGGGCTGCGCATATGCCAACAGCATGGTGCTCATTCCGACGACGCCAGCGAGCTTGTACAGGGCGAAGAGGGTCATGCACAGGCCGATATCGGTCAGCACGATCCAGGGCGCCTCGCTGCGACGGAATACGGCGCTGTTTGGCGAGAAGTGGCTCTTGCCGAAAATGGTGGTTGCACGCTTCTGGAGACTTCCACCGCCGGCTGAGATGTTGAACATGAGGTAAACCTGCCACGCGAAGAGCTGGTGAGACATCAGTGTGACGAGCTGATAGGCGGGCGTGTCCTCGAGCATCTCAAGGGAAGCCATCGCGCGCTTGACATAGTCAGACTTGGTCCTGGGAACAAAGGCCATGTCCTTCTCCATGTGGCCGGTGAACATGTGGTGGCGGTGGTGAGAGAACTTCCAGGAGTAGTACGGCACCAGCAGCGCAGAGTGAGAGAAGAAGCCGACAACATGGTTGAGCCAAGAGTGCTTGGAGAAGGCGCCGTGTCCAGCCTCGTGCCCCAGGATCCAGAGGCCAGTGCAGATCAGGCCCTGAACGAAGCCATAGACAATCCAGGCAATGGTCCTGAGGGTGGTGTCAGGAATAGTGGGAATATAAGTGATGGCAGCCCAGCCAAGAGCTCCAATCATGGCAACATCGCGCGCCAGATAGCCCATGGAGATGGCGACGGATGGCTCAAAGCAGTGCTTGGGAATGGCAGCCCGGATGGTGTTGATGTCGGGGAACCGACTCTCACCCTCGGGCAGCTTGCTACAATTGGGGGTCAGCAAAACGGCGAGAAATTTTCTGGGCAGCGCGATGGATGAGGCCAACTGACATTGAGGCCACGGCGCCTCCGCGCTTGGTCACCGTCGTGGTAGTAGCCATCTTGAAGAACAAGGCAAGGCAGCAACTCAATGGGAGAGAATTGGGATTGCTGATGCTTGTTCCAGAGAGCCGTCAAGTTTCTTTTTAAGCCCACTCGGAACCCAGCTTAAGGCAGAAAGAAGGGAAAAGGGTGATCCATAGTCAGGCACGGCATCAAATTTTCCATTCCCCTTTAGCCTTCGATCCATATTTTCTGTGGTGTCCCTTATCTGGCTCTATCTCTGTTTGGCGTGGCGGTAACGTGCGTGACTCGCGCCCGAGGTGGCGGCTGCGCTGACAGCCAAGTACCCTCTGCTAACGGCCTGCCAGCAGCCTGCCGACGGTCTGCCCAGAGCCCACTCGTTTCTGACGCCCAGACCGCTCGGAGTTGTTCCCAAAGTGAGCTAATTATAATCTGAAATGAGATCTCTGACGAAGCGAGCCTTGCTGTCCTTTACCGCTAAAGAGCAAGGGTCTGTGGTTGGCCAGCAAGGAGCCTCAACTACGAGATCAACAATTCTGAGCCCACTAACGCTGCACGTGCCAGTGACCTAAGGCTCTTGGGGGCGTTTTAGGGGACTGTTTGTCTTGGGGATCATAGGGGATTGATGGATTCAAGGGGGGGGGGCCGCCACACATTAGCATACGGAGTACGTGTACTCCGTATTGTTGAGTTCAAACTGCGTTGTGGGGGGTTCCAAGGACCCCTGGATTTAGTCCGCTTTTGGCCTGGACCCTTTTAGGGCTCAATTGGAATCAGGGACTTGGCAAGCTCGGGTCAGCCACATTGTCATGGCCCCAGTTGGGTGAACAGCTCAACAATCGCCATAATGTGAAATCGCCAGCCTGTTACACCACATACGACCATAGGTAGAGGAGAATTCGGGGTCCCGTCTGCTCCCCCATAGACAAGCCTCTAACCGGCAGATTAGTAGTTGAGTGGGTGACCATCAGCGAACACCGGCTGTTGTATGTTTTTTTGGTGTTTTTGACGATTTTTTTTTGGTCTTGGTTTTTTTTCCCGCTTACCCCCACATTATATCTCGCCACCTCTATTGGGCGATTTGCCTTGGAGATCAAGCACATACGACCATATCCATCAGAATATACGGGATCCCGTCCGCTCTCCCAGAGTCAAGCTGATGAGAGGCAGATTAGTAGTCAGGTGGGTGACCACTGGCGAACACCGGCTGTTGTATGTTTTTTTTTTGTTGTTTTGTCTTCTTTAATGGCCTCTTTTTGGTGTATCTCTGGAATACGAAGTTAGGTACTCCGCACTTCGTACTGTACATAATAATTACCCCGGCGATTTACATGTGATGGGGGCACGTGCGGCGATACCCATGGGAAAACAAGGTTATCAATTGTCTTATCTAGATCCAATTCACATGTGAAATTGCTTGGAATCGCAGCGCAGGCGACTATGCCCACCTAGGGAGGCAGAATGAGGGAATTTGGCCTCTTATCGCGATTCCTCTCACGGCTCAACAACCGCTACTCTCCATATTATCCTGGGTTCCTCTGTTGTAGTTGCTTGCATTTGTTGAGATGGGACATTGAAGGAGCGCTGACATCCCTGCTATTAATGTCATAACTACTCGTGTCACTCAAGTGGCTACGGTAGTACTAGGAGGATAGACGCGTAGCTGTCGATGTTTCTGTACCCTGTATATTCCAACTTGGCAAAACCTGCCATTGTTCTCATCTTCTACGAGTGAGAAGCTAAAATATCCCATACCCGAATGCACCATTGTTAGATACCGGCGCCACGAGCGTCCCATATGAAGATGCCATAACGTGTCGTGCTCAATGTTGACATAGAATGCATTTGTCGTGGTAGAAGTCAAACAATGTGGTGTGGCGAAGAATTCAACCGCATTCTATGCCACAGACAAGGCGTCAGAAGTCACAGTACAAAGAAAAGAGTGACGAGATCAAGGAAAGACACTTCCCTCTTATAGCTGTGTTCACGCCGCAAGTATCTAGTTCAAAGTCAGTTGCTAGAAAGCTCCTTTGTCCCTGACAGAAGGATACTTGAGCCCTGAAAATATACTCACTTATAATGTGGAAGTAGTCCTCCTTCTTTTCAAGCTTCTTGATTCAGAGTTGCTCGTCATCGAGGGATCAATAGTCAAGTCCGAGTCGCTGGCATTAATAGAGGAATATCCGATTTGCGAATGGCGATGTAAAACTCCAGCCATTGTCTCTGGTGATGAGTTCTGAATGGGGAATTTCATGATAACGACACCCTGAGAGTCATTTATAAATGCCAATAAGGTATCCGACACAGCAAAATACTCTCTACGGTGCAGGTATTGGATATCGTTTCGAATCGTTACTCCCCCATCGCTCTTTCTTATCGTTCCAGCGAAGATGGAGATATTTGACCAGACTGCCTGTTTTTGCGCACTGCATCGTAATGCCATCTTGATCTGCTAAGGCTAACAGCTCAGAATTTGGCGAAAAGGCTGCCTGTGGCATTCCTGCCTGGCCCCATAAACAGTCACAGATGACCATTTGCGTTTGCCAGATTCTTACCTTACTAGTCTTGTCATAGACGGTAGAGCCCGTATGGAAAGATGCTACCACGTCTCCATTCGGTGATAAGGCAATAATATGGTTGGTCAGTTTGTTCTCTCCCAAATTGAGAGTGTACTCTGGTATACAGCGCTTAACCCCCATGCTCCACACCGCCACTTCACCAATCCGAGAAACGATAATGATGTGATTTGAGTTAGGGATAAAAGTAAACCGAGAACCCTGGCCAACATAAATCTCAGTATAATCTCCTGTGTTGGCTCTAGTGACTGCGAGGGTGCTGGAGTTTAGTGAACCTATTAACGTTGAGTCTGGAGAGAATAGTAGTGCTTCCGTAGGCGTAAGTTTCTGTCTTGAGGATTCAATGATGAAAGTTTGTAGCAGCAAAGAGGACTGATTGTGTGACACGCTTGCAATGGTAGATGAAGGTCCCCAGTGCATATGCACAGACTCTTCAAATGTGTCTCGAATAGCAGTGTTCGCTTTTTCAAAAGCAAAAGCTGAAAAGTAAAGCTGCAAAGGCCAATTTTCCACAGTATCTCTTGAGTGTAAGAGAAATTGATACCCGTCCTTGATGAAACGCTGCAGCTCTTGGTTGGTCGTGTGGGAAATATGATAACCATTTTCATCTTTATCTCCTTGATTTTCAATTATGCATTTCAGATTCTTAAAAATATCCAAAGCATGTGGCAGGCGGCGTACAAGGGTCAACGATTCCACCCAACAGAGAAATGATTTCTTCAGAAATTTATAAAGTATGGTATTAGTATCCAGAATCTGTTGGCTTTCTACTGGCCAGGGGTAGCAAGAAAGTAGATGTTGGGCCCAAAAAACACAACAGTATTTTATAGGAGCCATGGGGTCGGGAATTTGAGGCTGCAACTCGCTTATGTGGATTTCGGGTGTTGTAAGGTTGTATATATCGTATTTGAGGACTCTAGATATTTCCTCTGTTGAGGCTTGAAACATCTTGAGATGCTGATAACGCAGTCCGCCTGGGAATAGAGCCGCAATCCTTTGTTATGGATTTCAGGTCTTGTAGGTTGACCGTAGATTTAAAGTGCTTCCATTCATAGCTCATGAATGTGTAAAGCTCCTTCAGGTGAAGTGGTCTCTCTGCTGTGGTAACGATGGGCAAAAGTATTTGACAAGCATCTTGGCCTTTCAATTTCCAACGGGCACTGGATAGACGTAGACTGGCTTGATATAGAATTAAACCATAAAGGCTTTCCAGACCTTCTGGTACTTCTTCCAGCACGTCTTCTACCTGCCAATGGGCTGCGTTGTATAGCTGTTCCACCACAAGGGCTACCCATAGGAAAGTGCCCATCGACTTATCCTTGAGAATCTTCAGCGTTTTGACGCGAAGATCTTCATCGTCTTTTAAAGCTTCAATCTGTCGTATACGGTTGTTGATATATATCTCGACGGACTTTGAGGTATATTCGGCATGTTCCAAACTAAGTATTTGAGGTGATTGAATCGATCGCAATTCTCGTTCAATACCCTTTTCGTTTTGGCTAGATATCAACCACCTAACGTGGCCACTTGTTTGGACAATAAAACGTAAGAGAGCGCTGCAGTCCTTGATGCACTCATCAAGTGCATCCACGACAAAGACAGGTTCTTTGAAGGGCAGATTCTGGATGACGGCTTCAAACATTTCGCATAAGACAAACCACGCATTGGGTCCTTCTAGTCGATCTTCGTACTTGGCTTGAATATGTGAAAAGACTGTCTCATGTCGACTGACTATTGAGAAAATTAAGCCTCCCAAAACAGCAGTGGCAGTATTGATTCGAGAATCCGTAGCTTGGCAGAAGAAGTAGCTGAGATTAGAGCTTAGTTCAGCATCTTTTCCAAATTCATCGATAATGCCGCATAATAACATTGTCTTTCCCTTTCCAGGATCGCCTTTGATCCAAAATATGCCACTGCTTTCTTTGCGCCATCGGTTGAAGTTGTCATGATCTAGAACCCAACGAAACGACTCATGCAAAAAAGGGCCCTTTAAGGTTTGAATACGTTTTTTGTCATATACAGGGTCAGTTTTGCTAATATTTCGAAGGAATTTTTTCTTGGCGTCGGAGGAGGCTATGGCATGGTGAGCTGAGGATGGACTGTTGGCAACATATGAGAGCCCTTACTGGTGTTAACTGTAATGTTAAAATCACCTTGGTTGAGCGTCGCATTGTTCTCGAGAGTGTTCCCCGAGAAATTACGAGAATATTCCATCTTTTGCTGGTAGGGTTAGTGATGAAATCGATAGACAATATTGTCAGGCATCAGGATGCAGAAGCAGAATTGTAGCCTAATGTGCTCAGCCCAACATGCCATGATAGTACATGCGCGTACCTAGTCGGTTAGTACCTACATATACGTAGTTTACCCAGCAATGTATGCACCTAGGTATGTACCTAAACCCACGCAGGCACATGTAAGTAGTCTTGCCCAATCAGATAATGATGCGATGCGCTTCTGGCCGTTTGGCTCTTTACCCCTCCTGTTTTGACTGGACAGCCATGAATGCACAGGAGATGAAGGTTGTATAGTGTTTTAGACAAGGTTCACAATAGGCACGATACATGTAATTAGATACAATACAGCGTTGGCCTGCACGACATTTGATAGGAAATTATGAGAAAATGAGAATTATATACGACTTCAGGTATAAGAGTTTCCGGGGTGTCACCAAGGTCTTTGCGAGTTTGAGAATATTCCTTTTCAAGGTTCTCATATCTCATTGTAGACTTCATGGTTTTAGTTATAAATCATTCTAAGCTTTGTGGTAAGAATCACCCACTAGATGATGACTGGTCCACACTTGAGCATATGCTCCCGTAAAGAGCCAGCCCGGCAAGTTTCTTGACAGAATGCAATACCATTTTGCAACGTGATGTGACATAATACGTCCTTGGTAAGGAGTATAGTGCACGTAGGAGGCTGCGAAATAATACATATGTCAGCCATACGCCTGTCGAGCTAGCGCTAACAAACCGCGGGAAGTAGTTGCCATTCATATTGTACAGAGCGCATGCTCCTTGGTAAATGTGTTCAGATCGTTATCGTAATTGTCGCTCACCACATTCACATCTGATATCACCCTGCTTGGCCTTGGCTTGGTGCCTTAGACCTTACCTTATATGCGATGAGTAGAATAAATAAAAAGTCAACGCCCTCTTAAGAAATCGTTTACGGGACGCCTCAGCCATCAACTCTAGGACTGAGGCCGTTTTATAGCGATCCTCCATACTTAACCTCTCGGAACCTGTCAGTTGTTCTCATTTCGGCAATACGGCTTCCGGATTATTAAATAATCTGCACAAACATGATGCTTATTGGCCAATAGATTCACTAATGGGCTGCTAGTTAGAAAACTAAATGACCTTGTCAGACAATATATGTACAGCAGTATGTCATCCAGCTCAAGTAATAGGAAAACGAATGGCACACCACCAGAAAACCGGGTCCTGTGTCAGCTATTGAGGGGTTCCTTGCTACAGCTGAGCGAACTTTGGTAGGGATGCTGCAGACTGGAGGGAATTGTTCATGGTGTCTATAAGGCTGTTCACCTATATGGGATTGTTGCTTTATCTTCCCAACGTAATAGCCAAACCGAACAAATCAAGCAGCGATACGATGAGCAACTAAGAGTTACTTTAGCTACTGAAAATAGCGAATCATAGTACATACTAATGGATAAATAGACATATTACTTCACGCTGCTTACAAGGATGGTGTGGAGAAGATACAAAAGGCCACTTTCAGCTGCTTTTAAAACAATCCCAAATAGATACTATTCTCCATTGTTATGCAAGTGAAATACTAATCTTTCTGTGGTGCATCATTATGTCATATAAGCATAGCATCCCCATAAATAGTGCCCCAAAATGTTCATCCATATTACTCCCGAGGATGCTTCATCTAGGGGTGTACATGGTCTACACTGAGCTACGTAAACATAACTGCGAGGCGCGAAGCGATTTACCACATTCGAGACCAAAAAGCTGCAATGGAGTATGACACTCTAGCCACCTCTCCTTGCGACCTTGAGAGAGCCGCCGCTCTTCTCGATCAGATTGCGTCTTTCACTGAGTCGAAATCCACTCTCAATGAAGAACAGCGCGTACGATTGGTGAAAATGGCTCAAGAACTCACTTTCTCTCTCCAGACACCAATGGAAAGGATTCTTCAACACAGCTGGGCTGAGGTAAGTCACATAGATTATCAATTTTTGGCTAATCGAGACTAAATGCGATTAAATATTTTATTATACTTAGCCTACTGTTTTTGCCGCGATTGAGACGGCTTCTCAGCTTAACATCTTTCGCCTATTGGGTACATGTACTGAGACAGGGAACCCGATGACTGTTGCGCAACTTAGTGAAAAAACTGGAGCGGATCAAATCTTATTATGTGTGCCTTCCCTCATATACTAACTTACCTCGGATCATCTTAATAACATTCCTTGAGCGAGGTTGATGAAACATTTGTCCGCTATGGGCATAATCGAGGAAGCGGGACCAGATCAATACAGGTCAAATAATATGTCGTTAGTGCTGTCTGCCGAGAAATTTGCAGCCGCATTCCCGTACATGTGAGTTGCTCGGTTTCGTGTTGGGGATATATCCTTACAAAAGGTAGGCGGAGGGGTTCCATTCTAGGAATACTTCAACTGCCAGATTATCTGGCTGCCAACAACTACATAAACCCTACGGATCTAACAAATGGCCCTTTTCAGTTTGCTAACAAAACCTCGGAGAATTGGTTTGAGTGGGCCCCCAAACAAGGAAATGGCGTGTTCAAAGACTTTAGCAATCACATGGGTACATACAACAGTGGTCGACCAAAATGGGTAGATCCAAATTTTTATCCAGTCCGAGAGCAATTGATTGACGGATTCATGGCGGAAGTCTCGGACCAAGGCGCAGTAATGCTGGTGGATGTTGGAGGCAGTCTAGGCCATGACATTGAACTATTCTTGAAACAATTTCCCAACAATCCAGGGCGATTGATACTTCAAGATCTACCAGACGTGATTAAACAAGCCCGCTCTATTGGCTTGAGTGGGGAGATTGAACTACCAATGGAATAGATCGTCTCCTATCGATAGGCCTAAATGTCTGCGAACTGTATGCCAAATGCCACTAAGAAGTGATAGAAGCTGTCAAAAATAGATCTAACCAATTACCAATTAGGCTTTCAATTAGTGAATCAATTCTGAAGTCTGAAATTTACTCAACCATACGACTTCTAAAAGCTGGCTTTGCAGCTTTGCTCAATACTTAAGTTTAATAAACATATGGGTCATGGGTAATGTTTCCATTATGAGATAAGCTAAAAAGAAATCATACTCAATTTAGCAAAACGAATTACCAGTTAAAGCAAAATAATAGTGATGCCTCCTACTTCAGAAACCAAGGCTATCCATAAGCACCTTATTTTTTGTGTGTCCTTTGTGGACGTGAACCCCAGGGAGAAAATCTCGTGTAATATCTTCTCTCGGTACTTGGAACCGACTTGCCCGTCCGCCCACCCACATGATTTGCTATGATTCCAAATTCTTGAAGTAGCTGGAGTTTAGTCGGGCCCTCCTTCTGCTCACTGAGCCCCTTCTTTAAAGCAGACATTTGGTCGCTTGATAAGTCTAGCTTGGCCCCATAGTCAAGGAGGACATGGGATATACCAGGACTGCATTCTGAGCACAGCAATGCGCTGTGGAGCGCTTTCCCGTAGACCTTTCCTCGTTCGATGTCTTTCCCCTCGTCACTTTTGTCTTTCTCATGACACTCTTCTTTCCCATGACACCCTCCTTCCTCACCACTATCGCCTGCCCCACAACGTTTTTCTTGCTCATCACCCTCTGCCCTCTTGGCACTATTCCTTGGATCATATGAATAGAAATGGATATGTTGATTCAAATAGGCTCGTCTTTTCTTATAACCCCGTACTAGTAGTGCTATAACCATCCTCATGTCATGCGCCGCAATAGCAAGGTCGAGAGCTGTCTCACCTGCCCCTGTGGTTAACGTTGGGTCGGCGCCTTCGTCAAGCAGTGCATCCACAATGCTTGAAAACGAGAATGAATCATAACTCGGTGAACCATTTTTAACTGCTATGTGCAGGGGAGTTAATTGGTCGCAGTCGGGCTGATTTGGGCTTAATTTTGCCTCGAGGAGCGTTTCCGTCGTCGCTTCATCATCCGCGTTGACGCTAGCGTGCAGTAGTGTCCACTGCTGCTTACGAGTAACGACTGTCAGGTCAAGCGGCACGACATTGTGCGCATATTTCTGCTTGTCCCATAAGAATCTGCCAAGAATGTCCTGACAATCTAAGGTAATGGCCAGGTAAAGCGGTGTCTGCGAATCGTTGTCCTTGGCGTTGATGTTTGCTCCGAAATCAACGAGAGCTATGGCTGTCTCTTCATCACCTTCTACGACTTTGTGGTGTAGAGGTGTCCTCCCATCATCGTCACGATGCTCTAGACAAGTGTTGAAGAGGGGGGGTGTTTCAATAATTTCACCCTCCAACTTCGTGGTCAGATATTTGTGGCGTAAAGCGACCCGGTGGACGTAATCTCTGGGAGATTCCCCGACATGTATGGGTTCTATCATTGCGAGACGAGCAGGTTCTGCGCTGCCCTCCCTAGCTGGCATTGTCAAGAACCTTTCACTCTTGTCATCTCGCTCATACATAGTATGATTGAAAGCTTGATCGCCGCTTAGCCCGTGTTCGGATGTAGTGTTGTCTGAGAGAAGCCGGGGGTTTCCCGTGTTCCCTTGAGTCTCAGTCAAATCAAGAGACATATTTCCTTCCATGTTGATGTCTGGGGAGGATCTCCATTGAGTGTGTGGCATCGTCGGGGTCGTCATTGTTGCCTTGTGAAGAAAGGGCGTTTGGTGGGGCAAGGGGTGAGTAAAACAGAACACTGCGTAAGTTCTGGATCAGAAAAAGAGAAAAGGCGTTTAGATGAGCGGCTGTGAAGAAACGTAGGCTTAATAAGGAAGAAGATTCAATGGTGCATTGATAATGAGCTTAGGAGGAACCATCGAACTATTTATACACGGAAGTTAACCTCGCTTGCCAGAACTAAATAACTTTTTGTTCTGTATTTTTCTATGCTCCATCCGACTAAATTTCCTACTTCTTTATTTTTAACGAACGTATGACTGTTTTTTTGTACAATTCGCCGCTGGTCACATGTTCAATGCACGTGGTGCAGTTTCTTTGTTTCTTTGTTTCTTTGTTTCTATGTTTCGTTGTTAAACCGAATCTTGACAACAGCATCCAATAACATTCTCTCACTTTGTTTGTGTCCATTTTAGGCGATGATGCCAAGTCGAATACCACCAAACATGTTTCAGTTAGGATTTGCTTGGCCACAATGATTGGAGAAGATCATATTTCCAGACAGGAATGTCGTCGTAGTGGCAAATAAGATTTCAAACCCGAGTGGTGAATCCTTGTACAGGCCTCACAGCGCGTGTTACCTACTGCTGAAAGGCGCATGGAGTGTTCCGAGACCTAATCAAAGAAAACAGCAACCTTGTGACGGTTGAATAGAAGATACTGATGCCACCAAAGGATCTAACAGACGGTGACCGGGAATGAGAAGAAGTAACATATCTTCATATCCACAGCAAGCAGAGCTGCAATCACAAGCTCCCCATAAACAAATGATCCCTAAAACCATACATGATCATGACCAGTTTTATAGTCAAGTAGCATAGCATATGTATGTATTTGCGAGATTTCAATCTTACTTTTTTCTACCAAACTCCGGTATATTTTATTACATTCATCATATATGCTATACTTCTGAAGAGCCAAGCACATAATATGCCAGATAATAGAAAACGCAGCATCTGCCGAGCTCTTGTCTTAAATGCAAGGACATCCATTTTCAGTACCCTAAATATTCTGTACAAAGATACTTAATTGTGTTTCTCAAACAAAAGGCATAAGCGAGAGCATCATTCACGTATGACCTCTTAAGAATATTATGAAGTAGTATGTATCTTGCAAAAGGGTAAACTGAACAGTTAAATCAACGATAAAACTTTCGTTGAATTCCTAATTCGTAGATTATACGCCCTTTGGAAAGGGGTGAGAAAGCATGGAGTGTGGAAATTGGAGACTTGTGGTGGAATTTATGAGAAAGATTAGACGCTGTGAGAGAGATGTGAGAGAGAACCTAGCAAGAGTCACTGGAACCTACCAGGAAATTTCATATCTGATTAAGTACTTTTGTCATATTTAGGATGATATTCTCCCATCCGCTCCTTTCATCTTCGCGATTGGGGGTCAAAAAGAACACCTAGGAGCCCGTTATACATGCGTCACAGGGATTGAGAGGTTAGTACCTGTAGCCTTAAGACACTTACGAGCTGTGAGATGTAATACGTTATGCCATTGTGCCTACTCATCGTACTTGCAAAGATGATTACCTAAACGGTGTTAGAGAGAGGTGGCTTCTTGTGAATGCGACATGGATGCACTCACCTACTTGATCACGATGCCACTTAATCCATATCCAGCCAACAGGATTTTGGCGCGATTCCAGTTGGCGTGGATAAAAATCAAGGAAAGTTAAGGCCTTTTTCTCAATGGAAGCCTGTTAAAACGGATCGGAGATGGTGGTGGCAACGGATGTCGCGTCCCTATATCATCCTCTGTCAGGTTGGGAGAAGTTGGGCCATCGCTAAGTGCCCGCTTGGGCACTGACGGATGGCTCGAATCCGCGGATTCGCGAGCCCAGTTATCCAGCGTCGATCTTTCCTCGTCATCAACGTTTCTTTTGTGTAGGTGAGTTGCCGTTTTACTGTCGAAATTAGAGTACAGTAAGACTCGGATGTCCTCCCCGAAGTCACGGATCATTTCAGATACATGAATTGCTGTCTTGTAACGTCTAGACACCCTGCGATGCCCGGAAATACCATTGCAACTACACTTCAAATAAAAAAATCAAGTTAGCAGTGGATTTTACCATATGCAATGAGGGTATACGAGAAGCATCCTTACGTGTACTTCCACACTTCTTTACCTTCCTCGCTACTCTGTATTTCGGCCGCCATTACATCGTGTTTAGCGCAAAAATGAAGAAGAAGAAAACCGAAAATTTTCCTGGAAAGTTTAACGAGAATTTCACAAAAATAAAAAACCGACAAGCGACTTTGCACAATACAACAGGCCTTTGGAAGAGTCTTTTAGTTCGACAGTGATGACGCTCAGGAGGGGTGTTCCGCCACTACACCTATCTCGAAATTCAACCTCACTGGCTAAAAATTTCACTTACTTTGATTATTTATATAATATGAATTAATTCTCCGTTCCTTTGTTTTGATAAAGGCCAGGCTGCTGGTTCGTTTCTTTGATTGGGTGTCGCGGAGCTCAAAGAGACCGACAAAGAAGAACGACCACCAGCTTGCGCTTGGATACAGAGAAATCATATACCGATACCACCAAATAATTCAAGAAGCAGCGGTCAAGAGCAAAATGAAAAACATCTTCAATACCTTTAGTATGTGGAACTACAAGGACGAAACTCTCAAAAGAGAACTCTTTGTATGGATATGCCGGGTCCTGGAAAAAACTTCGATGACGGCAGTTCTTGCAAGAATAACATGACGTAAATATGTAGAGGGCTCCTCAGCTACCAAATGTTGAAATCTTGGGCTTCGCCTATGACAATTTTGAATCTTTAAAGCCCTGCGATAGTTCTAAAGATATAGTGTTATAAATTGCGCGAGGAAGTAAAGGCTGAGACTTTGGTGTCAACCATTCCGCCACAAATGGTTCAACCTCAAATTCTAGACGTTACATACAACAAGAAAAGATATTTCCTGCTGTCAAATTCAACATAGCTTAGGAAATCACTGCCAATCGTACGCGGCATGACTGCATGTGAGAGGCTTGTTGTGGGGTGCAGACCTCTTCATCTACGGCCAATGGTACGGTAAGAATATTGCCTAAAATTCTCAAATATCGGTTCAATGGCATTACCAGAACAGGTTAACCATAATGATTCATGCCAAATCATCCACAAAACCCTGAGAGAAACTTCCAGCAGCGGCCTAATGCCGGCTCATTCGAGCCTACATGCGGCTAGGTCATCGGGTGGTCGCGACTGACCTTGCAGATCTGGGGTGCGTCCGGCTGAGGAGATGCAGATTAGCCTACCAATCGCAAATCTAGAATTCAGCACCTCTATGCTGCTAAATTTGCTGAGATGTTACATTATAGTTGCTCTTTGCTACTTTACCCATAAATGCATCCGGCCTTATTAGTATACGGCTAAAATTGTACTGCCCGTCAGCCAACCTAACTTTCGGTTTATTGAGGAAGATAGACGTAATGAGGCCTGTATTAGATAATATGGAAACATTAGCACAGCTGGTTGGAATATTGGGAGTAGCTTAGCCGATATAGAGAAAGCTTGTTTGCATATTCTAAATTATATGAAATGAATCTTTGCAAAAAAAATAAAAAAATAAAAAAAAAAATCACTGGGTATATCTTTATGCTACTGTGAAGTTTTTAGAAGAGATACCAATACCTACCTAGTAAGTTCAGTAACATGTGTATACAATTAAGTGGTTAAGGTGATGTCTCTTTTCAGGTATTGTAAACAACTATTCCCCTCAATCACCTCTGTACCAAGCCGCAATTCTAAGGGCGTTCCTAGCCAGTGTTTCGCGTGTTGATTGCAATTTCCACTAGTGATGGCATTACTTGAAAAGAGTTGGAAATACGATCCCTGCTGCGAAATATTTAGTCGGTCTTCTTATGGGGATATTGCTTACTTGTCGCAAATAAAAACTCAAAGCCAGCATTTGGCGCATGCGCCTGCGTTAGCTCGGCAAAAAGCAGTGATTTCTCTGTAACTATTTAACAGAGGAATGGGGAGGCTGTTTGTCGGCTCCTCGGTTCAAAGGGTGCATTTACAAAGACTGTTGATGGATGAGCCCCCGCCCTCCTGCCCTTGACAATGCACCTTACATGTTGTTCTTGTTGCGTATTCCATATTTCAATCATATACAATCGCAAATTGAGAAGTCATTCTTAATTGCATGTGTAATACGCTTACTACCTATTTTGATAGCAAATAGAATACTCTAGAGGCCAAGTGTTGAATTAGGATACATGGCTACTATGAAAGTTGATTTAGCCTAATTCCGCTCACCAGTTTGCCATTGTACCTGTAAGGATGAATGGCTGGGGGAAGGGAATACAACGCTAACTAGAACGAATTTGGACTTGAGTATTGAATGATCTGAGAGCGAAGAGTAAAACGGGTGAATAATGTCAGTAATTGATGTCGACATGTATGGAGGGCCATATTCAGATACCCGATACTATATAATCTCCTATTTGCCCTGAACGTCATTCATCTCTTGAATGATCAGTATCTCGCATCTTTGGCTTCCACTTCCATAATCTACCTCTCTGTTGTAAGGTAAAAATGCCTTCAGTTAAGAACGCTCTCATCCTTTTACTTGGTCGAGCTCTTCTTGCCGCTGGTAACCCAGTGGATGGTGAGAGAGTTGTGAAGCGACAGTGCCCAGGTATTCATGTCTTCGGTGCTCGTGAAACGACTGTAGGCCCGGGATATGGCTCCTCCGCTACGGTTGTGAACTTGGTCATCGCCGCCCATCCCGGAACTACATCCGAGGCAATTAGCTACCCAGCTTGCGGCGGTCAGGCTTCTTGTGGTGGCATCAGCTATGCTAATTCAGTTGTGGCTGGTATCAACGCTGTGGTCACGGCGGTGAACAACTTCCACAACTCCTGCCCAGACACTCAGCTGGTGTTAGTTGGATACTCACAGGTTTGTCTATCTTTCTTTTTATCTCTCGCTCGCTCTCTCTCTCTATCCATATTACTAGATACTTACAAGTGATAAAAAGGGCGGCCAAATCTTTGATGACGCGCTTTGTGGAGGAGGCGACCCTGGTGAGGGTTACCCTAATACTGCTGTTCCGCTGTCTGCTGGAGCAGTCTCTGCCATCAAGGCTGCAATCTTTATGGGAGATCCTCGAAACATTCACGGACTGTCATATAATGTCGGAACCTGTACCGCTCAGGGTGTAAGTATTCACCGCATTACGAAACTCGTTAGCTTTGTAAACTATTGTTTTCTAATTTTACCATTCTTAACCAGTTCGACCCACGCCCAGCTGGCTTCGTTTGCCCTAGCGCGTCCAAAATCCAGTCATACTGTGATGCACCAGACCCATACTGCTGCAATGGAAACGACGCGAACACTCACCAAGGTTATGGCCAGGAGTATGGCCAGCAAGCCCTCGCTTTTATCAACAGCAAGCTCTCCTCGAGCGGTACTCCGAGTGGCACTCCGACCTCGAGACCCGTCGCCTCCAGCACTGGAAGCTCTCCCAGCGCAACTCAGACTCATTATGGACAGTGTGGTGGTATCGGATACGTTGGCCCCACGCAGTGTGCTGCCGGATTCACTTGCCAGGTCCTGAACTCATACTACTCTCAGTGCCTGTAAATGAGCGTTAGAGAGGGTGGTTTGTGATGCAATTTTTCAATGTTATAAGACATGGTACATACAGGTATCTTTAGCTGCGTTTAGGGTTGGCTTCATTGAGCCTACTTCTGATGATGATCATGCACGCTTCATGTTGTTTATATCAATGGAAATTCTCTGCGCATCGATTTTCTTCTAGTTTTGTTAGAGCAGTGTTGCTTCTAGGGTAGGCTCTTATAATAGAGGTGGCTTGGATAACTTTACAAAATCGGTTACATTCTCCACGTGAAAATCCAGCACCGCATAAGTCCTTTTCTTTGACAATGACTCGCTAAGCTCCCAATAGATTTTTCGGTAGGTGAAAAGCCATCAGCAATCTCGTTATTCATACCTCTGTACTTGTACCGAATACCATGAAATAGAAGCACCTATCTAGATACTTGAAGCAGTCAATCATGTCTGCTGAAAATTAAAGCGGACAATCTGGCCATCAACCGGATGCCAGCTGTCCCACCAACCACTGATATCCCCACCCAATCTAACATGCAACAGATCACACTCTCTCAAAGCAACGGTACTACGTGAGAGATCCAGGATAGCCTGGGTAATTGTGGAGGCTATAATTAGTAAATCCCAGGGCCTAGACCCCCACCCATATTAAGATAGGACACACCTCCATTTCAAAGAGAGTCTGCTACCCTGTTTGACTCGAACCATTTATGTTCCACAGCCCATCATCCATCATTATAAAGATGTGTTGGCCCCAGGCTGCGAATATCCACCCATATTTAAGGCACGTAGCCAGCAGCCAGGGAGGGGATATCGGATTCTTCTTGGGTTTGTTGCCTCACAGCATTTAATTTCGTCCGTAGTTCCATTACGGACTCGGGGTCCCCATCTTGAACAGGTTTATTGTAAGCAGCAGAAAAATTAAGATTAGTATTGATCTGCCTCGGAGACTCAGACATATCTTGTGGACCTATAAAGTATCGTTTGTATCTAATAAATGATCAAATAATTTCGGAAATAGATACTTGCATGAATCTTGCTATGTACGAGTACTATCGTTTCACGGTACAGGTACGCTACCACCGGAGCCTATGGGACCGCGAGTTTTGGCCTCCTCTAGAGCGTTTTCTAACAAGTCTTCCCGTTTAGTCTTGAGCTCAACTGCTAGTTCGGTGATGTTAGCCTTGTTTGCTGCCTCGGTGGCATCGGCGGCATCGGCGGTTCTGTGTATCTCTTCCAGGTGCGATTGGATATGTTCTGGTAGTAGTTGCCCCGCTAGCTGCCGTTAGAACATGCTTTTCATGAACACCAGCAGGGAAAGGGGGTTGGTTAGTACCGCTCTACTTTGTAACGGGCATTTATATTCTTCATTTTCTACTTTGGGCTTTTATTCTAAAGATGTTTGGTAAGGCCAGCTCGACTTGGGTTATACGAGAAATGTAAATTGATCCATAATGATGAAGCGGAGTCGATATCTTCATTCTAGGCGCACAAACATCTCATCGCTGTTTACGAATAGTGTTTACTTAATCAATTGATATTCAAAGACCAATAAAGTTCCATTTTCGCTTTAGTGTACATTTTGTGGCCAGCTGAAATGACAAATTACTGGCTTGAAGTTTCAAATTAGGCAAACATGGCTGGGCCAACTGCGATAGATTGATGACGTGGCACCCAAAAAGCCGTATCCCGAAGAAAGAAGTCTTGAAAGGGAATGGCGTAGCACAATTCCTCTTTCTCTACCGATCTGTGAAAAGGAGAAGTAGACGGTATTGTGTACCGGTTAGGACCAACAAGCTGCAGAATTGAGCCCCCATTCTTTGTAGGCGGTTCGATTTTAACCATTCATATTAACGGATAGAGCATTGCTGGAAGGTTTTTTGGACCAGGCTTTTTGACCAACCTCGTGATTAGTTTATTGTCAGGATCGCCGATTAAACTGAAGTCATCCGGCTTCCTGTCATCACAGCCAGCCGAACTATTTGCATCAAAATAACACCCGATGCCCCTAGCCCCATTCCAAGGGAATGCCACCACAGCTGCTAAAGCAAATGACTCCTTTTTATGACCAAGCGCATATATCGTCGCATCAATTGGCCTGCAGGGTAGGTAGGGTGTAAGAAGCATTGGCCATGGCCACCAATCAGAAAGGTGTTAACTTTTCAGTAAGCGAAGATATATACACTTCTCTACGCTTGTTTAGAATAGTTAGATAGCCAGCTGATATTTCCCCAATGAGATTGAATCTACTTGATACTTTTACCAGTTGGATGATAAGTATAGCCTGATTAAATGTATCCAGCCTGGCTTAGTGGTCAACTGGAATCAGAATATCAGATGTCCTGGTGCGAAGAGAGGAGTGGTGAATTCAAAGAGTGACTGAGCAGATAGCCAGCAATAGGTGTATAATATTAAATGTATTATCTATGACCTTTTCCAAAACAAAGGAATTGTCCTCTTCTTTTATAATGACTTATAATTCAAGCCACAAAAAACTAGCCGCAACCTAATGCTTCCCTTTCAGCCATCTTGCTTCTAGCCTCCTGATACAGAACGACGGATTGTCTATTGGAAATCCACATACAAACTAACATTTAGGTACACAGTCCGTTGATGATTTGTTTTCATACAATGGCCCTGAACTTGTTAGAGAAGTTACATTTTTGGTATAACGTTTGGTTTGAGTTGAGCAAGCTTATGTTCCGTAATATAATAGATATCAACACTTTATTCTAGCACTGTGACCATGCCAGTCTCATAGGTTAGTATAGGATAGGATACCTGTTTACAACAACAAAATAAAAAATAAAAATAACAATACACGCCCAGATTCAATTTTTTTGTTTTTGGCGGATCGATTAGGTCGGCTATGCCTAGTGCAATATGATGTAGCTAGTAGTCGTAACTTGTAAGCAAATTTTTAAGCTCATTGCTATATTAGTAACTGGTTATCTAAGCTACCTAAACAAGCGTACAGAAGCAAGCAAGATGCCTCCAATCGCCATCATCACCATCACTGAGCAAATTAAACTCGATGGCGCCAACGGAGGCGCTATTGGCTGCAATTGAAGATCTCCGTGTGGCTTCGTGGTTCCGGACCAGTCCATCTCGGCTCAGCCGTTTCGTCTTTCTACGAGAAAGAAAAACACATACGAGTATATAACTACTCTGACTCGCAAAGAAGCGGAGCACGGCAATCCCTTGCCTAGTCCGTCGCTAGTGTGAAGATGTATCAAAGCTTAGCTGATCTACTTCTTCGTAGTATTACTATTTGGCGTTATAAACCTACTAGTCGGTCCACAGCAGAGCGATGTGTTCCAGATCAGTCCAGGGGCTGTCTACACGTAGGGCGAACCGGACCCCTTTGTGGGGAGGTCCACCCTTAGCTCAACCAGAATCGATAGACGCATGTGGTTGCTGAAATAACGACTATCAATGGGGCTATCAACTGATCTCGACACTATTCTCTTGATAGCCTGGACACTACTCTCTCGATAGCCTCATGCAAGATGCCTCGGTAGCCTCATAAAGAATGCCTTGCCCCGTTTCAGGGTACCGCATCAGTCTCTTGCTCCGCGACTCATGGAATAGCCACTAACAGTCTCTTCCAGAGTCAACACCATATGCAGCGTCTTGTATCGACACTGCCTCTTCCTTTCCTAGATTCCACCGAGTGAAAGTCTTTACTGTAAATAATATCTGCTTGGGAATTACAAAGTACGTAGATACCGAGCATTCGTAGGTGCTCCTTATAATTTGTAATATTCCAACTAAAAACTGTATCCTCCGCCGCGAATCGACAAAGTGGTAAAGGAACGGCTACCGTTGATAGTATGTCGGTCTTATTTGACACTCTAGGAAGAAAGGCTCCGGCTTGCAATTCTGTTCTTCCTAAGATTGCACCTCTCACTGCATAATTATACGATAAACACTAGAAGGCAATAGTTCTGAGTCGAGACTGGACTGGAAAATTTCAGCTCAGCCACAATTTTCCATCACCAATAGCTAGCGCCCGCTTGACAGTACGGGTTCCTGGTCCAATATAGGTTTCCGGCCCATCCACACATCTCATTGGCCAAGGCGCAAACAATGGGACGTCAATGCCGAATCTTCGGATCCGTCGTGGTGTCGGGCCATAGACAATAGCTCGGCCGTGATGGGCTGACCTAGATACTCAGGCATCAGTTGGAGTGGAAGATAAGGCTCAAGCATCACGCGACGGAGGCGGGGGTCCATCTCGACTCCAGACTCTCCTTCAGGAAACACGTAGAAGTGATGACTGGGAAGGCCCTCAAAGCAGCGAATTTCCTTAAGTCACTCAACAAAACACAGAAGGGCTCTCCCCCAGACGCAGTCGCACTCGCAGCCAAGGCCTGCGTCGCCCCAGTAGCTCTATACAGCATAGAGGCCTAGTGGCCCAGAGACAAAAGACAAAGCGCATCCTACCCCTCCAGACAAATAACCACCGACACCTCAAACCTGGTGGAGAAAATGGACAAAGCCTTCAGAACGGCAGCCAGGGCGGTCCTCCCCGCCTGGAAGACAACCAACACAGCGGTCGTGCACAGAGAATCCGAAGTCCCCCCTGCGCCCGTGGCACTCACCCAGGTAAAACTCCGGACGTCAGCTAGGTTCACCAGCCTGGACAGGAATCACCCCGTCAGCAGACGCATCGATAAGAAGCTTCCGCCCAGACTCCCTATAACTAGACTACAACGTACGGCCTCTTTAATCAGTAAAACAGTTAAACCCTCCCTCTTCACCAAAAACAACAGAGCAGTCCTGGCAGAGCCAGACTTCCGCAGCCTGCCTAAAGCTAAAATAGCGGAAAAACACTTTAAGTTACTCAACGCCCTTCCCCAGACTACACTCCTGGCATACTCAGACGGGTCATAAAATAAGACGGAAAACACAGGATAGGGCACCGTCACGTACCACAACTACAAGTCTACCTTATCTTACGGTTACCTAGCAAACGCTAAAGTCTACAATACAGAAGCAGTCGGGGCCTT